ATCTCTGGCGGCAGTGGCGCGATACGGATGGACTGGACTTCAGCTCTGGCGACGATTTCCCCAGCGGCGGACGGGTGATGAACAGGTGGGCTGCGTCGGTGGGGTGACTTGGACGGCGATTGAGGCTTGATGGGGGGGGAGCCAAAGGGGGGAGGGGGAGTGGCCGTTGCAAGTCCGCAGAGGAACGTTTGAAGCAACTGGTACCGCAGAAACAGAAGCAAACGACGACGATGCTGCCGAGAGAGACGAGACAGAGCAGGGCTGCCCCCAGTCTGGACAGTCTTCGACTGACTCTCGCTCTCTCTTTGCAACCGTGACAAACCGTGACAAAGAGCCCGAGAATTGTCTTCACAGTGCCACACCCCCCATTGCCCCAATACCTGTACTAGATACCAGGTCGCCGTATCCATGTCCGTTGATCCCATATCTCGGTCAGTTCAGGTGCCTGATGCCCAATGGCCCCCCCGGACTACCTATTCTGGGCAACGACTAGTGAGGGAGCCCAATGGCGAGAGGCACGTCGTCGTGTTGGAAACGGGCCATTGCGGGAGCCGTGAACCCCCCTTCTCACATGCTGCTTGCGCGCTCTTTTTGCTTGCCATGCTCTCTGCGTGCATGTCGCTGTTATTCTGCGCTCTCGATCGGTTCCGCGTTGCCTTGGCGTGAACGGCAAGTCATCAATTGTACCTACAGGTAGCAACGGAAACCACTGGCCGGCGTTGCGTGTATGTTAGTCGTCGCCAAGCATGGGAGAGAGGGTCGGAGTTTGAAGATGGGACAAGTAGAAGAGGGATGACGACGATGATAACGACGAGCAAAAGAGGTGAAACATGACCGCATTCCAATTCCGCCACTTCCCCCCTCCGTCGTCAGCTCGTCAGTGACTGAAAACTGCACCATGCAAAGAGGCAAGCATTCCAGGTGCATATCGGAGCCGCCAATTGGACATCGTGTCATGTCATGTCTTGTCGTGTCTGCTCTGTTCACGCACCAGCATGTGCGAGGCACAGAACAAGGCAACAAGCGCACAGGCACAAGAAAGAACAGCAGGTACACGCACAAACACAAAGAAGGACAGACAAGGAGTTGAGAACAAGGACTCAACAAGGCAACGTGATTTTTTTTTTACTTGCCTTCTCCCCCCTCCCCAGAAGCAATTGTCCAGTAGCAGCTTCGAGGGCACACGCTCAATCCATTGGCCAATGAGTTGCGCTTCGGCATCCACACCGTAACTCGCGTGACTCTGTCCACCTGAGCGTTGCTGCCCCCCCTTTTCGGTCTTTTGGTAGGTGGTTTCTCGTCTCTTGTCTCGGGGCTCTTTGCCAATTCGATAGCAAAACCCCCCCTCTGCGATGTAGTTCTTGGTACTGTCGTGCAAAGTGATATGCGATAGAAGAGCGACTACCTAGGTATGATCTTAGCTTTCAACTTGGGAGCAAAAGCTCAACTCCTCTGGCGGTGCTATTGATCGCTCTGACAGCAGCAGGATTAAGTAGGTACCTCACCTGGTCTCAAGGCGCTTGTAGCGGAGGTACCTCCTGCTACCATCTGCGTAGCGGTAACCAGGGGATGATGATGGGCGTGTCAGCCGCGTCAAAAGAGGCAGCATCTGGATCTGAGAAAGCGTAAACAGCGTGCATGAAGACCGCAGGACCAGCTGCTACTAGTGGCACCGGCTAGCTGCTCATGCTACGCCTCCTTGAGCACAGGAAGCAGTGACACCAAGCCCACAGCAGAGTGAGTCACAAGATGGGGCTGACGAGGCCATCGTCGTCCTAGCATGACGGCCACTAAAAGGGGAGCCGAAGCTGCGGGATTGCCTCCATGCTTGTCCCGGCCTAGCCGCCCCGACGATGCGTGCTTGCGTTCGAGGTTCGAGGTTTCTTTTCTGCCTCAAGGCAGCCGTTTCTATCGATAAGCTGATTCGATTCAATCCTCTCCTTCAAGCTCTTGTTGGGATGCTCGTTCTTGTACGTCAACATCTCAATTTCGCATGCCGCGCGCAGGGCATCAATCATATCATCCAGACAGCGAGAATCAGTGCGCGGCTGCCTGCTGTTAGCTGTCCCCCATCCATATTTTCAGCTTTTACCAATAGAATCTGGCTACTTTGCTTCGGACAGATAAGTGCCTGCATAGGTAGGCACCTCATAGGCAACATGTATTATTGGATATTTCGTTTCCTCCTCGCCTAGCTGCGGCTGATGTCAGGAGGAATTTCAGCCCTGTTGCGGCTGGAATGTGTCTTGCCTGGGCCTCCTGCATAGTAGTTGACGAATACTGTCTGTCACCTGCATCTTCGGGGCGCAATTCGAGAAATTTCAGATACTAATAGTTCCACCGCCTTTTGTTTCTACCGTCATGCCATGTGAAGATTCGCAGTACTAATGTAAAGAGCTCAAGACATGCCGGACGTACGTCAACGTCATCGCAGCGGATGCCTTCAAGCCTCCTGGAGCGGGCGGCGGTTCGAGCACCTCGTTAGCTCGGGGTCGGTCTGATTCTGGAGTGTGGGGGAGGCAGAAGGATGAAGATGCAAGGCCAGGGAGGGGGGTGTCGTTAAGGCCCGCGAAGTCTCGACAGGTGACAAGGGAGGAGGAGGAAGAGGAAGAAGAGAGACTCCCGTCGCCGAAAAGTACTGACGAGTCCTCCCCCCCCCCCCTCTCCTCTTCGGACAGGGAATATTATAGGCACGACTTGAGCGAAGTGAGCGAGTGACACGAGATTGCAATATGATTGTTGCTGCCGATAAGAGGTCTGGACGCATCAGCTTGCTGCCAGCATCCGTGCAGTACATGTCCAGGAGCTACCTGACGTGGGAAATGTTTGGGAATCGAAGTCAGATCCGATGATTCCATCAATCTGCCCCAATCGCCCATCGATTGGCTTTTGCCGCCGCTCGGAGACGCAATTGGCGATTAGCAATTGGCGATTAGCAATTGGCGATTAACAATTGGCACTCGACATTGGCATTGGCATTGGCATTGGCACTGGTCGGGCATTGGGTTTCCAAGTCTCGGATCGGTCTTTTGTCGCGGCTTTTTGGGCAGCCCATCATGAGGACGCCAGGCCTGTCAGCCATCGTCATCGTCTCTCGTCAGTCTGACTCGCGCTTGGCAAAAGATCAGATCAGCCCGACTGGTCTGATTTGCTGATGCGGTCCAGAGTAATACATACATACTGCTTTGATTTGTTTTGATGTCGTTCAATTCGACTTGATTTGAAAAGCACACGCATTTCACGCACAAGCACCATCCGTTCGCACCGCAAAAGGGGGTCGATCCGGCCTGACCGGATCTCCTTTTGTCTTCTTCTTCTTCCCCCAGTCTTCCGGTGACCGTCAACACTTACCGCTTGCTCTTCGATCATCATCCTTCTCTTCCATCCCAGGCTGTCCGGGGAGATAAAAAGAGCGGCGGTTGATTGATCAGCAACCACGGGGTCCGTTAGCAGACACACCAGATAGACCAGATCACCACCCCCCCCCCCCCCCCCCCCCAAAGTCGGCCGGCTCTGTCCCTCCAGTCCCCTCAAGCCCTCTCCGCTAGCGCCCAGAAAGGGCCATGCCGTCCTCGACACCAGTATCCCGCGACAGCCCGCGCATGACACCCCAGACGCAACCCAAAGGTTGGGAGGGCGGGAGGGCATGGTCAGGAATACATACCTACATAGAAAGATATGGAGGAGGGCAGAGAAGAGGGCATTTCCCACCATCACAGACGGCCTATCGCGCCAACATGGTGAAGAAAGCGCCCGCCCGATTGGCCTCCTCCTCCTCCTCCTGTTTCTCCTCCTCCTTTCAAATCTTCCCTGGGAAGGGAAAGCCATACGATACGGGCCGCTTTGCGCCATAGTCTAGCGGGAAGTGATGCTTATCTGTACATCGTAGTCTACTAGTACTAGCAAGCAGCAGAGCAGGCAAGAGGGCTGCCAGGATGCGACATCGTGACAGGGACGGCTGATGAAGTTTAACGAGGTCACGGGCAACCTTTTCCTCCTAGTAGCTCTTGATGGACCAGTCTGAAGCCCAGTCCTGAGCTATTATGCGTGAGACACGCTGCGTCATTGATTCTATTTCGCGCCTCTCTCTTCATTCTCTTTATCTATTGCTGCTTCGGCTCCGAAGAAGGCATGCTCCCAGATCTAGTCCCCCCTCATTGGCACAAAGATGGACCAAGCCAAGAAGCAAAAAGATACCGATACCCCCTCCTTCTTCTTCTCCATCTTCTGCATCGTCTCCTCTTCCAACGGCACTTTGCGGAATTCCCTCGGTCTCGTGCGTGATGCCTTCCCCGCTTCCCATCTCCTCCACCCCAGTCTTTCCCACATCGCTCCCTCTATTCCCTTATCTTACTCCTGATCTTGTCTCCCAGCAAGCAAAGGGGAGAAAGCACGCAGAAGAGGGGGGGAAACAAGGGGGATGCGAGGCGCACCATGCAGCGTCTGCATAACCCGAGCGCGCCCCCCTATGCAACAGGGAATCTTCCCATGTGGCTGCAAGATGGGTCGGCCGCCTCTTTCTTGGGAGGCAAAAGCCCTGGCCAGACTGGGGCGCGCAGATCAAACGTGCTTTTCATGTCGACTCGCATTAATTAAGGCACAGGCAGATCGAGCAGTCATTCCACTATTCTCTTTAAGAATAGGTAGGTACAAGATGGCCGGCCATCTCTCTCGATGACGACAATGAGGCACTCACAGACTAAGCGCGTTGCACAAACTACGACGAAGCTGGCTGATTCGCAATGATTTCATGTTGTGCCGTCCATACCTAGGTAATCTAGTCCTTTTCGTAGGAAGTGGTAGTATACCCTAAGGCCCATTCCCATCCGTGGGAAAAAAATCCTTGTCAACATAGCAAAGAGGGCGACTTTTGACCAGAGTCAAGCCCTATTTTTGGTTCATAAAATCATCATCCATCCCATATCCCACCATGGCCATATTCCAGCCCTCAAAAAACAGGTCCTCTTGCTCTTCGCCCATTTTGTATGAACATTTCAGGTTCAGAGAAGGCTGCACTCATGCAGGATAGCAAGGGCCGCATTCTCAGCGCCGCTGCCCTTCTCCTGGCAAGCATGCTGCAGAATGATGGCCTTCTCCTTGATGATTGCTGCGCTGTCACCCATGAGAACGTCGAGCATTTCGCGAGAAAGCTCTCCCGAAGTCCAGTGAGGCTTGGTGGTCTTGTTGCCACAACGGCCGACGCCGAGAAGCTCAACACGCTGAGCGTAGTCGTAGTTGTCCGCCCAAGCTGGCAGGACGACCTGGGGAACGCCGGTGCTATATTTCACAAGAGATGTTCGTCAGCTGACATTTTTTCCCTATAGATAGATGATGAGGAAGTAGAATCAAACTTACACAACAGCCTCGTTGAACGAGCCTGCTCCGCCGTGATGGACAGAGCAAATGACGTCTCCAGTCTGGAGGATGGAAAGGGGCTCGGGTTGAATCCAGTCAACGACTCGGACGCGATCATACGCGAACTCCTTGCCAAGGACGTGGGCGAGGATGCATTCAGGCGCATAGATGGAGTATCTGCCCTTCTTCTGGAGCTTCCACAACACCTGAATCCGCTTCTTCTCGGAGTTCTGGTCGAAACGATCAATGACGGTCTTGAGGGCTTTCGCCATCTCAAAGGCCTGCGCCTCCGAGACCTTGACCAGAGCTCCCATGTTGACGAGGATCGTGTGTCCGTTGGCGAGCCATTCGGCCAGCTTCGGATTGGTCTTGTAGAGGGGAGCGTAGGCTCGAACCACAGGTCCGCAGGGGATGATGTGGGCAGGCACCTTGAGCGGATAGTCCAGCTCGGGAAGGCTGCTGACCAGGATCTTGACGCCCTCGGGGCGGTTGTCAACCAGGTCGGCAGGAGTTCTGATGACGCAGTGGGCGTTCAGGTACGATTGAACATCCTTTCTTTGATTGTCCTTCTTGAGGGCCCTAACCTGAGAGAAGGCATAGAAAAGATTCAAGGGTATCTGGTGCCACTGCACAGGGTACGAGAATCCAGAGAAGGGCCTGGGCGGCATCGTCAGTCTCATGTCATCGCTTGCAAGGACGAGTCGCTCCCTCATGTCACTTACGCTGGAAACTTCCAGAGTCCGGCGGCGCGAGGCTGCGAGGAGGCTGCGAATGTCTTGATGGAAGTTGGACCAAGGCAGATGAACTTGGTGCCCACATGGTAGCAGGCAGTCAGGCCCGCGGCCATGAGGCTATCAACGACGATCAAGTCTGGCTCGGTGTCCTTGATGATGGACACGATGGAGGTGAAGACGTCGACCATCTGGGGTCCCGTGTAGGGGACAGAGGTCGACATGGCGTCCTTTATGGCCTGTTGGGTATTCACGAAGCCAGGCTCCCTGGTGAAGGAGTCCGGGAAGTTGGCATGTCCCTGCGTGCGAAGGAAATGCTTCTGAAGGGCCTCGGACATGGAGATGCCATTGATTTGGTGATACGTGACGCCCTCGGGGAGTGCATCTTGGACGCCATCAAAGGTGGCGAGATGCAGGTCCAAGGCGACGTTGGCAGCCTTGAGGGCCGCAGCCGTGGCGAGGAAGGTGTTGATCTCGCCACGCTCGATGTTGGTGATCATCAGCACCTTCTTGGAAATCAAGGGAGCCATGGCGGTTGGGTTGGTCTCGTCTCTTGTCTCTTGGTCTCAGACTTTGTCTTTGCTTGGGTTGCAGGGTGGAAGAAAGGGTTGGAGAAGGAGGTTGGGAGAAGGAAGAAATGTCTCGGAGGGGGGGAGAAATGTCTTGGAGAAGGAAGAAGTGTCTGGCAGGAGATGGGAGAGGAGGAGACAGGAAGGAGAGAAGCTGCTCCTTCTTCTGGGGGCAGGCCTCGATGGAGTGAATTGCCTTTGCCCTGGCTGGAGCGTGCAGGTGCCTGGCAGCTGCCTCAAGTTTCCCTCACACGGGCCTCACTTTCCATCTTCTACTACCTACTACTTACCCGTATCTCCTAGGTAGTACCTACCTTATGCAGCAAACTCCAAGTGCGTCTATTCTGTCTCCTTCTCTCCGTGTCCATCTCTCCTCGAGTGAATCCGTCGAGGAGCTTCTGTTATTCCGGACCCCCGGATCGAGAGTCGGAAGCATTGCAAATGTCCTAGCCTCGCTCTCTTGTCTCAGACGGCTGTTTCGATACATTCGGTCTTCAAGAGTTGCTCCCTCTTCTCCCTTATCAATGAAATTGAACAAGTCAGTGTTGAGAGCAACATTGTTGATTGCAGCTTTGAACGCGTGTGCAAACAATCATTGGATATTGCTGGCCCTTTGAGGGCGTTGAACCTGTTCGTCTCGCTGCATGCGTGTCTGGAAAAGGACCGACTTATCGTGGGCTTTGCCAGATACCCAGCAATAGATAGACTCGGGCTTCAACGACGCCGTTTCCGGACAAAGGAACGAAAGAACCCCAACGCTTCTCAGGTCAAACCTTACGCGGAAGGATATTGTTCCCCCACAATGGCTTCCAGCCAAAGTGGGCCGAGATACCCCTGACCTTGTTCTCTCCATTGTGAATGCTCCTGCTAATGTGTTCAAGAACGCGGGAAAGCGGGAGAGCTACAACTGGTGCGAGACATCTTGCTTCATACCACTACTACTAGCTACCTTACTCACTGGATAGACCCGATACCCGTGTAGACTACTGACTGGCCCTGACTCGAATTCATAGCGTTCCCACCTAGTGAACAAACAATGCAGCTTGATCAAACGTCCTCTCAATCGTCTTTGCCAACTCCCCCACCGTCGTCTCGTCCCGCGGCACCGTGTGTCCTTTCCCATGATCGAACAAAATTGCCATATCTTCATCACACATGTCGTACAGCGCTACCGCGCCATCAATGTACGGATCGTTACAGCCTACAACATGGCACGTCGGAATGTCAATCATCTCGTCGTGCTCGTCTGCGAGCAGCGTCTTGACACGACCGTCGGCGATGCGAACAGGCGGCCAGCCCGCAAAGAATATGGCACACTTGCGCATGTTGTCAGTACGACGAGGGAAGCGCAGCAGGAACAAAGGCAATTTGGCATCTTACCTTAATGTGTCGAGGGCGGCCCTGCTCCTTGAAGAGACGCTGCTCTTCGAGGATCAGAGACGCTGCAGCTGTAGCCCCTTCCGAGTAACCAAGTATGGCCTTTGTCCAGCCGTGTCAGTGGTCAAGGAACTCCATAGCACACAAGACTGAACTTCATCTCACATCAATCTCCGGATCGTCATCCAGGAGCTGCAGAAGCTGGCTCAACGCCTTAGTTACAGCTGGGGTAGTAAACTGCTCCTTGTCGGCAACCAGCTTCCTCATCGTCTCTTCTGGGGAATCGCCCTGAGGAATGTCCCTAATCTTGACGACCATCTGCTCCAGCTCGCTCATGCCATCAACGTCTATGAATCGATACAGAGGTGGAGCGCCAAAATAGTCGTCAAAGCCAGGCGGCGGTATTGCGTTTGTGAAGCCATTGATCCATTTGAACTCAATGTCCGACTGCTTGATAGCATCGGTGAAGATGCCAAGCTGAACCTTGAAGTTCTGAGCACGTAACAAGACAAATTATTAGTGTATGAGAGCAAAACTCTTCAACGTTTTATTGATCCTTCCAAACTCACAGAAGCGCTGCCAAAGGCACCGTGAAGACAAAGAACCTTCATAATGCCCGATAATGATGTCTGGTACGGATGTGAGTGTGAACCGTCAAGCCAAGCTCCCAAAGCAAGAGTTTGTACGCCGAGAGAAAGATCTGATCCCTGACTTTATCGATACTGTCCCTCTTTAGTCTGTGAGAAGGTTCTTCTCCTCGTGTTGGGCACATGTGGAACATATGAATGTCACAATCTGGATCAGGATATGGAGGGAGAATCCCTTGATAGCCCCCCATCCCGCAATTTTGTAGGAGACGAAACGGGGGGCCACATAAAGTCGGGAAAATCGCGTCCAATCTGAGACAGTCCCGCAAGAACACGTCGCTTTCCACGCGAATGTGGTGGATTCAACCGCCGGTGGCCTCATAAATACCCCGAAACCCTACATTTTGCTCGTCGACACTCCCTGCGAGCAAGGAGTTGAATCTGCTGTCAGCATGCGCAAGGAGTACTAGGGAAGCATGCTGAAGCCTGCAAGCCCAGATTGAGCCTACAAATCATGTCAAACAAGCAGGCAAGCAAGCAAGCAAGCAAGCAAGATCATCAGCTCATCGTGGCAATACCGCCAGATATGCATGAGAAAGCCACGCTTGAAAGCCCGTCAAATGAGAATGTTACACAACTCAACGCCTCCGGGTAATCAGGCCGTGTCTGTATTCAGCAACAGGGGAAGATATACAGGAAAATACGCATGTGACCCGTGATTTGCCAGCCCTTCTTCTTCTTCTTCTTCTCCTTCTTGATCTCGCATAACTCTGTCAGGCACGGTCCCATTAGGGTCATTGAGTAACAAAACATCACTTCGTTGATATGCTTGTCATCCAACTCCAGTCATCGTTCAGTACTCGCCCGCTCAGCACATGTGATCATATCAAGGCTCCCATATGCCCTAAATAACCTGAATATTGCATTGACGTCTCTCATGTGTCATTCAAAGACTACACGGTCACGATTGATGACAGGTCGCATGGACCATAACCCGTCTGCGCCGCAAGGTTGAGAGTACCCCCGTCTCCTTGGTCATATGGAATGCTCCCTGCATTTGGCAATTTGGCCAGTGTGACACCACATGTAATATTGCAGTAAATCCGGCACAGCTGAGAAAGGACAGCATGCAGAAAGATAGTAAGCTCTTTGCTTTCATAATCGCGCGCGTATGACAGCAGTCAGAATCACGTCAACCGCCATACTACCTCCGTCTTTATCATTGCATTTGCCGGGTTTGGCGTATTGGACATGAATCAATTGTGCAAATTCACAAGCAAGTTCATTCGGCATGTCTCAGTTATCCGCCTCGAAGCCGCTCTCAATGGCCAGGGCGGAGTTTAAGAGGCATTTGAAAGGACATGGGTCGGCGGAAGGTTATCCGGTGGCTTGATGAATGCAGCAAATCAGAGCTCAAGGGGCCGGCTTCAGTAAGACATTCCCAACACGGACCCTTTGAGAGCGGCCCCTGTTATTCAGTCGTAGGACAAGAGAATGGCAGATCGACTGCCCCCTCTCCTACATACAGCATTCCTGGGTGTTCCACGAGCTGACTTTCTGCCCTGAGCTTCCTGTAATCACCGACCCTGCGGTAGCGTGGTGCCGTGCCTTGAGGCCAAACCAATTGTCGATGCCCACCAACCATGAGGTGTCTGGCTGATGTTTCTGGGACATGAGGGTTGCGTTGGTCTGACAGTTGCATTGCGGTTCCCTTTTTGTTCTGACATGTCTCGTTTTGAGGGCATGCCTGTCTTCTAATCTGCGAAGCTGTAGCTGATCTCCAGGAGCAATATGAAGATGAGGTGTAGTGTATTAAACCATTGACTCCGCACCGACTTTTGCTTTTCACTTCGCGCTTCCCTTCAAACCACGCTTCAAGGGAGGCAGGGCGTAAGCGTTGCCACGCAGAGCTGTCCATTGACACTTTTGACGACTTGGCAAACGAGTCTCTCTCGCGCAGACCAAGATGTCGTCCTCGAAGCAGGACATGGATCAGCAGCGTCCGATGCCCATTGCCATAATCGGCATGTCCTGCCGTCTATCGGGAGGCGTCTCGACTATCGACGACTTTTGGACCATGCTGTCGCGATCCCGTGATGGTTGGCGGCCAATTCCCGAGGACAGATTCACGACCAAGGCCTTCTATCACCCGGATCCGCAGAAGAAGGGGTGCTTCAACAACCGAGGTGGCTATTTCATGGATGGTGACTTGTCGACCTTTGATGCGCCATTCTTCCACATCACCAAACAGGAGGCCGAGGCTATGGGTATGAACATCTTCTTGTCCTTGTGCAGCACCAGCAGACTCACTCTTGTCGGCAGATCCTCAACAGAGACATCTCTTGGAGTGCACATATGAAGCTCTGGAAAATGCTGGGCTTCCCAAAAACGCTGTTTCTGGAAGCAACATGGGCGTCTTTATCGGCGGCACCTCGTCGGACTATCGACTCGGCACCCTGAAAGAAGTAGGCCAGATACCCATGTATGATGCCACGGGCAATCATCAGTCCATCCAAGCCGGACGCATCTCGTATTACTTCAACCTTCATGGCCCGTCATTCGCCGCGGACACGGCCTGTTCGTCTGGGCTATACGCACTTCATTTAGCTGTGCAGAGCATCCGCTCAGGGGACTCGGACTCAGCAATTGTCGCGGCATCAAGCTTGCATTTGCAGCCTCACGATATGATTTCCATGTCCTTGCTGGGGTGAGTGGCCTGATTTCTTTGATCCAAGCAAGCAACAGCAAAGCACGATGGGCAGGAGGAGCGTTTGTTGACATGATCACAGTCTTTTTAATGAGCATGGCAAGACCTTTGCTTTCGATCACAGAGCAAAGTCTGGCTTCGCTCGAGGTGAAGGCACTGGCTGCCTCATCCTCAAACCTCTTCACAAGGCTCTGGAAGACAACGACAAGATCTTCTCCGTCATCGTGAACACTGGCACGAACCAAGATGGTAAAACGACTGGATTGACAAACCCCAGTGGTGAAGCCCAAGAGCGTTTGATACGCGATGTCTACGCCAGAGCCGGCATCTCTCCCGAGGACACCGGCTATGTGGAAGCTCACGGAACTGGGACGCGAGCGGGAGACCCCATAGAGGCCCATTCCATATACCGCGTCTTTGGAGCCGGCCGTACGAAGCGCACGCCATTATACATGGGTTCCGTCAAGTCAAATGTCGGCCATTTGGAAAATGCAAGTGGCATCATATCCGTCATCAAGGCGTCCCTGATGCTGGAAAAGGGCTTCATTCTCCCCAACGTCAACTTCGAAAAGGCCAACGAAGCCATCCCCCTCGACAAGTGGAACATCAAAGTTCCGACCAATATACGGCCGTGGCCTCGCAACAAGCGCTTCGCCAGCATCAACGGCTTCGGCTTCGGAGGTTCCAATGCGCACGTCGTGCTGGAGAAAGTCCCATTTTCGATAGCCGATCTCCCTCAAGAAACCCAGAGCAACACCGCCAGGCTGTTTGTCCTATCCGCCCATGATGAAAGTGCAGCCAAGCGAGCGGCCGAGCAGCTTGGCGTCTATGTTGAGCAGCATCCCGAGGTCTTTCAGAAGCGCCTGGCGAGCGACATGGCATACACTCTGGGTGAGAGGAGGACACATCTCCAGTGGCGCATTGCAATCACGGCATCATCGTGCGATGAGCTTGCGAATGCTCTCAACGGCATCGGAGCAACTCCTACAGTCTCCTCCAGAGCACCCAAAGTGGCTTTCGTATATACCGGTCAAGGAGCTCAGTGGGCAGGAATGGGCAGGGAACTCATGGAGAGCCATCCGATATTCGCCAACACCGTCCGAAGATGCAGTGACTATCTGCAGGAAATTGGTGCCGAGTTCTCGCTCCTAGACGAGCTTGCCAAGGGCAAAGAAGACACTCTGATCAACGAGGCGCACATCTCGCAGCCTGCTTGCACAGCGATCCAGCTGGGCCTCACGACGCTCTTGAAAAATTGGGGAGTCACGCCATCGGCGGTCATTGGTCATTCCAGCGGAGAGATCGGGGCCGCTTTCGCCGCTGGTGCCATTGGCCTCGAGGATGCCATGTCTGTTGCCTACTGGCGCGGAAAGGTAGCCTCAGGGATGAAGATCAAGCACCCGGATCTTCGAGGGGCAATGTTGGCGGTTGGTGCCGAGGCCGGAGAAGTCAGGAGCATCATCAAGTCCCGGGGCGTCCGGGGTGTCGCCGTGGCCTGCGAGAATTCCCCAAGTTCCATCACGGCTTCCGGGGACGAAGAGGGTGTCGACAGTCTTGCTGCAGAACTGGAGCGTCGAAGCATCTTCAACCGCAAGTTGAGAGTGAATATGGCATACCACTCTGCCCACATGCAGCTGGTTGCAGATGATTACAAGGCAGCCATCAAATACGTGGCACCTCAAGCAACCTCTGGCGTCGAGTTCTACTCCTCGCTGATGGGCTGCAAGCTCGAGTCGACATCGTCCCTCGGTCCATCTTATTGGGTCGAAAATCTGACAAACCCCGTGCTCTTCTCTACAGCTCTCAAAGAGCTGTACCTTGGCGAGAAGCCAGACGTCATTGTCGAGGTCGGCCCTCATTCAGCCCTTGAGGGCCCTATCAAGCAGATTTTGAAGGCTATCAGCCCTGAAGCTGCCAAGGGAACCAAATATTTCCCTTGTCTCGTTCGAAATCAACACGCCACCTTTACTGCTTTGAGCTGCGCAGGCAATTTGTTTGTCAAGGGCCACGCAATTGACTTTGGGGGGCTCAACCATCCGATTGAGGGCGTCCAACCGCCTGCTGTTGTTACAGATTTCCATCCTTATCCTTGGTCGCAACACAAGTACTGGTTCGAACCTCGTTCGTCGAAGCAGTCGCGCCAGAAGCCTTTTGCACGCCACGACCTCTTAGGCCTCTTGGAGGACTCATACAGTGAGCTTGAACCGAAATGGAAGAACATCATCTCGACAGATGATGTGCCATGGCTCAAGGACCATCGGATGCAGTCCTTGGCCACCTTCCCCTTGGCAGGTTACATCTGTATGGCCGTGGAGGCGGCATCACAGCGGGCTCAGTTGCGAGGTATCCCAGCCGAGCAAATCGAAGGCTTTCGTCTGCGTGAGATTCAAGTCTCCAAGGCCCTTATCCTCGATGACGGTGCTCCGTATGAGACTGTATTCTCATTAAAGCCTTATGCGGAGGGTACAAGGTCTGATTCGAATGAATGGGATGAGTTCCGCATCTCGTCATGGACCTCAGCTAGGGGGTGGCTGGAGCATTGCAGTGGCCTCGTTGGAATCAAGAAGGTTGTGGCGATGAACCCAGTAAGTTCTGGCCAGTTGCGTGCCGCGTCCAGCCGCCGCCAGCACATCATGAGCATGAGCTGCCAACAGATACCCCTGGACAACTTCTACTCCGAGCTGGGAACTCGCGGAGCTGGATATAGCGGAGTCTTTCGCCTCTCTCCAAATGCCGACATCAACATTCATCAGCAGTACTCGACTACCACATTGGCCATTCCTGACACTGCGGCGACGATGCCTGCTTCATTCGAGTCAGCATCTCTTGCACCCGCAGCATTTGTGGACCTGTTGTTCCAGCTTACCTTTCCGATACTCGGCGCCGGCAGTGGCGAGATGCCCTCTCTCTTCATGCCATCAGCCGTCAAGGAGATCGATATAAGCAGCGAGTTACCAAAGTCTCCCGGCGAGCGAGTGCAAGTGGTTGCTCACGGCTGCCCAAACTTTGCCGCTCCTGGACCTGTTGACTTTCTCATTGATGCGTGGTACCGCGATGCCCTTGAGCCCGTCATCAAGATCAGCGGCTTTAGAATGACGCCAGTAAATGGTGATATGAATGAGAGTCCAAGCCCGCGATCTATATGCTACAAGGTGCAATGGGAGTCCCTTGATGAGATAAATGAAAGACTGGAAGGGGAAGGATCGAAACCGACGTCCGGTGAAAATGGACATCTGGATGATATTCCTTCCAACGGGACGACGACAAATGGCAATGGGAAAACCGGCCATCTCGAAGCACCTATTCAAGGTCTCGGAGAGGAAGCAAATGGCACCAAGCTCAATGGTAATGGAAGACACAGGGCCAACAATCCCCCTGAATGCCCAGGAGCCAAGAACGGCACTAAAACTAGCAACGGCAACGGAGCGAGTGGTGAGGTTGTGGTGTCGGGTCAAGTCAACAGCCTAGCCAATGCCGAGTTCGTCCTTGTATCTCGTCATGATAGAAGCGATCCACTGGTAGAGGCTCTCTTCGACTTGCTAGAGCTGCGTACCGCCAAGAGGCCACGACTCGTCAACTTCGTTGACCTTGATCCTGAGCCCACTTCTTCTTATATCTGTTTGACAGAGATAGATGAGCCGCTCCTTGCCAATATGACACAGGAAACATTCGAGAAGGTGCAGACTCTGCTCACCAACTGCCAGTCAGCGCTTTGGGTGACCTCGGGAGCATATCGAGTCGCAGAACGTCCCGAGGCCAACATCTCGCAGGGGCTCCTGCGCACTGTCCGCTCCGAGGCAAGCAAGGCCGTAGCCTCTCTCGATTTAGACCCCCATTCTACCCTCGATGTCCGTGACACAGCCGAGCTCATCCTTCGTGCCGCCAAAGTCTCCATGGCAATCCCAGAGGGTGATACCCCTGTGGACTATGAGTTCGCCGAAGAGGGTGGTAAGCTCATGGTTCCCCGTCTTGTCAAGCAGAGCGACATGAACCTCGCCATCTTTCACGACACAGAGGCCTCGGCCGCACCGCCATATACGCAGCCATTTGAGCAGCCCGGACGACGGCTGAAAGTTGCCGTCGGTACATATGGCGCTCTCGACTCTCTATATTGGCAGGACGAGCAGGAGACGGCCCTGAGCCCGTACGAGGTCGAGATCAAAGTGGCGTGCACGGGTATGAACTTCAAAGATGTAGTCATTGCCATGGGTCAAGTGGCCAGCCCGTATCTTGGAGTCGAATGCAGCGGCGTGATATCTCGAGTTGGTGCCCACGTTCGTTCCCTCAAAGTGGGCGATCGTGTCTGTGCCATGTCTCTGGGCGCCTACAGCACGTACACCCGGTGTCTCGAGACCAGCGCTGCTGCCATCCCCAGCAGCATGAGCTTCGAGGTGGCCGCTTCCATTCCCGTGGTGTACTGCACTGCTTATTATGGCATTGTAGACCTGGCCCGGCTGGAGCATGGTGAAAAGATATTGATTCATGCTGCAACTGGTGGCGTTGGTCAAGCGGCCATCCAGCTCGCTCAGATGATAGGTGCCGAGATATATGCCACTGTTGGGAGTGCAGACAAGAAGCAGTTACTGATGGAGACGTATGGCATCCCTGAAGATCGTATCTTCTACAGCCGAGATACTTCGTTTGGCCCAGCTATCCGAGAGGCCACCGGCGGCCATGGCGTCGATGTCGTGCTCAATTCGCTGGCGGGTGATCTCCTTCGCGAGACATGGGAGTGCCTTGCACCGTTTGGCCGCTTCATCGAGCTAGGGAAGCGAGACATTACGAAGAATACAAGGCTCGAGATGGCCAAGCTCGAGTTCAACTGCACATTCAGTTCAGTGGACCTGACGCTTGTTGCGGCAGAGCGGCCCAAGATTATGGAGCGCACTTTTGCCTCCGTCATGCGTCTCCTCGAAAGCAAGACGATCAAGCCCATCGGGCCCATCACATCTGTGAGCATCCAGGACGTTGAAGCTGCACTGCGCAGGCTGCAGAGCGGCAAGACGACAGGCAAGCTGGTAGTGACCCATAGTGGCCAAAGCCAAGTCAGGGCCACGCATCCTGCACCTCGCTCGGATATGTTGGAGTGCGATGCGACATACCTCGTCATTGGCGGAACAGGCGGTCTTGGACGCTCTATTACAAGACGGATGGTAAGGCGAGGTGCTCGTCATATCATCCTGCTCTCTCGGAGCGGCAAGATTACGGATGAGGTGAACAAGTTGATGAAAGAAAGCCGCAGGCTAGGTGCCTCGATATACGTTGTGCCTTGTGATGTTGCAGACGCGGAGAGCGTTCGGTCGTTGGTGCAAGAGCTGCAAGATGATATGCCTCCGATCAGAGGCATCATTCACGCTGCCATGGTCCTCAGAGTATGTCCCCCCCCCTAAGGATGCACCCATCGGGTGGCATTTGCTGTTGCCTCGTGAAATGTCGCTAACCAATCGCATAGGACGTCCTCTATGAGAAGATGACATTTGAAGACTACCAGGCCGTTGTCCGAAGCAAAATCTCCGGGGCGTGGAACTTTCACACCGCACTTATCGATACTCCTCTCCAGTTCTTCATTGTTCTCTCGTCCGTTGCTGGCATCGTTGGCAACCGGGGCCAAGCACACTATTCCGCTGCCAACACGTATCTAGACGCCCTTGTCCTGCACCGACGCCGTAAAGGCCTGGCAGCCGCCTCTATTGATCTGGCCGCGGTCGAGGGCGTGGGTTACCTCGCTGACAATGCGGCCAAGATGTCCCAGGTCATGAGGAACTTGTCCGATAACACCGTGGGCGAAGCTGAGGTCCTGGCATTGATCGAGTCCGCCATGACGGGCAAAGTCGAGGGCTTCTGCCAGGGGCAAGTGGTTACTGGGCTGGGTTTCGACAACGCATCGTCAATGCCGTTTTACGCCTCGGATGCCAAGTTTTCTTACCTCCGCGATGCTCTGCTCGCCTCATCAGCCGATGCAGACAAACTGTCGGGATCTGAGGAGCTGTCCATCTCTCAGCAGCTCCGAAGATGCACGACCGAAGAAGAAGCTCAAGACGTCGTGACGCTTGGTCTTCGAGACAAGCTCGGGGCCATCCTGATGCTGCCGGACGAGGTCATGGCGGCACGGCAGGGAAACACGTCCATCACAGCCTTTGGGCTTGACTCGCTCAATGCCATTGAGCTGCGGAACTGGATCGGAAAAGAGCTGCAGGCTCATCTGCAGGTTCTGGAGCTGCTGACGAGCGGACGAGTGGCGGATCTGGCGGCTCTGGTGCTGCGCAAGTCGAGGATCGAGGGAGTCTGGACGAAGGAGTGAGCATAGCAAGGGGTTTCTTTCAGATGTTGTGTTGTGAGTGTGATGATAGGTATGAATACTAGGTAGGGATAGTTGTATCGACAGGTTTCTTGGTAAGGTTAGGTAGTCTATTGCTGTAATAATTGACTTTTTTCCGTTATTTCCCAAAAGTTGCAGAGGAATGTGCCTTCCTTTCAGAATTGAAGACACCCCACATCCTCATAAGCGAGACATTGCCAACACGTCGTTCTTGCCTCTGTCAACCTTCTTACTGTACCTAGTTACAACCTTCGAACAGCCAACGAGGTACAATGCTATTGCTTTGAGGCATTTCATCTCGGTTGAACATGTACCCGTAATCCCTTTGCCAGTGAAGAGAAAACCCGAGGCAAATCTCTGAAAATCAAAATACACTGAAGCCAAGCTTACCAAGACAATCCAGTGGGGAAATCTGCCGCAAGGGGACATCCAGGGGACATTGAAAAAGGCAGGCGGCATCTTCCGTGGGCGCTAAACTCTTCCCAGCTAAATTTGCCAAATGGAGAAGCGGCAGCCATCGACCCCGCTTACGTACTCCATCCCAGGCCACCCCTATTAACACCGGGTAAAATGTCTATGGCCACCGGGTGGAGCAGACTAAAGGTCTTAGTTTAAGACGGCGCCGCGCTAACCAATCAGTACCTAAAAGAGCCCTATTTTCCCATATAAATTAATATACCTCTCTATAGCCTTAACCAGCCTAAGAACACAGGAACACATATAATATATAACTACAACTCTTATATATAGATTTAAAGCTATTTACAGTCCTAGAATTAAAGGCATTGCTTATATAGCTAAAGGCTTCTTATATTACCCTGCTGCTGCTGCTGCCGCTATATGCGCTGCTGCTAACCTTACCCCTCTAACTAACCTATAGCATTAGGATTTTGCAGTAAAAATAAAGTCTTAAGCATAATCTAAGGAGTTAAAGTTAGCAGGCTAGGGTGGCTGCCTTTTATAAAATTAAGGCTATTAGTAATAGGTAGCCGCAAGCCCGGCTCTTTAAAATAATATACCCTGTTAATATAACTAGACTAGTAGCTAGGCCTAGATAGCCTTAAAGGCTCTTGCAGCTTAAATCCTAAAGCATGCCTTTATAATAATAACTGCTTAGCAGCTAAGCGCTAGACTATCTAACGCTAAATGTTTATATATAAAGGGACAGGCTCCTGATAGATTATAGGCATAGGTTATAGTGTTATAGCTAGCTGTATAGCGTTTTGCATAATTAAGGCTAAAGCCTTGCTTAGGAGTAATAGAATATAGGCTGCAAGAGCGTTTTTAAAGGCCTCCTTATACCTCCTGGCCTATAATAGGCCTTATATACGCAGCGGCAGTTATAATGCCTCTAAGCTTAGCGGCGGCGGCAGTCGTAATGCCTCTAAGGTCGCTGCTGCTAGCTGTGATGCCTCTAAGGTCGCTGCTAGCAGCTCTAGGGCGGCAGAGATTAAAGCTCTGTTATTTTCTAGTTGTTGCTAGTAAGGCATCACTTAAGGATTACGCATTTATTAAATAAGGTCTATTTTAACTTATTTTCCTATTAGAATAGTCTGTTAGAAGGGAAATAAGCATATTAATAAAATCTTTATAAAGCAGCTACTACTAATCTTAAAAACCAAGCTCTAGCAGTCTTTTTATAAGCACCTAATAATAAGTCCCTTTAACTTAAAGCTTTAAATAGCTAATAATAATATAACAGTAAGGAAGCCTAAATTATAATAAAAATAGGCCTAAGCAGTAAAGCAGCTTATTTATAGTCTAGCCCTGTAATAGCCCTGCTTTTACTAAGTTATATTACTCTTAGATAAGCCTTAGGCTCTTATATAAGACTTTTTTAATAGCATTATTATAAAGGCTAAAGTAATAGGCATTATAATTATAGCAAGCCTTATAACTAACCTGGCTTTTATAGTTATTAAATATAATCTTCCTCTGCTATAAGAGAGATTTAATAAGGTTATAAATAAAGTAATTTCTATTATAAAGGAATGTTTAAGAGCTAGAGTGCTAAGCCTTATAGGGTGATGTTATTATATGCCTAAAATTATAATATCTTTTTATAAACATAAAAGCCTATTAAGCCTAGACTTTAATATAGGTCTTCTTAATATAAGAAAGAAGGTCTTCCTGCTTTTAATAGTTAACTTAAAGCTTTTACTATTTAATAAGGAAGTCGGCCTCTATAAGTGTATAAAAAAGATCCTTCTAATCCTTAAGGAAGCGTTCTTATTACTTACTGCAGTGCGTTTCCTTTCCTTTAAAGACAGCAAGAATTTTACTGCTATTAGCCACCTAGCGTATCTTAACGCCTTTAGTAATGTTTTTTCCTATATGCTATATATATAGTTACTGCTATATGTTTAGAAAAGCTTCCTAAAGCCCTGCCTTTATTATAGCATTAAAGTTTAAGATAATAATAAGAGGATTAAGGGCAGCTTTATCTTTAAAGTTATAAAGAGAGGCATAGTAGTAGAAGACTTCCTTTAAAGTATTTAAAGTCTATTTAAATAGCTTAGAGTCTTTATTTAGTAATAAAATAAATATAACTAAGAAGATTATGCCTATAAAGGTAATCCTATTAATCTCTAAAAGCTTTAAATTATATTAGTTAGTGTTATATATAATATTAAGTATTAGAAGGTCTAAAAATTAATACTAAAGCTAAAGATTGCAATTTACTAAGACTAATAAATACTATAAATAATTTTAAAGGTCTAGTATAATTTAATAATAAATATTATTATTATAGAGGGCAGTAATTACAGCCTAGGTTAATATCTAGCCTTAAAGTTTATTATTAAGTAGCTCTTGCTATAAGTTTAAGAGATCCTTTTTAATAAGAAGGATTATAGGATATTATATCTTAATAGTCTTACTAATTACCCTAACTATAAGGTTTAAATACCCTAGTAAGGTTATAATTATCTCCTTCTACTTATTAATTAAAGCGCTGTGCTAGTGCTTAAGAAAACCTATTACTAAGTTATATTTATAATTATAGCTGCTATAAATAACTTCTAGGACCTAGAGATTATTTAAGGCCTTCCTTTAAACTATCTTTATTTTAAAAAGGCATTTAGTGCGTCTTATAGTTAATTTGCATAGTTTAGCAGACTTAGACTTATAGTTACTATTTCTATAACTATATATAATATTATAATAATGCAGTAAGTTATTTTTATAAAACATTACTTATGCCTTAACTAGAATATAGCCCTTATCCTGCGTATAGTCTTAAAGAGCTTTAAAGGCTGCATCTGCTAATATAAAATGCTTATTTATTAGCAGGGGCTAGAGTGGCATTTTTGCAGTTATAAATGTTATTAATATTAATAATGGTTTTAAACGTATTATGTTTTAGTGTTTTTTTTTTAGTTAATAGCCTCTTGGCCGTGTTATGTGTGTTCCTGTGTTCTTGGGCTGGTTAAGGCTATAGAGAGGTATATTAATTTATATGGGAAAACAGGGCTCTTTTAGGTACTGATTGGTTAGCGCGGCGCTGTTTTGAACTAAGACCTTTAGTCTGCTCTACCTGGTGGCTATAGACAATCTGCCCGGTGTCGATAGGGGTGGCCTCTATCCCAGCCTTACCAAACGGACTTGTCAAGTTCCTGGGCTAGTGACATCATGGAAGCAAAACTACCCTGTAAGACGAAAATTACTGAATGGGGAAATGGGAGAGAAGGCGGCGATGGAAGGGTGTATGTCATGTCGAGCTGTGGAAGCGAGATTCTTTCGACGGTGAGGTTGATAATGGGAAATGTGTTGAAGATGCCTTGTGCAGGATCTCATGAGTATATATATATAGACAGGATGAGTCTCAAAGACTATGGATCAATCACCATTGAATCAACAAGCAACACTGCACTGAACAGCGTTCACTAAACCTCTTCGTTCAACATGGGCAGCAAATTTCAAACTCAAAGTTTCCCTCTGTCCGGAGTCGCTCGAGATGGCTGGTCTACCGATACTGAGGCTACAGCTACTTGCTTCTGCGGTGCTGTGCAAATAGCATTTGTACGCTCACAATATCAACCCCATCGTCGGAGCCTTGCGAAGGTTCTTGAGTATGTTACTGACCTGTTGTCAAAATAACAGCCCACGGAAGCCCCAGGCCTCATCAACACATTTGTCTGCAACTGCTTTGACTGCCGCAAAGTCACCGCCTCCATGTTCGCCTCCAACTTCACCGTCGACAACTCCTACATCAGGCACCTCCGGGGCGAGGACAACCTCAGCCGCTGGGGTCAGGACAAGACGCCGACTTCGGGCACTGAAATGGCAAACTACTTCTGCAAGACCTGCGGCACTCTCATGTATCGCAGAAGCGCACTCTCGCCTGACAAGAGCTTCATGAGAATCGGCACGGTCGATGATTTCACGCTGCACGAGACAAAGCTACGGCCGCAGTATGAGATTTTCACGGCTTCTCGTGTCAACTGGTGGCATGGAGTGGAGGGGGCAAAGGCGCTGCCGGGACCTTTTACCAAGGCGAGCAATTGACTACTAGGTCCCCATGGAAAGACGACGAGGCTGTGATGGGTGAACGTGAGGAAGATTGATTCATCTACCACATAACACTGGGCCGGCATAGATCACATAGACTGAGACAATAAGAGCTCATTCCTTGACAATTGAATTGTATGATGGATCAAACGTACCATTGCTTCCAAGTCGTACTATGGGGGAGTAGCACTGAGAGAATCAATGAGCACATCGTACTGTACCTTACCGAGAGCCATCTTGGAGCAGGCTTTTGATTCCACAACGTTCCATCTATCTAATGGTGAAAGACTGATGGAAAAGTACTCGTATGTTCTCTCAAGCAAATACCGAGGTAATGTGGTCAACCGTTATTACGTGTGGTGCCTGTCATACGTTGTGCCACCCAAGCCGTGGCCACGCTCCCGCCCTGCATTTGGCTGCATAATACGACACCAGCTGCATCGTCGTCGCGCTCATCCCACAGCTCAGCCCTTCCATGAGACGACACGATGCCCGATTATTGGTACCCGAATGGAGCGGAAGTGTTCTAGACTTGGGCACCTCCAGCCATGCCGCCGACCAGCCGCCAGTGGGCTGATGCCTGAGCCAAGCACGCATGATCTCATTCAATGTGAACAAAATTCAGCCCCGAAGAGGAGGAGGAGCAGGAGGAGGAGGCACGGCTCGGAAGTCCTCTAGTATTAGGCCAGGTCCGAGCCAAAACACCATGCCACTTGCATCCTAGCATTGCCGTCTCTGGCGAATCCCAGCTTCGGGACTCGTCTGAGACGGAAACCCCCGCATCCCAGAAATACGATGCTTGGCGCGTCGATCCCGGCAAAATGTCCCTCCGCTGGCGGATCAGCATTGCCTGCCATACAGCCGGAGCTTCCAGACGTGAATCTATTCTCGTCGTCATCCGCAAGCAAACAACATGGGCCATCAGCTTCATTTTACGCAATCGAATACTAGGAAAAAGCAAGAGAGCATCCTCCGGCCTCGTATTCGACTGTACAACCCGCCTGCTGCAGCTCTCAGCCGCATCGTGCCCTTTTCACCGCTCAGGTCGACGCTGCTTTGGGTATCGTGGTGCTCGTATTTCGAGAGGCTTTAAGCTTAACATGGTATCGTGGATAGTGCAGATCCCTCGGAATGCGTGAGGCTACGGCGATATGCTGGCCGGCTTGGTGCCAGCAGTTTATGCGTAACGAGCAGGAATCACACGGGATGCTTCGATGGGAAGCATACGATCCGAAGTGCAGTATCACGGATCGAAAGAGGCATTCGCCGTGAGGACCAGTGGCAGCTCGAAAGATATAAAAGGAGAGGTCAGTTCCCTTGAACCGAAACTCTTGGAATAGATCATCAGCTCACATACTCAAGACTCTCAAAGACTCTCAAGCCTCGCAACCAAGACTCCCGAAGCCCGCAACAGCACCATCAATTCAACCAAGATATCTAGTCGCCAAACAAACACTTTCAACATGAAGTTCACCACCACCGCCGTCCTCGCCATTGCCGCGCTCGTCGAGTCGGCCTCTGCCCTCGGCAAAGCCCGCGTCGTCAACAAGTGCCCCTTCAGCGTCACCCTCTGGTCCGTTGGCAGCACAATCTCTGCGCCCACGACTCTCGCCCAGGGCGGCTCCTACGGCGAGACCTTCTCGCGAGACCCCGTCACCGGCGGCCGCGCCATCAAGGTCACCATCCAGCCCGACGGCCTCTATACCGGAAAGCCCCAGACCATCTTCGCCACCAACCTCGACGGCAACACCATCTGGTACGACCTCTCGGACGTCTTTGGCGATGCCTTTAACGGCCACAAGGTGGTTGTCGCCAGTGCCAATACTGCCTGCCCCAAGATTGTCTGGAACAGCGGTGTCCCCCCTGCTGGAAGTCAGGTCTCCAATTGCAATGCCAACTCTGATGTGACCTTGACTCTTTGCGCTTAGACGAGCTGAAAAGGCTGTGGCGAATTCGGGTGTTACGATAGAATCAGTTTATGATGGTATGAATGAATATATGAAGTCTTCAATGAAATCAGTCGCAACGCTTCGACGGCCCGTGAACCACCTCTCAACATGTGAACTTGTCCTCAGCATGCCAGGAGTGAATGCCGCTCTCATCATGGAAGAGACTTTGCTTCATAATCAAGGTACAAATAAAGAGAAGGTTCAGGTACTCTTCATATGTCCTGTCGCTCTATGAAGCTTGGATTAGTTACGCACACCCTTGGTTCACTAATCTCACTATAATTTAATTGCTGCACTCTCCTACCCACTAATTGAAGCAACTTCGCCCTGTAATAGCAGATTGTACATGACTAGAGGTCACTTTGGGCAAGAAAAAAAAGAAAGAAAAATTCAGGCTCATCGCTCAGTGAGTTACTCAATAAGCCGCGAAATCAGCAAAAAGAAATCTCCGATACTGGGAATCGAACCCAGGGCTGCTCGGCACTCGAGTAATGAGAGCGAGCGATGTTAGCCACTACACCATATCGGATGTTTTTGTATGAATTGTTATCTCAAATTCTTACCTATAAACTATTTAATGTTGGTCCATCGGGATTATCTACAAGATCCTCGACCATTGCTCTCTCTCAATCACTGATATATAGAGCCATAATACAAAGTCGTGTGTTTCACCTCACTGAGATTGTGCTCAAGGCCAAATGATATTTCCAAGATGATAATTTGCCTTTGATCTGCTCTTAATGATCCAAACTGGCTGACCGACGTGTGCTTCACAATCTTCCCACTCAAGCGGTGGCAGTGGTGTTGTACCGAATGTTGAACGTCTGAGTGAGCATGCTCTCATAGTCGTCTGGATTGCTCACATCTCCATATATCTTCGCCGCCCGAATCAGGAACTTGTAGCTCCCCTCAGGCACAATGATCCCCTCCTGAGTCATCCCCGTGAACGCGGTAACGAAGTAAGACCTCGAAGTGAAGGGAAGGGGAAAGCCAGGCAGACTGCCGACGATATCGACGCCCAGCACCTTGGTCGTATTGACCTTGCCAGCCGTATCGCCCAGTGCAATAAGATCGGCTCGAAGGAGGGGCGTGCCGGCGTCGATCTGAATGATGGGGGCGGGATAGTCCGGTGGAGGGTCGATTGGCTGTGCGGCCGTCGAGATGGGATAGGGCACAACGTACGTCGTGTTCTCAGCAGCCGGAACGGTCGAGTAGACGTTGTAGTGGATCATGTAGTTGAAGTCGGGATCGAGCACTGGCAGCTTGGCCAGGCTGCCGACAACTCCCAGGTATGGAACGACAAGCCCATCGCCGTTGGTGCCGTTGACAGTGACATATCCGCTGTAAACGGGGAGGGCGGAGGCGTTTAGTCCTTTGGGAGGAGTGGCCGTCACGGTGATATCTGCCGACTTACCTGCCGCGACCGTAATCTTGTTGTGCGAAAAGGAGAGCTTGGCTGAGGCGCCCTCGGCAATGGGATTCGGAAATGGGGCGGGAAAGTGACTGTCGCCATCGCCATATGTATACATGGTCAGAGCAGGCGTTTGGCCAATGCTGTAAGTAACGCTTTGCTTCCCAGTGTTGTGGATCGTGAAGCTCGTCTTCTTGACAAAGTTGTCTGTGTCGTTGAACGCAATGTTGGGAACGTTGAGCAGCGTTGTTGTATGAGCGGCCTTGAATGCTTGAGCCAGCCCTGCGCCCTGCTGCGCTACGGAAGCCAGCTCGGTGGGATACAGCGTTGCCCCATCATAAAAGGGTAGCTGCAGGGCCGTTGACGATACCAAGTTGAGGAGAGCTTTCGGGTCCCGGATGCCTCGAGCTTGCATGACGAGAGCGTAGATAGCGGCCATAACCGGCGTGGCCATAGAAGTTCCCGTATCAATATAGTAGCCTCCAGAGGGCAACGGCCACGTAGACAGGATGGTGCCGCCGGGAGTGCTGATGGACGGATTTACATCAGCCTGCCACGTCGGGCCCCAGCTGGTGAAAGTGTCAATGTAGTTGGGATTGATGGCATTGGGCACAAAGACACCGGCCTTGGTGGATGACGATGACTCCACAAACGTCAACCAGAGATCCTTGCCACTGCTGAGCTCGTTCAGCCACTGGACACCTTGGGAGTAGCCTGTCATTCCGAGACCAGAGGCACTGGTAGCCCCGATAGACCAAGGACTGTCGGTTGGATCAGATACTGTAGTTAGTTTTTCCAGGTCCAATGATCAGAGAGTGAGATGTTGGCAAAACTTACTTCCCAGGACTGTTATACCAGAACATGAAATACGTGGCATTGTTCTTCTGCAGGTTGCTCACCTCCGTCCACGAACTGCAAGCAGAATCATACTTGACCAGAATGACCTTGTCGCTGAGGTCGGCCGGGGCCTTGTTACTGAGAGGATTGCAAGCACCATAAGTGCCATCCGTGGTGACTTCCGGTGTCACTGGCCATACTTGGAGAGTGATGTTGTTGGGGAATGGAAAAGCGCCAGGAGTATAGACAAAGAGGGTCTGGTTTGCCGTCGAGTTATCCGTACTCACGAAGGCTCCCGTTCCCAGGTATGGCGTCAGAGTGCTCTCGACCGAAGAAACTGCAGTGACGCCTTTGCCGTTTGCTGGAGTTCCGGCAAGAAACAGTCCTGCAGAACCCGAGTTGCCGTTGGCCACGGTACAGACGACGCCCGCCGAGACGATCCGGGACACGGCAACAGAGAAGGGGTCTTCTGTCCAGCCGGACGCTCCGCCGAGAGAGAGGGTGATGATGTCTGTCCCATCCTCGAAAGCCTGGTTGACTGCTGAGATGGCAACATCGGCTCCAACGTCACCGCTACAACCAAAGACCCTGTACATGCCAATAGTCGCATCAGGGGCAGCACCAATGAAGCCCATGGGGTTTGGCAAGGCTCCGATAATGCCCGTGACATGCGTTCCATGGCCGTCGCAGGTGCTCAAGGGCTCGGGACCAGGCACAGGAGTGTTACTGCCGTCGTAGTCATCACCAACCATGTCCCTTCCGTAGCTGACAACGCAGCCCTTGCCAAAGCAGCCGCCCAGAGCAGGGTGGTTGAAGTCGACTCCTGTGTCGATGATGCTGATCCTGATGCCCTTGCCGGTGATTCCCTCCGCATGGAGTTTATCAACTTGAACCTGAGCATGAACTGCATATGTATCGTTCTCCGATGCTGCTCTGCGCTGCAGATTCGATACATTGGGCAAGTGATCTGGGTCGCTGCTTGTCGAGCTGAGTGTTGTATTGGCCGGTCGCTTATATCGTTGAACAGGCCACACCTGCTTCACCGAGGGAACAGTCGCGATCCTGACGGAAGTGGAATGAGGATCCAAGTCGACAGCGTCCAGCTGAAAGGACGCTCCTTTAAACAGGGTATAGTTGAGATTTAGTCGCTTGGTCGCAGCAAGGCCGTGCCGCCGGAGGTCGCTAAACAGTGATGCTTCTTCCTGTATTTCACCACGGGGTCAGATCTCGACAAGCTGGGTTTATCGAGGTAAAAGTCTGAAATGTTGGAGAAACAACTCACATGGCCGTCTTCAAACTCGACAATGTAAGCACCTGGGATGAAGGACGATTCCCCCTTTGTCCAGTCCTCCTTTCCATGAGCTATGCCGTGTGAGCCCTGAGCAGCCACACGGGCGCCATCTGCTAGAAGCAGGCCCAAGACGGGCAACAGACGGAGGTAGGCCACCATGTTTAATTATTGGCAATAGTGCCTGGCGAAGGAGCTCGTATCAATCGTACTGCTTCACTAAGAGAGATATAAACACCGTCTCGAGAAATGCCTTACCTGGTGACTTTATATACCCTGACACCAACAAGCATGGCAGCTCGCTCCAGTATCGCCAAGGCCGCAACGTCTCATTTGATTCATCTTGACAGTTCGATGCCGGGGGAATGGTTACAAGGGTGATAGCTATGGCGAGCTTCCATTTGCGATGCATGAGGCAGGGGGGAGGATCCTTCGATGGCACGCAGTTGAGCGAAGCAACAAGCTGCAGCTCCGAATGTCGCTGCGACTATGATCCTGCTTCCCCAAACTGGCGACAGAAGGGTGAAAGCATTTAAATATATGCTTGCTGCCCGCATCTGGGGTGGAGTCCTGTCTCCCTCTTATTCCTTCTTTGTGGTCTTTGTGGTCTGAGCCGACCAATGCTGTCGAGCCTCTCTCGATCGATAAGGAAGGTCGGATTTGGACGGTGGGATGGATTCATCAGCAACATCCATCGTTCGTACTGTGCGGAGATGTTCTTGAGTTCTGATCAGATATGGATTCGGGGACCTTCTCAAAGGGGAGATAGGCAGCTTACCTGGCCAAGGGTGGCCGATTCGGCTCGACCAGGTCGTTAGATTTGCGCCAGGCATATGATGGCATTTGGTGGTTGCTATACTGCGCGTTGATTTACTACCATCGGAGTGACGCCATCTCTTGAGCTCAGGATAATATCAAGAAGGGACGACAACAAGAGTATATTTGACTCCAGAGACAGACTCTCAATTCCAGTAACGGACGGGTTTCGCAGCGCTGACCCATCTGGTGGCATAGAGAATCTCGACTTTCCAAAACATGGCCATGAATACTGAACATCGACAGAATCGAAATCGTAGTATTGTCTATTCAGACGTTTCTCGGGGGATTCGTCTTGGTTGTAGGTCATGTCGAAGAAGTATATTATGTTGATGATGGGCTCGAGAGAGGAGAGTGTTCTGATGGCCCGTCGAAAATCAGGCTTCTACTGCTAATCACGGACAAGTTGAACAAGCCTTTCACATCTCGAGTTCAGGTTTCCAAATCACTCATGTTGTTCGAGTATGGACTTGGTACACTGTTGGATGCTCCTTTGTTCTGCAGGCTTCCAGAGCAAGCACCAGCCGAACAAAGCCCACCTGGCCGTATATCAGAGAGCGTTGCATCTTGATATGTAGCCATTGAAATTGCACTTTCTCAGCTTTTGTCTTTGGTCCTCGCTCACACTACTGTGGGTGAATACTGACTGGATACATGCATGTATGAGAACTGTCTTCCTAGGTAGACGCCCATCAAGAATTCAGCAGAGTTGTCAAGGAGAAGAGCCCTCTGGTTCAAGTGATCCTCGATCTACTTTGCCCTGATACTCTCTAGATTCCTCAGATCTCAACGGAACAGCCACACAGCGCAGACTGGCCACATTCTTCCAGAACGTCCCAGCAACGGCCAGATTCTCACTTTTCCAATGCTCCCCCCTCATTGGCCGTCAACACTCCTGAGCTGCTGGCAGAGGAGCCTTCATTCACTGCATCTGCTTACCTATACACACCTGAGCAACGAGGGCGCACGGGCCAGGGGGGTCGCATATATAAACCTCTCCTGCTCCCCCGACTCTTGATTCTCTTTTCTTTCCTTTCTTCTCTCAACCCTTCCCCAGAACCCTGAGGGTTTTCTAGTATTCCGACCTCAAGAACTCGGAATACTAGCTCTAACGAGGGGGCCAATTTTTGATTTACAACCACTTTTCATTATGAACACAGGCTTGCCCTGGGACATGAAGAAGAGTCAACAGACAAGAGCTGCTCGGCCTTGGTGGTGTTGAGGCCTGCTGGTGAAGGCATAGGGAACATCACGCGAGGACGAAACACGCAAGCAGAGACGATGAACGAAGAGTAGCGAGAAGTTTATGGAAGCGGAAGCTTGCTATGATGTCTGGTAGAGACCGCGGCGACTTTGTGATGATGATGATGATGATGCTGAGTATGATGCTGCTGCTGATGATGATGATCGATGATGATGACTTGCCGTGTATCTTGCCTTGTAATGTCTGCCCGTAGTTTGCCTCGTCCGCCCGTTTGTTTCCAAGCTGAACCCAACGCTCTCCGAGGATCGTCAGCCCCAGCGTGATGCCATCACCATACCCCATTATCGCCTCTCGTCACCATTCATCTCCTTCGCGGGCTGTTCTCGTCGGCTTCTCATCTCGCATCCATCTCCATCTCCAGCTCCTCTTCATCTCCAGCTCCTCTTCATCTCCAGCTCCTCTTCATCTCCAGCTCTATCTCTACTTCCAACTCCAGCGCTAGCTTCATTCCCGCCTCTTCTTTATTGTCATATCTGTCTTCATCTTCATATTCATCTCAGTTCCCATGTCCATCTCCATCTTTGCTCCCGCCCTTGACTTCAAACCTACACATCAAGCGACCCAAGCTCAACCATCGTCTGCAGAAGTGGCTGACGATCTGACATCGAGATCTACCGCCCCCCCACACGAACCAAACTCGATCCAACTCTTTCTTCCCTCATCCTTGTCCATCAGCTCCAGAGACCCCTGCCATCGCTGAATTCCACCAGAGGTGAGCCACGAGAAGACTCTCTCCATCTGACTGTCTTCTCGTCAATAGCTAATCCCAAAACCTCCCGCCAGATAGCCATTTTCGAAACCCCAGCTTCACCCTGCCGAAGACGCTCGACGCACCGAAACGCCGAATCACTTATCGACATGTATCGCGATGCTTCTCACGCTAGCTTCCCTCACCCCTGGCACGTCTCCGCTTCAACCGGCAAAGCTATCCCCATGGGGTTGTTGCTGTAACGTTACTCGGTTCAAGTCAAGATAATGATGGGAAATATGGGGGGAGTCATGGTCATTGTATTTATGGAATCTCACGCCCAGTCCCCATATGAGGAGGATTCACCACGGCGAGGAATGGGACGTGGCATGGAGAAGTTGACACTGAAATCATTATCATGCGATTTCTCGTGGTAATCACGAGCTTGGCTGCCCTGGGTATGTGATAAATGCAGAAATGAAGCAAGTTGGAATCGTCTCTAATCTCGTAGTTAGCACGCGCCCAGCTGCTGGGAATACCGACCGTGCCATTCGACATCTCCTCTGACCAAACCTTCGACTTGAGCAAGGTCCACGCCGTTGTTGTCGACATCGCCCACTCGTCAACCCGCAATGAAGATGGCCTCACCTTGATTCCTCCTACCCTGTGGGGGTTTGCAGAGACATTTCGAAACGATCTGGCCGGCATCGGAATCAACACCGTCTTGCTCCCTGGATCCAACGCCATTAGAGATTCCATCTACCTCACGCTGGACCACGACAAGGCACAGTTTCTCAACGCCGCGGGAAATAAGACTTCAGAGGGCTATCGTCTTACCGTGACTTCTACAGGCGTGACTGTCAGCGGTGCCAGCCCCCTTGGAGCTTGGTGGGGGACGCGAACAATCTTGCAGCAGGCGTTGATCAACGACAAGAAGCTCAAGCTGGGGACGGGAATCGACTCTCCTGGATGGTCAGAGAGAGGCATGATGGTAAGCAACGATATGGGAGCGAAGGTCTCATTTTGGACTCTCCACAGCTAATCAATGTCTTTCCCGTTCGCTTTCCGGAAGCTCGACGTTGGACGCCACTATTACCCAGCCGAATTTCTCGCAGAAATGTGCTCCTACCTCTCGTTCTTCAAGCAAAACGTCTTCCATCTTCACCTCAGCGACCACGTCTGGGACCCCGCCAAGCTCGGCTCTCACGAGCTCGCCCTCCAGCTCTACGCGGCGTTTCGAGTCGGTTCTGCCGACCCAGAAGTTGCTGGCCTCGCCCGCCCCGTCAACGAGACATACAGCCCGTCCGAGTTCGACAAGCTGCAGCAAAGTTGTGCTCGTCGTGGCGTGACCATCCTGCCTGAGCTCGAGTCGCCGGGACACTCCATGGCGACGACCGACTGGAGGCCCGAGATTGCGCTCGCCGACTTTAGCATGCTCAACCTGAGCCATCCGGAGACGCTTCCCACGGTCAAGTCGTACTGGAAGGCCGTCATCAACAACTTCCACTCCAAGGTTGTCCATATAGGGGCAGACGAATACGACAGCAACTTCATCAACGAGTACAGCACGTTTGTCAACGAGATGAGCGCCTACATCCGGTCCATCTCTGGGAAGAGCACTCGCATCTGGGGCACGTTCCCGCCCTCGTCAGCCCCTGGCGCCGTCAATGTTGACAAGGACGTAACGATCCAGCATTGGCAGATTGGCCAGGACAATGGCCTCTTTGACTTTATCGACAAGGGATATAGTATCGTCAACAGCGACGACTACTTTTACCTCGATCTCAAGTATTCCGATGGCAACGTGTACCCCAAGGAGCTCGATATCCAGCGTGTCTTTCATGGCGCCCCCGACGGCAGTGCGTTTGCACCCAATATCCTAGACAATGCCAACGCGACGAACAACCCTCCTCGAGATAGCCCCAACGTGCTCGGCCACCTGGCTGTAGTATGGAACGACTGGGGCCCCAATGCGAGCACCTACCACGAGGCCTACTACATGGTCCGCAACGGCTTGCCAGCTCTGGCTGACAAGCAATGGGGTGGCTCGCTGCAGGAGAAGGACTACGCCAGCCTATTCGCGACTCTGCAGCCAGCGGTGCCAGACCAGAACCTCGACCAGCGAATTCCCTCCAAGGGCTCGACCATTGTATCGTACAGCTTCGGCCGCGGTAGCCTCTTGTCGGCGGTTGCTGTCCTCGATGGCTCTGGAAACAACTATCACGGGCATCTCAAAAACGGCGCGTATGTGAGCGGCGGTGCTCTGCAGCTCAATGGCCGAGGAGCCCATCTCAGGACTCCTCTGACAAGCAAGGGACGCAACTACACGCTTTCCTTCTCGGTGCTTCCCAAGGCTCATGGTGGAACGCTCTTCTCTGGCCCGGACAGCAGCTTTCTCAACGGCAACGGCACGTCGACCAAACTTATGCTCGTGTCCCATAACATTGCGTATCCAGTCAACCTGACGTTGCCTCTCAATGAATGGAGCGACGTCACGGTTCAAGGCATCGGTCCGCAGACGTTTATTTCTGTGGGCAAGCAGCGCCAGGAGGTGACGATCCTGATGGGCATTTGGGGAGGATACATGCAGGAGGGACCGATGGCGATTGAGGCGCCGATTCAGACGATTGGACAGGGCTTTAATGGACAGATGAAGGATATCAAGCTCTCAAGTGAAGTATAATGTAACATCTGATTTGGTCAGGACATTGTACAGTACGGGGTAGAGATACACTTGAATATTATCGTATTCCTTGTTTGTGTTCACGGTAACACTTTGAGCTTAAAGACACATGAAAATAAACTTGACAATTGCTGATCTCTTGGCATCTTGAACATGCCAGAAACATCAAGGATTGCAAGGAATGCATCCAACTGACGCGTCGTCCATCTTCCATCTCTCTCTCTCTCTCTCTCCTCTCTCAACTGCAGGATTCACTGCATTGAAAGAGCCCCTCTCCACTTATCAAGCGCCATCAGAATTGAGGCTGTCGCCACGCTCGACTCACTGCAAGCGACAGCCTGGTTTAGGCTCATTTCGAAAGAATGATGTATCCCTTTCATCATCCCCGCTGAAGATCATCGCCTCTGTAAACCCTCCCAAAAACATCAAGCGAACTGATCAATTGCCTTTGTCGGGATCGGTGGAGCACGGTTAAGGTATGATGTAATCCGCTGACAACGGCAGGCTATGAAATCATAGACACGTCTGAAGCATTGTCGATGGTCTATATAAACTGAATGACGGACAAATATCAAGAATGTTCAATTAAGTCAATTTCGATTCATTTTCATCCACCACTACTGCACTCTTACGCACCTTGACACCTCCATACCAATAAAAACACACCTCTCCTCAAACGAACAATCACAACACACAACTCTTCAACATGTCTGAACACCCTGCACACTACTCTGGCGAATTCCACGCTCGCGTCCCGCCATCCGAGCCCATGATGAAGGGAGGAGTAAGTCTTATCAAATTCTCCGATTCATCTTGACAGATTTCAAGTTCGAACAGTAGCTAAATCTGTCATCCTGCAGCACCAACCCGGCGTCAAAGTAGGCAACGACCGCCTCCCTGAATCCCACCTCGAAACATACCCTCCCGGAACCGCTCCAGCAGAGTCATCCTTCCGCCCCAACCCCGTCTCAGAAGTCCCCGGCCAGGCCAACAACCCCGAGGTCGACCCCTCTGGCCGGTCAGACCCCCTCGACTTCCCCGGCGCCACATCAAAGGACGTGCACCAGGGCATCGGAATGCCCATCCAGGGCCAAGAGGGACGAGAAGTATCCTCACAGTTGCCCGGCAAGAAGCATACCGAGTCGAGGATGCACGCCCATGGTCACAGCAAGGAGGGAACTGGGTTGGGATCTATTGCGGCGGAAGCCAATAGGAGTGATCCCGTGAGGGAGCATGGATGGGATCTGCCCGAGGGTGTCGAGAAGGGCACCAAGGGCTTTGGAAGTGCAGACCATCCTGCGGCGGCGAGCATGGAGCCCGAGAAGGCAGACCGCGTCGCTTCAGAAAGGTCATGAGTCTGTTGAAAGATAAAGCATGATAGGGGAGTCTCGATGGAATCAACTTGTAAAATAGTCTAACTGCAAATTGCTGGAAAGTATATCGATTTGACAAAGCTAATCAGGAATCAAACACCATTGACACATTTTGACTGTTCTACTTAGTTACACATGTGCTTCAACCACTCTGTTCCATGAATTCTTGTCCATCTGCCATTCTTACATGTCCACGGCAGAGTGCATTCGACGCCAAGGTTGTCGCAGTCAGCCACTGTGGCCGAATATGAGGTGTCATGGCAGCCAAGTACGGATCACCACCAGATGGGAGCTGGAGCAGCAACAGTAATGACGATGAAACAATGGTTTATGTCTCGACTAATCGCGCTGTCAAAGAAAACAAAACAAAATTCAAAGATATCCTAAAAAGCCAAATGATATCCTTCCGTCGCAGTATGTAGTTCCTTGTAAACTCTTGCACCATATCCGACATATGAACAAGAGAAACAATGTCCTTCATAGAGATGCATACATCTTTTCTCGCAATGTGAGCCGCCTACCAGATATCCAGATCGATCCCAAATTAAAGAAAAAAAAAACACAAGAAACCATCGCTTTCCCGATCCCTAGTATGCCCACGGCTACGTCCCTATTTTGTAGATGTAGTAGTAACCTATTCCCTCTCTTTTTGAACGCCGGCTTTGACAAATGTGCAAGCAGTTGACCGCTTGGCAATCAGGTAAAGTCATACGTGACCAGACTCTCCCGGCCGTCCAGCGTCTCGCTGAGGACAGTCACTCTTTGGTCGTCAGTCCCGACCCAGTTCCGCCTCTGCTCTGCCTCTGTCGAGGCGGGTTCGCCCTCCACATCGTCAGATTCTCTGCCAGGCCGGGGCCTCACCTCGACGCTCACGTCGCGACGGCCCCCTTCGAGATCCCAGACGCGAATCTCATCGCCTCGCTCACTGACACTCACGGCTCTACCCTCTGGCGTGACATCGGCATCAGCAATGCCCGAGGTGTGTCCGTAGAGCCTGGTAGGGTTCGAGATGGCAAAGGATTTCTCGGTCGCAGTAACGACAAACAGCACAAGGGTGTTGTCGGGCATCGTTGCGAGCAGATAGGGGTGGCTGTAGCAGAGCTTGGCCGGCCCGCCCTCGTCGTCGTCCAAGTACGAGTCGGGAAAGTTGGCGCACGTAGGGCACTTTGGCCGGTAGTGAGCCGGCGCGGCCAAGCCGCGAGTGTCGGCAGGCAGAGTATAGGCGACGCGAGACGTGATGACGTCGGGCTTGGAGCAGCCCGAGGGCCGGATGTCAAAGTTTTGAATCCCAATGGCCCAGCCGCTCACAGTGTCGAACGAGTAGGCAATGGACGCAACGGCCGAGTCCTTGAGCCGGCGGAGGGACAAGACCAGCGGCTGTCGCGAGTAGTCGGACTTGAGCGATGACAGCACATGGGGGTGCGAGAGGTCCGCGCTCTTGTCGACCTCGCCTCCCACCTGGAGCGTCGACAGTTCGTCGTCGTTGAGGTAGCCCGGGTCACCGTTGTAGCGGCTTGGCTCATCAGCAGCAGCAGCAGGCATTGACTCCGGCTCGGGGTTCGGGGAGTCAAAGGTGTACAGCGAGATGAAGCCCAGCTCGGCAGCCGTCAGGGCGTACGGGTAGGAGTAGGCGACCGACGTGAGTCTTCCCACATAGCTCTTGTCCTGGCGATACAAGACGGCCAGCTTGCCCTGGCTGATGGTCAGCCGCCAAATGCCAAAGGTTCCGTCGTTGAAGCCCAGCATAATGTCCAAAATGCCAGCCTCGAACTTCTGGCCGTCCAGAGAGAGCGCCGTGGGCACGAGGTGGATGCCGTCATGGGTCTCTGTGGTTGTCTGCGCAATGGAGAGCTGCGTCCGCAGGTCCCAGGCCCGAAGCCCGGCTTGCAGGTCGACGGTGACGGCAATGCCATGGACGACCTTGACCAGAGTCCGACGCTCCTGGACGGGGGTCAGGGAGCAGTTGATGGGGTTGACCTCGACCTGGCGCACCTCGCAGAGGCCGCGGGCCCAGTTGTGTCGCAGGCGGTACTGCTGCTTCCAGTCGACATAGTCTGTCGGATGGCCGGACTTGTCGGCCGGATCAGCAGGCTTGAACGGCTCAGCTGGCTCGGCATCCGCGCGAGCATCGGCGTGAGCAGCCGACGTGGGGGCCAGCCTTCCGGAGCCGGAGTCGCTCAAGGAGCTGGAGCTGGAGCCAGCAGCGGCTCCCTGGGCGGCGTTGGCCCCTGCGGATGCTTGCGGCTCGCCCTGGCCGTTGGCCTCTGCCTCGAGCTTGAGCCCCGGGATGCGGGCGGCGCGCGGCAGGATGAACCGGTGGTAGTAGTGGACGCGCCACAGCTGGGGGTCCGAGGCGATTCTGTAGAGCTGGCGCGACGCAGCCGAGGCGGCCAGCAGCGTGTGCTCGTCGACGTAGGAGAAGATGCGCAGCAGGACCTCGTCCGACACATGGCGGGCGAGGTCGTACGAGGGCGTTCTGAACTGCACGGTGGCGGCCTTGCTGGTGAGACGCAGCCGCTTGGCTGAAGCCTCTTGGGTGCGAGGGACGTGGCGGATGACATGCCCGTTGACCTGGATGCGGCTGCTGCCAAGGTCGCTGTGCGACCCTTTTCTCTTCAAGTTCCTGGCAGGCATCATGCTGGAGGGGGGTGGACGGTGTTTGCCTGTGGAATGAAATTATGTGCAGATGTGGCTGGTAAATCTAAGGCCGGAGCGTGTCCGACGAAAGGGTCAAGGAAGATGGAGAGGAAGAACAAGAGGAGGAAGGGAAGACGAGACGAGACGAAGAAATGATATTGCAATCTGGGGGACGGACTGCTGGTCTTCGGTGAAGAGATCGTCAGCGGAAGCGCATGTCTTTCGCATACGAGTCGCCCTACCGATGACAAGGCAGCAGCAGCAAGCAGCAGCTCTTCGTCCTGCTATTTGCGGCGTCGTCACAGCGTGCAGGATGCTGTGGACCAGGTTGTGGAAGCGGGTGATGGTGCGAGGATGTGAGGGACACGGCAACCGTTACTTCTCCTCCCCCGGGGAAAAAAAACCAGAGAGAGAGAGACAAAAAAACGGTAAAATATCAAGAGGCGTCTCTCAAGGGAGAGAGAGACAAGGAGCGGATGGGGGGAGGTGTCCCAACGTTGGTGGAGTGTTGGTGACACACGTGGGAGTGATATGTTGTGTATTGAAGAGGAGTTGGCCGGAGGTGAGGATGGGGGTTCTGCCTCGAGCAGGGCGGCAAACACTTGAGGGTCGGGTCGGGTGAGATAATCACTGGGCTGCAACCAACGCCAACTGAAGGCCGCTGAAGGAATGGCGCTGGGGGATGCTGGAAAGGGCCCCGAAGCCGTCTTGGTGCGCTGATGGCTGCTGGAAGAGGTGCCGGGATTTGCCTCCCGAGCTGCTGGCTTCCGGGTCCCTCTCCGTCTTATATACGTGGACCTCTTAGGACATGTAGCCTAGGTAGGCTGGTTCTTCTTCTCCTCCAACTCTTCATCCAACGAGTGAGAACCTAAGAAATTCCTCCAGTGCCTGCTGTACAGCGGTACAAGAACTCCTGGCACTTGTCCACGGCCCCAGAAATTATTAATGGGACGCGTCAAGGTCCAGGCAGGTTTGTGTCTTTCAGCCGACATGCAAGTCGAGCACAGTTGCCTCCCCTTCAATGGATCTCGTCTCGTCTCCTCTCCTCTCTTGCTTAGGCTCCATGCTGGACATGCGTCTGCTCGACTATTCCTACCTCCATGATACTACATGGCGAATCCTGCCCCTCCCCTCCTTCATCGGGGTCCCTGTCCAATCGCCGTCGAAGTGCTCTTCAGCCACGAATAGGCACCATTTGCTTCCCACCTGCTAGCCAGGGATCAGGCCTTGAGAGGCTTCCCGTCTCGACAAAGTACCCCTGCTATGGCATCCTCCGCAGACGGGTACTACCTCGACTACTCCCGCCACTAGTAGCACTCACTCAGCCCCTCTGAAAAATCAAAAAGAAACACCATCATGTCTCTCTTTGCTTTTTCCGCCCTCACCTTCACTCGGATCTGGCTCCGCGGTCCAAACCCACCTCCCAGGCGTCCAGAAAACTCACTCGTCAGGTCATGTTCTCCCACCCATCTTGACTCGGTCTCGTCCTCATACTTCAGCCGTGGCTTCAATCCGATTCCCCTCTCCGCGACAAGTCACTTTCTCAAACGAGTCGCCTGCAGGTACGCTTGTATCAGCCGTGAATGTCAGGCCAATAGATCGCCATAGCCCAGGCGGTGGACCAGAGTCCGAGATGCATGCAATACGCATGCAAGCAAAAAGCAAGAAAGAATTCTTGAAAAAAAAAAATGACGGGAGAAAACAAAATCTTCCTGCAGGCATACCGCTGTCGTTGATGTACGTGTATGTACACACGTGCATGTACGAAGCATGCACGCTGCAGAACAGCTCATCAAACCCCCCCTTCGTCTCTTGATGCGGCCAGTCTCGGCACTCTGATATGCTCACAGGACAAAGTGAACAAAAAAAAAAAAAAGAAAGAAAAATAATAAAAAAAGTCCAAGCAAAGCTGAGCCTCAAGCTCCCCAGCCAGAAGGATGGATCCATGATGGCGTCTCTGTATCTTGACAGTCTCGTACCCCCCCTTTGTTCATTTTTATTTTTGCCTTCCATCCAAGTCCTCTCCATGTCTCTCGTCTCTTATCGCCCCTACCATCTCGCCCACTTTTCTTCCGTCCACTCTTCCGATGTCTCTCATACTCGTATACTATCATGATTTGTTCCTTAGGCGCGTGCACAAGTAATGGATTCATAAGGAAGAGGGCAAGAGACAGACGTAGCAACGCCTATACCGTAATGCTCTATACTTGTCGGCATCGCCTTGTCTCCATCCCAGCATACCTAGGTAAGTTACTTGCATAGAGGTATAAAACCATGGTTTCCTTGTCCGTGGCTGTCATGTGTGTTTTTACCCTGTCCGTAGTTCATACAGTAGCATCATTTCAATAGTTCATAGCATCACTTCAATAGTTCAGGGCGGCACTTCAATATTCTACCCCCTCATCAAGTTGAGGATATGACTGCTGTGTTCATAAGATCGTGTGTATTCATCATGATGCGTCTATGCCCCCCCCCCCCCCCCCCCCCCCCCTCCCCCCCTCACTTACTGACCCATCCCTCCTACAGGTTGATACAGCCACGGCCTCCCTCGTCACAACAACTGAACTCGTGCAAACAGATCATCGTACAACTTCCCAACCCATCCATCCGATGGCCCTGCTCGCGCGACAACCCCCAGACCTCCGACCGCCCACAATGCGGCTGCTGCCACTACTGCGGCCTGGATGGCCAACCACCGTCGCCTGCGCTGCCGTTTGGTCTTCCTATCCACCGTGACCGCCTCGCTCCCCCACCAGCCCTTTGTCGACGGGGCAATGCCAAACCACTTGGCGAGTCCCCAGACCATATGGCCGCATCCCACCCCAATCAAGCCCCTGTAGGCAAAGGAGGCGACCAGAGGATGTCTCGCGAAGCCGTGGGAGACGTAGGCCAGGCCAATGTTGGAGCTGTCGCCCTCGACCACCAGCGGCAGCACTCTGTTTATGCAGACGTGGGCGCCCCAAAAGGCCGTGAAGACGTAGCCGGACCAAGAGATCCAGCTTAGCGGCGGCCAGAGCTGGACCGAAGAGCGAGAAGAGGCGCCGGATGCGTCTGTCCGGGAACGCAGCATGGCGTACATGCCGGGAGTCGATCCGCCGTACCTCCTAATGTTCTCGGACCTTCTCAGCAGGCGCAGTGCGATGCCCGAGCCGATGTGCGTCAGGACCGGCAGGCCAACCAGCAGCGGCTCCGTGATGGCGGTCTGGTAGAGCTCCCGGGCCATAAGCAGGTAAGTCTCCGAGCCAGCCACGCTTCGTGTAACTGCGGGAATCAGGGATACATTGGCCAGGTGCATGGTCGTGAAGACGGACATGGCATAGCTGGAATACTTTTGCAACCGGGTGACTATACATGGGGAGGAGACGGAGACATGACCACTCTGGTTAGCATGAAAGAACGGTAAAGTAGTAAGGTATGTAACTTGGAGTGTGTGTAGTACTCTTGAGAAGAGCCCGCATGAGACAGGGTTGCAATGGTGCGAATAACGATAAAAATAGATGCAATCAATACAAAAGAAAGACTCGGGCATCATACTTGAAAGAAAATGCTGTCATGATAAACAGGAAAGAAAAGGGAAACACTAACGGTAATAGATGGCGCCTCGGCCACTGCCACTCAACCCCGGCGCCATGGTCGAGCCAGTCTTGATACTGCCCGCACCGCCCTCCAAGGCGGCATCTGCAGCCAAGGGATCGATGGGCCTCTTCTCCTCCGTCGGTGTGTCCGGGTCTGAGTCCTCCATGGGTGCAGGATCCAGCTGGAGGAGCGAGATATACGTCAGGGTCGAGTTCCTCCTCTCCCGCCAGCCTTGCGGGCTCTCGGCGTCTGAGTCGCTCTCCATGGAGGAAGGCGAACGGGGGGTTCCTTGAACGCTCCCTCTCTCTCTCTCTCTCTCTCTCTCTCTCTCTCTCTCTTCCTTGCTCGGCGTCAGGGGTTCACAGCAGAATTGTTTCAAAGAAAGGGCAAAGAAAAAAGGCGAGCTTCGTCAGGCTCTTGGGTATCAAAAGAGTCCGAGGCAGAGAAATTTCCCGAGTGAGACCTGCATGTCCCGTAAGAGCATCAAAGCATGGTCTGAGAACGGAGTACGTTGAGAAAGAAAGAAAAAAAACAAGAGGAAAAGGCTGCCAATAGCATCGGGCCACAAGATCGTGGGGGAGACTCTATGCCTAATTGAGAAGTACTTGGTTGGGTTTTGGAGAGTCGCCCCCATCCCGCTTGATATAGACGCTTGTACAGTGAGGTAGTACATACTACTACATAGTACCTAGTATGAGTACCTACCTTACTTCTGTGATGGATGGAGAGAACAACCAGCAGAGACACATCTATGCGGCGTAATGATGTAGTACTTGTTGGTAGTAGTAGCCGCCGTCGAGTCTCGTCTGTCTTGAAGCATGTTTTCTCCTTTCCGCTCCTCTTCCTGGAACATGATGCAAGCCACCAGGCTCGCGCAATGGGCCTGTAATTGGCCCGCGGGAGTTCCGCAATCATACAGTTGTCTCAAGCACCCGCACCTTGTTCAAGACGTTGTACGTACTGTAGTATTGCCTCACGCCCTCCAAGGATTTCTTTCCACTTTGGCTCTAGCAGGGGCCTGTATGGCGTTACTCCATCAATCCATACACACAAGCAGCATCAGGACATTTTCATCTATTCTGCAGGTGGGCATCCCTGTGATGTACGCATGTAAGGTAGGACCACGTCGCTTGAAGCTACGGCATCTTCCTTGCAAGCCACTGGTCCTGGACCGGCGTCTTCCAGTAGTTGCTCGACGCTATGCTATGGCCCTTCTCCCTTGCGTGAGCCACCAGAAGTAGCGAGATGATTGCTCATCCTGTGAGAGCCAATGCCAGGTCGTTGCCAAAGGCCAATACTACCTGTATCATCAGTAGGAGGTTCAGCTACTAGTATTTGATGTGTGCTTCATCAGTGCATGAAGTAGTTCATACTGTGAGAAACAGGCGGTTGATAACTGCAGTGTAAGTGAGTGGTAGGGCTGTTAGCACCGCGACTACAGTACCTGGCGGTACTCTTACACTGGGGAGAATCCCACATGGTTTCTGGTACTGAAAAGTGCTTGCAGCTACTCTGTAATCGGTCAATCCCAGGCCCGTGAGTGGACAGCCGCCTCCGTCTGCCCCGCCATAGCTCCGTCGGGCTCTTGTCTCCGATCCTCCGACGTCTCCAGTCTCGGGAGAAGCGTGACATTGAATCATGAAGCCATCGCGAACATCTCCATTAGGTGGTCTCTGATGATCAACACGCCTCGACTAATACCGCTCAGTTCCCCTGCAATTTCTGATTGTAGCCGTCAAGATGCCTCCAGTACGTATTCTTCCAGAAGTCTCACTGACTCTCTCGCACCTTCAGCCCAGCGTCACCAACTAACGCGTCGTCCTTCCAGAGACACCAAACCCTCCCTCCCGCGCAAACGACCTCGGCGAAAGAGGCCCAGAAATCCTTCTACTGCACCCTCTGCTCCAAGGGCTACTCCCGCATGAACGACTATGAAGCCCACCTCAGCAGCTATGACCACAGCCACAAGCAGCGGCTCAAGGACATGAAGGCCATGGTGCGCGATCCCAACGCCGGCGCAAAGGCGAGGAGGGCCGAGGCCAAGGCGGACGGCATAGTCAGCATCAAGCTCACCGAGCAGGATGCGCCGTCGTCCGGCGGCGGAGGCGGCGGCTTCAAAAAGGGCGGCTTCAAGAAGACTGGCTTCAAGAGCGCTTTCGCCCCAGTAGACGCACCGACATCAGCCGCCGCTACCGCATCGCAGCCAGCGTCGACAGACTTGCCCCGGAAACAAGCGAATCCTGCTGCTGGTGCTCTCGCAGACAAGGGGAAGACTGCTCCGTCTTCCTCGCGCATCTACAAGGGTTCACTCGTGGAGAGCGATACGGAAGATGAAGGCTACGAAGTCTACGATCCGAGGTTCCCCACCGATTGACTCGCTCACAAGACGCCGTCGTATATCATGTCGATACTCTTTGGATGCGATTATCTATTACCGGCGATGAATCCTATCACCATGGTGATTCTTCCGACTACCGTCGCTGCACTTGCCGCAGCTCATATCCAAAGCACCCCGAACCCTCAAAGCTCGTCATCGGGTTGCATCCATCTATGAGACTCAATCTGCGACAAGTCCTCCTCCAGGAGGCCAATCATGTTGCGGCTGCCTACAAACCAGTCGGCAAGTTGCGCCACCTGGCCACTGCCCTGCAGCGGCGCCCCCGCGTCGGTGGTGTCCGTGTTGGTCATGGCTTGATCGTCGTTGGGGATGAAGCCAAGCTGGCTCAAGTACATCTCGAACTCATCCCCTATGGAGATGGAATTATCGCTTTGCTGCTGCTGGCCTTTGGCTTCCACATAGAACGTGGCAATGTCGCACATGACCCGGCAGAGACGGTAGAGCTTATCAATGGGCTCCGAGAGCCCCCTTCCGCCCTCGAGAGAATCGACAAAGTCCTGGAGGACCCTGAGGTCTACCAGCGAAGTCGTCTCAATGACGTAGCAGAAGAGGACGAAGAATGGGGCGAATGGCGTCAACAAGAGGCTCCTATTCAGTCAAGGAATCCCTTGTGGTCAGTAAATCGGGACTCCAGATAGCTGGTTTGTGATGCCTGCCGGTATCGGACCAAAGCAACTTCACAGGACTGGAAGTTCTTCTTACCAGTGGATGTACATGGACCGCATATATGTGCTAATGTCCATGAATCGAACACACTCCTGATGCGTCTTCATTGCGTGACGTGCCGCATCCAAGCATTCGTCGCAAAACCGGGTGACGGAGTTTTCCGGAGCCGGGATGACGCGGTAGATGAGCGTCTTGGTGACGTAAAACTGCACCTCGTCGCCCTTGATGAAGACGTCGACGACGTCCGAAGTCCCTATTGACTTGAGGAGTGTGTACACTTTCTCTCGTGTCTCCTCCGTCTCGACTTCTAGGCGGCTGCATTCCGCAGCCAGGGCTCGGGCCCGTTGAATCAGATCTGCCTGAGGGCTTGCCAGAGCGGCTGGGCTGTATCTATAAGGAGGACGGTCATTAGCCACACAAGATTCATTTGAACTGCAATCAAGCCTGCTCATTCGTCCGGGCGACTACACTACTTACAGTTGTTCGTATATCCGGCTCTGCAAGCTGCTCATCTCAACCCACAGCGTCGGGAACGTGGTCGACGTCAGATGGTCGAAGCCGTTGACCTCAAACTCTCGTTTGATATCAATGTCGCACTCTGCTATGACCGAAGCCCGTCCGAGCCGGAGGCCCAGGCCCTTATCCAGCGTATACACATGCCAGAAGATGACCTTCTTTTGCTGTGCAATCTGCGGAGGGTCGTTGCGGAGAGACTCTGTACGATGGTAACCGCCTGCTTGGCACAGCCAGGCCGCCATTGTGATGAGATGCCACGCCACCGATGGCCTGGAGACGTCGATGGAATAGAGGCACTGGATTGAGCACCATCGTGTCAGCATATCCATGTCCATCACGCATATAGCAGCCATGTCGGGACAACACACTCACCCCAAGCAGCAGAGCCTGCACATTCTCAATCTTGGGAGACAGAAACAGCGGAAAGTTGGCCAGCGTCGTCTCGAGATTCGTCTTGCAGATGGTCACGTACGAGTTGTACTCTTCGCGCAGCGCCTCGTCCTTGGCCAGCGAGTGCTGCTCCACGAAGAGGTTGTACAGCATGGCGTTGACCACGGCAAAGGTGGCGTCTGAGAAGTCTTCGGCGGGGAAGTAGACGGTGCGGCACAGGTCGGCAAAGTCCTTGATGCCTGTGAGGGTGCAGAGGATGGTGAAGAAGGTGGGAGGGGCGGCTAGACGAGCATTGTTTGAGTCAGATTTCATATGTCTTCTTCTTCTTCTTCTTCTTCTTCTTCTCAAGCTTTCCCCCCTTTTCTCATCAGAAATCGAATCTGCTGTTGGCGTTGCATACCTTTGACATGCTTCAACAGGGCAACCACCGTCGCCATGGGAGGCATAGGCAATTTGCTTACACCCCCTGGGGGCACTGGCTGCTGCAGAGGAAATCGAGGCCCGTGACTGATGGAGCGGTGCTTTTGCAGCTCGACAAGCTGGCTCAGGTTGGCCAGAGCCGTCTCCATCTTGGGATTCACAGCCGGCAGGGACGCTTTCTTGACGGCACGCTCGAGGAATTCGCTGGCAAAGGTTGTGTGGACGGTCAAGCCCGAGTCGCCGCCGAGGACGGATTCCTCGTCGGAGCTGTCATAGTCAGCGGTCGACGTGGTGGTTGGCACGGCGGAGTCTGTCTGTGGCGTATGGATGAATTTTGAGGGGTCTATAGGGGTTGCGGATGAGATGTTCTTGAGAAGACTCTCAATGTTGGCGAGCCGGGCTTCGATCCGGTCAATCTTCTTTTCACTTTGAGAGGTTCATACGATATCGGGTCAGCATAATTATGAGTCGAAGGGAATGAGGATGGAGTTGAATGGACGGGGCAACTCACTACTGCGACGAGATGAGGACCCGTTGGCGAAGCTCCTTAGGCCGTTGCCACGCAGTCGAAGTGCATCGTCGCTCGGCTGTTACGCAGTTGGAACAGGGTTCGTTTTTGTCACAGCGGATCTTGAGGAGATCATGATGAGCTCAGTGACCGACCTTATGTGAAGATTGATGAGATGGCTCACTCACTTTGCGTTGACGACACTGATCACACTATATCGTATGAGGGAGGAGAGCTTGTCAGCTATGTGTCAATCAACGAACGAACAGGGTCTCTTGGACTCCATCCTGCAGTATCAACCCAGCCAAGAAGCCGAGATTGATAGGCAGTATATACCTTGGACGGACCCAGATTCACGTGCAAAGGAGGACGAGGGTGCACTTACAGCCTTGCGGAGCGCTCGTGCGTCGGCGGCCGCGGACGGCGCGAGACTCTGCATTGTTGTAATCGCCAAAAGATGTTGTTGGTTGTCGGATTATATAAGAGGCTGTAGCTCTCCCGTGCTGGAGTCGTATTTCCAGGAGACACGGCGTCAATCTGTGGCTCTTTTCCCTTTTCTACCTCCGATTCTGTATCGATTGTCTCTGTTAATCTTCGTGCAGGATCAGGTGGTATACGTGAAGAGACAAGTGATGCCGGTTCTCAAGGCTTCACTAGAAGGTACGGACGATGCTTATGCTGTCAGTGTCTTGAGTGAAAATCAATGGTACTCGGGATTTAGGAGGTCCATTCAAGAGAATCCTCAGCATGCTCAAGAAATCTTTCCACAGAGCTGTATTCTGATTCAGTTTGTAAAAGATGCAGATGCCGAGAAGTGAAGAGGTCAAGCTAAGGTAAATGGATTGCAGCGGAAAATAAACTTGACAAGCATTGATGTACACATGCATGCATCGTGTGAGGCGAGGTACATGGACAACACTTCGGATTATTCGGGGTCCGCGGGGGCCGAGAGAGGCTGAGGACTTACGTACAGCCTTGGCGATGGATGGGATCTATGAGACTGTACCTGGTAGTAACGATGCAAGTTGACGAGTCCATCTATAAAAACTGGAGGATTTGCATTGGTGTTCAATAAGTGATAGTACTTCGATGAGCAAACAGTAGATGTGCTTAAATCACCGTCATTGTATCAGGTGATGCGAACTACCTCAGGCTACACTAAACACAAGGTATACACAGGGTGCCTCATGGATCCCCTGGCTTCTCATGGATTTCGTGGGTACCCAGTATGCAGACCGTAGAATATCATCAGTCATATATAGAATGTTGGATGCAAATGAGTGCAAAATGCTCAAAATCTCGCTTTGAAACTGAATCTAAGAACCATCAGTCTAATGTGCTTTTAAATTCTATGTTCCAGCGTCCCCGTCCCCAGACCGTCTACACAAGCGTCTTGACATCGCCCTCCTTCAGCTTGCCCGCGTCAACGAGCCTCTTCACCTCGGCACTCCAAACACCCTTGATCTCGTCCGCCACCGTCAGGCCGTTAAGCTTTCCGGCGAGAGCAGCAATCTCGTCGGCGTCAATCTTGCCCTGCACCAGCTCGACATCGCCCAGTACGGCATCGATCTGAGCGGCAGAGGCGTCTCCGGAAGCAAAGTAGTTGGCGTCCTTGACGGAGCCCTTGAGCACACGCTTGTTCTTCTTGAGGGCGTTCTTGGCCGCCTCCTTGGCCTTCTTGCCGGCCTCGCGATCGGCCTTTGCGGCGGCTTCGGCCTCGGCCTTGGCCTTCTCCTCAGCCTCCTTCTTAGCCTGGGCCTCCTCGGCAGCCTTCTTCTCGGCAGCCTCCTTCTCGAGCTTCTTCTTGTTCTTGGCGGCGTTGGCCTCCTGTCGGAAGCGCTTGATGCGCTCGTCGCCGGCGGAGGCGTCGTCCAGCAGCTTGCGCAGGCGGGCGTTGTCCTCGGCCTTCTTCTTCTTGCGCGAGTTGGCGTTCTTGCGCTCGACGTGACGCTTGTGGTCGCGGCTCTCGCCGTCGTCGGGGACGTCCTCGTCGAGGTACTCAAAGGACCGCCAGCTGTCAAAGTTGTACCAGAAGTTGTAGAACTCGTCGACGTGCTCCTTGGACGAGTTGGCGTCGCCAAACGTCGGCACCGGGTGGATCTTGGAGAAGCGGGCCTCGGACTTGAAGACCTTGCCCCAGAGCTTGTAGTAGTCGCCCTTTTGCAGCTGCTTCTTGGTGGGCGGCTCGACGTCGGCCTCCTCGTCGACCGAGTCGAACTGGCGGCGCTTGACGGGGTCCAGCAGCACGTCGGTGGCCTTCTGGATGCACTTGAAGAACTGGTCGTCCTCGGTGCGGCCCGAGGCGGCCTTCTTGTCGGGGTGGTGCTTGAGCACCTTCTTGCGGTGGGCCTTCTTGATCTGCTCCTCGGTGGCCCTCCAGCGGTACTTGGACAGGCCGAGCACCTTGTAGTGATCCTGGGTCTGCGTTGACATCTCTTGTTAGAGCACGATCCTGACGGGACGGTCCAATACGGTCCAAGATTCATCGTCCACAACTTACCTTCCAGTCCTTGGCCTGCAGCTGCAGCATCATGGGGTCCTCGGGCTCGCTCTCCTCGCCATCGTCGACATCCTCGACGTTCTTGGCGCTCTCCTGAGCCTGGATCCGGTCGTCCTCGGAAAAGGTGCGCTTGTGACGGGCTCGGCGAGCGTGAGCCAGGAAATGCGGTCCAACGGGCTCGATGCTTCGCTGAACGGCGCCCGACAGCTTGCCGACGGCCTTGAAATCCTTGTCGGCGCTCCAGCCCTCGGGCAGGGCGGGCAGCGGAAGAGTGACAACCTGACTGACGGAAGCCATTGTGACTGCGAATTGAGACAATGACAGCAGTTATGGGTTGAGAATCAAAGGAAGAAGAGAAACGGCTCGACTAAAGGCGTTGAGGCAATCTCCAGTTTTTTTTTTTTTTTCTTATTTTTTCTTTGCTCCCACCTAAACCAATGGCGGGGCTTCTTTTACCAGGGGGGGGGTCCCGAGCCAGCGGCCGGTTAGCGGAAGGCGGCAGAACCGGGCCTCCGTTCTTTACGGTCGAGCCTCCACTGTAAAATCATCCATCTCGATATCGAATCAAGTCTGCGTAATTGTGCACTTCGCCTTTGCTTTCTGCTTCTTCTCTTCTTTCAGTATAGCGATTCCACGCATATAGTTCGAGACAATGTCATTGGCGGCTTATCGAAACCTCCTGCGCGCTGCGCGAATCGCCTTTCAGGGTAGGTGGCGCAAGCGAAACGAAAAGAATGCTCAAAATCCTCGGCGAGACTGACTTCACCAGGCGACGTCCACGTCCTCTCTGCTGCGCAAACCCAGATCCGACAGGGCTTCCAGGAGAACCGCGCCCTCGATTCCAGCTCCAGCATCGAGTCTGCCATCAGACACGCCGAAGATGTGGCCACGATCCTGCGACAAAACGTCGTCCAGGGCCGAAAGATGGAGAACAAGGGCGACGATCATACTTACAGTGAGCATTGGCCTACAACTGAAGCAGCTGCTACACCATCTTCACCATGCTAATGCTGCTGGACAGAGCTCCGGATCCATGAACACACCGAGCGAGGCGACAACGACAGCATATTGACGGCAGGCAATGCAAAGAGCGCCAGCGGCGGGGGCTGTGGCTGCAAGTGAGGCAGCTCGTGTATGTACCACTGTAAAACAAATCTGTACAATTACTAGACTCATGATACCCTCCAATCCATATGCCACACGATATATTGGCCTTTTCACCTGCTTGATTCCGCGGAATCTACAAAGACAGAGCAACAAATATCCCATGTATCCTTCCTTAGCACCACAACGCCGAGAACGTGACAGTTTGAGAATTGAGAATAAAGCTGAAAGAAGCGCCATGAAGAAAAGACGAATGCAAGATGGGTCTGGACGCCCTTTTACTCTCCAGCCAGGCTGGCATAGTTAGGCGTGTCTTCCGCTCCGGGAGGCGGCGCCGCAGCAACTGCGCGAGTCGCCGCGGTTGGCTGCTGGCCCGCTTCCAAGGCCCGCTGCTGCTGCGGCCTGTTCTGGCGGATGCGGGCATCCTGCAGCATCTGATAGCGCTGCTCACGGTCCATGGTTCCAATGGCCTTTGGCTGTCCCCAGCGAATCCTCAGCGGGCATCCAGCAATCACCGCCCTGCCCTGGCATGCGGCCGCTGCCTTCTCGGCGGCCTCCCTCGTCTCGTAGTTGACAAACGCGCAGTGGGACATGTGGGAGCACACCAGGCTCTTGATCTTGCCGTGGACCTTGAAGAAGTCGCGAATCTTGTGCTCGGGCAGGTCGTCCTCGACACCCGTGACGAAAAGAGACATGATGTTGGGGTCATCCGGTGGTAGCCAGTCCTTTGGGCTCGGGGGCAGCTGTGCTGCGCTGGGGAATGCCGGCCGGCCTCGCCCTCGACCGCCAGGCCGCGCGCCTGCAGCGGCTGCAGCTCTCGAGTCTCGAGTTCGGATCGGACCTGGGCCTCCAACGCCAGCCCCTACTGCAGGGTTCCCGCCAGCTCGGGCACCGGCCAGTTCTGACTCGTCCACGGTTCTGCCCTTGCGAAAGTAGGGCTTGCTGTTGGCAAGGCGTCGCAAAAGTTCGCGGGCCTTATCGTCCGTCTTCTCGTACTCTTCAGTTCCCGCCTTGCCCTCCTCAATGAGCTTCTCGTTGTTCTGCGCAAAGTACTCTCGGTTGATGTCGGACGTCGGGCCTGGGGCAATCATCTTGAGTGCGGTATCGCGGACGTTGATGGGCAGCCCGAAGCTGAGATCCAGCATGCAGCTCTGGCAGCAGTTCTTGAGGCGAGCGCACGTCAGGCACACATTGGTCCGTCTCTTGCGGCCCTGTGCGCGCTCAGCAGCCCAGCTGAAGACGGTAAACGGTCGCGTACACTTGAGAGGCTTGTTAGTACATGCATACAATCTAGGCGAAGAGTATCAGGCGTTGGCGACGACGGCGACGACTTACCAATTTGCACTCGGCGCCGTAGTCTTCCTTGAGCATCTTGACGTATGGGTTCTCGGGCAGGCAGTTTTCGCAGACGGAGGGAAAGTCGGTCGTCTCCCATCCTGACCGGTTGAGGTCTTGCTTGATCTGGGGCGGCATGACGGGCAATGTCCAGCCGTGATAGAGCTGGTGATGCTGGTCTGGGTGAGGACGAGATGATCCTTGGCTGATGTGCAAGTTCGCAAGCTGCAAATCCAAGATCGCGACGAGCAAAATCTAGGTGGAGACTTGACGCAGCCTCGCCCAGCCAGAGTATGTTACATAAGCCATGATGTGGAATCTTATCGATAGGGCGCCATTGCGTATTGCAAAGCAAAGAATGAGTGGCGATAGAGTTCTAGGCAATTGGGCGGCTCAGGGACCTCTGAGCTCCGAAATCAACCCACCTTCCAGAAGAATGCCAAATATCGTCATGACTTGCACGTGCTGAGGAATCGGCACGTATGGAGATACCATTCGTCTGTGAGCCAGATTGAACACCAATTTCGGGATACACGAGCCATTGCAACATCAACCTAGGCTTCAGCTCCTAGCAAGAACAGCGGATAGGCACTAGACACAGCTTATACGCGTATTTGAGAGATTTGGGTGCTTGGCTCCGCAGATAAACGTCCCCTAATATGGAGATTCTGCCGCACAAGTTCCAGTGGCTAGCACCAAGCCGGCCGTAGGAACACACCGCAAGTGAATCCTCGGAGGGAATGGAAGGCGGGAAAAGAAAAAAAGAGGCGCATGCAGGGCAGCCCAATCCGAGCTCGCGTTCGTATTCGCACACCGCGGGGCTCTTCACCGCCTACCACTTGCAGGCAGATGCGGCCTCGATCCAGCCAACCAAAGGGCCAAATTCCATTTCTAGTGCGATATCACAAGCCCAGAATTGGGATTGGAGATTGGCCTTTGCCGTTTCGTCAGGGGTAAAAAAAACAGAGAGGCGGACAGAGTCCCATGAAATTGCTGCTGTTCACGATTTGATGCCGGCCTGGGAGGACAACGCATAAAAGCCCCCCCATCTCCGCTCATTCGCGTGGCCCCCCAGAATCGCCATCTTTTTCTACTCATTTTCGTGGAGCAATTCCCCTTCGTCCCTCTTCGTTCTGTGTCGTCTTTCTCCCTCCTCTTCTCCATTCATTCCTTGACCCTACTTTTTTTCCAGAGCTAATAGAGAGTTTTACTGCTATTCCTTCTCTTCTCTTCTAATTCTACTCTACAACATCATTCAACATGGCCCCCGCAGCTCTTGAGAAGGAGGACAAGGCGCGAGATGCCGCCTTCAACAAGGCCCTGCACGGCAACTCGGCCAAGGCCAAGGGCGGCATTGCTGCCATGTTCTCCAAGGGCGCCGATGCCAAGAAGGCTGCGGTCGACGAGTACTTCAAGCACTGGGACAACAAGCCCGCCGAGAACGAGACGGCAGAGGAGCGAGCCGTGAGTCTTTTCCTGATGATTCGAAGCCGACTGCCTGCCAAAAGCACAGGTCAATTGGTTGGTTGGAAGATTGAGTACCATTTCTGACATGAGCACGACAGAAACGAACGGCCGAGTATGCCACTCTGACGAGGCACTACTACAACCTGGCGACGGATCTGTACGAGTACGGCTGGGGCCAGTCCTTCCACTTCTGCCGCTTCTCCAAGGGCGAGCCCTTCTACCAGGCCATTGCCCGCCACGAGCACTACCTGGCGCACACCATTGGCATCAAGGAGGGCATGAAGGTGCTCGATGTCGGCTGCGGTGTCGGTGGCCCTGCCCGTGAGATTGCAAAGTTCACCGGCTGCCACGTCACCGGCCTCAACAACAACGACTACCAGATCGACCGCGCCACCCACTATGCCGAGAAGGAGGGCCTCTCTAACCAGTTGGCCTTTGTCAAGGGCGACTTCATGGTATGTTCCGGTCCTGATTCATAACTCTTCTTCTTCCCCGCTAACGCGCAGCCAGCAAATGTCGTTCCCTGAAAACACCTTTGACGCTGTCTACGCCATCGAGGCCACCGTCCACGCCCCCTCCCTGGAGGGCATCTACAGCCAGATCTTCCGCGTGCTCAAGCCCGGCGGTGTCTTTGGCGTCTACGAGTGGCTCATGACCGATGACTACGACAACAACAACCTGCACCACCGCGAGATCCGCCTCGGAATCGAGCAGGGCGACGGCATCTCCAACATGTGCAAGGTGTCCGAGGCCCTGGACGCCATGCGCGCCGCTGGCTTCGAGCTTCTGAGGCACGAGGATCTGGCTGACCGGCCCGACCCTCTTCCCTGGTACTGGCCTCTGTCCGGCGAATTGAGATACATTCAGTCGGTCGGGGACATCTTCACCATTGTCCGCATGACCACCTGGGGCCGCACCATTGCCCACAGCCTGGCTGGTCTGCTGGAGAAGGTCGGCCTTGCCCCTGCCGGCACCAAGAAGACGGCCGACAGCCTGGCCCTCGCGGCTGACTGCCTGGTCGCCGGTGGCCGCGAGCACCTGTTTACGCCCATGTACCTGATGGTCGGCCGCAAGCCTTCTGCCTAGATGCAGTAACATGGATCTAGAGATGGAGAAATGGGAAACAGACGGAAAGAGATCAGCAGCAGATCTCTTGTGGGAACTTGATACCTCGATTGATGTGGAACGATGGAGCGGCCCCAGTTGGAGGGAGCCGGAGGATATAAAACCAAAAGCGGCGTCGAGCATGGTCATATTATTTGGACGGGATGATGATGCATTTGGCCTGATGACACGAACGGCCCATTTATGTACGCATATGTAATGGCTATAGCCAAGATGCGAGCTGCATCTTATTAATTATTCTGCCTTTTCTATCACTTACCTTAATGACTGGACTGCTCACGACCTCTCGTAAAACGTCTTGCTCACTACTGTATCTGCAACTAGGTACCATTGTACAAGGTTCTGTTGCGATAAGAACAGCCATTGACGGAGCATCTCACTTGGTGTCTGTTCAAGATCCGGAGAAACTCAATTGATTTCCAATTCCAGCGCAAGAGTCCAATGACCGTCTCTCCCCCCTTGTCATTGTGCTGAAGTAAGAAGCAATTCGCCCTTCTGATTCGACAGCCTCCCGCTTTATCGCGGCCACAAAGCACCTCCGGCAGCGGAGAGCATCGGGATGCCCCTCTTAGTCAGCAGTTCCAGGCCGCAGTTGCCCCTCCCCAACAACTTCAGAGTGTCACATATTACAGGCGGGTTCAGCGCCCACGTCCCGCTGTAAGGCCCTGGCTGTTAGTGGCAACAGCGCTGTAGCTCTACAAGGAAAACCCCCCCAAGGAAATTGACGGGAGCCCGCCCGCGCAGGGAAAAAAAAGTTGTGCTTGGCTCGGAGCCGGAAATTCCCTCTTGGTGCTTTTTTTTGGGGAAGGCCAGAGCAAACCTCCAGCTCAACCGCGAGAAAAAAAAAATAACACACCAACCCTCAACTCCCGCCTCTCGCCTCCCCCCCATCGTCCCAGACACAGCAGACGGCACAGCTGTGAGCGGCCTCGATTCCCCTCTGTCGAACAGAATCTCGCGTGTGTGTCCTCCGGCCAATTCTTCGTCCCTCCGCCCGCCATGTCCCGCTTCCTCCGACCCGCAGCCCGTCTGGCTGCCTCGACACGAGCTGCCGCTTCCATCAAGGCGCACGCCGCGCCGTCCTTCTCACAGGCCATTGCCCGCCCCGTCTACTTTGGCGGCTCGTCGCAGAGCAGGGCGTACGCCGAGGGCTCGGGCGTCAAGGAGTACACGGTGCGAGACGCCCTCAACGAGGCGCTGGCCGAGGAGCTCGAGGCCAACCCCAAGGTCTTCATCCTGGGCGAGGAGGTTGCCCAGTACAACGGAGCGTACAAGGTCACAAAGGGTCTGCTGGACCGGTTCGGCGAGAAGCGTGTCATTGACACGCCCATCACCGAGATGGGTTTTGCCGGTCTGGCCACCGGTGCTGCCTTGAGCGGACTGCACCCTGTGGTGAGTTTCACCTGTGCCTCCCCCCCAATGGTCATGCTGTAGCTGCCATATCATAGCCGCCATGTCCTTGTCTTTGTCCTTGTCCTTGTCTTTGTCCTTGTCCTTGTCTTTGTCCTTGTCCTTGTCCTTGTCCTTCTTCTTGTTCCTCTTTCATGTTATTCCACTGCATATCAGTCGACGGGAAAGGGTAGCTGGTAGGAAATCACTGACACGACTCTTCCCCCACTAGTGCGAGTTCATGACCTTCAACTTCGCCATGCAGGCCATTGACCATGTCGTCAACTCGGCCGCCAAGACCCTCTACATGTCCGGTGGTATCCAGCCCTGCAACATCACCTTCCGTGGCCCCAACGGCTTCGCCGCCGGTGTCGCCGCCCAGCACTCGCAGGACTACTCTGCCTGGTACGGCAGCGTGCCCGGCCTCAAGGTCGTCTCCCCCTGGAGCGCCGAGGACGCCAAGGGCCTGCTCAAGGCCGCCATCCGCGACCCCAACCCCGTCGTCGTCCTCGAGAACGAGCTCATGTACGGCCAGAGCTTCCCCATGTCCGAGGCCGCCCAGAAGGACGACTTCGTCCTCCCCTTTGGCAAGGCCAAGATTGAGCGCGCCGGCTCGGACCTGACCATTGTCTCCCTGTCCCGATGCGTCGGCCAGTCCCTCGTTGCCGCCGAGAACCTCAAGAAGAACTATGGCGTCGAGGCCGAGGTCATCAACCTGCGATCCATCAAGCCCCTGGATCTCGACTCCATCGTCCAGTCCATCAAGAAGACGCACCGTCTGCTTGTCGTCGAGTCCGGCTACCCTGCCTTTGGCGTCGGTGCCGAGATCCTCGCCCTGGCCATGGAGTATGCCTTTGACTACCTTGACGGCCCTGCCCAGCGAGTCACCGGTGCCGAGGTGCCCACTCCCTATGCCCAGAAGCTGGAGGAGATGTCCTTCCCCAACGAGCAGCTGATTGAGGAGTTTGCCGCCAAGATGCTGCGAGTCTAAACTGCCAGCACAAGTTGAGCACACGGGATAGCAATCTTGCTACCCATCTTACGAACCCAAAAAATCAAGTAAACAAACACGAAATTCAAGAAGGAGAGGGGTGGCTATCCGAGGTGGGCAATATAATATCTCAATGGGAGTAGACTCAAGTTTGGAAGGGGTGTTTTTGGCTTCCAGGGGGGGGAGGTTTCGGAGGTGGTGAAGCGCATCTGGCTATGTAGCAATCTGGTTGGACCTCTAGTCACAAAATCTCGATAGACGGGCGGAGAGGAAAAATAATGCACCTGTACTCTAATCACCTTTGCGCGTTTATATACACGCCTTTTTCGCTGTGTCACATGTATTGTGTAGAGTTGGAGCCCTTGTTTGCATCATGATTCAACGGAGCTGCCCAGACCCGCATTTCCGTTAGCGGGGCAATCTCAACCTCCAAGCTGGGCAGCCTCGACAGCTTCGTCAACGACTCAGACTCCACCTCTACACACTGCATTGTCCAGCCAAAACGTCATTAATCTTCAACTCTGAAAACCAAACAAACACCAGAACAAAGAGCAGAAATCCAGAGGACCTGAAAGACCACAGCATCTCCAGCCTCTCCCTCCGCCATGGCTGGCATCGATGCCCTTCTCGCCTCCCAGGAAGAGGGCATCTCCAGCTCTGGGCTCAGGAAACGCCGGCTTCCTGACCCTCAAGAGCTGAAGCAGCGCCTAGAAAATGAGCTTCTCATGCCCTCTCCCGACTTTTCCGTCGAGTGGCTGGACCGCCTGCAGCAGCGATGGGACTTTGAGGCCGACTACACGGATCTCTTCAGGATCGCTCCGCCCCAGACTCGCACTCTGACGAGGTTCCTGCGCCACGGGCTCGAGGGCCGCGTGACGGGGTACAAGAACGTCACCGTGCCCATGAGCGGCGCCACGGCAAAGAACTCGACCAGTCTTCTCCGGAAGCCAGCTAGCAGGGCCGATTTCGTGAGGGGCGCCGCTGGCTTCTTCCCCTTTGCGCCTGGCGGGCTGGAGGGCATCGAGGCTACCGCGGCGCTGGAGGACCAGATTCATGCGGGCAATGCCGCTGCCGACGATTCCGCTGCGGGAAGCAAGCTGGAGCGGGTGATTCAGCTGGGTGATGAAGGGGGACTGCTGCAGACTGCCCCTGGAATGACCCGCGGTATCGACTTTAGCAAGAAGACGGCCGTGGACGAGTCTACTGCTGAGGCCATCAAGCAGGAGCTCGAAGAGGATCCAGAGGAGGCAAAGAGCACTAAAGTGGAGGATTCCTCGTCACCTGATGAAGCCTCGGGAGACTTGGCGGAGGACGAGGACAACGGAGACGATATTGACGATCTGCTGCCGGTTGAGTTCCCATCTCTCGAGCCACATGGTGTCCTCGCAGCATCCAGCGCCAAAAAGGCAGGCCGTGAGTGGGCGCACATGGTCGACATAAAGCATGACATGCCCAACTTCAGAGAGCTCGTCCCCGATATGGCTCGGGAATGGCCCTTTGAGCTGGACACGTTCCAGAAGGAGGCCGTGTATCATCTGGAAAACGGCGACTCCGTCTTCGTGGCAGCTCACACGTCTGCTGGAAAGACTGTCGTGGCCGAGTACGCCATTGCTCTGGCGGCCAAGCACATGACCAAGGCCATCTACACATCGCCCATCAAGGCCCTCAGCAACCAAAAGTTCCGCGACTTTCGGCAGGAGTTTGATGAGGTGGGCATCCTGACGGGTGACGTCCAGATCAACCCCGAGGCCAGCTGCCTCATCATGACAACGGAGATTCTGCGCAGCATGCTGTACCGAGGCGCAGACTTGATTCGAGACGTCGAGTTTGTCATCTTCGATGAGGTGCACTACGTCAATGACTACGAGCGCGGTGTCGTGTGGGAGGAAGTCATCATCATGCTTCCCGAACACATCTCCCTCATCTTGCTGTCAGCCACCGTCCCCAACACGCACGAGTTTGCCTCTTGGGTTGGTAGAACCAAGCAACGAGACATTTACGTCATCTCTACGGCCAAGAGACCTGTTCCCCTCGAGCACTACCTTTGGGCTGGCAAGAACATCCACAAGATTGTGGATGCGGACAAGAAGTTCCTGGAGAGCGGTTGGAAGGATGCCCACAAGGCGACGCAGAGCAAGGAAAAGGCACCCGCCGCTACCAGTACTGTCGCCGTCAGGGGAGGCAACTCTCAGGGGAACCAGCGAGGAGGAGTAGGAGGACGAGGAGGCGCTCAGAGGGGCGGCCAGCAACAACGCGGAGGACGAGGAGGCGGCCAGCAGAGAGGCCGAGGAGGCCCCCCTCGCGCCAGCCACAACCCTGGCCACATGGGACGTGCCGGAAACCCTGGCGGGCGGACATCGGCTGCTCAAGACAAGAATCTTTGGGTGCACATGGTCCAGTTTTTGCGAAAGCAGGCTCTTCTGCCAGCTTGCATCTTTGTCTTCTCCAAGAAGCGATGCGAGGAGAACGCCGATGCCCTGAGCAACCAAGACTTTTGCACTGCTTCGGAGAAGAGCGCGATCCACATGGTGATTGAAAAGTCCATTGCCCGTCTCAAGCCCGAGGATCGAGTCCTGCCACAGATCATCAGGCTTCGAGAGCTTCTCGGCAGAGGTATTGCCGTCCATCACGGTGGCTTGCTGCCAATCGTCAAGGAGTTGGTGGAGATTCTGTTCGCTCGAACGCTTGTCAAGGTCTTGTTTGCCACGGAGACGTTCGCCATGGGACTCAACCTGCCCACCCGAACGGTGGTGTTTTCGGGATACCGCAAGCACGACGGCCATTCGTTCCGCAACCTGCTGCCTGGCGAATACACGCAAATGGCTGGTCGAGCCGGCCGTCGAGGTCTCGACAAGGTCGGCTCAGTCATCATCGTGCCACCGGGCGGCGACGATGTACCCCCTGTGGCCGAGCTGCGCAGCATGATCTTGGGAGAGCCGTCCAAGCTCAAGTCTCAATTCAGACTGACGTACAACATGATTCTCAACCTGTTGAGAGTGGAAGCGCTCAAGATTGAAGAGATGATCAAGAGGAGCTTTTCCGAACATGCCACGCAGCAGCTTCTCCCAGAGCACGAAAAGGACGTCAAGCTGGCTCAAGCAGATCTTGCTAAGGTCAAGAGAGAGCCCTGCAAGATTTGCGACAACGTGGTGGACGAGTGCCACCAGGCCGCCCAGGACTACAAGCGGCTGACGACGGAGCTGTACAAGGGCTTGCTGAAGATATCCTTTGGGCGAAGGATGTTTTCGCCGCAGAGGCTGATTGTCTTCAACTGGGATGGCATCCGCACCGCCGGTATCCTCCTCGCTGAAGGCATGAGCCCCAAGGGCTCCTTTGAGGACCCCATCCTGCACGTCTGCGCCATCAAGCCGCTTCGAGAGCGCCGCGACATTACGGACCAGCTGCCCTTCATCCCCGCGTTCCGCAAGTACATGCAGAAGCTTCCTCAGGGGAAGAGGCGTCTTACTACTAAGAATATGTTTGTGCCCCTGAGCGATGTCGAATGCCTGACTAGGTGGGTTCTCAAGGGAGTCATCCCGGAGATTTTCAAGGGGGGTGCTCCCGCACACGAAGCCCTCGACAAGATTCAGGAGATCTGTTCGTCGTGGGATGATCGGTGGGACGAGATAGATATGGCCAAGGTGAAGAGCTTGCCGCTGCAGGAGCTGATGGAGAAGCGATGGCAGCTGTCCAAGACGATGGCCAACTCTGCAGCCTTGCGGTGCCCTGCCTTTTTGAAGCATGTAAGTTGTTGATAATTTCCCCTGTTCCTACACGCCTTGCCCCCCCTTTTTTTTTTTAATCCGTTGCCTTTCGCGGGTCCGTGTGCTAAACAAGATATTTCAACAGTATGCCATGTGCCACGATGAGTGGCTCATCACCGAGCATATTGCTCAGCTGAAACAGACGCTCTCGGATCAGAATCTTCAGCTGCTCCCCGACTACGAGCAGCGCGTGCAGGTGCTGAGAGAGCTCGATTTCATCGACGAGTCGTCGCGCATCCAGCTCAAGGGCAAGGTGGCCTGCGAGGTCCACTCTGGCGACGAGCTGGTCCTGACCGAGCTGATTCTCGACAACGTGCTGGCCGACTTTGACCCCGCCGAGATTGCGGCCCTCTTGTCCTCGTTCGTGTTCCAGGAGAAGACGCTGACGGAGCCTACCCTGACCGGCAACCTGGAGCGTGGACGTGATACTATCATTGCCATTTCCGAAAAGGTCAACGACGTGCAGACGCGGCTGCAGGTGATTCAGTCGAGCGAGGACTCCAACGACTTTGTGTCGAGGCCGCGGTTCGGCCTGATGGAGGTGGTGTACGAGTGGGCCAGGGGCATGAGCTTCAAGAACATTACGGCGCTCACGGATGTGCTCGAGGGCACGATTGTGCGAACCATTACGCGACTCGACGAGACGTGCCGGGAGGTGAAGAACGCGGCGAGAATCATTGGCGATCCGGAGCTGTATCAGAAGATGCAGCAGGCGCAGGAGATGATTAAGAGGGATATCACAGCCGTGGCGAGCTTATACATGTAGAATGGGACATGGTGTCTTGATTTGGATTTGGCATTTCCCGCGTGGAATGCATGATAGAAGGGTCAGGGTTTGGACTTTGCAATTAGACTTGCAGGGCGCATTAGGTCGAGATGCATGGATTGAACCGGGGGCCTGAGGATACACAAATGAGACTCGAAGATGAGGGCCATAGAGGCGCTACGAGATAGTAGTGTGTCTAGGAATGTAGGGATGCATGCTTGTATAATATGAATGTATGGAACGAAACCAAGGTCCCAAGGCAGCAGCAGCACAGAGAGAGAATATGCTAGAGTCGAGTTCAAGGTTGCAGCTCTACTGGTTGTAAGAATTCCAACATGATCTGATCCAGCCTTTCAAATCCATCCGGCCCGAGCAAATCTTTGCCCAAAACGCCACAACTCCCTTGTCCAGACTGATTAGAGGAACAAAGAACAGAGAAACCGAGAGCAAAACGTGTAAAGTTGTCAAGCTCATTCCGTTTGTACATGTGTGCGTTTATTCGGCCGCACTTTATAGCAAGATAACCCAATCGAGGAGAGGAACGTAGGACAAAGGAATACAACGACGACAAAGAACAAGGACAAATCCGCTATAAATCAGCAACAATATCACAATCATATCTCCCTTGAAATTGGCTAAGCTCGCAGGGCCCTCAGCCTCTGCTGCAGCTTGTCCTCCTCCTCGGCCGACGGCTCGGCGGTCTGCGGCTCGGCGGAGGCGGGCGTCGCCTTGTTGAGCTCGAAGCTGAGCTCGAGCCCGGCGTCGTCGGCCAGCTTGCCGAGCAGCTCGTGGACGGCGTCCTCGCCGACCTGGACCGAGGTGGACTGGGTGATTGCGTCTTGGTAGATGCCGTTTGTCATTGCGTATTCTTCGTTTTGCTGCTTGAACTGCTCCAGGGTCACGAGGGTCTGCGTATTCACAATGGTCAGCGTCAGTCTTTGCGGATTTTTTTCTCACTCAAAACTTGACAGTCCCCCAAACCCAAAGATGTAAAGAAGGGCAAACACACCTTTTCAGGATTGGTATTCTTCTGCGCCAGGTTCATGGTGCGCGACGACGAGGCCATCATGTGCGTCATGCGGTTCATGGCGTTGTTGGCCTGGATCTGGGCGCTCGACAGCTCGGCCATGTCGGCCATCTGGTCCATCTGGGCGGCGAGCGCCTGCTTGGACAGCAGCATCTTGGCCTTTTGGTAGGCCTTTTGCGTCTCGCCCTTCTTGAGCAGGTCCTGGATCTGCTTGCGGAGGATGGGGTCCTGCTTGGCGGCCTTTTGGGCCTCGCGCCGGGCCTGCTTCGCCTGGAAGCGGGCCTGGAATTCGACCTGCATGTCGCGGGCGAGTTGGCGGTTCGACATGGTGGGCGAAAGGGAGATGGTGAGGGTATTCGGAGGGAAGGGAGGGATTAATATCGGAGGCGTCTCGTAGGAGCGGGCGACTTAGGGGAGATGCTCAGAGGTTGGAGGATGGAGGGATGGCGATGTTCGAGATGGTTGATCGGGGATGGCGTCGTTGAATTGCCTTTGGCTCTCTGCGGTCTCTTCGAGGCTAGAGGTTTGGAATTGGTTGAATCATGTGGCGGATAAGGCGGGGTGACGCAACAGAAGGTTCGACAAGCACAGCCACAGATGCAGACTGGATCTAGTACTAGCCTTGCATGAGAAGAGGCGTTCAATTACCAGCCACATCACCAGCCACATTCTATGCTGAATCGATGACTCGTCCATGTAAGTCAAACAGCTACCTACCTTAGCTAACCTGAACATTTTGAGATATAGATATTGAAAGTCGAACTCGTCTGAATGAAGGCATCAATCCCATCAAGATCATTCATCCGAAATATAACCAGCTCAGCAGCTGCCAGAATGGCTGAAAGAACCAAGCTCAACGTCCAGTCGTTCCCTCGACCGCCGCGGCTCGAGAGAATCTCACGGCATCTCCGCATCACCTACAAGGACGTCGAGATTGCAGACACTCATGATGCGTATTGGGTGCTGGAAACGCATCACCCGCCAAGTGCGTCTCCGAACCGAGTTCGTACATGATTCACGCAAACGACAAGTTATCATGGCGGCGTTACACACTATCATCCAAAATGCCAACCTCGAAGCTGCTTCTTCTACTGACTCCAGCCGTCTTCTCAGCTTACTACCTCCCTCCCTCCAGCATCAAGGCCTCCCTCAAGCCCACGTCCCGCTCCAGCTGGTGCGAGTGGAAAGGCGCTGCAACCTACTACAGCATCAGCCTCCCGGACGGCGCCGTCTCCAACCGCATCTGGTCGTACAACAGCCCGACGCCCGGGTTCGAGCCCCTGCGCGGGTACCTGAGCTTCTACGCCGGCCCGTGGGACTGCTTCGTCGACGGCGAGCGGGTGGAGCCCCAGCCGGGCGACTTTTACGGCGGATGGGTGACGAGTGAGATTGAGGGCATCGTCAAGGGGAGGACGGGCAATCTGGATCCCGTAGTCTGACGGTCGTATCACCGGATGACGGCAGCTTGCTCGTGCTGATGTTGCACCCGAGTCTTGATAATCGAATCCGCATCTTGGCTCTTTGAAGCACAGACGAGTCCGAGCTTTGCTGGATGGGTGTCGCACCCAGGTATCCGGTTAGTGCTTCCTAGTAGTATTGTAATCACGGAGCCGTCGGCTGTGTCAGGTAAAGGCTCCTTCATGTTGGACACGGACGTTTCCGTGAACGTTGCAGATCAAGATGGTTGTCTTTCTCAACGTGTGATGCAGGGTAATAATCCTTTTTCTGTGTGCAGAAGACATCGTTCATCGCCGTCGAGGATTGGGCTTGCCGGCAGTAATTCGTTCTTTTCGTTTATTGTTGGATTGAACGAGTAAAGTGTAGGATCTTGTGCATCCTCTGGCCGAAAAGCAAGGACGTCCTCTTGAACAACAGCAACAGCCATGGATCGGCTCACTCATTCAGACACTGGATTGCATCGAGTCAGAGTACATGCTTTGCCTGCAGCTTGCTGACTGAACAAGACATCCTACACCAACCGGAGCAGACAATCACATCTGGAAGCCCATGCAACAAGCGGTCTGCAGACAACATACGGTCCATGACCATGACCATGACCCTGTCGGCATCTGTTGGGCTCAACTGCACCCCTGTCAGCCACGTCCGGAGACCCAGACACACATACATACGCACGCTTGAGCCTGTGGCCTGATGACCGTCTACATCATGCACGACGTCCGTCTGCAACGAAGGGAACGCCCAAGAGCTCGATTGCTGCACGGAGAGCGCATCATCGCCAATGCACTTGACCTGGAGCTCCGTCCGACGTGGCAAGCTTTCCTTCGTACAAGCCATGTCCCGGATCCGCGAAACTCCACACCTGCACTGCTGCTGGAGGAGACGGATTTTGCATGTGACTGGACCTGGATACAACATGCACCTGCACGAGCGAGCATTCACTGAGACGAGCAACTCCTCCAGCACCATGCGTCTACAATGTATGGTCGATCAAAGGCTCACCGACATGTACGTAAACCAAGCATGGGGACGCCCAAAAAAACTCTTGTCGTTTCTGCTTTTACTTTGCTTCCGTGCCGGGTCGGGATGCAGTGTGCCCTTACCGTTAAAGCAGTCCCATGCTCAACGCGCTCTCCGCCGTACTATGTCGCAAAGGATTCGACAGGACATGCAGAATGCTGGCCCCGTTGAATACAGTGAGCGTCCGTGTCGTTGCATCCGAGTGGCTGTCAAGAATGATCCGGCAGTCAAAGGATTGATCTCGATGGTTGCTTGATTCCCTTGACTGATCTCAATGACTTGCGGTGAGAGGCCGTTGCAGCGAGAAATCCTGATTTTCCTTTCCTTTGCGCTCTCCCTGTTCCATCATTGGCTCGATCATCCGAACATAGACGCACAAAGTGCGTATGTATACGCAGCAATTCCTCACGCATGAGTGGTCGAAGAGGAAATGCAGGACACGGACAATTCCTGTTCCCCGCATACGACGCACATGCGTAAAGAGCACATGCTTCCCGTGCTGTGGCGGCACCTCGAAGAATCTTGACGTCGTAATAGTAAGCAGATCCCCTTTCGTACTCGTTTCCGTTCACGTTGGAGTCAGCCAGCCATTGGGTCGATTCGGCAGAAACCAGCGTGCATGAGGGCTGCAGTCTTGCCCACTTGGGCGCCACTGCAGCAAATGGAATCGAATGTCCTTGTGCTTCTTGGGAGTGTGCTTCTGGAGAGGTGGGATTCGCCACAAACAGTTTTGTTGTCAAGCAGAGAATCAGAAGATAGGACGCAAGATCAGAGCATCTGTCGGGTAAACTGCCAATGAATTGTGGCAGAACTGGATCAAATTGTCTCCGTCTGGGGTTACATGGAACGGCTCTTGGGAGCCGGAGTATTATTTATGTATGTATCGCTAGCACGACAGACTGGGGAGAGATGGGAGAGATGGATGAATGGGCAAAGGGTAAACTGGGCGAATCCGGGGGTGTCGGCGAGAAAGAGGGGGATCATCGGCCTAATCAGGGGGGAGAAGCTGGAGGGAGGGCAGGGAGGGGTCCGTCCGCCGTTGCAATGCCGGGTTGATATTGAGCTGCTAGCGGGAAGAGTAGCGTTGGGTTGATGTTGATGGCATGGGGTATGTGATTTACGGAGTGTCTTGCCGGGAGAAACATGTGAGGTACTACCAACACGTATCGTACGTACAGCGGTAGGGTTCACTTGTGTCTGTTGATTCTGCTGGGCTGATGTTGCTTGAATGTTTCGAAGCCGTCGATAACGGTGCAATTGCACGACGATATACGAGCAACGAGGATCCCTTCTCGGATGGCTCGAGGCGAGAGGGGGACAAAAGGGGCGGCACCAACGGCCCGCACTCCGAGATGAGATGCTATCGAGCAGCGGCTGCCACACCAGAGGCACTAGTTGCAGGGCTTGGTACGCATTGGATCTGGAGAAGGCCCTCGTTTTGCCTGAGGTGAATTGTTACAGGTACAGTAGGGCCGATGGAGGAGGGGAAAACAGGCCCGCCTCCCCTTTCGACCGTCCCTCTTTTCAGTTTGCTCATTGGACCGAGAGTTGTGTGTCTAGTCAAGTCGAGAACTATGAATTCAGCCAGAGAAGAGAAGAGCGCGCTACCGGTATTAATAGCTGCGGAGGCAGATGTCGCCTTTTGTCGTGAGATGATATCCAGCTGCTCTTTTTGGCAGTTTCTGTGCCGTCCGTCAGCACACATTCCCATGTCCGTATGTAGTACTATTACTGTGCAGCGCCTGCTAGGGGTCCTCTCTTTGTCTCGCCTGTCTGCGCGACATCAGACTGCCCTTGCCCGGGTCGTAGACGAACCGCCAGGGTTCGCACGAACGGGTTCGTTCGATCGATGCGACTGTCCTCGCTTCCCTTGTGTACCCTTGCGCGAGAGGTTCATGCCGGAGCTGGGCGCTGGGGATGGATGCCTGGCCCCCCGAAGAGCAGCAACAGCATCACCGGGAACGTGCGCTCGAACCACCGCTGGGGAGTGCTGCCAGAACCACACTGCTCCATATGCCTACCGGCTACCAAGACCCGTAGCCCCAAGATAGGGGATCGCATGGCTGATTGTCACCCAGCCACTCTCTTGCGCACGTCCTCGCAGCAATTGGCTGGAGAGAAAGGATCCCCGAGTCAACAAGGGCTTACACGGGATCCGCTGGACCTTTGCACCTTTGTGTCCCGTGTTGTTAGTGATTACGTGCGCAACGCCAACAGAGCGTACGAGTAATACCAATGATAGTAGTAGTCCGTACACAGAAACAGAGACGAGATGGAGAGTATATGAGATTCTCTTGTCTCAGAAGGGGAAGAATAGGTAGGTTGGAACTTGGACAAGGCAGCATGGAAGAGAAGCCGGATGGATCGATGCCCCATCGTTGGTGGCTGCATTGTGGGCTCGTCCGTGCCTGTCGGAGCTCACCACGTATTTGCGACATGTACGAGGTACAGCTCGAGCACACATGGGCTCCGTTTCCATACATGACATGTACATTGCAGAGGCGCGCACGCAGAGAGGCAAATGCAGCCGGGTTGAAGGTGCCTTGGAGGTAGCGAAGGGCTAGAGCGAGGGTAGCGCGCCTGTTGCGGTGGCGCTGCTATTGATTGTTGATTGACCTGACTGACTGATTGACAATGATTGACTGAGAGATTGATGAAGCAATGAGAATAGAAACCCAAGTGGCGACTCGGAGACTTGAGGCTTGGTCCCTAGCGGTACACCGTCTCTTTCGCGTTGGGCACTTGGCGAGCTGAGGTAGATCGTCTCACAAGTGGGATCGAAGAGAGGACGAGGATCCATCATCGTGTCCAGCCCCTTTTTCTTGTGATGTTGATACTGCTAGTACTACCACTGTGCGTACGAATCTGGGTGGCACATATGTACCTAGGATTGGAATAGGTATGTTAGGGAGAGAAGCCTGATAACATGTGAGAAACTTCTGTGCTCGTAATAACTGGGAAGCTCGCGATGGATGGGGATGGGCAGAGAGTGGCATCATGGGCCATGAACATCTGCTCTGCAAGCATGAGGAGACAGAAAAGCCCAACAAAACACATGCACGCTCTCTGCAGGCATGTCCATGTACATGTAGGCAACGTGTCGCCTGCGGGAGGAGCGTGTATCCTGGCGACTAAGCAGGGTACAGCTACCAGTGATGCAGGTGTGTCAAGTTGTTCCAGGTAGAATGGCGTACTGCATGTGTTCCCAGTAGTGGTGATTCGTACCTCTACAGTATGTACTTGTAGTATGCGGGATGAGGAACGAAGAAGGAACACTCGTAAGCAGACACGGAGAACGTGTTGACAGCAGGGATTCAGCACGGTAAAGGCTATGGATCCAACGTGTATTGAACAGAGTTGGACGTTTGGTGAAGCACGTGTGTCTCGGCGGTTCTGCCACGCCCTGTTGGACCAGGAACAGCAGACTTACTTACTGTACACTCAGGCAGTGGAAGCATCAATGGGCCTGCTGGAATCCCGCCTAATCTTACTTGACGTGCTCCCACGATCCGGTTCAGCCGACTTCAAACGCTCGGAAAGGACACACGAGGCTCGGAGGATTGCGAAGACTGGACTCCCATCATCCGTCACCTCAGTCGAAACCGCCTGGACTGTGCGAGCCCAGCCCGGGTCTCGATGGGAATTCCAGTGGCCCACCCCCTGTACATACTGCCCTGTCCATAGCTCGCACCCTCTCGACCCCTGCAGCAGGTCAGCTTCGGCGCCGGTCCACCTCCCCCAAGCCCGCTAATTCCTACAGTTCCAGCAAGGCCCCCCCCCCTGAAGCCCCCCCCTGAAGCCTGATTCGAAGGCTGCGCCCCGCCCTTGCACTGGGTGTTGCCTTCCATGTTCGATTCGATGCCATGCCGCCCCTTTCCCCTTGCCCAGCTCAGCCGCTGCCTCAGGCAACGACAGGCTCAGCCGCCCTCCTTTGGGTTACGTGTCCTCAAGATAAAGAGGCCACCATCGCCGCTGGATCTCGGCTCTTCGTTCGCTCGTCAAGCTAGACAACTCTCGAGAGGCCACTCTGTCCTCTTCTGCCTGACTCATCACTCCTCGACAGCATCACCAAGGGGAACGCACTGCACTTGGACACAGCCACGCCGCTTCCCACTGACTCATTTGGGACTGGCGCCGTTGCCTGTCATGACTGTTCGCATCGTCGTCATCAACCATCGACTGACACGCTTCGCTTTGATTTGATTGCTTCTCTCTCCACTCTCTCTCTTCCTGTCTCTCTACTACTACTACTACTCTCTCTTCTGCATCTCCACCGGCCTGTGACCGAAAAAACCAACTCCGTCTCCTTTCGAAGAAGAAACAGTTGGTCCGACGTCACAAGCACATTCACAAAAATCAAACAACATATCCCCATCTTTCATATACACCACACGCTTATGCAGTGAGAGAGCACGAGAGAAGCATCGTCATAATCAACACATCAGTCAAAGCGAACTGCGCTCGGCAACACGACACGGCAGGCAACATGGCGTTCCAGCAGTCGTCTCCCCTCGTCAAGTTTGAGGCCTCTCCCGCCGAATCCTTCCTCTCCGCCCCCGGCGACAACTTCACATCCCTCTTCGCCGACTCAACACCCTCAACACTTAACCCTCGGGACATGATGACCCCTGACAGCGTCGCCGACATCGACTCTCGCCTGTCCGTCATCCCCGAATCACAGGACGCGGAAGATGACGAATCACACTCCACATCCGCTACCGCACCCTCTACCTCAGAAAAGAAGCCCGTCAAGAAGAGGAAATCATGGGGCCAGGTTCTTCCTGAGCCCAAGACCAACCTCCCTCCTCGGTATGTCACTGCAACACGGCTCACTTGATACAACTTGCATCCTAACCAAACGTTACTGTAGAAAACGTGCAAAGACGGAAGATGAAAAGGAGCAGCGCCGCGTCGAGCGTGTTCTCCGCAACCGCCGCGCCGCGCAGTCCTCGCGCGAGCGCAAGAGGCTCGAGGTCGAGGCTCTCGAGAAGCGCAACAAGGAGCTCGAGACGCTCCTCATCAACGTCCAGAAGACCAACCTGATCCTCGTCGAGGAGCTCAACCGCTTCCGACGCAGCTCAGGCGTCGTCACCCGCTCGTCCTCCCCCCTCGACTCTCTCCAGGACAGCATCACTCTCTCCCAGCAACTCTTTGGCTCGCGGGATGGCCAAACCATGTCCAACCCCGAGCAGTCCTTGATGGACCAGATCATGAGATCTGCCGCTAACCCTACCGTTAACCCGGCCTCTCTTTCCCCCTCCCTCCCCCCCATCTCGGACAAGGAGTTCCAGACCAAGGAGGAGGACGAGGAACAGGCCGACGAAGATGAAGAGATGGAGCAGACATGGCACGAGACCAAAGAAGCCGCCGCCGCCAAGGAGAAGAACAGCAAGCAGTCCCGCGTCTCCACTGATTCGACACAACGTCCTGCAGAGATGTTGTGCGACCCGCAGTGTCAATCGGTGGAGATGCCGCTGTCCCTGTCTTCTCAGACGACGCCGGCGCAAACTGCCTTGGCCTGGACCCTGTTCATCAGGATGATGGTCCTTTCAGCATCGGCCATTCTTTCGGCCTGTCAGCGGCCCTTGATGCAGATCGCTATCTCCTCGAAAGCCAACTTCTCGCTTCGCCCAACGCCTCAACTGTTGACGACGATTATCTGGCTGGTGACTCTGCCGCCTGCTTCACGAATCCTCTCCCCTCCGACTACGACTTCGACATCAACGACTTCCTCACAGACGACGCAAACCACGCCGCCTATGACATTGTGGCAGCGAGCAACTATGCCGCTGCGGACCGCGAGCTCGACCTCGAGATCCACGACCCTGAGAATCAGATCCCTTCGCGACATTCTATCCAGCAGCCCCAGTCTGGCGCGTCCTCTCATGGATGCGACGATGGCGGCATTGCGGTTGGTGTCTGAGGGACGCGACGATCGGGGCGGGATCCCGGCCTCCGAGTCTTGTGCGACGCGCGGCGACTGCGAGCTGGAACGGTGCCTACGCAGCGTGACCTTGCCGTCTCGAGAAGTCCTCATCACCCTGTGGTGGGCCGTGAAGGTGGAGGAGAGGAGGATTCGCCTGAGGCAGCACAAGAAGCAGGCCGCGGCTCTCGACCCCGAGAAGCGCGCCTCCTTGGCAGACAAGAAGAACCGACAACAACAACAACAACAACACCAGTATCAGATTCCTTCGTTTTCAAAATAGTTAGCATATGTGGTTTTTTAATGGGCAATGGGGCGGATGGCAACACGGTAGAGGCAACAAGGGTTGACTACACCTCCCAAAGGGATACGGCGCACAGCGAGGTTAATGACAAGGCTAAGATGGGCCTTTTTTTTTTATGATATGAGAACCTCTTCATCTCCCTTTACACTTCTCTCTAGATGGTAGTGATGATATACTGTACCAAAATACAACGTCTACCTAGTGCTATTCTTGTTCTCCTATCATGCAAAGTGAACCAAGTGCCCTTTTTGTTTTTGTTCTCACGCCTATGAATATCGAAACTTGATATTTTGCAGTCATACGGAAGCCCCTTAGGTAGTTTTAAGGAATCCAGCGCCATCGTTAATACGATAGGGCGGAAGAGCTGTACGGCATAGCAATACAGTGGAATTGCAGAGATATTATCTATACGAGAGTATTCGTGATAATATCAGACATGCGTCAAGCCATGGCCGGCCAGCCAGGTCATGTTCTCAATCCTTCAACGCCATTTACCACGTAAACACGCATAAAACCTGCCCAAACGCCAGCTAGATGTCGTCAATTTCATATCCACAAGGACAACAAGTCCCGCTCATCCACGTCCCAAGCCTTTGTCTCACCACAGCCCCTCCATCTCCTGCATGGCCTCCTCCTCGTCCGCGAAATCGTGTCCCTTGTCCGCAGAACCGCCGCTACCCGCATTCCTGCCCGTCGGCTGTCCGCTGGAACGATCCCGTTCTTCTGCCTCGGCAATGAGGGCATCGAGATCATCCTCTCCCTCTTGTATGGAGTGATTTGATCTCTGGTTGGCAGCAGCGGCACTGCGAGCAGCTGGGCCGGGCCGGCTGTCCATGCTCTCGGCTTCAGCCATGAGCGCTTCCAGGTCGTCGTCGTCAGGGGCATCGTTTGACGGCGCAGAACGAAGCGCATTTGTCGATCTTGGCGCCCGAGGCGTAGCGTCGTATAGATCATCGTCGTCGGGTACATCATTGTCCCTCTCTGGTGTCTTTTGTGACCTCTCTCTACCACCTGCAGGAACAGAAACAGTCTGCGAATCTCCTGAGATGGCGACGGCTCCGATATCAAAGTCATCGTCCTCATCGTCGTCGTTGTTGCTCGCCTTGGGACGCCCTTCGTTGATCCATTCGTTTCGGGCAGTCACGAGGGCCTTTTTGTGGCCGGTCTTTTCTACCATGGCGAGGGCGTCGAGGAACCGAGCTTTAGGGAAGAGGTCGTCCAGCCATAGCTGGTAGAAGGAGAGGAGGCGGGAGGCGTCGGAGAACTATAGGCCGAGAAGACGATAGTTAGAAACACCTAGTAAGCGATCAGAAGTGATGGACATCTTGCAAGATGCGTACCTCGTGGCCTTTGCCTTTCAGCTTGAGGCCTGCAGCTCGTTTTCTCAGCTTTGGGATTCCATCTGGACCCAGCAATCTGGCGATGGAGTCAGCACATCATCACTTATACGCAGGATGCTTGATCTGTATAGTTTCCTAGAGAACCTATAGTTCCTACCTTTCCTCATCAAGCTTGACAGCTGGCACTCGGGCACGTTTCTGGACCGAAACCTCCTCCTCGATTCCCAGCCCCGAGTCGGGCTCCTTTCGCTTCTTGGTGGACGATTCTGGCGGGGGAGATGCGAATGGGTTGTCCGAGTCGTCGAGGCCGTAGTCGTCCAAGTCGTCGCCATGGTCCAGCAACCGCTCGAATGCCGCGGCTGAGGGCATAATCAGTGTATTGTATGTATTGTTTCTTTGATTTTTTTCTTTTCTTTTCCGTTAATTTGAGTGCAATTCTCTTGTCTTCTTGATAAATGTCAGATCTAATTTTATCTTCCTCTTTTATTAACAAATCGCTACACCAGACGCGTCTTCCCTCTTAATGAATCATGGCGGGGCAAGCGCGTCGCAGGTGTCAAGGCAGGTAAGTGCCCACCGGCTTTAATTGACGCACGTGATCAGTTCCTACCTCCTCCAAGGACATCCCGCAAGCCACGTGATCTCTTGCTTCCTGAGGCACTAACAATCGCAGCTCGCAGCGACAGGCATCAGATCTCGAGGTCGAATCGAGTGCTTGCAATTTTCGGGGTCGCGAATCCAATCAGCAAAATGGCCTCGACAGCGACCAAGCAGACCCCGCCGTCTTTTGTCGGGACCAGCAAGGTCGTCGAGACCAGCTATCCGGTATGTAATTGGCGCTCAATTGGCTGCACGGCGACAAGAACTGACTGACTGACTGACTTGGCGTATTTGTAGCTCATCGACAACGATCCGTACGTTTGACCTACCATGATATCACTATCGCGCGAGACCGATCCTTTTCGGTGATGATGAGACGAATACTGATGGACGTTGGACAGCCACTTCAAGCGGGTTATCCGATATGCGAGGACGTCAGACTACGTAGCCGGTGCGGCCTCTGCGGCCTTTGCTCCCGCCGCTCTCTATGCCCTCGAGAGGCTCGCCCCGTCGCACGTCGGCAGGGGAGGTTTTGCCAAGGCCATGAGGCTGGCTGGATTCATCGGCCTGGCTGGTGGCTTCCTCTACTTTTACCAGCGATCAGCCCGTACGTCTTCTTTCGATCCTTTACATCCGGAGTTTATGTGCGGGGGAGGGGAAGAGGGGGAGAAAGAGGAAGAGGACAAGCAGCAACATGCGGGATGCTTGACGACTGGAGCTGACACTCTGACCCCGATTCACAGTCCGATTCTACGGCGCCACCGAGAACTCGAGGGAAGTGGAGATGGACATGCGCGAGATGGTGGCCAAGGTCAAGGCCGGAGAGCCCCTGTACGGCCACAGCAGGCTGAGCCCGCACCTGCAGGGCGTCGCGGCCCGCCAGAGCAGATACTCGGCCCTCTTCTTCAGCACAGTACCGTGGTTCAACTTTGTCAACCACAACCAGCACGGCGTCGACACGGCCAAGTACTACCAGCAGGCCGAGAGGGAACTGGAGGCGGAGCGGGTGGCAGGCGGCAACTAGGCGGGAGAGTGACCCCAATGTGTATATTTAGCGGGACTGCCGCTGCTTGCGGCCAACAAGAGATGTTTGAAGTTCTCATTCCTAGGTCTTTGTGGTACTCGATGTCCATCATGGTGACTTGGCTGGTGGTTTGAGCCTTTGGCTGTATTTGGCTGTTTAACTGACCGAGGACCAACACTGACAGGCCAGCGCAACTCCCTACGGCAAGCTTTTGGGTTACAGCAACCCGATGATGAGGCTGAGATGCCCAAGGTAAAGCCTGACTACAGGCCTGCCCTCTGCCAGGATCACAGCTGCGGTTCACAACTCTCACGCTGTTTGATTGGAAGAAATACGAACATTCAAATTGTCAAAGAGTCAGCAGAATGAGGACAGTACAATACGATGACGAGTCGACAACAGAACCCTTGCCCGGCTGAAGCGGGTTCCTGGCCAGATTCAGCAGACAATCCGAGACCCCCCCCCCCCCCCCCCCCCCCCTGAAGCTTCAAATATGGTGTACGTATGCGTGGACCCATGGATTTTCCCAGGCTTGCCTGGAAGCATGACTTTTATCTCGTAGTGACTCAATCATGAAACGCGGCGCAGCAGTCGGGAGGCCATGAGTCAACTCTATTACTGACATCCGAGACCTCTACGATGGAGGAGCCAGGCATTTCTCCGCCCTTGTTCAGCACATGACAGCTCTCCTGGATCTCTGCGGCGGAAGCTTGGCGCGAGAGCCGCTGAGAAAACTCGACAGGTAGGACAGCAATCTTTGACCGAGGCATTTTTGTTCTTTTGAATATTATAGAGAGGACATGTCTCACATATTTGTCCAGGGCTATGTGCTGCGAAACGAAGCAGCTGAGCGTCGATTCCCTGGGATGGCCTTGGTCTGGATACAGTTGTTGGGCCTTCTCGCAGTTGTTGGTTTTCCGCAACTGATTCGAGTTATGCACATCATCCATCCCCTTGGCAGATGGCACAGGCAGGGCTCAATCTTGCATACACAAATGCCCGGATATCTTTGACATTACCTCTCGATAAGATGCGCGGTCCAAATGCCGGTCATGGATTCTGACTCCATGGCAGAACGAGGCCAACACGTCTCCGCCGTCTTCTCAACGCCAAGCCTTCTGCTGTTAACAGATAATGAACGCATGCACCGGGCTACCGGATCGGTAGCGAGGCCACGATGTAACTCCAACTTCGTGTGTGTCGTCACTCGTAGATGCGACGACCACGGGCAAGGGAAATCCTGCACCGCGAAAGACAGTCAATGGGGAGAAGGACTCGTCACCGGTGCCTCTGCCGTCACATTGAACCGGGATTCTGGTCGAGAGGTTGTTGGGTCATGGTCTCGTTGGTGGATTGCCGTTAAGTGCCGAAATAAAGTGAGCGACAAAACGTGCTTCCCGTGTTGGTTCTATCACATGCTGAAGACAAACACTTGGGATATCAAGGATTTGACGTTTCGACCAGGAGAGATCAACACAGCACGTAACGAATGCAACTCCAATGTGACAACTGCAACCGTCGGAATTACTTACGTCAAAGAAAGGTCTACAATCTATCGACATGCGTTTTGTATCTAATATCGAAACGCGACAATAGCGTACCAGGGGCTATCTGACGTCCCATACGACTAATACAAATGATGCTACTATCGACCCGACTGCGACGGGACAGGGGCAATGGCCTTGGCACGACCGCCTACGATTCACTTGCCGAGCACAATATATCGCGTCCCAAGGGCTATGTTCTGGGCAAGGGTGTGCATACAGCTCATGAAACTCGAGTGAACCAAGCACACAGAGGAGGATTCTCGAGCAAGTGTGACAAGACGTCCAGAGGCATGCAGATGTCGCCGGCCTGGAACGTCCTCGTTGGCCGAAGCGATGTGACAGTCATCCTTATTGGATGCCACAACTGTGCCCATGACACAAGTCTGGAGCAAATGGAATCTGGGCTGCTCGAGCTCGTTGCAACCCAACCATGGGACAGACTGTGATGGGAGCGGCGACTTTGCGGACCTTTATGCAGACGGACTCGGCTCCACAGCCGCAATATACAGCCGCAATATCGGTATGTGACGGCATAGCGTGTTCTTCTGCAGGCAATGGCTGCAATGACTGGAGAAACCATATCATCACAGCACCCCTTGAGGGCACATCGCGCGTTGCATCGAGGCCGTCGGATGAGGGGATGGGGGCTTCCCGGGTCAAGCAATTGATGAACATCATCTTTACCTCAAGACTTTCTCTTGCCGAGTTTGTCCTGGTTGCGTGTGAAGCTGTAGCCATTTGATTGATAATGACGCACCCTCTATTGTCTCTGCCCCCTGAATTCAGGTGATTCCGCCGCGAATACGTTCCAGCCTTGACACAATGAAGCAAGGACAGAGGGCGCTGGCGGGAGGCCTTGAACAGCTTTTCCTTTGCTCTTTGAGTTCAACTGACTGATGGTAGCCAAAAGAAACAAGAGGCATAACGCTGCCACAATATAGATGGTGATGATTTTTTTTTTACGTGTGTCTAAGCCAAAACATGCTGCCCTCCCCGGTCACTTCTCAGGTCAACATGTTCCCTTCGCGTCGAGAAAAGACGTATGAGTCCATTAGCCATGCAAAAACCACTCGCACCCAGGTGAAGAAGCAATATTCAGCAGCAGCGTCATCCTTCTGTTGTCGATCCTGGTCAAGGTCTCGGGCCGTATCCCCCTTAGAGCTAGCACTGCAACCGGGAGAAAGGGAAAGTTGCTGCGAACCACGACGGACGAGCAGGGCAACACAGGTCGAATTATGCTTCATCAAGCTGTCAACTCCTCGGTGGCTCCACTCGCGATGCTGCCATGGTCGAGCTACTGTACGAACAGACAGGGCTGGTCCCAAGTCGCCACGTTCCCGACAGGCCCTAGGCTTCCAGGCTCCGTACTTGAGCACTACTAGACTCCGAGCTTGTTTTCTACTAAGACTTCTAGCAGCAGTTTGTCGATCTATCAACGAGATTCGTCACGCGTTTCAAGACTAATATTCATGTCGTATCCAAAAAAATCAAGAGAGAGAAACGACATCTGACTGCTCGGTGATGCAGACAAGCAAGAGCTAGGGACAGGGCCAGACCCATGCTCGGTCGTCAAGGTCCAGGTGAGGCAGATTATTGGCGATTCCCTGCTTATGGGGGTCGTTTGTGATGTGACGATGCCGGGGGACAAGGACAGCCTCAAAGGCTGAGGCTGTCTTCCGAGTCCATGTGCCCAGCGACATGTTGATGCCACATGTACATGTACCTAAAGCTACCATCTTAGCAAGGCAATACTGGCCAAGTTGAGATGTTGATTCGTTTTTTTCCAATCATGGGCTAATGGACACCCCCGTTCCCTGCAGAATTAGCAGCAACAGGGGGGCTTTACGTGCATAAGGCACAGAGCTTGCAGGTAAGTACTCACACCAGATCGATCGGGGGGTCCGTCATCACCCTTGGCAAGACGGTGACGAAAGGCTGCATGACGACCGATAGAAGAAGAGGAGAAGAGGAGGAACAGCCCTAATCGAGAGGGTTGACGCCGGCCCCAGCAAATGAGGTTCGTTGCAAAAAGATCCCAATACAAGTCCTTACCTTACATGCAGTCACATGTGAACACCCTCGATATCTTCTCGCCTTCTGAAGGCTTAGTCATGCATCTCTGTCACCGTTTTCCCGGGCAGGGAAGGAGGAGCCTCTTCTTGAATGAAACACCTCTTCGACATGCTTCGTTTTCCTTGCTTCCAGTCTCCATTGACCCAGACGAGACTTATAGAGACTCCATTTGTTCAGCTGACCGAGCCTGTTTGACATCACGAGGAACTCTCCGCCAGACAGCCTCGGTCAAGCTGAAGGCCTCGATGCATGCAGTTGATGGTGGAGTGAAGAGGGACAGCCTACTCCTTGACAATGCGGACGAGATCAGCTCCTCCATGTTCTGATCCCGGGGCCGAGACACGATGCATCGAGCCGCATGTATACGAGTGCCCAAGCTTCTAGACTGCATCGGGCGTGGCGGCTAGGTTCAACGGTCAGAACCGCACGCCCCTCCGAGATGCCACCCATGATGTGACATCCTCTCCAAGCCCCAATCTAGCCGTTGCAACGGTATGTCCCCCATGCCCCTGAGAACCGGAAGATGGAGAGAAGTTGTGATGTTTGTTTCCTCCCATCGATGAGTGCCGACTGTGGATTGACAGTTGCAACCAGCTGAGCAGACAGCCATTCACCCGATGGACTCCATGGCCGACGAGGCAAACTAGCAGCTGCTGCCGGCCAGGGCGTCTGAAAGCTGGCAGCCCTTCCCCCCGGGAGCTCTCGAAAATTGAAAAGGGGGGCGGCTTCGCATACATCCCATCGTCATTCTTCCGTCTCCTCGAAGGGAGCACAGGCCGGCCCATGTGCTTGCTAGTTCTGCATTGTTGCTTCGAACAGCGCCCCCTTCTCTATTCATCAATTGGCAGCGAAGAACTAGCGGAGGGACCAACAGCGTCGCCTTGTCTATTGTCTCTGCAGCCACCAACACTGTCGAGCTGCGGCTGGCGTGGCCCAGGCACGCCGATTATAGTATCTTCAGGGTCAAAGGGGGTGGTCTGACCTCGGGAAAGTTTGGGGATCATGGATGGAGTATATCGATATGGTACTGCGCACAAGCACCGTCAGCCTTCTCCAAGCACATTCTTACATTAAACGACAGACAAGCAGTCGAAGATCATCGACGATTTTGGGGCCCCTACGGCCAGTCTATACCAGCATTTATTGCCTATAGATATGCCAAATGCATGCCTGCATGATGGGCAAATGTATCCTACACCCCCTCTAACCGCCTCTGTTGCGTCGGAAGATGGCGATTCTTCTGGCGTGTCGGCCTGCCCCCGAGACGGCCTCATCGCTGCGGATGGCCCTCGTACAAACGCATTCCCCCGGATTTCGAGACCTGTGGAGCTTATGCGAGATTCCTATGACTGCATCGTCATAGGTTCCGGCTATGGAGGCTCCGTTGCCGCATCACGTATGGCCAGAGCAGGCGAGTCCGTTTGCTTGCTGGAGCGAGGAGAAGAGAGGTGGCCTGGTGAATATCCTACGACTACCATGGAAGCAATGAGGCAGTTCCGTCTTACGGGAGACTTTACTCCGAGCTCCTTTGGTGGAGTTGGCATTGATAGCGGAAACACCACCGGCATGTACCATCTGTTCTTTGGACGCGATCAGAGTGCCCTTGTTGGCAATGGTAAGTGACGATACCTCAGCAGACAAACGCTGTCTTTAGCTTCTTGTTGACATTTACTGATGCTGCATCACGACAACTTGTAGGTCTGGGTGGCACAAGCCTCATCAACTCGAATGTCTTTCTTGAAGCAGACGAAGACGTTCTCAGAATGGGCTTTTGGCCCCCTGAGATACGAAACGACCCAACCGGTCTGGATAGATGCAAGTCACTGCTGTTTTGTACCTCATGCCATCTACAGCTCTTCCTTTCCTTCTGTCCAACTCTTCAAGGTTCCTCAGAAACACTCTCAAGCTGACTATCCTTCTCGCCTCTACTCAGATTATCAAAAGGTCAGGGACATGCTTGAGCCAGAACCGTATCCAGAAGAATGGCCAGCACTCAGGAAGATGGAAGTCTTCAACCATCAGGCCAAAGTTCTCGGGTTGGATGACAAGCTCCGCAGAGTCCCTCTTACAACTCGCTTCCGATCTGGGCCCAACAGCTCCGGCGTCCCTATGAAGGCATCAACGCTCACTGGACAAGATACCACCGGCGTCAACGATGGATCAAAGACCACCACCCTGGTGACATATCTAGCCGACGCGTGGAACTGGGGTGCCGACATGTTCTGCAAGTGCGAGGTGCGGTACGTTGAAAAGGTCCAAGATGATCGGGGGGGTTATCTCGTCTACTTTGCTTGGCATGGCCGTGGCCGCAGCCGCTTCTCGGAGGATGATACCTATGGCGACTTGATGTGGGTGCATGCAAAGAAGGCCGTGTTCCTCGGAGCCGGTGCGATTGGCACGACGGAGATTCTGCTACGGAGCAAGCAGATGGGTCTGAATATGAGTGACTGGGTTGGCCGCGGGATGAGTGGCAATGGAGACATTTTGGCCTTTGGGTAAGTGTCATGACATCTCTTCTTCTCCTCTGGTGTTCAAGTCACGAAATTGACGGATCTCGTGTCACGTAGACACAATTGCGAACAGGAGGTGAATGCTCTGGGAACGCCATCGCCGGATCCTGCAAACCCCGTCGGCCCAACCATTACTTCTGCCATTGACAACCGAAAGGGCCACGAGAATCCACTGAACGGCTTCATCATCCAAGAGGGAGCCATGCCGCAAGCCTTTTCCCAGTTGCTGCAGTGTATGCTGGATCTGATGCCGGGCAGCCATGCCCCTGAGATGCCGCTTCTTCAGCGAGCCCGGCAGGCCATGGGCGTGTGGAAAAGCAGACTGCTCGGGCCCTTTTCGAAGTCGGGGACGCTAGGCAACACTCAGGTCTTCTTGATCATGTCTCACGATGGTAAGCTCAACTTGTTCTACACTAATCGTGATGGGCTAGAGGGCGAGATCACTGACCAGACCAGGGAGCCAAGCAACTCTAAGTCTGAAAAATGACAAGCCCGTCCTAGAGTTTATCGGAGTAGGGAAAAGCGACCGAGTCAAGAGATTCAATGCCCTACTCGAAAAAGCCACAGATGCCGTCGGCGGCACGCTGGTGTACACTCCCTTTTACAACCTCATGAACAAGCAGCAGATCACGGCGCATCCTCTTGGGTGAGACACTTTCCCTTGATATCATAAATCTGCAGTATGATTTGGCTCTAACGTTGCTGTTCCCATCTGCAGTGGCGCGCCATTGTCTCGGGACAACACGGGAGCGAACGGCGCAACAAATCACTTGGGTCAAGTCTTTGTCGGCAACGACACCTCAGAGACCCATGCCGGCTTGATCGTGACAGATGGCGCCCTCATTCCTGCCGCGATCGGAGTGAATCCGCTTGCAACTATCGCGGCCCTGGCGGAGCGAACAGTCGAAGCGTATGCCAGAGCGAATGGCCTCATCATCAACGAAGCCAAGAACGAGGTCTTAGACCTCTTCGGCGAGCCAGCCCACAAGCCCAGAGACCGACGCTCTTCCGAGGTCCCTGACCAAATACTGAGCATGGCTGAAGTGCTCCCGCTGAAGAGCATCGAGTTCACGGAGCTCTTGTCTGGCTTTATACACAGATCCCCGCCAGACGCGGCAGTCGATGACACGGCCGCGTTCGAGTCTGCCTTTCGCGCTGCCAAAGGTGGCGGCGAGGTTGGAAGATTGCTAGTCAGCGCGACAGTCTTTGACAGCACCAGCCTCCGAAATGAGTCTCAACCCAGCGGTATGCTCACGGGTACTTTTGTCTGCCCAAGCATAGAAGGGTCGCCGTTCATGATACTGAGGGGAGAGTTGGGGTTGTTCAAGAGAAGCCAAAGAGTCTCAGGAACCAGCAGGTTGACTTACGACTGCAATATGGCGGGTGCCAACGGCCGACGCCTTCGGTTTCGTGGCTACAAGGTTGTTGATGCCTCTGTGTCTTTGAACCCTCTCCAGCTGTGGCGCTCTACCACAACACTGTATGTTACCATCACGGAAAAGGCCATTGGGAAACAAGGCGGCATCAACACTGATCAGGAGCTTGACTTTTCGGACGACGATATCACCGATTACTACGAAGATATACCCATCTATGCCAGCGAGAAGCTGGTCGCAAGAGGCATCCTACATCTACGCCCAATGGACTTTGTGTCGGAGATGATGACACTCACTGCTGCTGGCAGCAGTCTCCTCGACAGAGCCATGAATATGTCCAGCTTCATGTCCTTCTTCACCACCAAGTCTCTGTCGCACTTTTTGACGCCCCTCAACAGCCTCGAGTATCCGGAGCAGGGGTTTGTGTCGTATATGAACTATACGCCTCCGTCACAGACTTATGCCATCGTTGCTATTGATGGTGTCGAAACTGAGCTGCACATGTGGGAGCCAAGCCCAGGTGCTGTTGCTACTGACTCACGAGGCTCTCCCGTCAAGATTGAGAATCTCTTCATGATTCCCGGTGCCTCTGTTGACCATCAGATCTTTGCTCTGCCGACCATCCCTTTCAACGCGATCAATTACTTTACACGAGCTGGCTATCGCGTCTTTGTTACTGTGCATCGAATTTGCCAGTTGAGGTCCACGCGCAAGCAAACGTGGACAACGTACGATTCGAGGCTCGATATCAAGTCCTGCCTTGAGAAGATTCGGAGCATTTACGGCAGTCGAAAGATCTACACCATTTCCCACTGCATGGGATCCGTGTCTTTTGCTTGCGGTCTCCTTGACGGGGCCATTCCATCCGACTGGATTCTGGGAATCACCTGCAGTCAGGTGTTTATGAATCCGATATGGAACACTATGAACATGATCAAGGCAACTTCGCCCGTGGCTTTGGATAGAATGTATAGCTCTGTGCTTGGAGACTGGCTGGAGTTCAACACGCTAACTGAAGACTCTGTTGCACAGCGAGTTTTGGATCAGATGCTTCGCTTTTACCCGGAAAAGAGAAAGGAAATGTGCAGTAATGCTGCTTGTCATCGCACAACATTGCTTTTTGGGCGTTGCTGGAGTCACCGGAACCTTAACGAGGCGACTCATCGGAATATTGATCGTTTCTTTGGCGGAGCGAGCATGAACCTGATTAGCTTACTGAAGCGAATCGGGAGCCGCGGAGAGGTGAGCACGAATGCTCCCGAGCATGAGGAGCTTACGGGGCCAGAGAACGTGGAGCGCCTCCGAGGCATTCCCTTCCTGTTCTTCACCGGCCAGGACAGCGGCGTCTTGTCCCCGAGATCTACGGAGGTGACGTACGAGCGCCTGATTGATGCCTTTGGGATATCTGCTGGCCTTCCCGGCGGAGGCATCCAGTATAGACGGCGAGTCGTTCCGGGCTATGGCCACTTGGACTGTTGGATGGGGCGCAACGCATGGCGGGATGTTTTTCCATTTGTTCGCGAAGAGATTGATCGAGTCGTCCGAGGCGAGTCGTATCGATTTCGCCAGCCTAATGATCGATTCAAGCGTTTTGCGGAGGACATTGAGCTGCATTAGAGCTGCAATGGGGCGTTGGGTTCTTTGTAGCTTCTATTTTCGTTTTCTTTTTCCTCCTTGCCTGCCTAATCTTTTCTTTTTGATATCAGCCGAATTGGGTTTGATTGGACATGCTCTCAGCAGTTGGGGGGAAGAGGCTTTTATACCGGATACCCATGTCGTTTGGTAATTATTGTAGAGTTTGCCTAGTTTTCATAGCAATCCGACAAAGAGACAAGAGAGTTTCTTGAACCTACTCTAATGGCTAAGTGATACTTCTTTCTAGCTACCTTGGTGTCCTGTTGTTGAAGAGACGCTTCGAGGAAATGTCCTTCTGCCAACTTCCACTGCTAGACTCCTATAAACATTCCTATTCCACACTACATAAGGATGGTAGCAGTGGTTGAACAACGGAGAATGAAGTCACTGGCGTGGTACCCAGGTGTCATATCATGTGTCCAATGAACTTGTGCTTTGGTCCGTTGAACAACTGACGGCGCATTTGATGACGATCCCAATAATTTGTTCAACTTGAACTGTATTCAACGGATCAAGACCGTTCTGCTATCGTACATTGATCACCATACACCGGCCCGCCCCTCTGTTGGATATCATCAGCCCCGTCTAGACTCTGACAAGAAAAAAAAAAAGGCAGAGGCACATCCTCAATCCTCATGAAGCCAGAATCTATAGGGCTCCTCCCGTCTCTGTCAAACCGGATACACCAGCTTCACGCCCGACACCTTGCCCTCCCGCATCTCCTGCAGTCCATCCAAGATGCCATTCCACCCCCCCGTCCTGATGCTCTGCGGATGCGGCCTGATCCTTCCCTGGAATAGCAGCCCCTGAGCCAAGCCCATGAACTTGACGGCGAACTCGTACTCCTTGGGATTCGCGGGGATATTCTCATCTCCAAAGTCAAAAGCTTCTCCAAAGGCCGTGTACGCCATGACGTGCAAATTCGCGACGTCGTCCCGTGGAATCTCTGCCAGGCCGCTGAGGCCAGTATACTTGCCGCCTGAGCTGCCGATGGCGTAGCAGCATAGCTCTGCCGTCTCGGGAGTAGAGATAGTGTCGAAGACGTGGGCAAGTCGGTTCTTGGTGATCTTGCGGATCGAGGGGGCGCAGCTTGGTGAGTTGTAGTCGTACATGTAGTCCGCGCCAAGGCTGCGGACGAGGTGGAAGTTCTGGGGGGAGCACGTCGTGATGACTTCCAAGCCAGACCTGTACAGCAGGTGAGAACTTTGATGCCGAGCTTGCTGGACCTGTGCAACTCACAGCTTTGCCAATTGTATTGCAAGGGTGCCCGTCGCAGTGCTGCCTCCGTATATCAGCACTGGAAAGGGCCGCATGGGAGGGTCATCAGGCAGGGGCAGCTCGAGGCATTCATAGAGACTCTGGCCAACGGTGATGATGCCGGCGCCCAGCGTTGCAGCTTCTTCAAACGTCATGAAGTCGGGAATCTTGATTTGAAGATCCCCCTTGGCAGTGACATGTTCCGCAAACGCTCCGTCTTCGTGGTTCGAGTGATTGCCTGTAGGAGGTGAAGGGGAAAAGCCGTCAGTGTCAGCAGCTCCGCCAATGCTATCCGATTGCAAGTATCACTCACTACCGTGAACCATTCCCATGACTCGATCGCCAACATGCGGCCCATGCTTGACAGCAGGCCCAACCCGCTCTACTACACCACTGTAGTCACAGCCCACAATTGCTCCAGGGCTGGTGAGGTAGTCAATCTGCTTCCAGTCGGTCGGATTCAGGGCCACAGCCGCTGTCTTCACAATGATGTAGTCGTCGCGAAGCCGAGGCATGGGAGTGTCCGTGACGACTTCGGCCTTGCCTGGGCCTTTCATCTGGATAGCTGTTTGTGTTGCCATTGATGTAGATGCTTGCCTGGGGCACCGCACACGAGCAAGTGGCAAGAGACGCTGGACTGCTTCAGGAGAAGAGCAGCATAGTATCTATATCTCTGGACTCGGTAAATGCAAGATTGATAATAGAGAATCGACTGGCGATTCACATTTACCCCGCGTGAGCCCTTCCAGCTGGCCTTCCATTGTCACGACCCCAACGCCACATACATCAGGTACGTTTCTGGATCCCACCGGCCACATTCCGACGACTTGGGTCAACAGGGGTCCAGATCATACTAGCAGAGCGCCCGAAAATCATCCTCGGTAACCAGCACCGAATCATCTTTCGGTCAGCCCCGATCTTGAGAGCAGCTTGGGTTTCAGCTTGAGCCACGCAGGGATCGGTGGCTGTAATAGAGTTTGGTCCGGCTGAGACCCGAGAGCCTGGTGGCCTTGAGGCAGGGCTTTTGTATATCTAGTTCAGCCAGTTCCGGGCTGTGTTATTGCAATTGCTTTTGCTGACCTCCTTCATGTTGCTGATGAAGATGCCAGCCCTCGAGACCACAAAGTGTAGAATTGTTGGAGTTGTTGGAAGCGGTATCGAGCCATATACTGGCGTCATTTGCACGATTAGTCCTCAGAGATAGAGGACTGACTGCGTAACTCCTGTAGAGTCAATTGGGGACGAGGTCTGGTCAGCTACAGATTCAAAGTTCTTCAATTACCATAGGTACCTTTACAGGAAAGAAGGTTCGCTACTCAGTGGACTCTTGGACATGATTCTTGGGTTAGTACCTTGTACAAAGCTGACCTTGTCCCATCCGATGAACTTCACCTTCGAACCAAGAGCCCCATTCTACCACGCCATCAGACGCAATGCAGGAAGTCTCATGTATGAACGCGCCTAAGATTCTCGGAGGTCCGGAGATGGCTTCACATGAGCAAAGTTCAAGTTCAATCCACCGCTCGGGAGACGTCCATTTCGGTTGTACGCCCATCGCGCATCTAGTTGAACGCCATGGAGAGAGTACTCGGGGCGCCTAGCGATACAGGAGTTTCCATATTCTTTTCTGTTCTTCGAAGCGGATGTTGGGTACTGGCAATGCTTCGAAACAAAGCTGCTGTTCAAATGTCACTCAATCAAAGCATGGGAAGCAAAGGACGGTATCACCATTCTCGAGGCTCACGTTACTAATGCAAGCAGCGTTCAGAAAGTGGTTGACGGGGTCGAAGCTGAAAAATTGCTGGCTTTCCGGCACGTCTACCGTGCATGGGAGTCCTTTGAAGTTCGTCCAACTTGAGTACTTGTCGTCTCGTCGGTTCAACCTTGACACCTCGTTGACAAGTGACCAATGTCGCGTTAGTGAGACGTATCTGGGTTATCGCGTCGAGTACGATTTGATTGTGAAGAAGGAAGGCGAGGTTGACCGAGTTCAATCGTCTGTGTTTTCCGTTACCATGAGGCCAGCGTTGCCGACCGGAATATCAAAGGTTGTCGCATCACGGCACCAGACCAGGAGAATGTTGACGAGCTCAAATTCGTAATGGAGTCCCCTGTCTTTGACTGTGGCTCGCTTTTCTCCGGGTACACGTGATTCGTGACTGCCGTAGAATGAGGTGGCAAGGTTACAGGAGGCAAAGAATGGAGGAGACGTATTTCAACAATAGGACATGGTTCGACATATTGGCATATTCGCAGTATGTGACAGGTTCACACAAGGGCTCTTTCTGACATGTAGGCGCCAGAAATGCAGTTCATCAGTTTTGTTGTCCCAGTACCTCTAAATGACGCTGCCACGGTGGTTTCGAAGCCATTGACACACTGAAGCTTTCTGGATGGTTACTCAACCTCATCAACACTCCCATTATGCGTCACAGCAGTCTCCCGCAAGCTCTACGCCGACTACACTAACAGGTACAGGTAGGTAGTCACAGGTGAGGCTCTTGCACGGGGATCCATGATTCACCACTTGCCTTTTGCTCCAGACCGGAGACATATAGGGGGCAGCTGCACTACGAGACTCGCTTATCAAGCGGTCACCAGCTGAAAGCAGCCGGCAAACACGTCACAGAGGCAACCTAGTTCTTCATGATCAAAGGAAGGCGCAGTGGGGCAAGTAAATCGTGCTTTGGGGTGGGTGAACAAACAGTCCTCTTCCCTTGCTTGTTTTCTTTCTTCCAACTCCTTTTCATGCCCGACTCCCCTTGCACCACCAAACGCAACCACAACCAAGTAATATGACTACGATCTTTTTGTCTCTCCCATTTGCCTGGGCCATCATTTGAGCTTCCTTCAGTCTTGATGCATAGGCATCTACCAAGATACAATTCTCAATCCTCACGACACGTTTGCATACAATGTTCGTCCACTCTCCCATCTTGCCCCCGGAAAGTCTGCAAGCACCAAGTGCTAATTTTTCTTTGGCTTCTCTCCAGAGTGGCTTTTCCACCAGCATCTTGAGCTTTGTCGATGCAATCACTGCCAACACCTGTCTCCAGAACCAAATTCTATGACTTGCCAGACAGAAGCTCGGACGCCTTTCATCACGCTCATCTCTGCACCTCACTCGCCTTGTCTCTCGTCTGACCTCAAATTGTCTGTCAACCCCGTTGCTATCTACTCCTTCGGGTGTCTGCCTGAAGCTGGATGGCGGTCTTGATGCCGGATGCTTTTCTCCTCACATGCGCTCGATAAGTTGCATGTCCATCTGCAACTTCAGATCCTATCTTTGCCTTTTACTGTACTTCCTTATTGAGCAGTTCCCCAGGGCCAAGAAATATGCATCACACCACACAGCTTTCCCAGTTATTTCTTTGATCTCTTGATGGGTGTTTCTTGAGCTATACCTCAAGGGTCTCTGGGAGATGCGGAGCCACAAGCCAATGGAGTACGATGGAAAGCATGGGGGTAAAATAGCTAGAAAGGAGAGGAAGATGAAAAGAAGAAGAAGAAGAAGAACAAGAGAGAGAGAGAGAGATAAAGGAAAGAGAAAAGGGTAGGGGAAAAAAAAAGAAAGAAAGAAAGAAAGAAAAAAGAAAAGAGGCAAAATAGAAAAAAAAGAAGCTCAACTGGACAGGAAACAACCTGGCAAAAGAAAAGAAACAAAGGGAAGGGGACCAGTCATCACAAAAATAAGAACAAGCATAGAGGGAGAGATGCAACGAAAAGAAGCTGAAAGGTCAGGGAGGAGGAGAAACTCACGGCGAATACGCCTTTTTTTCCATTTCAAAGCCCAACCTACTGAGCGTCTCAACCTCTACCATACCCACCTCCACGATTTTGACTTGCGCTCGCACAACAGGAACGTATGTATTCTCTCCCACTCTTTCTAATTCAAGAGACACTCGCAAGGGTTACATGTTCTGACACTGATTTAGCACCAAAGATTCAGGATCACATCGTGTTCAAAATCTCTTCAAACATATCCACGAGCTCGCGGACATGTACGAATCTGCAGATTGAGTTCGAAGTCGTAATATCGCTACAACCGAATGACTACGTCTCCAGTTCGGCAGCCAAACTCTCCCAAAACGCACATCGACTCATCTGAGCCTGCGGGACAGCCTCAACAACTGTGTTATTGTTGTTGATTACAAGCCTCTGTCCTCCAGCCTGCCCGTTCCATTGCGGCCACGAAGTCGAACCGGAAAATGCAAAAGTGTTCGGATTCAACGACCGGACAAACGATATGTAGTTCCCTTGCAGGCGAGCCACATTGGTTTGGTCAGAGTCCTCGAAACCTCCGCCAAACACTGCGCCGAGATCGAAACCATGAGGAACGCCGACTCCGTTTGCAATGTTGCTCTGGGTCAATACATTGAAGCGATATGTCCAGATTGGTTGCCCGGCCTGTACGAAATACTTGCCAAAGTTGAGCCCAACACAAGTGACGAGCACATCTCCATAAGCAAGCTCAGCAGCAGGGAACCAGGCAGCATGCCCGTTGAACGGAGGTTCGATGTTCTCGGGATACTGCTGAATGATGGCAGACGTGTTCTGACTCGTCAAGCGTGGGTAGTTGTTCTGAAAGAAAGTCTCGATCTCTTCGGGCGATGACGCGTTGGGGGCGCCCAGGGTTGTTCCCTCATCCGTGACGCTGCCAAAGAACACGGGCACCTTGACAAATTTTCCGGTCTGGAAGGCCTCATACGCAGTGGTCTGCAGAAACACACCATCAACGCAAGGAACATACGGGTAGTTTGGAGCATTCGGCCTTCCGGGATAGACAATGGGCACGTTGAACCGTTGCAGCGCCGTAGTGCTGAGGCTTCGAAGGCAAGACAGGGAATCAGAGCTGGAGCTGCATCCAGCATTGCCCACCAGAGCATCATACTGGAACTGGATCTCCGACACCTTGGGCTGGGTGATTGCGGGAAGAGACTCGAACATGGCTCCTACAAAGAGACCTTGGTTCTTGCCTCCAAATGAAGCGAGCTGCAGTGATGCCGCCTCTGCACCCGCGCTCTGCCCATGGAGGACGACATGAGCCGGGTCACCGCCAAACTGAGCAATGTGTTGTTGCACCCACAGCAGAGCGGCCTGCTGGTCATAGAGGCCGGCGTTTGCTACTCCGTTGGCCTGGATCTGAGAACTGGCCAGGAAACCAAAGATTCCCACTCGGTAGTTGAGCGTTACCAAGACGATTTTGTTTCCCGAGTTGGCCACCGCTCCACTGCCATCTGTTCCTGCGGAAGCCAAGCTCTCAAATCCACCACCTTGGATGAATACCCAGACGGGTAGCTTGGAGTCGGGACCAGCACCTGAAGGAGCCCATACGTTGACGAAGAGGCAGTCCTCGCTCTGTCCCTGCGGCGATGGCCCGGCGTTTACGGCCATGCAGACGGGACCAAACTGGGCACGATAGCATCAGCCATGAGGAGAATCATCATGAGGACGGACTGGAAACACACTTGAGAGGCCGACTGGACTCCAGACACTGTGGGAGGGGGCGATGGGGCTTTCCATCTCAGATCTCCTGTCGGTGCTGCGGCGAACCGCATACCCAGGAACCTGTTAACTCCACCAGATGACGAGCCTTGATATGTGGCATATCCGAGGTTCACGACTGGTGATTGTGCGGTCACAGCAGCCCCTGAGCACAACAAAGTGCAGGCCAGTTTGAGGGAAACGTGCATATTGACGAATGGCTTTTACGATACACACCGAGTACCGGTGTCTCTCTCCCAAGCCGATCTGGTCCTCCGACCTCACCATCTCTCGGCACCGCACTATATTTATACATACTCCTTTCCCAATGTCGGAGGGCGCAGGCCCATAATCCCGTCGGATCGGCGAACAATGCGTGCTGACGGCAGACGCCTACAGCCCCTGTCACCAAGGTTTCGGGCAGCATGTCATTGCGGTGAGGTTGACGACCACAGAATTGGAGTTCGGTTCATGTTTCCCGCCCCGCAATCCAGCCTCACGCAGAGTTTGAAGATTGAATACCACTTGCCTGTTTCTTGCAAACTTGGAACAGTGCCGGCTAAAGTCATATTCACCGACGGATACGAAGTGTCAACTTTGTTCTCGCACGACGAATCTCCGGGGGTGATTGAGTGGTGAACCAGATGGTGATCGAACAAAGACACACGCTCCGCGGCCGCTCAGATCCAGACCATAGCTTTGCATTGGCGCCAAATCTCTTGTTGCCAGTGATGGGCTTGTGCTACACGGCAGAGACTGAAGCACAGGTTATGGCTGGATGTTCTGTGGAGAGTATTATCTCTTGTCTCAATCAGGCAGGTCAAACAGAGCTCTTGGTAGTAGTTCGACCGCGGAATATTCGGCTTCTCTGCATGGCGGCTACGTCACGCCTTATGCAGTGCCACTCTTGCTGTAATGCACACGAGATGGGATGGCAAGCTACATGCACGAATGTGGCCAGACACGAGCAGGTGATACGCCAACGCCGTTGGATGTCAAGGACATATCAGAGGAGTGAAGAGCTAGAACGGGGCCGAGGATGACGCCGTTGCCTGAAGCTCGGAGGCGGAAAGCAGAGATCATGGTTTGCAACTGATGGCATGACTACCCTGTGGCCCGTTTTGTGGCGGGTATGGATGAAGAATCACGATTGACGTCAACCAACGACTTGGCCAGACGCAGGCCTTTACGGACACAGAATTGTACTGGCGCGGTCTTGGGCGAGAACCGACAGACAGACTTTTACGAGCAGACCATCACGGCATGGGACTCTACGATATGACATAAGGTAGCCTTGCACGACACGGTATGGCACGCAATGAACGACAACCTTCGGCGAGATGCTTGCAGCACTTTCCTGCTCTGCGATACTGGACCTTGCGAAATTCATTTTCGACAACCCAGAGAGTTTCTTTCCTTAGCCAGCTCTCAGTCAAAGCAGTCGACAAGACGGAAACGTTTCGACTCAAAAGTCTTGTATGCCCGTCTCTCCTCGCCTGACAGGAGACTGCGAGGCACAGTCCGCCCAGCTTGGCTCTTCGTTATCGAACCAGGCGTCTTCGGCATCCCGGATGGCCATGGTGTCATACTGGTCATTATCGTCGACTTGGCTGTAGTCGAATTCTTCATCCATCCCCTCCACAAAGCGGGCCTCGAGGTAGGCATGCCACAGTTGCATGCCATGCTCTTTGTTTTCTGCCTCGGCATCCCAGGCATTGGTACCTACGCCCCCGTCGCCCACCACTTTCGAACTGTCCGGATCCAGACTGCTGCTGCTGCTATGGCCATTGGGCTGCTCGGCTGACTGATGGACGTTGGCGAGCTTGGTCTCGCCTCTGATGAGGTCCGCTTCGAGAGTGCGACCATAACCCTTGGCCTTTCCATCTGCCTCACGCTCGGCTGGAGTTTGGAATCTCTTGACGAGGCGCTCGTACAAGATAGGATCTACATCACACCGCAGGATTGTTGGCTTTCTGATTGATTCAATCTTTTCATTTTTTCTCTTTTTCTTCTGGAGGGGGAGGGAGGGATTGGGGGCAGGTGTTCTGCCAGTGCTCTTTCTCACTCGCTTGTTCGTGAGTGTCACGGAATTCTCGACGTGATCGAGGGAAATCTCCAAGGAGGGGGAGAGACAAGAAATATGAGATGGGATGACATACCAGCAAGTTCATGATCCAGGCTGTCAAAATACGACGGCGTCTTCACCAGGTACTCGTGACGGCGATTCCGCACCCCGAGGCGAACGAGCTTAGCGGGCGTCCTGAGGCGTCGGGGAAAAGGCCTGTCTCGGGCGATATGAGGATCCCTGTCATCGGGAGTAGTAGCTTCCGCCGGCAGATCGGGGGAGGGCGACGACACCGACGCCGGCATGATGGACGGCGCTGCCGCTGTCGAGAGGAGAGAGTGCTGTGGTGGTGCCGTGACAGCCCCACGGAGGAGAGAGGATACCACGGCACTGGAGGGCTCGAGGTTGGTGATGATGAAGCTGACGAAGCTGGCTGGCTGCAGCACGCTTTGCCGGATTTCGAGGCGGCTGTTGCTGGCTGGCTGGCTTGTCTGTCTGACCTACGGCCCAGTGACGTGCGCGCGGGTGAGACAGTGAGGCTGCAGACCTGCCGAGATCAGATTCGTTGGATGTTGACGAGACAACGCAGAGGATGGCGAGACAGCACGCGGATAGGTTCGGGAGCTTGTGTGCTGGCACTTGCAATGCAGGTACGAAGCAGATGCTGTTACGAATGCCATTGTGCAGCAAGAGCTCGAGTGGGGGGAGCCACGGAATGACTGCCCTGGTCCCGCTTTTCCCGATCACCAACAAAGTGCATCTACGAAAGATGGGCAGCCGCCTGCTGCGTGCTGCGTACATTGGTAGGTACTGTACTGTACAGTGCCGACAGATACCTACCTGGAGCAACTCGGCTGGCGCAGGATATGGCGGGTGTCATTTCTGGGGGGGATCTGAAAGTGTGAGATGCTGAACTTGGCACTGTCAAGTGTTCAAGTGTGCTGATGTACCCCTGGTGAATCTCTCTCCCTGCCCTGAATGCAGGTCGCAGCTCGATTCAAGGCCGTGGACGCAAGAGCGGAGGCATTCACTCGATTGCATCAAGGGCTCGCAGCTTCCGCAGCGTGCACTCGCAGCAGCCACCAGAGAAGCCTTGGTATTACGGAGGGGCTGCTGTGAAGAAGACTACCGTACCTTGATACCTACTAGGTAGCTGAGTACTACCTCCAGCCATACAAGTACTCTATTTCGACTTGACAAGATCATCGCGCCCCTCCCAGAGATCGAGGCGTGCGTTGACTCTTTTTGACTCTCCTCGTCTGTCTCTGTCAAGGTGGTCCTCTCTGGTCCGCAGCAGGGTAGCTACCTACCTATGGGGCGTCTCCGGCAGGGGAAGAGAGGGAAGAGGGCCCATGGAAGAGATGTGGAACGAGGGGGAATCTGAAAGAAGCGATATCTCACAAGATGGCACACAGGGCACATGGAGAAGCTACGAATGCCGCTGGACAGCATCGTCAAGATGGTGATCGTGGACCTAAGCGAGCATTTGGATGCGTCGCTTGGGATGCCCTCCCTCACCATCTGGTGGCAATGTCAACAATACATCGAGCCTCGACACGGTACCGGTACAAGCGCAGCAAACCTGGCGGGAATCTTCAGAGGCCGCAGTCAATTCGGACCGCTTTGAGACTGGTGGCTGACCGAGCTGCTGTTTTGTGATGCATCACATTGTCCCATCCATACCCGTCAACTCTTGGATTGACGTTTCAGCGGCAAGGCGGCATTTCCTTTCCATGCTGCCGCTTGCTAGGCCACAGAGACCTGTCGTCCTCTGACGAGTACGCAGGCGAGGAGATCAAAAGCGGCCCTGCAAGCAATGCCCTGTGGCTTCACAGGGAAAGCCCTACAAAGGGCCATGTCTGATGCCATGCAAGGCTCGTTGTGAGCTGGGCACTGGCAGCAGGACAGGCCAGCCTTGGAGCCTCACAGGCCAGTGCCCTCGTACGATGATTGCAGCAGTAGCCCATGCGCGCACCAACGCCCGCACAGCTCGAGCCAGGCCGTGGCGCCTGTTGTGACACACACAGCCATTTTACATGTGTGAGGGGGGGTTTCGCTGTTAAACGTCCAGTCACTGCGAGACACAACCCTCTGCTGCTGCGATTTGAGCAGAGCCATGGAGTAACGCTACCAGTGGCATCGCAGAGCGGCAATCCGTTTGCATGCTCTGCCCCCCTCCTAGAGCTGATCACTGGGTGATGGCTGGCTGCTGTGCATATCTGGCACTTCCAAGTTGAGCCTCGTGCTTGCTCGCTTCATGCACCAGAGCAGGACTTGGACGGGGCGGGTTGGCTGCGTTGCAACCACAGGGTCGACAGTCGACAGGGCTAGGCGGAACGGCGGCCATCATGAAGCGGCACATACGAGTACACACCTACCCAGGGCGGCGCATCCCTAGGTAGGGACTTCTCGTGTTATCATAGGTCCAGCAGCAGATGCACATGCCGGCTGGCATAATGCTTCGTGCGGCAGACGTGGTGGTATTATCTCGAACAGACCGGACGGACGCACAGCCAGCACCGGGCCAAGCGCAGCGAATGCCCTCCTTTTTCTGTCCATTCCTCTCGATACATGCCTTTTTTTACTTTGACGTTGCATTCGTTTGATCTTAGCTTGACTCCATGCGATGTCGACCCTCCTCCAGGCCATTCTGCGGAGCAACACACACACGTGCATGGCTGTCTCACCCAAGAGCTTAGATGGAGACGGGCATCTCGATCGATGCTTGTTTTTGTGCTCTCGGGCGCATAAAGATGGCAGCCTTCGAAAATGAGACAGTCTATGCCCGCGGCTCCATCGGCCATGACCTCGTCCCGTGGCATGGGTCCATGAGCACAGGGAGGGGGAAAAGCAACGGAAAATCAAGACATGGGCATCGACAAGACGCTCGAATCGAGATTCCACGTTTCATGCGCGAAACCAGTTGTTTGATAGACATGGGCTGTGGACGCTGCCGCGACCAGCAAACACCACGCCTTCCGCCAAATCCAGCACTAATAAAGAAAGACCCGGCGCAGCGCCACCGTTCGACTGCTTCCCCTCTAGTGTACTGCATATTCTGGCGTGGTTGAAGCTGGCCTGGGACTTGTTGGCACTGGTGCCGGTGCTGGCTTGAGGCTTGTCGCGCTTGGATGGATGCCCTCGACGGCCCTTGGCTTGCAGGCGGATGATTTGCCCCCGGCGCATCCGCTTAGGACTGGACGCCTATCACAGGCCCTGTGCCCGTCCATCGTCCTTCGCTCCGGGAGCCCCAACTGGCTGGGCCCGCACGCATCCTCCCTACCCTGGCTTCCCTGGGCTGCCCTTCCGCGTTACCTTTCCCATCTGTTCCCCCCCCCCCCCCCCCCCCTTCGCTCTGTCCCCTGTAGCCGGTGCTGGAGCTTCAGCGGCTGTCATTGAATAGAGGAGCAACCACCTGAGCTAGCATCGGAACAACGAGCACGACCAAGGGCGGGCGACCGTGACGGCGGCAGCGGCCACCTGGGTTGGTTTGGCATGAACCACCGGGATGTTGTCTCGTTCACCTCGAGGTGGCGCTGTACAAGACTGTACCAGAGGTACTTTCTTCATTGTAGGGAGATCACTTACAGGATAGGTACCAGGCAAGCAAGCACATGCACCAAGCTTGGAGCCGAAACGGAGCCAGCCACTGCGGAGCATCAGGACACACAATGCTAGGTACTAGCTAGCTTGAGCACATCTTGCGAAGTTGGCCTGGAACTTGGACTTGGACTCGGACTCGGATTGGGATGGGGACGCGGACGGGGACATGGGGAGTGAGGAGAGGAGAAGCTTGAGCTTGGGGGGGATCGAGAAGGGAAAAAAAGGGTCGCTCCATGCTAGGCGATGCGAGTCAAGGCATGGATGGGATAGCGCTTCCACTCCCCTACAAGGATCAGATCAAGGCCGACTTTGCCCATTCGCGTGGCCTTGCTTGCCCAATCCATGGCGGTCCATCCCATACAGGCATCGAGGACATGCATCGCACAGGTTGTTTGATGCACTCAAGCCTGGATCAATCAGAGACATCAACCTTCGGTGATACGATCCCTACCTAGTACCTGGGTACCTACTTTATGCCCTGCGTGAATGCCTCGGCGGTCTCTTGTCGCTCACGGTGCTCTACCTGTACCTCCGTGTCAACATTACTGCTGGCTGGCGACAAGTACATACCTACCTGCTGTGCTGTACCTATTCATTCACCTCATTCACCCACCCATGCAGCATCAACGGCTACCTACCCCTGTCGGCAGCCATCAATCCCTGTCCCCCGTACATGCTCCCGTCCAGGGCTTGTACCGGTACCTGTGCCTGCGCCGGCCTGTCCCAGGCTGTCCTTGGATCCATTGGCTGCAGCTCGTTTGGCGTGGTTCCATTCCGTTTGGCTCGTCGCCTGCCAGGGAAAGCAGGCAAGGCAAGGCAAGGCAAGGCAAGGCAAAGGTAATAAGGTCAGGCAAGGCGGGCAAGGCACGGCTCCTCGTTCGACGGCCAGCACAAAAGCGCACCCACTGCAGAACAGCTCAATCACTGCAACCACCAGGTACTGCCACCAACTTGGAAGCACCTACATACCTACCAAGGTACCTACCTACCTACGTACTGTACTGCCGTTCCGCACCGTACCGTGCCAGCAGCGTTCTTGCTGACTGGAGCCATCACTCGCATAACAACTGCTGCACTGATTCATCTTGTCGCCTTGCCTCCCCTCCTCGAGCCCCAAACGACCACGCGAGAGCAGGAGCAACGAGTCCAAGCGCCCAGGATACGACTGATCATGCGAGGTGCATGCGCGGTCGTGATGCCCTAAGGGTTGGCGGCGTTTGTTTTCCAGCTCCTCGTCTGGTCCGACAGCCTCTTCTCTCCTCGACTCGCCCCGACCCCCATCTGCCATCTGCCATCTGCCATCTGCCATCTGCCACCTGCCTGCCACCAACTCTCTCCTCCTCTCTCCTCCTCTCTCCCCTCCCCTTGTCTTCTCTACCTCTCCGTCAACTTTCTCGATTATCGACTCTCAAACATCGACACTCGACACTCGTTCTCTCACACTGCCTCATATTCGGGACTTCTTCCTCCGAACTCTCACTCTTCCCTTCTTTTCCCATCTGTTTGACCTGCATCTCGTTTTGTGTCCTTCCTTCATTCTCCCCATTCGTTTTTCCCTTCTTCTTCTTTAATCACTTGTTGCCCAGCAGCCGCTCGTCAGTCATAACGCATACTCAACTCGAGTAATTTATTTTCTTTATTTTGATTTCTTTTGCCTCTTTTTCTCGTCGTCTTCTCTCGGCTCATCTCCTGGTCCCTTGCCCTCTCTGTTTCTCGGATAATCTCCAGGACTCGCCAGATCCCGACTCTCTAATCTCCGCCCCTCGCAGCCTCTTTGCCTCTCGAGAGTGGCCCCCCTGGTCTCTTTTGCATGGCCCTCATCTTGCTTGCGCCTGCTCCTGCTGCCGCTTCCGCTTCTGCTTACGGGCAGCAAACGAGGCTCAAGGAGGATGGCGCCGGATATCGCCAACAAGCTCAAGAACACGCTGTTCAGGCGGCGACGGCGTGAGTCCTCGGCGTCGACACTCGAGGGGCCTGAGTCTTCGTCGCCTCCAGTGACGCCCGGCAACGGCACCAGCCTGAGAAGACCCTCGTTCCCATTCCCACGTGAGCCCTCAACCCAGACGCCGACGCCGTCTCTGGAGCTGATGACGGGGGACGGAGAAGTAGGAATAGGAGGCTGCGGCAGCGCCGGCGGCGACGAACACAGTGACGCCGGTGAGTCTGCCCTGACGGGCAACGACGCTGAACAGCGCAGCACGAGGCAGCATTGGAGGATGTGGCAGAGGTCCAAGCAGGGTGCCGACGCCGAGAAACGAAGCAGCCTCCCCGAAAGCGTGGTCTCAAATCATCTCTCGCCCGTCTCTCCTGTGTCGCCAACATCCCCAGCACCAGTGGCGCCAGCAGAAGCAACCGCCGCACCGCAGCTGCCGAACGAAGCCCAGGCCATGGAGGTCGGCAGCGTCGACACGGCAAAGGGGGAGGACGATGGCCACGAGCCCAAGGACAGCGTGCAACACCAAGGCCAGCACGAGGACGGCGACGTGAGCCCGGAAGCAGAGCCAGACGTGGAGGCGGCTGCTGGCTCAACCGACTCTGCTGCTGCCGACTCCAGCACCCTGCCAGGGGAGCTCCAGGCACTCTTACAGGCATCGCAAGCGCTAGACCAGCGACAAGCACAGCGCCCGACCACGCCAGGGGTCCCCGTTCAGGACCCGAGCCCGCCACGAAGCCCAATGGGTCAGGACGCGAGCCTCGAGAGGGAGCCCGACCAGAGCCAGCTCGATGAACCAGGCCAGTCGGCTAGTATTACAACTACTGCCAACGACCAGGGAGCTATTGCTGGCACCGACGCTGCTAGTGCCAGCCCCGGTGCTCGTATTGCTGGTGCTGGTGCTGCCGCCGCCGCCGCATGCGGTACTGGTACAAGCAATAATACAGCGGGCACAAGCACGAGCACGAGCACGAGCGCGAGCAGCACAGGCGGAGGCGGAGGCGGCGCCGTTGCGGCGGCTTCTGCTGGCCCCATTCCTGGCGGCGATCTGCAGCAGAAACAAAGACAGCAGCAGAGACAGGTGCAGAAACGCCCACGCCAGACAGCGCCACCGTTTTCGCTTCCATCTCCTCCTTTGCCAACGCCATCGCTGCTGACTTTTCCACCTCTCGCTCCCCCGACGCCTGGCCCCAGCATCGTGCCCAGCGTCTCGAACCAGCAGCCTCTCGACAGCATCGACGAAGACGAGTCGCAGTCGCCTTCAGCAGAGTCGCACCCGCAGCCGCAGCCGCGCTCGTCGTACCAGCAAGCTCAATCGCACTCGCACCCACACTCGCATCCGCACCCGCACCCGCCCACGCAGCTGCAGCAGCAGCAGCAGCAGCAGCAGCAGCACCAGCAGCAGCAGCAGGCCCCCTCCGCCTTGCCGGCACCTGCTGAGCACGTCGTCGCCACCGCCGGCCGCGGCATCGACGCTCCGCCCACGCCCGGCGCCGACCATGGCCCACTGAGCCTGACTTCCGCATCGTCTGCACTCCCAGCTTCTTCAGTCGTCAATCCTGCGGAAGCCGAGGCGGGACAGCTGCCCACCAAGCCACTGCCGAATTCCGTGCCACCTCGTGCCTCCTCCATCTCTGCCGAAAACCCTGTCGCCGCCACCTCCCTGACCTCCACGCGCCCCTCTGCGCCGCCTCGCCGAGCAAGTCGCGATCCCAACCAGACTGTCACCTTTGACGAATCGGCCGATAAGCCTTCGTCCGCCAAGAACAGTAGCCGCGACACACGCATCGCGACTGCCTCGTCTCACGCCGCCCTCGACTATTCCTCATCGTTCGCCGCTCAGTCCGCCCTCTCCCGCTACCGCGCCGACGTGGAATATTCGCCATCGATCGCCGACCTCGCCGACCTCGTCGATTTCGATGCCGGCAGCATGGTCGAGTCCACGCGCAAGATCTGGGTCACGAGACCCAAAGCCTCCCCCACCCGAGTCACCATCAACCTCAACGACCTCGTCGACGATGTGCGCGACATGATCCTCCGGAAGTACGGCAACACGCTGGGCAAGACATTCGACTCGCCCGATCTCAGTCTGCGCATCCAGGCCCGCGAGGGACCCGAATACAGCCAACGCAGTCGCATCCTAGGCCCTGAGGAGCACATGGGAAACACCATCGACGAGTATTACCCAGGTGGCCAGACCGTCAAGGAGGCCCTCGTCATCGACATTCCCAGGGCATCGACGACGCCCAGGCCATCTCCGCGGGCGCCACTGCCCCATCCCGGCTCTGCGTCAGCCGGCTACTACGCCGACGATGGGCGTCCCTCCGAGACGGGCGAGGGCTATTTCCAGCTCGTCCCCGGAAACGCGCCCTCGCCTCGCCTCGCCATGGCAGTGCCCGCGGCCAACGGGTCCATCCCCCATTCCATGACAGTCATCAACTCTGGCCATCTCCCCGCCATTCCCTCTCCCGGGAGCGCCAGGCCCCGCGCGCACAGGGACCGCGACCAGCGTCACGACCGCCAGGATTATGCGCGAACCGGAAGGACCCATACACCTTCGCCAAACTACCTCAATGGCGCAGTCGTCGGTGGCACCGGCACCGTCCTGCCCAACTCGGCACCCGCAGCTGCTGCTTCCAACGTCCATGGCGCGCAGCATTATCGCTCGCGGCACTCGCATTCGCGAACCCACTCGAGCTCGTCAGAGCACATTGTGTCGCACCCCAACTCGATGCCAAAGTCTCCGGGACATGAAATGACGTCGGCTCGCATGGGCACTCCCCCGCCCCAGCGGCTGGCGTCTCCTCGTCTGCCCAGCTCACGACCAAAGAAGAGCAAGAGGGGCCAGCAGCAGGAATACCACCACAACCCATCGCCGTCCGTCCTAACTGCCACGGTGCCCCCCATTAGCGTCCTCATTGTCGAAGATAACCCGATCAACCTGAAGCTGCTCGAGGCCTTTGTCAAGCGGCTCAAGGTCCGGTGGCAGACGGCCATGAACGGCAGCGAGGCCGTCAAGAAGTGGAGAAGCGGCGGCTTCCACCTGGTCCTCATGGATATCCAGCTGCCTGGTATGAACGGCCTGGAGGCCACGAGGGAGATTCGCCGTCTGGAAAGGCTCAACAACATTGGCGTCTTTTCTGCGGCGCCGGGCAGCATCCCGGAGACCGCGCCCGCCGAAGAAGAGCTTACCGAGCAAGATCGCCTGGAGAACATTGCTAAGTTCAAGAGTCCCGTTATCATCGTTGCTCTCACGGCCAGCTCGCTGCAGAGCGATCGCCACGAAGCTCTGGCCTCGGGTTGCAACGATTTCTTGACCAAGGTATGTGAACAAATCATTGCATCTGACTTCCCTCGAGACACACAAAGCCGCTGACTTTCTTCTTCTCTCCTTCTCCCGCAAAAGCCTGTCAACTTTGTCTGGCTTGAGCGCAAGGTGATGGAATGGGGGTGTATGCAGGCACTCATCGACTTTGACGGTTGGCGCAAGTGGAAGGACTACTCAGCCAAGGCCGAAGCGATACAAGCTGCCACTAAGAGGGCGCAACAGCAGGCTTATAAAAACAAGGTTAAAAAGAACCGCGCGATCCTGTCGCCATCGTAATCACCAAAGAAACGGGTCGTCTTTTCACCGGAGTCTAGGACTTTTCTTCTTTTTTTTTTTTCTTTCTTTTCTTTTTTTCTCAAAAACAGCTGTTCATACTGGGCGAGGGGCAACCCACAACATGAAAGGGGGGAGGGAAGGGGAATATGACTATATGGAAAAAGGAAGACGAGAGAAAGAAAGTGTTCACGAGGGCGGGTGGATCTAGCGCTGGCTGATATGCCGACCGTGTTCGAACTTTGCTTGTTTCTTGGGCGGATAATGATATCTCTCTCCTTTCACACTATCTTTCTCCTTTGTTATTCTGGCCCGGCAAAAGTGCTATGTATCGCATCAAGGTATGGCGGCGAGCATGCTGAGTATTACATATCCATATATATATATATATATATATATATATACGCTTCCTTCTTGGCGCCGGTTCCGTCGAGTGGCGGCGGGTTTAATCACATAATGCGGGATATCTGTCTCCCAGGCTCTCCCCTGACTGCCACCTTGTTTCCTGCCTCTTGGATTTGGTGACATGTTGGGTCTAGGCATGCAGGAGTTTGTGAGTTCGTATGGCGGAATGACTTGCTGACGGGGACCAAGGAAGGACCCCAGCGGCAGCCCACGGCCAATAGTTTGATGCGGGAAACGATACAGCTACTAGCCATTTGCACGAGTCACAGGCGTTCCGTTGTGATTTTCCCTCATCTTCCTTTCTTTTTGTCTCCCGGCGCTTGTCATTTGTGTGCCAGCACAGCCTGTAATGAGAGCTATTGGAAGCTATTCTGGTACCGTCTGGCTATTTTGAGCTGCGGCTGATGAGGACTATTGCTTAGATAATGGCGTATCTGTCTTGCCCTTGCAGCGGGCTCCCGGTTAGGTGGATTCCCTTGCATGAATTGACCCCTCCCTTCTCTGGCGGATCGGAAGTGGAAGAACGACGCGCCGGAGCCGAAAATTTGTGGACAAGCTCGATATTTTCCCATTTCCAGTCAAGCTGGTGCTCACAAGACAAAACAACAAAAAACACGCCTCGGCGACCTCTGGGCAATTGATTGGAGTCAACTTGTTCTGAGCAGCGAGAATCTCGAATGACTCATTACCATTGATCGGAAAGAAAGGGAAGAAACGGAAAAGGGAGCAGTCGAAAGAGAAGAAAAGCGGGGGAAGGAAAAGAAAAGAAGGAAGAAGGGAAGAAAAAAGCCGCCATGGCGCCCAGATTATCAGCGACGTGTTCGCCGCTGGCCCCCGTGGTCGATGCGTGCCTTGTGCAGTCCTGCAAATCACAATCGGTACCGTTCGCGCGGACCTTCAGCTCGACGCCGTGTCGCCAGAAGATGAGCCGGGCTCGGCAGCAGATGTTCCAGTGGCTCAATGGCAGGGAGGGCTCAGAGTTTGCCGAGCCGCGAGGGCCAAAGTACCTGGGGCCGCTGCAGGATCAGCCGTTTCCCCTCAACCCGCTGTTCCGGAGCCAGCCGGTGCTGGACGAGCACACGAGGGAGCTGATATGGGACAAGGTGATGAAGAGGGGCGAGTCGCTCAAGGCGGTGTCGGCGGAGATGGGCGTCGATGTGAGGAGGGTGGCGGCTGTGGTAAGGCTGAAGGAGGTTGAGAAGCAGTGGCAGAGAGAGGTGAGCTTTTCTTTTTTTTTTTTTTCTCCAATTACCTGTTTCCATTACCCCCCCCTCCCCGACCTTTATTTCCAGTTGGAATTGAGGAGATTATGTGTGCCTTTTGCGTGATGAGACAAATTTCAAAAAATTCGATTAGTCTTGAAGACTTCTTTACAATGGTTAAAAACGATTTATATTCTCTGATGGCACACAAACCTCTCTTCTTTCTTTGCTTTATACTGCTGCCTGTAGCCAGCCACGGAACATCACACTGGACCACGCGGTTGTGCTGACCACTCCATCAAAAACAGGGCAAAAAGCTGGCAACTCCCTATGCCAAGGCCGTCATGAACATGCTGCCCAAGACGTCGTACCGCGAGGGCGAGAAGAACCTGCCGCACGAGCCGGTCAACGAGATCCACGTCCACAAGCTGACGATGCAGCAACTCTTCGTGCCGGTGTCGGAGTCGCGGCACTTTACCCGAGAAGACGCCGCCAAGGCCTTCCACGACAGCATGCTGTCCGTTGACGCGCGATCACCACAGCCCGAGCTCATCAAGATGGAGCGGGAGATTCTTAACGGCAAGAGCCGGCAAGAAAGCCTGGCCAAGTTCAAGGAGGCGACGCAGAACGAGGAGGACAGGGTGGCGCGGCGCATCGCGGGCGAGCAGCGGAGGGAGGAGGAGGCGACGACGAGGGTCAAGACGGACCGCTACGAGTTCCGCTTCAAGGAGATCAACGCAGATGATGTGGGCTACAACGGCCGGTCAAGGAAGGGCACCGGCTGGAGGTATGGAGCGCCGTTTGATGATCGCAAGCGTGGGCTGGTCAAGATTCCTACCTCTGTGCCTTGATATCTGTCATGAGTACAACCTCGTATCAAGGGGACCGCGGGGGGGACATAAGACACGAATTGGGATTGGGCAGAGGGGCGATCCACACAAAGCTGTGTTACCATCGACACATACAGAGGCGCATCGCATACGCCACAAGAGCCGTCCATGTATAACATCCAATGCACACCTATATGCTGTATATACTATACCACAAAATCAGAGAACATGCTATATTCGTCATGACACGTCTAATTCGTAACACATTCAGCCATCTATGGAGGGGCATCGAGACCAAAGTAGCGGGTTAGTTAGCGACAACGAGCTTTTGTCGGAGACGAGCAACTGTCTCTGGCGTGAGTTTGCACTCGTCGATCATGTACTGCTCAGCTGAGCCCCATTCTTCGCGAAGCATGGCCAATGTAGCCATCATGCTCTCTGGTCTATTGCACAATTGTCAGCATCCCAAGGGTCAGCTGCATGCAACGGCGACTGAAGAAAGAGGAAGAAGGCAAAATTGCTAACGTTGAACTCAACATCCTCTCGGCGCCCTCTGGATCACCGTCAAAGGCTGGCATGGAGAGCAACCGCTGGACCAGCCTCGGCTTCGCATCCTTGAGCCCTTCCGTCGTGAGTCCATACTCCCTTGCCACGTCCTCGTCGGGGACACCGCACAAGCTCAGTATCAGGGCGCATAGCACGCCCGTCCTGTCCTTGCCCGCGGTGCAGTGCACCAGTATGGGTCTCTCGGCAGCGGGATCCCACTCGTCGGACGCCAGATACTTGAGCACCGTCGCAAAGGCCGGTGCTCCTGATTTCAGGATGGAGCGGTATGCGTTGACGAAGCCGAGGACGGGATGTGCCGAGGCGTATTCGCGGAAGCGCAGAGCGACCGCCTCGGGGCCGTAGTCGGTGTCTGCGAAGACGGGCGCATGGACGCGACGGGGGCCGCCGGGCCACTGCTCAGAGTACTCGTAGTCGGTCGAGGTGGACGACGGAGAGTGGGCGACTTCGAGGCCGGAGCGGAGGTCGAAGACGGTGTCGATGTTGAGGGCGGCGAGCTCTGGGTTGGCCTCGGTGGGGGGAGCGGCGGAACGGAGGACGAGGCGCGGGCGGAAGATGGAGGGGGCGGCAACGGAGATGTCGCGCAGGTTGGCAATGGGCGGCTTCGACATTGCGTGGGAAGAGGAAGGGGGGGGGGAGACTCTGGATCAGAGGCTGCTGAAAGAGCTGGTGATGGCGGGATGTGGTGGTTTGGGGAGCTGTAGTAGCTACATGTACCTACCTACAGCTGTAGGAAAGGTAGGTACCTCTCGGTGTAAGTTCGACGGCACACGGGTCCAGGTACCACACCAGACAGGACTCGGGACGGAGCAGCAAGCCCGGATCAGTTAAGGTAGGTGGTGACGGGCCGTTTCTGCCGGCAGTTTGTGACACTCGTTAGGCGGTCGGCCCGTTGTCTGTTTTGACCCTTCTCCCCCCCTCCTGTCTCAGCTATAATCCTGCCAATCTTGCCGTCTCTCCACTCAGCTTCGAGAGCTTCTCCAGCTTGGATGCACCCCCCCGCAGTCCCGGTTCGACGCCACCTGTGCGGCGCCTGTGCGACATCGCCAATAGAGGCGCCGAAACCGAGGACGGGCAGGGATGCGATGCCCATGACTCCATGAATCTGGCGCGCCAAAGGAAAAGGGACAATTTCCACCTTTTGGCTTGTGAAGAGAGTAAGCCTGGGCTCTAGGCCTTCTCTTTCGCCGGCCTTGTTTCTCGCCTTGATCTTGCTCTTTTGCTTCGCCGAAGCCTTAACGGCGTGCTGCCTGCTAATATCACACAGGAGGGCTTGTTTCATATGGCTTCTGGCAAATAGCCTTGTCGGAACTGCATCTCGGCCCTTTCGGCCCTTTGTCGGGGGCGCGTGGTTGGCGAGCGACTCAGCAGATCTGGGATCGGCGGCATGGGACTGCCCAGAAGAGGAGGTCTGTATGTAAGTGGTGCGGGCTCTCCTTCGTCAGGCGTGGATATTCATGCTCTTGCCGAGTGGATAGAGTCTGTTTATGCGCCGTGGGCATAGCACTGCTAGCTTTGATGTCGAAAGGGGGGGAAGAGTGGCATGATAGATAATAGGCACTCGTGCTACACATATATAAAGCCGCGAAGTCCCACGTTGGAGGACAGATACTCTCTCGATTCCTGCTGGAAGCAGCTTGTTTCGTTACGGACTCGATCAACCTCGGCAATTTCAATCATGAAGCTCCGGTACGCTCTCCCGCTGCTCTTGCAGCTCTCTTTGCCGGTCCTCTCCGCAGACACCGCCGCCTGGAGGTCCCGCACCATCTACTTTGCCCTGACAGACCGCATCGCTCGTGGAAGCGGTGACACGGGGGGCAGTGCGTGTGGGAACCTGGGGGACTACTGCGGTGGCACGTTCCAGGGCTTGGAGAGCAAGTTGGACTACATCAAGGGCATGGGATTCGATGCCATCTGGATCACACCTGTTGTGACGAGTGAGTCTTTTCATACCTTGCCCTGCCTTGCCTCGCCTCGCCTTGCATGTGTCGCATACAGGCTTCTGGTATGCATAGCTAAACCTGATACCTCTGGACAGACAGTGATGGGGGCTACCATGGCTATTGGGCGGAGGACATCGACTCCATCAACTCTCATTATGGCTCTGCGGACGATCTCAAGAGTCTCGTCAACGCCGCGCATAGCAAGGTATTCCCTTTTGTTCACACCAGACTTCATGATTATCAAAATTAACACAAACCAGGGCTTCTATATGATGGTGGACGTCGTGGCCAACCACATGGGCTACGCCAATATCTCTGACGATAGTCCCTCTCCACTGAACCAGGCCTCGTCGTATCACCCCGAGTGTGATATCGACTACAACAACCAAACCAGCGTCGAGAACTGCTGGATCAGCGGCCTCCCGGATCTCAACACGCAGAGCTCAACCATCCGCAGCCTCTACCAGGACTGGGTCTCCAACCTCGTGTCCACGTACGGCTTCGACGGCGTCCGCATCGACACCGTCAAGCACGTCGAGCAAGACTACTGGCCCGGCTTCGTCAACGCCACCGGCGTCTACTGCATCGGCGAGGTCTTTGACGGAGACCCAAACTACCTGCTGCCCTACGCCAGCCTCATGCCGGGCCTGCTCAACTACGCCATCTACTACCCCATGACGCGCTTCTTCCTCCAGCAGGGCTCCTCGCAGGACATGGTCAACATGCACGACCAGATCGGCAGCATGTTCCCCGACCCGACCGCGCTCGGCACCTTTGTCGACAACCACGACAACCCGCGCTTCCTGAGCATCAAGAACGACACGGCCCTGCTCAAGAACGCGCTGACGTACACCATCCTCTCGCGCGGCATCCCCATCGTCTACTACGGCACCGAGCAGGCCTTCTCGGGCGGCAACGACCCGGCCAACAGGGAGGACCTCTGGCGCAGCGGCTTCAACGCCCAGTCCGACATGTACGACGCCATCTCCAAGCTCACCTACGCCAAGCACGCCGTCGGCGGCCTCGCCGACAACGACCACAAGCACCTGTACGTCGCCGACACGGCCTACGCCTTCAGCCGCGCCGGCGGCAACATGGTGGCCCTGACCACCAACAGCGGCAGCGGGAGCTCGGCCCAGCACTGCTTCGGCACGCAGGTGCCCAACGGCCGCTGGCAGAATGTCTTTGACGAGGGCAATGGGCCGACGTATTCCGCCGACGGCAACGGCCAGCTTTGCTTGAATGTGTCCAACGGTCAGCCCATTGTCTTGCTGTCTTCGTGATTTGGGTATAGTCTACTTCTTTTTTGCGTTTGTACATAGGTACAATCATCATTCTGGTCTACTGCTGTCACATTGTACATACAAGCACACATGTATTCAAGAATACCCACTACTTATTAGGCAAACATGTTTTATAATCATCGGTATATTGATTGTACGACTTGATAAGTAAATAGAGCAAATACCGACGCCCAAGATGTGCGTAACCCGAACCCTAACCGAACCGAACAAACTCGAGAAGATGAAGTGAAATGAAATGAAATGAAAAGAGAAGCACGATTATGATGGAATGGCATCGCATCGTCTTGATTCCGCCTGTAAAGTGCCGTGTACTCCCTTCCCTTTGCCGTGTCCCTACTATGTCTAAGATGGACCTCTGTTTTGCTATGACGAAACCGGCCGTGATCGTGACGAGATGTAAACGAAATATGTCCGATGAAAGGATGTCGCATGTTCGCTCGCTGGCTTGATGTGCTATTGGGGTATGTCGCTCGAGTATCGATCGATCAATGGACAAATCAAATGAAATAGAACCCCGTCAATGCCTGAGAGGACAGGCCGAAAGGCAGGGAGAAAAAAAAAACCGATGCTGGAAAATAGAGAGAGAGAAGGAACAAAGTAAAAAGAAACAATGCGGTCCAGTCCCTATTTCCTTCTGACCTGTGTTGCCTGTGAACCCCCTGTTGTACTGTTGTCCGTGACACCGTGCAATGAATTTTCCCCCCCTTGGGAGATACCACGAAATCTGGAAGAAATCGAACCGCGAAAGACGAAAAAGAAGGACATGAGGCCGTAATATGTGAAGCAATTTAGTTGATAAACTCATAAAAGTCCAATGGCCATATTGATCTTGCAGTAAAGAATAGATGAAAGAAAGAAAATGGGTGTCCCTTTAGGCAACGTGAGTGCCGTTCTTGGTCACCACCAGCAGTGGCTCCTCGGGCAGCAAGCCCCTCGACCGGAGAATCATGCCCAGCTCCTTAAGCTTGACAGGCTTCGTCAAAAACAGGTCGACGCCGCTGCCAAAGGCCTCCTGCTGGGCGCTCTCTGAGGCGAGGCCCGTCAGCGCAAAGATGATGGCCGGCTTGATCTGGTTGTCGCGCTCGTAGGCACGGATGCGGCGCGTAGCTTCGAATCCGTCCATGATGGGCATCGACACGTCCATGAAGATATACTTGCAGTGCTTGGGGTTCGACTTGTACGCGCTCAGGGCCTCGGCGCCGTTGGTAGCCGTGTGGTAGGGCCGGCCCAGCTTCTTCATGTAGATGGAGAGGATGTCGAGGTTGATGCTGTTGTCCTCGACGAGCAGGAACTCGGGCCCTGCCACCGCCTCACAAGAAGCTGCCACCGTATTGTCAGCAAGGCCGAGGCCGGAATCAGGGCCGGGCTCGTCTGCCTTGTCGGGCTTTGCGAAAGCAGACTTATCGCTGCTCTCGGACAAGAGGTTCTGCAGAGCCTGGAGACACGGCGTCGGCGTTGGAAGCTGCGTCTTCACCGTGCTCAGGATGTCGGGGACCACAGGGAGAAACTCCTGCCGCTGGTTGGCTGGTGATAGTGGCGTCGACTTCATTTCGCGGCCGCGTTTAAACGCCATTGCGACGGCTTTGGCGACTTTTCGAGGTGCCAGACTGGAAAGGACGGAAAGCAAAAGGGGGTTAGCAAGGCGATCCAACGCATCCTGTGACTGGGGATATCGAATACTAGAAACGAAGTCACTGCCAATAGGGGTATGTGTACTTACGGCTGGGCAACAAATTCAAAGATCCTGTGCGCCTTGACGCGCTCAAACTGCGCTGCACTCTTGTATGCCACCAGGGTGTTCTTGCACAAGACGACGCAGGGAGGTCCTTGCATGAGGTTCTCCAGCGGAGAGTTGGCGAGCCTGTCCTCGATCCAGATGACGCAATCGGGCTCCTGTTCCTTTGCCTCGGCCTCGGTGATGATGTTGAGGCCCAGCCAGTCACGGCAGATACGCTCAACCTCGGTAAGCAGCTCCGTGTAGCTTCCGTCCAGCATGCGCCGCTTGCCCCGTTTCCCAATGTCGAAGCCCATCAGACGGACACGAAGGCCTGACGCCTCGACAACGTGCTTGTCGAGGTCACCCTCGTTCTCGGCGAGCAAAGGGGTGCCGTCGGGAGGCGTCACTGTCTGCATCAGCGGCAGCGACACTCGCACAATGGTTCCCACGTTGACCTGGCTGTCGACGGTAACACGTCCTCTGAGCTGCGAGGTGATTTGCTTCACGAAGCTGAGGCCCAGGCCGGTCCCGGGCGCGAGGTGGTCCTCCTGGGAGAAGGGCTTGAACAGGTCGTTGCGAAGATAGTCCTCGCCGATGCCTTTGCCCGTGTCGGAAACGACAATGTGGACAATGGCGTCAGCCGACGACTTGCGCTTCGGCTTGGACTGCGTCAAGTGCACCTTGATAGACCCTCTTTGCGTGTACTTGAGAGAGTTGCCGAGCAGGTTCATCACGATGCGTCTGATGGCGCCCGGCTGCGTGTAGAACCTCCAGTTGAACTGGTGGTCGATCTCGAGAAAGACAGTCACCTCTCCCAGCGCAATCTTGCCGTTGGAACCAAGCTCCTCCATGGCCTGCATGGCGTCCAGGCGGCGCATAGCCGTCCAGTCCGACGAATGAGCCGAGTTCTTGTGCTTGGAGAGCTGCAGGGCCATGTGCATGAAGTTGAATCCGGCATAGACACCGTCCATGACTTCCTCGACGATGCCATCCAGTCGAATGTGTTTGTACAGACTGAGCATGCCTTCCTCGACCGACCTGGCCGTGCCTGGTCGCAGCCCACGGGGCTCCGACGTCTGTCCCCCCTGGCGTCTCGTTTGGATAAATCTATTAACCTTGGAGTAGTCGAGGAGGTGGTCGACCGTGTCAACGAGCGTACGGCAGCAGATTTCGATGGTGTGAGCAATGTTGCCCTGGAAGACGGTCAGTTCGGTATCGCGTAGGAGCTCGATACCCAAGACGGCCCCGTGCAAGGGGGAGCGCAGCTCGTGCGAGAGGGAGCTCAGGGCATCCGACTTGGCCTGATTGGCGGCAAACGTCTTCAAGCGGAGCGTCTCTGCAATCGCCAGTATGCTCACGGCCCGGAGGAAGTTGAGCTCTCCTCCCACGGTGAAGATCCGAGTCGGCGTCAGGGTGTAGACGAAGCCTCCCGCGCACCACCTTTGCTTTCTGGGATCCCAGACGGGAACAAAGGCCACGCTCCTGGCCTTGGGAAACACTTGCTGGATGATCTTGCCTTCGTTGTGGCGCGCCCAAGGCCGCCTCTGGCGCTTCGTCTGAGAGGCATCTTCCTGAGGCTGCTGCTGTGGTTCCGGCTGAAGGGGCGAGGCTGCATCCTGGGTAAGATCCGTCAGCCAGCCGTCGTCGTCGGACGAATCGCTCGACTGCAGCTCTCCGTTGACGCCAAAGTTAAAGATGTGCCCCTTGGGGTATCGGTGGAGGAGCTTTGCGAGAAACTTTTGAGGCATGCTGATCCTTTGCAGCGAGCCGTCCTCAAACTTCATGCGGCGGCTCTCCGTGGCTGAGTATCCCAGCACCTGGCAGGTTGGCCACTTGTCAGCCTTTGGCTCGGCGTCGGTGGTGGTACCGTTGGTCGTGGTGCCGTTGCTGGCATCGGCATCTCCAGGTTGAGGCTCGGGCTCTCCGTCGTCGTGCTCGTTGTCACTGCCGCTCTCGTCATCTTCATCATCACTGGTAGTCTCGACGTCTCGGAACGAGGGGTGGCCGGTAGAGCGGCCCTTGCGAGGCCCTCCAGAGCGACTATCATATTCACCAAACGATCCAGGGGTTGCATCGAGGAAGAGGCAACCGTCCGTTTCCAGGGACTCGCGGATGATGATGGCGGCTTCAGAAAACGTGTCGATGACGGGGTTCGGGCCGGGGACGAAGTTGTCAGCCCATTTCGTCTCTGCTGCCGGCTTTCCCGAGCGATCATTCTTGCGATCGAGCCGCTCCCCGTCTGGCGAGAGGGATCGTTCCGAGGCGGGCGTCGAACGGGCGGTTGCTTCGGAGGCGGGCTCCCCGTTGGCGTTGTCGGCGTCTCCCCTGAGACCCTGTCGGGCCAGAAGCAGCGCATCCGGCGTTTCCGTAAACGTCTCCCGGCCAGCAACCGAAGCCCAAGAGGACTCGGTCGCCTTGCCCGCGACAAAGAAGCCGAGGCCTCGAATCATGCGCTCGCTGCGGCGGTATGCCACCTTTGAAAAGTTGGCTTCGAGATGGTCCATGATGGCCATGGAGAGCCTGCGCATCAGATTCGTGTAATGGTCGCTCCATCTCCGGCCAGGCTCGGGGCTGACAACACAGAGCACGCCAATGTTGATGCCCCTCTGCGTTCTGATAGGCACCGACGCGTAGAACCGGTGGCCGCCTCCAGGCCGGCAGTACGGCTTGGCCTTGAAACGGGGGTCAGTGGAGAGATCTGGGACCACGAGGCACGGCAGCTGGTTCGCCTCGCCCTCGTTCTCGCATTGCTCAAACTGGGTTGGGCCCAAGTCGGGGACAGCAGCGTGCTCCCGTGCTTTGTCGAGACGGTCCGACTCAAGAAGAGTATACTCGCACGTGCTCTGGGAGCGAGGGATGGCGGTGCCAACCATCCAAAGACCTAGGTCGACATCATCTGGCGAAGTGAGCAGCGTCCTAGTTGCCTCGGCGACGAAGTACTGATGCTCCACGTCAAAGAGCGAGATGAAGGCTCTCTCGGTGCCCGTCTGGAAAACAGCTAGCTGGGCAAGGGCAGTCAAGACCAAGTCTTGCGAGGGCATCAACTCAGAGCTTGGTAGAGCGATGCCGGAGTTGTTGAGCTTGGTGGCGGACAGGAGAGTTGGGTCATATCTGGATTCAGCCATTGCGTTAGCAGCGGTGTCTCCCACAGCCCTCGAGAAACCGTAGTTGCCAGACGATGGAGGATCCCTGTCTTGGGTCCGAACGAGTTTCTCGATTGGTTTCAGAATATGACCTCGAGATTCAACCCTCGCTGTAGTCAAGGGCAAGCAGGATGAACATGGGGCGGGCAAAGTGCTTAGCTGTCATGACAATGTGAACTGAACTGACTTGAACGTCTCGCGCTGGCGCGTTGCTTCGGACACGGCCCTGTAAGGCGGCAAGGGGCGGCCATCCATCGTCTGTTGATGCGTCTATCCGATGTGCCAATGGCGTAGTGCGAAAATCAATAGGAAGATGCAGCGTCGCTTCTCTTATCCTGAGGTCGTACAGACTAGAGGGTCCGCCCTTGAGGTTTGGATGCTGGCCAAATGAGTGCGTGCAGCAAGGCGCTGCTCCCGAGTTGCCAGACGCACACCGAGGAGGGGGGGGAAGCTGCAACGGTCCCTTGCAAACGGAGCTGCAATGCTACGTCGATTGGCGGGATTCACGAGACCAAGTGGCAGAGAGAGGGAGGGTTTCCAGGTTCCTTTTGCTCTCTCGAAAGCGCCCGACCTGCCCAGTTGCTGCTGCTGCTACCAGGCCAGCGACGGTTGGATGACAGGCCTGAGGCTCTCGAGCGTGTGCTAGAGTGAAGTCCGGATGCACCAGTCAGAGGCGAGATGGAGGACGGAAAGATGGGCAAGAAGATGACAGATGAGATGATGCAGGGCAGGCAGGGCAGGGCACAGGGACCCGACGGGTTACTGGATAGGGCGGAACCGCAGGGTCAGGCGAGGTTGAGGGACTGCAGTACGAGGGGATCAGCGGCCGTGGGCGGTCCCGCAGAGTCCTGTGCAGTAATATTCCGGGCGAAGGAGAGCTTTGCGTCAGTGTCGAGCGGGAACAGGCTCGGGTATGATTTTTCGAGAGCTGGACCGAACAGGCATGGGTCTGTCTTGACTGAGGCGGGAGGGGGTGGATGAGAGGAGGATGCGAGACGAGTTCTGAGGAAAAGGGCACGAGGTGAAAGAAAGTCAAATAGGTAGAGGAGGGCCTGGACTGAGATTCTAGCGGTTTGGGAGGGCCTAGAGCGAGCTCCCCCAGGAGAAAGTGGTGCACGAGTGCGGCCAGGCGGCTGGTACGGGTGCAATTTGCCCGCCCGCAAGTGTGATTATTCGTGGCTTCGATGCCTTAGTCAAAACCATGCCATTATCGTGAGTGGAGGCGGCTAGATGTCTGTTTTTTTGGAGGGGGGACCCTGAAAAAAAATGGAATAAAAAAAGAAAGCAAATAACTGAATGCGAGCCGAAGCCGAGACAGGGAGAGGCGTGAAAATCTGAGTCTTGACACGAGAGACCATCTAGACAACACTAGGACGAAGCACAAGCAGCCAGCATCCGAACTATTATGCAGCACTACTGGTACCGAAGAGCCCTGGGCGTGAGCGAGCCAGAGAACTGGACCCTGAATGAGGCTGGAGTGGATAACACAAGAGCAGGCCCTAGGATCTGGGCTCATGACAGCACATGGATGTATCGAATCAGGAGCCCCTGTCAGTGGCCTTATGAAGGGTACGACTAACTATCCGTGACACCTCACAGATGCGGAGGCGAGCATACATACTATTACTTGGTTCACGATGGCTGGGCGACGATTCAATAATCAAAAGTAAGCTGGAGAGGATGCAAGAAGAGAGGCGTCAGAAGAGTAGAAACAAAGCACAACCCAGGCAGACCATGACCCTCCTCGCATGCAGCTCAGTCTCGTCGTGCAGGACAAGCAAGACAGACAAAACGCCGGCCGGCAATGCATAAAGTGGCTGGCTCTATTGGCTCGCCCTGCTGAAGCCATCGTGGGCCAGTGTATGTAAGCTGTAGCAATTACTACTCGTACGAAGCAAGCAATAAGGTATCTGCTGATTGACGGGCGTTGTCCTTTCCAATTTGCCACTCCAGGGCAAACAAGGGATGATGGGAAACCGGGAATGAGGCCGGCTTGATGAGACACAGCGATCCAAATTAGAAAGCTGGAGGACGATCGCCCTCCCGAGTCGAAGCTGCCGCTTGGCACTGCTCTCCATCATCACCCACGGCTTTGGCGGTGAGAGGAACTCATGGAAGTAGGTACAGGAGGTAGTAGTAATTGCCGGCAAGTGATGATGCTGTACTAGGTAGGTAGAGGTAGGTATGAGGTAGTCTAGGAGGTACCTATGTAAGGTAGGTAAGGTAGGTACCTACTGTCATGGAACTTTTCACCAGACACAAAGTCCGGACAAGGGTCACGCCTACCGCAGCAGCGAATGCCGATCTGCCCAAGAGGCATCTGCGGGCGCCAAGCAAGAGCCTCTCAGGGCCTCGACCGCCGTGGAATGGTAGCACCTTCTGTTCCCTTTCCTTTCAGGGACTCGCTCGCTGCATCTGGCGCCTCCGCCTCCAGCATCAACATGACCAGCACATCTGAACGAATCCCCTAGTACATGTAGTTCCTTACGAAAAGCACAAGACTTTCGTTTCAGACTCGTCACCATAGTAGTACGAGGAAGCTGACCGAGGCAAGGACGGCCGTGGAGCAATCACACAAAGATGCATTAGCACATGCAAGGGGGAAGCTGTGATTATTCGCAGCAAGTAGCACCGGTCCACGTCACTTTGGAGTTTCCTTCCACCCAGTGTTTCTGCATCCTTGCTCGTCTTCTCAGCCCTCTTCTCGAGACACATAACACCGAGACTCGGGGGCGACAAAAGCTCCGATTGCATGCAAGTCCAGATGGCATTCCTAGTGCCACTTGACATACATGTACATACCTTACCGTGCCTTATCTCAAGTCATTGTGTGCTTTTCGGTTGCTTGCATGAAGCTGTGGAGAGTGCCTGCCTGTACCTGGACGCTCGTGATTCGCACCTGCAACCGCTATGGCGACGATCTTTGAGTTTGGAGTCTGAGACACTTGCACTTGAGGACGAGACGTAATAGTAAGACGCAGCCTCCAGACTGCATCAGACTGTCGCTGGAGCCTTCATCAACTGCCAAACTCTCTTTCTGAAGCACTCCCATGACCCAAACGCAAGATACACAAAGGAGGAAAGAGACACCAAAAGGCCACAATAGAAGCATCATCGACTTCAACCCAACCCCCCAACCTGCTCTCTGCCTTCCCGACTCTACCTTCTACCAGACTGTATATTCACGTCCACAACTCCACCACCGTCTCCGAATCTCCAGGTGGGACGCAAGGGAGCACAAGCCGAAACAATCAACTTCCTAGGGCCTCTCAGCCGCTCGGCCCCGCCACGCCGCTCCCGCTTTGGCCTGCTGCTAGGCTCCGGCTTGCCGACGATCCTAGTCTTGTCCTGACCATCCATAAGAGATAGTATACCTACTGTGCTTCAAGCATCATTACGGTGTACGCCTTACGTACAGGACAACCTAGGAGTCGGTCAATCTGCTTCGATTCCATGCGTCCATCATATCAAAGGAAATCAAGCATTCCTGCACGCCTTCATCCAAATTCAACGAGTACATCTTTTCCTCGACTGTCACGGGCAAATGCGTTCGCACATTCAACTTCCAACTTTTGCCAGGTCTTCTGTTACCCCTGAGGACTCTCAGGGCTCTCGCCTCCTCGACCAAGCCAGCCGTTACATACATACAACATGGCCTGTCTTCGTGCCAATTTCAAATCGACTGGCCGCAAGGTGCGGTGCGGGCGGCTGGCTGTCTCGCGGCGGTGACACGGCACAACGCCTCGCACAAACATGGGAGATCTCGGGATAATGCAGCAAGCGAAAACAACGCCGTAAGTTCTAAATGTGCTGTCGTATGCTTCGTACAATTGCAGTCTCGGGTGACACCAGGTACTGTCAACGTCCGAAGCTGATGCAAGGAAATGAATGGACTGCAAGACAACGAAAACAGAGAGAGAGAAGCATGCTAACCACACATGCCCTGTCCCACACAGGTACAGACAGGAGACAGCCGAGCCACCTTGTATTACTCATACTCATATTCATACTCATACTCATACTCTGACTTGGACTTGGACTCAGACTCAGACTCGATACGGAGCGTGCACAGTCGGGCTCAGTCCGACCATGTCCGCAAAGTTCACCATGGTGTACTGCTGCTGGAGCACGTCAAGCTTGTGCCGCAGGTAGTCTCGCTGCTCCTGCTCGGCCCTCTCGAAGCTAAACAGGAACTTGACCAAGAAAACAAAGTCTTCTATCCGGCTCCGCATGTCCTCTTGCGTCTGGCCATAGCTCAGCGGCAGCGCAAGCACATCCGCCACAGTGCTCGTGATCTCAAAGATCTTCTGCAGGAGCCCCATGCCGTGTGTGACAATGGTGGATACGTTCTCGAGCTGGCTTACCAGGGCTCGCAACTGCACAGACAGCCTGTGCGCTGGGAAGTGGATGGACAAGCCCTCGTGGATGTTCTGTGACGGGGCCGAGCGAAGAAAGCCGTGGGTGAGGCCAAACTGCCAAAGCAGCGTGCGCATCCAGAGCCTGGTGACAAACAAGTCGACGTGCTGCAGCTCCGTGAACGACCCTCGGCCGCTCTCAATCAGCGCCTGTTCGGCCTCGGAAGCTCCGATTTCGTCCTGGTCCAGCTGAGCCTGCTTGCTCTCGATCCACTGCAGCGACACCCCCGGCATGGGCTGCGCCGGGTTCTGCTGCGCGTTCCAGTACAGCAGAAAGGGCCCGTCCATGATCTGAAAGAGGCGGATAAGGCGGTTGAATCCGACGTCGATGTGAGCCGGAATCAACGTGTCCCGCATCGGTAACCCCGTAGGCAGCGGCGCCATGCTGCACGGGAACCCGGAGAGGATGGTCAGGAAGCGTTCGTGGATGAAGACCTCCCAGTACACGCGCTGGAACTTGGGCACGTCGCGCGGCTCGAGGGGCATTGCATTGTGTGAGCACTGCTGGACGTGGATCATCTGCACCATGGTCATGGCCTCGCGCAGCGTGGCGAAGCTGCGGTCGAAGCGGTTGAAGGCCATCATGGACACCTCGAGGAAGATGCACGTCATAATGCGCTTCAAAGTGGTCCGCACCTCTGTCAACCTCCCGTTCCTGACGTCCGACATGGATTCTGCCCGTCGATGCGCGCTGAGGCTGAGTCGAATCAGCTCCGTCATTCTGGCTCCCGCCTCGCCATGCACCGTGGGAGTCGTGAGGTTGATCGTCACGGCACCCGTTGCGTAGACAAAGGCGGCGTCTTCGAGGCTGACGTGCATGTTATCAATGGCCCGGCGCACCTCATAGCTGGTGATGATGGGGCTGCCCGGATACACCTGCTCTTCGTACTTGGGAAGCATGCCGATGAAGAAGCCCGCCGTGAAAACGAATGGTTCCGAGGCTGGTGCTGCCGCAAGGCTAGGTCGGGGGTAACCTGGTGCCACGGCGCCGGTGCGATTGATATTGCCTCTTCCAGCTGCAAGCCCAACGCCGGCGGGAGACGCATCATCCTCCGAGCTGATCGGGTTCACGATTCCGGCAATGGACGTCACTGCTGGAGCTGGCGGCCTATCTCGACGTTCAGCCAGCGAGGTGCTTCCATGGCTGGGCAAGGGCGCTGCTATGTTCGACTTGTTGCGCAGCTGTGTCACGAGTCGATTCCGGACGCTTGGCTTGCGCTTGGTCGACGGCGAGTAGATGCACCCAAGGCCCAGGTGTGAGCATTGAGAACAAGGCTGATTGCTGTTGCATTTCACCTTGCGCACCCTGCATCCATCGCAAGCTTGAGCCGCTCTGTTACTCATGGAGGACGCGCATGAGATTGAAATCGGGGGTCTTTAGCTCATGGCGTCACTACTCCGAGCCTTAGGAATGGGTCCAGCGGCCGGATGCGAGTGAGAGAGGGGAAAGGAGAGCAAGAGGAGGAGAACCAAGGCGACGAAAAAAAGAAGAGCAAAGGGAACAGCTTTGGCCGCTGCGGCGGGGATTGTCGGTGCAGGGGGGGGCCGGTCAAGAGAGAGAGAGAGAGAGAGAGAGAGAGAGAGAGAGAGAGACAGAGAGAGAGAGAGACAGAGACTACGGATAGAGTATGGCACGGATCGTGATGGCCGACGCACACACACACACACATACACACGGCAGTTTCAATCAAGGGGAAAAGACGATGCGGAAGAGATAAACAATGACGATCAGAAAATCACAAGGGCCTCTATTTTATCGGCCTCTCCCCACCGGCTGGCTGTAACTTGTGGATGGCGGAGAGAAAGGTGGGGGAGGGGAGAAGAAGAGCAGCGGCATGCCTCGCGGTTTATGGCCGTTATTCCAGCCTTTGGGCGAGAACGTGGCTTTTCGCCCCCACGTGTTGCTCCCTCTATCGATGCCATCTCCATGCCTGGCCGGCTGTTGGACTTTTTGGAGCAATGATTCCGTCATGGAGCAACGGAGTCCGGAATCCGGACTTGGGAGAGAGGGGAACGGTTTGGGCGACTACGTATTGCGGAGCGCGATCACGAGTGCAGGTGCTCAATACGGCAGGCCTGGAAAGAAGCCTCTGGACCGGGTGTTTGCAACTGGGTGAAATCCATTTTGGCTATTTCATTACAAGAGAAGAGGCGGATAAAGGCGGTTTTCAAAGAAACCACAGTCGAGGTCCTCGGCAGCCAACCCCCCTAGACGACGCATGGACTGCCTTGACGTTCCCGTCACGCCTTGGGTGCGATACGCTCAATCTCGGCAGTGGAACCTCCATCCTTTCTAATCGAAACAGACTCAAAGCCGGCATCAATCCTCCCCACAGCCGTGGTGGCAAACTTGCGCGCGCTCACTCCCTGCTCAAACAAGGTATCAAGCTCACCGTATGTCCTGCCCTTTGGCTCCGGAAGGCGGAAGAAGGTCCATGTCGCACAGCACAAGGCAGTGCCCGCCCAGAAGAAGCCCGTCTTTGCACCCCAGCCCCATGCGGTGGGGTTGAGCATGCGCGGCGTCAGGATGTTGGCGATGATGCTGGCAATGTTGTACATGTTGCGGGCCAGCACGACCGACTTTGCTCGCAGACGAGTCGACGTGAGCTCGGCGACAAGCGAGTAGCAGATGGGGCCTGGGCGATGCGTGTCACTAACTCGAATTCTGCCCAATACGCAGTAATATGGGGACAAGATGGAAAAGAGTGAGAGGAGAAGGGGGGGAGACGGGGCAGGGGTGGGAGGCAGAGAGACGTACCAACAGAGGAATCATACACAAACGTATACACAAGCAGCAAGGACCCGATGCCCCATTGCGCGCTGGTATTGGCTGAGCCTGCAAAGGACGCGCAGCCAATGGTGAAGAGGATGAGGCACGCACACACCTGGCCAGTGAAGAACAACGTTCTACGACCGAACCAGGTCATCAAGAACCAAGACAGAATGGTCCCGACAATGCCAATGCCGTACTGCCCGAGGGACATGCTGAAGGAGCTGCCGACAGCCAACCCGGCCTGCTGGTAGAAATACGTCGAGTACCCCATGAAGTTGGACCCGGACAGAGTCTGGCCCATCCACACCATGCACACAATTTCAGTGCGGCGAGCATTGACGCCCGTGAAGAGGTCCCAGTACGTCGTGCCGGCAGTCAGCTCCCTCTCCATCTCGTTGGTATGGATCATGAGGGATATCGTTTCGTCAATGTTGAACTCGGTGCCTGCGGTGCTGCGGCTCGTCAGACGAGCCAAAGAGCGTCTGGCTTCATCCACCTTTCCGCGTCGGACGAGCCACCAGGGAGACTCCGGCGCGAGATAGATGCCAACTGCTAGGGGCACCGGCCACATCCACTGCAGCGCGAATGGGATCTTGTAGCCCCAGTCGTCAGTTCTGGACACCATGGCGCGGAGCACGCCTGACGCGATGAACTGGCCGATGACCCAACAGAGGTTGTTGTAGGTCGTCAGGTAGGCTCGGAGGTGGGTAGGGCACACTTCAGAGGCATACGTCGTGGTGAGCGTCTGGAAGATGCCCCAGGGAATGCCTGCCAAAATCTCTCCAACAAGGAGCTGGGGCAGCGTTTTCGAAAAGAAGATGATGAAGATGAAGCCCGTGATTCCAACCAGCGCGCCGATGAGGGTCTTGCGATATCCGAAGCGGTCGGCAAGGATTCCGTTCATGAAGAGTCCGATGATGGAGCCGCAGAGCACTCCATTGGTGAGGCCCGACTGCCAAGCAGCCGTGAGCTGGTAGCTTCCGTCGGCCTGCTGAACCCCAAATTGGCGTTGAAAGGCCGGGTAGGCGAAGAGCGATCGCAGCAGCGCCGTGTCGAAGCCGTCCATGATGATGCATGTCGAGATGAAGATGGACCACAAACAAGCTTTCCAATATAGCTTGAAGGACTTGACAAAGCCCATGTTGTGTTCGGCGTCAGTGGCTGCCGCAGCCTCCTGAGCCGTCGAAATGTCGACCTTGCTGGGCACGGGGGCCGAGACATGGGCCGGCGACATGTCTTCATTCTCTGCCATGTTGGTGGTGTTGCGGGGGTGGAAGTGGAAGAGAAGAACGAATGAGCCTTGGAAAAGAAAATAAGTCGTCAATTTAATCACACTGAGGCCACAAGATCGGTTGGTTGCAGTCAGTTGATGGGGAAGAAGAAGAAGAGGGGAAGGGGAATCTGGAAGGTGGTCGGAACTTTATACGCGGCTCTCAGACGTTGAGGGAAAAGTTGGCTCAAACAAAACGTTGTGCACGACTGTGGTCTGTCGTGCGCAAGGTGTCTAATCAGAAGAAATGGGAGACAAAATCGTGGCTATCGACGGGATGACCAAGAAGAACGAAAGTCAAGGCGTCGAACGCGGAGTGGTATGGTTCGATGCAGCTGAGCTCAAGCTATCGTGCTACTGGCAGCTAGTCAAACGCAGACACAGAAGTGTGGGAAGCTCGCGGTCTCTGTACAGTTGTCGATTGCGGCACCTGCGGGGAAACCTTTATTCAGACTCGGACCATTCGCCTGACACCCTTTTTCTTTCTTTTCCTTCTTTGGTGTTGTTGATCAGCATCTCTAAGTTCCCTTGCTTGCCGAAACCACCCCGTGGGGACCCCGCGATTTTGGAGCCGGGGTGTCTGGTAGAAGTCGCCAATGGTCTGGTTGACGATAGTCTGAGGACTATTGCCCGCAAATTGGAAGATGTCGGTCCGAGATACTTGGTCTTGGACTCTGGAAGATGGCTTGACTGCTGAGCACCAGAGGGAAACTATATGTCAGCTGGTTCGACTCTTGGCACAAAGTACTGACTACAGTTCTTGAGAAGATATGGTTGAAAGACGGAACCGAGCCCAAGGGAGCCCGGCAGAACAATGGGATGACGAGATGCCACGCAGAGTCGAATCTAATCCTGGAACCCACAGCCCCCCATTCATCTGAAGTCCGTATCAGTCATGAGGGATGAGAGAACAAAGGGGCCGCAAGCGGGGAGGCTACTGCCTCGCTCCGATGGCACGCCGATGGACTTGCCTCCGCTTACCATGCCATCGACCCCCATCACTAGTGGAATGATGCAGCCAAGGGCCCGTTGCGGGCTTGGGGAACGGCAACACGAAGCAACAGGTCAAGTGTCTGGGCGGCTTGAGGACCGGGCACCGAAGGGGCATAGCATCGGGCCGACACTTGTCCAATACGCTTCTTGCTTCTTCTCGTCGGTCCGACATACAACTAATCAGGGCTCAAGAACCGCCGTGTGCGCCCTCAAGCCTATCCACAACACGACCTTCACCCCCGTTTTGACTGGGGACTGTATTGCAAAACGGAGCATACTAGCCAGCAACACGAAGAGATGGTCTCGGCCAACTCCACGAGAATGGACAAAAGGGTCCTACACAAAGATTCAATAATGTGAAGCCGGCAGATGTCAGCTGCTTCATTCAACGGAGACTCGACGGCATCATCCCATGTCTTGCCGCTACTGGTGTCTCGGGCATACGCAACCCCCCATCGTCCGCGGAGGTCAATGATCGCTCAGCGCTCCGTTATCGCCAATTCATTGAAGGTCCTTTCCGGGCTTTTAAGGCGATAAATTCGCGACTTCAACTGATTCACTGCCCGGTTCAATATTGTTCTCAATCTTTTTCAATATCTTCCCTTTGTGTTCTTTCCAGAGACAGGGAACAGCCCTTCCTTCGTCGCAGTGATTCCCCGAGATCGAACCTGTTCACATACCGATACTCTTACCTCGTCATTATCTTGACTCCTCATTTATACGCAAAATGACTGTTCCTGGACGCCCCAAGCTGTGGTGGAAGCATGCTGTCATCTACCAAATCTACCCAGCATCATTTTGCGACTCCAATGGAGACGGAATCGGAGACCTTCCAGGCATCATCTCCAAGCTTGACTACATAGCTCGCCTCGGAGTTGATGTCGTCTGGATCTGCCCTATGTACGACAGCCCTCAGGTGGACATGGGCTACGACATCTCCAACTATGAGGATATATACCCTCCCTACGGCACCCTGCAGGACATGGAGACTCTTATTCGCGAGGCTCATGTTCGGGGCATGAAAGTCATGCTAGATCTTGTCATCAACCATACATCTGACCAGCATCCCTGGTTCGAGGAATCTCGTGCGAGCAAAGACAGCTCCAAGCGCGACTGGTACATCTGGCGGCCCGCCAAGCTTTCTCCCACTGGAGAGCGTCTTCCCCCCAACAACTGGCGTTGCAAGTTTGGCGGCGGCAGCGTGTGGGAGTGGGACGAGCAGTCGGGCGAGTACTATCTGCACTTGTTCGCCAAAGAGCAACCGGACCTGAACTGGGAGAATCCCATCACTCGCAAAGCGGTCTATGCCTCGGCGATGGAATTTTGGCTTGAGCGCGGCGTGGACGGCTTTCGCATCGACACCGTCAACATGTATAGCAAGCCGCCAGGGCTCCCAGATGCACCAGAGCTGGACCCCGGAGCTCCATATCAGGCGGCTGACATGCTGTACTGCAACGGCCCCAGGATGCACGAATTCCTCAGCGAGATGAATCAGATCATGGCCAAGTACGGCGCTATCTCGGTCGGGGAACTTCCATCGACGCCCGACATGGCCCGCGTGCTGCAATATGTGAGCGCAGAAGCCAAGCAGCTGGACATGGTGTTTCAGTTTGACGTCGTCAATGTTGGGTTCAACAAGCCGCTGAGGTACGATGCGGAGCCAAAGGACTGGCAATTGCCCGAATTCAAGGAGGCCATCGCTCGTACCCAAACTCTGATCAAGGGCACTGATGCTTGGACGACGGTCTTTCTGGAGAATCACGACCAAGCGAGATCAATTACACGCTTTGCAGACGATAGCCAACAGTTTCGAGTTGCAAGCGGCAAGATGCTGGCTCTTCTGCAGGCATGCCTAAGTGGCACGCAGTTTATATATCAGGGGCAGGAAATTGGAGCCATCAACGTGCCACAAGACGGTTATCCGCTTGACAACTACATTGACGTGAGCAGCCGCTTGTATCTCGACTTTGTCCGAGAGCACCGCAACGGCCAAGGCATGGACAAGGCCCTCGCTTCTCTGGCACATTTTGCACGGGACCATGCTCGCGTCCCCATGGTTTGGAACGGGAAGGCCAAGTACGGCGGCTTCTCCGAGGAGGCAGAAAAGTCTGGAAAGGAGGTCAAGGAGCCCTGGATGAAACCTCATCCCTTGGGAGGGCAGATTGACGTTGCTTCGCAGCTCGACGACCCGCACAGCGTCTTGACCTACTGGCAAAAGGCCGTGCTCTTCCGAAAGCAGTATGCCGATCTGCTCGTATACGGCGACTACCGGACCCTGCGAGAGGAGGACAGGGAGACTTACACCTTTATAAAGGAGCCGCCGTCTGGTGGATCGGCCAAGGCCGTCGTTGCGCTCAACTTTACTGGCGAGGAGAAGAAGTGGGAGAAGCCAACGGCCGCAGAACTTGCCGTTGAGGATGGCGCCGCGATCAGTTTCGTTCCCATCATGTCTTCCTACGATGGCAAAGTCGATGAGGGAGCCTTGAAGCCCTACGAGGGACGAGTCTATCTGGTCAGCTGGTGAGATGCCAATGTTACGGCACGATTACTACATAATTACGAAGTGGATCACAGGCAATATAATGTGTCTGCCCCTTGGAGGACGACATGTACTTTGGAGAGAATAGCCCTTGTTGTTTCCACTGGGTTTGACGGGACCACACACGAACGGAACAATGTGGAGTGGTTGTGTCTTTCAGGGCTGTGGTTGAATCATCGTCTTGGCCATCGTCATAGGCTGGAATTTCTCAAAGTCCACCAATCAATTCCTTAGATCGGCCGTGTGGCTCAATGGCAGAGCGTCTGACTACGATTTAGTACATCAGGAGGTTGCAGGTTCGACCCCTGTCTCGGTCAATTTTTCACTCCCTGAGTGCTTTGATTCTTTTTTTCCTTTTTTTTTTGTTCGACTCGACGAGACTTTTGTCTGTTGGTGTCATTATCAAGAGTTGTCGAATTCGCTCCATAGTGCCTGTGCATTGTGTTAAATGAGCTTCGGGACAACACTCTGAACCGTCAACCACTTCCGACTTGCGCGGGCTCTTGGTTGCAGACAATTGACTGCCTCCGTCTGTTACACTCCGCCTATGTCGATGTGAAGAAGACAGGCCGTATTAACCGTCAAGCTGCTAATATGGCCCATCTGTGAATGATATAATCGAAGACGTCCTTTCTCGTATTGGTGCGGTGTCTGGAGGGTGCACTGTTCATGTCCGGCTCGTCGGCGCCGGCTTGGTAGGGAGAAGTAATACTCGGGTGGACTGCCAAGCGACAGATCTGCAGCATATGAACAGGTTCTGATCCGTGGCAACTCTGGCAACCTGCTGTCGATCTGAGGCTCATCAGATCGGGAGATTGGTGCCGAATGCCCCTTTTGACTGTGAGCCACCTGGCTTGCAGACATGTCATCAAAGACTTGCGCAACACGACAAGAGTCGCGACAAAGGACATGGTCGTCTCTGCTGTGTCAGCAAAGGGTAGATGCATATCGGGTCCTCGGCAGACGCAGGAGTCGAGTATTACCTGCATTAGACTTGTTGTCAACCTTGTTTGCTGTATACCTGACCAGGAGAGGTGATATGAATAGGCGAAAGCAAGGGCTCGAACAATTGGGCACTGATGGATCCAGCATCACGAGGACAGTAGCAGCAACAAAGAAGAAGCCCGCCAGTATTGACCGCTTGTTGATTGACATCTGGTTTTCTTCTTTCCTTTTTTTTCCTCGTATTTGAGTCTGGGCCAAGGGGTGAATGACGTCGGGGGCCTCTTGGTTGACACACGGGGTGAGATGCGGCAGCGAGATCGTCGGGAGGCTTGCCGAACTGGGTGTGAAGGGTCGAGGGCTGCGGAAGAGGATATAAGCAGGTGATGCCGCCGGCTCTGGAAGACGATTTGGAAGAGCAGCATCAGACCACAGAAAGCAGCCAAACACCGAATAAGCAACCATCGATTCAGCACTCCGCATCTCGAGCATTGACCTCCACCTCTCCCGATCCTCCAACACCATCAACATGAAGTTCTTCACCACCATCCTCGCCATTGGCCTCTTTGCCGGCACCTCTCTGGCTCAGGACGCTCCTGTGCAGACTGCTCACGTCACTCTCCGCTCCGAGGGCGACGACCACTCGTATCCTCTGACCGTCCCTGCCGACGGCAAGCCCGTCTTGACGCACAGCACTCTGCCCATTGCGCTGATTGACGCCCCCGACTTCAACGTCCTCCAGGCCTGCGTGATCGAGACGCCCGGCGCCAAGAACCTCAGCAGCACGATTGCCGCCGACGGCGTGACACAGCAGGTCGTGATTGACCCCCCGCAGGCGGTTACCAGCATCAGCTGCCAGGGAACCTGTGTCGAGACTTATGGTGAGATCAGTCCTTGTGCTGGAATGAGGTGGAAGCAGGGTCATACGAGTCGAGTCTGGTAAGCTAATAGTACGTGCAACAGGTGCCTGCTTTGACACCAACGGCCAGTATGTGGGAGCCTGCTGTAACGGTCTCTGCATTGCCTCTCGCTGTAGGCCCTGGAACATTGGCCAGCAGTCCTAAGGGGGCTGCCAACTTGTGACTTGTTGGCGTTGGTTCAATGACCCTTGAACCATGCATAATTGGGCTCTGTAATTCGAGGTGCATGCGACTGGAAATCTGAATGGCAAGTTGTTTGGTGGGCGAGTTTTGTTTGGTGTAATTAGGTAGCGGCGGGATGAGCATAGACGTGGACTTTGGATGAGCTTGACTTTACCACTGACAATAATACCACCGTTGGCAACAGTCTCTTCCATCATGGAGTAACACGCAGACGAAGTGACTTTGGAATCTGGGTTGACTGATACTGTATTAATGGCCCTTCCTGGCAGGACACACTCGCAGCAAAAAGAGGCAAAAAAAGAAACGTCTGACACCTGAGGGATTCGAACCCTCGCCTATTTCTAGACCGCGAAGAGGCAATTTGCTCACAGTGTGAACTATTCCTGAACACGGGGCCTTAAACCGTTCGGCCAAATTGCCTATTTTGATGTTTTGATGAAGTGTTGTTGAGCGTGAAGGACGATGGCGATGTTTGGGGGGGTGGAGGGGGAAAGGGGGGGGGCGGTCACAGTTGGGAGAGGTGGTGAGAAGGGGTACGACACGTTGATGACATGTGCTGCCATGGACTTGATTTGGAGAGGAAGGAGAGACCAAAGGGGAAAGCGGTGAATGCATTGATAATATTCATCGTGTTATGAGATTCAATCACAAATCATAAGAGACAAGGGAGGCGGATCATGGAGATGGGGGGGTTGTTGTATGTATTGTGAGCACCACGGAGCCACCATCTATCGTATTCTCGTGCAAATCATTAAGAAAGAAAAGGATAGAAACAGCAAGACAAGTAGGTGCTGAAAGTAAAACAACGCCAAAGATCGATTTGCAGTTCCGCCCGTTGAGGCAACGTAGGTAGGTAGGTAGGTAGGTGAGAGCCGTCCTCCGACGCCATCCATTCCCCTGTCTAAACGAGCAAGAAGAGAAGCAGAAACAAGATCCAGCAAAGGAACACAACCGTGTGCAATTCGTCCACCATGAGAAAGGAACAGGCTCAGTCAGGGGTTAAGAATAGCCGTATTGTCGTCAGTCATTAATGTCGTACGAAGAAAGAGAGACAAATTACACCATAGGTATGGCAAGTTGTCCGTCGTCATCATCACCATCATCATCATCATCATCGCTTCTTCTTGCCACCGTTGGCCAAACCATCAGCCAAGGCAGCCGTCAGGGCAGCCGTCGCAACCTTGGCCCCCTTTGCGCCCAGCCAGGGACCGGCCTCCTTGCGGTTCTGCATGACGGCCTGGGCACCGGCGGCCAATGCGGTGCGCGCGCCGGCCTGGATCATGGGGTTCTTCCACCAGGGGTTGCTGCCGCCTGCGGGCATCGTGTTCCGGCGCTTGAGCGACGGCGGCGGGTTGTGATCGCGATCCCGGGTGCGGTGTTGGTCCCGAGTGCGGTCGCGGTCTCTGTCACGGTCCCTGTCGCGGTCCCTGTCGCGGGTCCTGTCGCGGTCACGACTCGAGCCGTGGACGAGGTCCGTTTCGCGAGGCTTCGAGCGATGTCGTCGGTCGCGCTCGTCCCTTGCACCGTCGCGGTCAAGAGCTACGGCGCCGCGAGAGCGTGACGACTGCGGAGGCGGCGGCGACGGCGCTGATGTCCCACGGGACCGACGAGACGAGCGAGGGTCCCTGTCGCTGCGGTCGTCGTACGGGGGCGTCGGGTAGGCCCGCGAGGAAGGGCCCCTGGGCTCTGGAGACGGCTCGCGGCGGGAGGACCTGTGACGTCGCTCACGTGGCTCCGACGGAGGAGGGGGATAGTCTCGTGCGCGTCGGTCAGCATCTCGGTAGCGCGAGTCCCTCTGAGAATCTCTGTACGGATCTCTCGGTGAGTCTCGCGGTGAGTCCCGCGGCGAGTAGGTATCGCGATCGCGATCGCGGACTCGGTCTCGGTCTCGGTCACGGTCACGGCCAGAGGTGCGATAGTCGGGCTGGGGCGGAGGCGTCGGTGCCGCAAAGGGAGGCGGGCTCGGATACAAATGCCGACGGCTGCGGGACGGCCTCGAGCTCGCATATCCGGGCGACGGCTCGCGACGGCTGCTGCGACCGGATTTGCGGTCGTCTGGGGAGGACGAGTAGCTAGGAGAGGCATTTCGGCGGCCTCTCTCGGACTTGGAACGGCGAGACGACGAGAATGGGGGCTCGTCTGGGTGATAGTAGGAGTGGTTGAGGCCCTGCGACGGCTCTGGGTCGCCGCGTCGTGACGACGGAAAGTGAGGCATGGTAACGGCAGCTTGAACTTCTCCTGTATCTGCAAAGAAAGGAAGAGCCGAACAAGATGTGCAGAAAGAAAGAAAAAAATATCTCACAGAGGGCAAACGACAGACATTGCGGGTGGTAGCCGAGGGGCGGGCATTAGGCAGGAGGAGGAATCACGCCGGTTTATGTATAGAAACCAAGTTGGATGATGATGCCTTGCATGTGCTGCGATAAGCCCCGCTGACCACCATCGACTGATGGACCGATTGTTACATTTGTCGCAAGTACAGCGGGTGCAGAAGCCTGGGGTTCCAGTGTTTGCTCTGCAGGTCAGCAGGGGGGGAAAGCTTCATGTTCCGGTGCTACAGGGCATTTGATCTGGCAGCTCTCCGGCGAGCTCGAGGTCAGGCCTCCAGGTTCCAGCGAGTTGAGCCTTTCTAGCGGATCACGGCAAGCATCTCAGCGCTCCTCAGCAGTCGACGGCGACGGTGTGCAGGGGTTTGCAGGCCTCCTGACGTCAACGCGGGCCAATGGACGACTGCGATGGAGCGCCTGATGGTAGCAAGAGTCTCCTGACGTCAAGACACCGATACCTGCTTGACCTGATTGCTTCCTAGTTGCAGGTGGCGGAGCAGGGAAAATGAGAAGAAGAAGAAAAAAAAAACGCTTCACAAAGTCTAAGAGGTTCATTGTTGTAGTTTTGTTGTTTGGTGTGCAGGGATTAACGATCCGAGGAGGGGATCATCAGGGCTTCGGGGAGATAAAATCCAGTAATAACGTCTGATGTGCGTGTCCGTATGTGTTTGTGTGTGTAACACGGCAGCAAGGCCTGGCATGACATGACATGCCAGCAAACACCCGCCTAGTTATCTGATGCGATGCGATGCGAAGCTGGGCCATCGATTTTGTAATTCGCCCACCAATGAGAATCCTGGTGAGAAACTGTTGGTTTGAATGTCCTGTTATTGAAATTCCAGACAACAGCCGCCGGTGCTTTGCTGCCTGCGTTTGCGCACGAATCCATTGTTACAGTTCATTAATAGCTTGCTGCTATTACCGCGATCGAGGCTCAAGTACATGTAGGCAGCCTGTTTGCCGCTCAGTCCAGCAACTACGAGTGCTTTGTTTGATGCTCATGCTCCGCACCTTGAAGACTGTTACACATCCATTCATACCGGTTCCCTGTTCTATGTTGGCTGCGTGTCTAATAGTAATTTGACGAATTGACATGTGGCGAGTTGTTGGTGGAGGAGCTCGTGCAGGTGAGTACTGACGGTATGAAGCGACCCAATGTCTGGCAACTACCCTGTAATGCCCGGAATTTCATCGCCGTGTTGTTGTTGTTGTTTCACAGCGCACTGACGCGCGCATTCTGGATTTCTGACCTCGCCTCTTTCTTGGCTTTGCTAATGAGACTTGCTGGTGAGTCTCATACTTGATTTTTTCCGTCATTACGAGTGGCCATGCAAGGGTTTGGCTGACGTTGATTGTTACTCGGTCGATATTGGATCTCCAGCAAATCGTGGGGAAAGACGTCAGGTCTGTGCCTTCCGTGGAACAAGCAATGACTACCTAGGTAGGCAAGGTAGGCAGGTACGAGATAAGATGTCGCGTCTGCCTCACCACGTGAGCTCAGTCGAGGCAGCAGGAAAGAAAGAAATCAAACAACCAAACAAGCTGACAAGCGATGACTCGAGAGTTTCAGCTCACCACGACCTCGTCAACGGCAACCCTGAAGACGCCGTGGATCTGAGCTGGCCGACCGCTACTACTAGTCCGGTACCAGATCCCCCGACTTGTGGCAGCTCGGGGCCCGGCGGTCTTAATTTCAACGCGAACTCGGCCGTCCGCAGATCCCCGGCCTTGCCCAATCTTGCAGCTCTCCTCCAGCCTGTCCTGATTGATCGCCTGGGACATGGATGTGCTTCCTTCCAGCAGGCCGCAAGGGGGTTCGGCAACACGTGTGATGTCGATATTGTGCCGACTCTGCGGACAACAGATTGACGGGCGATCCGATGCCACTCTCTGCGGTTGACCGGTCTAGCCCTTGGCATGACTCGCAATGGCGCTCGGTATGGGCCAAACTAAAGGCTGAACCCGACAAATGGCTCCATGTCAAGAAAATCTGCCGTCATTTACAGCTAAGCTAGGTATCTCTTAGTAGTAGTAGTATGCCCAACCCCCCCGGCACATGTCTCGTCCCCTGCTGACTCGAGCCCGGCACTCAGCTCAACTCTACCAACCTACAGAGTACATACGCACTCACTTCTTGGCCTCCTCGTACGTCGGGTAATCCGTATAGCCGATGGTCGGGTCCTCAAACGGCCCATAGAAGCGAGACCGGTCATACGCCGCCAGCGGCCAGCCGTTGCGCAGCCTCTCCACCAGGTCCGGGTTGCTGATAAAGTACCGCCCGTACAGCAGCGCGTCGTATCGACCGCTCTCCAGGACTCCCCACGAGTTCGTGTGGTCGAAGCCGCCAGCCGAGAAGAAGGGCGTGTCGCCAAAGATCTGGCGGAACAGCGACAGGTCGACGTCGGGAAGGCCCCACGAGTCTAGGAACTTCTGCTTCTCGGCCTCGGAGAAGATCTGCTCGTACCGCGGCTCGATGAAGCTCACGTACGAGAGGCCCGGGTGCCGCTTCTTCAGCTCGCGGCACAGATGGCCCCAGGTCTCGAGACGCTGCTCGCTGCGGGCTTGGTTGAAGAGGCCAAAGGGGCTGAGCCGGATTGCCAGGTTGTCTTCGCCCACTGTCGACGCCAGCTCCGCCATCAGGTCCAGGACAAACTTGCAGCGCTTTTCCGGCGAGCCGCCGTACTCGTCCGTCCGCTTGTTGATGTTGGAGCTCAGGAACTGCTCCGGCAGGTATCCGTTTCCGCCGTGGAGCTCGACGCCGTCAAAGCCCACCTCCATGGCCGTCTTGGCCGCGGCGCAGTAGTCGCGGATCGTCTTGCGGATGTGGTCGACGGTCAGCTCCAGGGGCAGCTGCTCGCTGTACTTGACGGGCGTCGTCGAGTGAGGCGCGGGATACATGAAGCACTCGTTGGGGTCGTCCCAGGGGATGCTCGAGGGCGCCACGATGGGCGTTCCCGTCAGCTGCGGGATGTTGGCGCGGCCAGAGTGCCAGAGCTGCGCGTAGATGAAGGCGCCTTTGGCATGGACGGCGTCGACCACCTTCTTCCAGCCTTTGGCCTGCTCCTCTAGGAATATTCCTGGCACGCCAGGCATGCCATTTCCCTGGAACCGACAGACCCAATGTCAGTTTATATCCCCCCCCCTTCCTGTATACGCTTTGCATCTTGAGGTCAAATGTCACATACCTCTAGCGAAGGCGGGATGCCTTCGCTGATGAGTAGGCCACCGTCTGTCGCCCGCTGCGCATAGTATTCCGCCATGACATCGTTGGGCAGCCAGATGCGATTCGGATTCTCAGCCGTCGACACTTCCCGAAGCGGCGTGCCACGATTTCTCGTCAGGGGCGCGAGAACGACTCGATGCTTGAGCGTGATCTTGCCGTTACCAATCGTAAGCGGCTCGAACAGCTTCGACTCTTTTCCGACCTTGACTTGGGAACCCATTTTGTCTGTGATCATAAACCAACAAAAATCATCAAAACAAAACCAAAAAAAAAACCGGCGGTTCTGCTCGTTGTCTCTTGCGCTTCACGTAAACAGCCAAGGCAAGCAGCACACGACATGCAATGGTACCTGTTCAATCAGATACGAGCCGCACAGCAATTGTTTGGCTTATTGCCTTTGGGACTAGGTACTCTAAGATAAAAGAAAGAAAAGGGGAGGGATGACGCTCATTTTCCCAAAAGAAGAGAATGCGACCCTGGTATTTGCTGCAACCCCATTATTACATACCGGTTGCCTTCGGACTCGTTCCATACTCTGGGGTGGCTGGACGGAATAAGAGGACGGTTTCTTCGCACGATACGACCGAGCCCGACGACGTGATTTGAGAACATCAAACGGCCAAGCACCCCTGACAGAAACCGACGGCTGAATCTCGAGCACACGCGTGGCCACGCTTCGACATGGATCTGAGTGAAATTTGCTGCGAACTGCTCCACTGGGCTCCGTCGAGCTGCGTTGAGGCGACTCCACAGCTGTGGCATCGCGGGCCCTGTCTTTTGCCGGACACTCGATCTTTTGCTTGATGAGCAAATGATCTTCATGACGGTGGGCTTAGACTCCGTCCCTCTTCTCCATGACAGCGCTGAGCGGTCATCAAGGCTTGACCCCTGTCCAAGTTGTATTAGACTTGGGATTCTATACGAACCTTCCTTGTGGGTTGTCGAGTTGACTTGTCAACTGTTGTTGTGTATGCCACGTGCAGGAAACCCGGAGAGCTGCGAGACTCTTGCTCCATCGCCAGGTTTTCAAGAGGGGCAAAATGGCTGAGCATTCATGTTGTTGGTTCGATGGCATGTGTCAGACCATTGCCATGCACCAAGTTTCTGAGTACTACGACATACGGAGTACAAGTCCGTTGTACTGCCCAATGGCCGTTGGTTGGCAGTTCTTCCGCCCCTCCCCGGCAGCTTGAATTCGGCTTCCGATTCGCACAGCTGCTCTCTTTAGCAATCTTCGTCACCGGCATTGCCCCTGCTATGGCGTTCTTCAGCGGCGCCGTGACCAGCCTAATTCATCCTCCGTTGGTCTGGCAGGCCCACTGCGGCTCGGGTCCCCTGGCTCGGTCCACCTTGAAGCTTCTTTCTTGGACTGACGCTGCGGCCTGGGAGGCATGGGGACCAAGGCCCTCGAGAGGGCCTGATACTACGACGACGAGACGCAGGTTCTGACACTGGTCATGTTCAGGGAGGTGGTATTAGTAGATGGCACTCCAAGAGCGATAGCCGAGTCATACAAGGGTCTTGTATGCTGCCCAATTCATCTCACGTTTCTATTCCCTTCTTCCCTCTCACCCGTTCCCTCCATTGCCGAGTTGCCGACCATTTAAAAGCATCTGCCGTGGCATACATCTGCATTAGCCCTTTTATCTGATGCCTGAGTCCTCCTTCCTTCTGCTGAGAGTGGGTGTCGTTCCAGAGTTAGACTCCTCGCATCTGTCAAACTTTGTTTGTCCAGCTGCAAAAGTCATGAAGAGTTGCCTGCCATGAGCTTTCCCGGTGCTGCTCCGCCTCCTGAGGGCGTTGTCCCTGACCTAGCCCATCCGCAAGATGTCCTGAGGACCGTCAACTACATTACGCAAGGACTGACCGTCTTTTTTGTCACCATCTTTGTTGCTATTCGATTCTATGCGAAAAGCAGGGTCCTAGGCGGAGGTTTTACACCAGATGACTGTAGGCTTACTCCATCTGAAGGAACTGAAAGAAAGCTAATCCGGGGAGAATAGATGCGACATATGCTGCCTATGTATGCTCATTACCCCCTTTGACGATACTTCGACGACAAAGAAAAAAAAAAAAAAAAAAAAAAAAAAAAAAAAAAAATCCCCCGATGTGGTATTGAAGGAGCTGGAAGGCTAATCCGGGTAACAGGTGCTTATGTTGGGATACTGCATCACTGCAGTTTTCGGTACGTTCTCTGTCCCTTCACCACCTCGTGAAGCGTCCTTCTGATGACATGAAAAGCTGGTGCACATGGCGGAGGCCTGAATATATGGGAAGTGTCACCGGCAGAGGTTGAGCAATACTTCAAGGTGCGAGTCAAATCTACAAACTTCCCCCTTTGCGGCCTTTTTGGTCAAAACTAACCCATTGTTCTCGATAGTCCTGCTATGCTGCGACCATCTTTTACGCCCCTATGGCCATGACGGTCAAGCTGGCCCTGCTGGTCATCATCATCCGAGTCTTTGGATCCGTCCACCGCCGAACCCTCATCGGAATCTACATCTTCATCGGCATGATTGTGGCGTACTACGTCTCCGGCCTCTTTATCAAAATCTTCATCTGCTGGCCCATCAGCGCCTATTGGACGGGAGACTCCGGCAAGTGCTTGAATCAGAGCGCCATTGTTACGGCCGATTCTATCATCAGCGTCATCAGCGACTTGGCCATCCTGCTGCTGCCGACACCCCTTACCTGGTCGCTCCAGCTGCCGCGACGGAAACGCCTCCGTGTTACCGGACTGTTATGTGCCGGCGGAGTCGCCACAGGCTTCAGTATCTATCGCCTGGCCATGATTGTAGACCAGCGCAACTCTCCCAACATGACCATTGTCTTCATCAAGGTCATTCTGTCAGGGTACGCACTCCCGCGACTCCACACTACCTGCTGTTGCGCGCAGGGGATTCTCATGCTAACATCCCTTTTCAATTACAGCAACGCCGAGGCTGGCATCGGCCTAATCTGTGCCTGTCTCCCGGCCGTCAGCGCCCTCTACGTGCAGCGAACGCGAGGCTCGTCGTACTTTAAGAACCCCGGCCAGTCCAGCGTCACCGGACGTGGCGAGATCATGTTGACGCGATCGTACCATGTCGACAGATCGCGCGTGGACAAGGGCGTCGACGAAAGTGCCCTCGAGTTGGGCCACGACGAGGCAGGCCTGGTGTCCAATATCGGGACTGAAATCAAGGCGAATGCCGCAGAGAGCCATCACTCGAATCGATCTGAAGAGACGCTGTAATCAGTTGATCTCTATTTCTTTGCTCCTGATGCCCCTTTCTTTTTCTTTTGATCTTACCCCAGCTCCCGTTTATTCTCTGCCTTATCAAGCTCTAGAATGTTGGGGTCTGTATGTTTTTCTTTCATGTTGATACGAACGCATATGTTGGACGCCGGCGCAACGATGAAACAAGGATTTCTTCTTCGTCTGCGTTGTCGGCAGTCACGATTATTCTCTGGAAGTGAAACGCTTCTACTGCTATATACCAGTCTTTCTCTTTAGACAGACACAATCTCACATTCAAGTCATCTGCGAGTATCCCGTCGGCAACAAATTCGAGACTACTTGGGCTCTTTCATCTACCACGTCTCCCGCGATGGGGCCGGGGTATCAAGAAAAGAAACCAAGCGCCGGGGAAAGGGCCACATTGTTCAGACAAAGATTTGCGGATCGTTCCCTTCCCTGTGGTACCTCTTGATTCAAACTGCCTCTTCTCGCTCTTCGCTGCCGTTCATGGCGATCTGCATGGATGCGTGCATAGCGCTGACCACCAAACCGGGACCCCTTCCCCTGGAGAGGGTCGTTTCTCGCCACGGACAAAGGCCCCAGTTTGCCCGGGCGATCAAAGCCCTCGCCTCCGCGCTCGCAGAGAAAGTCTTGTATCAGGGATCCCATGGCAAAAGAGGAAACACGCACACATAAAAAAGGAGAACATCAAAGTTGAGCCACGTCGACCAGAGGGAGGGATGATAAGGGCTCGCGGAAAGAAGCCGGGTACTGCGGTGATCCAAGTGATTCCCCACAGAGAAAGAGTTCGCAGGTCTTCTTTTTTTTTTCTGCCCTACCCCCAAGCAGCGTCAGCAAGAACCTTGTCAGCCCGGGATGGATGGCTTACGCACTGTGAGGGAAGGTCGCGGAAGTCCGGCTTTTGGCCGAGCCTCCTGGGATGGGTTGCTTCTGTTTTGATCTTTTGCCTGGGTCCAGGCCCTTGTACTTGTATGAAGCGCTGCTGTAGGGGCATGAGTGCGCGTAGTATTGGAGTTACTATGAGCTTGCTTGGCAATATCAACATGGGCATTTGATGTTCGCGGAGTCGCCTTGCCGGGACACCCCGTTCGTTCTCATTCACTTTGTAAAGAAAGGTGATGTGACGGAGAATCTGTTACCTTGCCACTGGAGTGTTTCAGACTCGTATGGCTGTGATCCCGGTGATGTTAGTTCGTCATTTCCTACTGACTCCCCATCGTAACAGATCCCTACATTTTCTCAATAGGTAGAATTCTTGCAAGAATGCTTTGACTGCCAGACGAAGCAGGACGTTAGGATTATAAGTGAGCGGGTATGCCTGCCAGTCACTATCGGCGCCACGAGATACGCTTTCGATCCCGTGGGTACGGCGCGGACGGGAAGGCTAGGTGGCTTTCTTAGTGCTGATTGTAAACCCATCGAGGGGGGCAATTTCGAGGTGAGATGGAACGATTCGGAGAGATTGAGATTTTGAGTCTAGTTGCTTGGGAAATAGGAAGAGGGCGGGGGTGGTTACATTGATGGCCTGCCGGGTGACTGCACCGTCGGTGAGATATGTGTGCAACTTTAAGGAGAGGTGATTGTCCATATAATGTCTACAGCGCCTTATGGCGATGGCCAAAACCCAAGGTACGCTTCAAGATCGATGTACATACGGGAACCTACTGGCCGTATCACATAATGTAATGGCCCCTTTTCTGTCCAAGGCGTACTCGTACGGCATCAATAGTCGAAACACGTGAGAGTTCAATGATGCGTGTCCGCACCATGTTGTGTGACCGCAATGGTGCAGATGCCTGTATCATGTTGATCGGCGCTCAACGGGACGGCTGACATGAAGTAATAGTCGCGATGCTGTTCCTGCTGGCAGAGGACGCCGTGGCTGCCACCTCACGGTGTGGGAGACTACCTTTGTGCTTAGATCCGCAGCAGATCGATCTGCGGTGATACATGGATGACTTGAGGGTTCACCAGATATACCCTGGACGTAGGGACGAGACGGCACACAAATGCAGTGCTCCTCATACAGATGCTGGGCAACATGGCCTTTGAGCATCCCTTGGCTCGTGCCCTCTTGACTTCATACGTTGAAGGGCTGATGGCAGAACGAGACGGATCCTTTGTGCCGTCTGTCTGAAATTTGCTGCCTGGAGGGTCGAGATAGAACGCCATCGCGTGTTTAGGATGCAAGGTACAGGAACGGCCATCTTATACCCAGTAGTAGATCATTGATGTGTTGTGAGTATGACATGTGATGATACGCATCACCTGTACAGTACTCGTACGTGGAGTAACAGTTGCAATCGATACCTGAGCCCTGCTTGGGATTGCCCAGGAGCTTTGACAGCAGCATCATAGAGTGACCAAAGCTTATCCAGGCACGCATCGACCTGTCGCCTGGCGGGAGTCGCCGCTTTCCATCTCGCAGGTTACCGAATATCTGGGGAGACGCGATGGTTTATAATGCGGAGGGTGACTCCCACTCCAGATAGCGATGCAGGATCAGATACGGGACAGATGCTATCATTCTCGATACCTACTATCTCGATAAGGCGGAGAAGATAGTGCAAGTAGTACTCGTACATACAACGCAGCAGTCCTCAGGCACAACATGGATGCTGATAACGGAGCCTTCACGGAGACCCCGGACCGGACTGGTTTTATCTAGAGGGAGCGGAATCAGGACCCGGCTGTTGAATTTCTTATCCACAGGATGTGATTGGCTGGACGACTTTTTTCTCACGGCGTTCTTTTGCGACGCCACTTTTTCCATGATGGAATTCTCGAAGAGCGCCAGGCCTGATTAGGTAACGCGACGGCTATGCTGCCTCTTTTGAGGTCTCGACTCGTGGAGCTGATGAAGAATGGGGGATACCAGAGGATTGAATGGGGGCCGCCAGAAGATAAGGAGGGCTGCCGACAACCCGAGATTTATTCTAGACGACTTTTTCTATGTCTTTTTTTGTGGTTCCAGGTTGCCAGAGCATGAGATGATTGACCACGGATATCGGACGGCCTTGTCCAGCTATTGTACCTATGTATATTGTATATGAAAGAGGCGCTGTATATGGGACTCTACGGGATATCACTGAGTGTATCTTGGCAATCACAATAAGAGATATATAGTCTATTTTGAACAATCGGAGAACATCATCATGCTTGACCACCTGCATATCGCCGTGTCCCCTTCACTTGAGCGGACGGACGATCGAGGCTCGATCCGGGACGGCATGTGCGAGTGAACGTTGTGCGATTTGTGGGCACTAGCCAGACGGACCGAGGGACGATGGAGAAGGGTCTCGTGCCACTAGTAGTACATAGCGGCTTGTGATTTTTGTATGCGGACGAGGCTCAGCTGCTACTGTACCTTGGCGACTGGTTGCCCGGGCTTTGATGAGAATTGACCGAATTGAAGCAGACTGAAATCTCATGCGCATTGGTGAGGGCTTCATGGAAGTGATGAACCGAGACTTGCCAATCTTGGTAGCAACTGAGGTCATCCATTGACGCGGCACTGATACATAAATCTTGGAAAGAGCATCTCGTTATCAAACGCTGTAAGAGTACCTACTAGTACCTTGTTCATGCCCACGCATCGCCGTCATCCACCGGCAGGTGCATGTACCTGCTCCATAGATAGTAGACAGAAGACGATGGTCCCTTCCGTTCTCCAGCTCCGGCCCACCGCCTGCCCTCCTTCCCACCCGCTTCGCCTCAGCGCGCGCAATCAATTAAGTCATTGCTGGATTAATGGAATCGCTGCCACATGCACCTTCCGTCTAATATCCGGGGGGCATCGACAATCTGCAGCTCGCTTCAGCTACTGCTAAGGTAGGTACTTGTGCCGTCTCCAGCAGACTAGACTCAGCTATCGCAACCCAACGAGGACGCTGCTCCGTCTTCCATGATAGATCATCACATTTACCAGCAGTACAGACATCATTAATACATTTCTCCTTTTCGTCTTCGTCTCCTCCAGCGACATCTCGGTATATACACACACGAAGCCCGCACACCGACCAACCGACGAGACGCACCGCACCGATCCGATCCGCCTCCCTCTGCAGATCGTGGGTGTTGCATTGCATGCATCTGATGCTTGCACCTGTGCGACTCTCCAGTGGCCCTTGAACCTCGTCTCGCCCTCACTCGAGCCCAACCGGGATCAAGCCAGCATCTGGTCTGCCTGGTGCGAGTCCGCCGTACGCCCACGCCTCGGCACGCTGCTGCTGCTGCTGCTGCTGCTGCTGCCACCACCACCACCACTGCATCGACTGCTCCTCCAAAGCACAGCACAGCACGGCATCGCACAGCGCAACACAAAAGCATCTCGGCCAACAGGCACCAGAAACACAAGAAAAGAGGCGTCTCCCTTCCCGACGACGCCAATCAGCACCCAAAAAGAAGCAGCATCCCAATCAAATTTCCACCCCGCAGCTGTCGCCCCTGGTCGCTTTTTTTCTTGTCTCTGCTCGCCGCCACCGCTATCGCTAGCTTCCCCACCACGACGAACACGCGAAAAAATACAAGAGGTTTTTTTCCCATTTCAATCTTTCGACCTCTCGTCTTCTCTTCTCCTCTCTTCCCAGAGGACGTATACAGTCCTTCAGCCTTTTTGGCCGTTTGAAGTCGTCTCGCGTCTCCAAGGACAATCGCAGCCATGAAGTGGATGGAGAGCATCAACAAGAAGGTCGCCACCAGTCCGGTTGGCTGGTGGTTCCGGTTGGACGGCTCTGGCCATGTAAGTCGGCTTCTCTCCCGTCTTCTGCTGCCTTCTTTTCCCTTTTCGCGATTTCTCTGGTCTCGTGTGTCTTGGCTTCTCCACGCCACGAGGCTGCCTCGTGGCCTTGACAAAGACCGCCAACGCCGCGGGGGAAGCTTCCGAGACAATGAAGCAGCTGTCTCATACTAGTAGCCATGGCATTTGCTCATCATGTCTTGTTCCGCCTCTCTAGCCCAAGGAGCGCAAGGGTTCGCTCTTCTTCACCGAGATTCGCGGCGGCCTGGCCACCTTCTTCGCCATGGCCTACATCATCGCCGTCAACTCGTCCATCGTCGCCGACTCGGGCGGTACCTGCGTCTGCAACGGCGGCGCCGATGATCCCATCTGCAACAACAACGTCGAGTACAGCTTGTGCGTCCAGGCCATCAAGCGCGATGCCGTCACCGCAACTGCCGCCATCTCTGCCCTGTCCACCTTCTTCATGGGCCTCTTGGCCAATCTGTAAGAGACCCCGTCCATGTGGTCAACGATCTCCCGTGGGACTTCTCGACTAACTCTCTGTCGTAGCCCCGTCGGCCTCGCTCCTGGCATGGGTATGTCGCATCGCCGTTTCTGTCCCGGGTTATGATGACTCGCACCTCAGCCGCAATTCGTACTGACTCCTTCTGTGATCGCGCAGGTTTGAATGCCTACTTTGCTTATACTGTCGGTAAGTCGAGGACACCTCCCTATCCTGGTCCACCAAGATCAAGAGCCTGGTCATCTAACACGCTTGCGCAGTTGGCTTCCACGGATCCGGTCCTGTTCCTTACCGAGTGGCCCTGACTGCCATCTTCGTCGAGGGCTTCATCTTCCTGGGCCTGACCATCTTTGGCATGCGACAATGGCTTGCTCGAGCGATCCCCCACTCCATCAAGGTTGCGACGGGCGTGGGCATTGGTCTCTTCCTGACGCTCATCGGCTTCACATACAGCGAGGGTCTCGGCATCATCACCGGTGCCACCGACACCCCCCTGGCCCTTGCCGGATGCTCGCCCGGTAACCTGCTTGAGGACGGCACATGCCCCAGCTGGGACAAGATGCGCCATCCGGCCATGTGGATCGGCATCTTCTGCGGCGGCATCTTCACCGTGCTCCTCATGATTTATCGTGTCAAGGGCGCCGTTATTGCCGGCATCATCCTCGTCAGCATCATCTCCTGGCCTCGAACCACGCCCATCACCTACTTCCCCCACACCGCCGTTGGCGACGACTCGTTCAACTTCTTCAAGAAGGTTGTCGACTTCCACCGCATCCAGAACACTCTCAACGTGCAGGAGTGGAACGTGAGCGAGTACGGTGGCCAGTTTGGCCTTGCTCTCATCACCTTTTTGTACACCGATATCCTCGACTGTACCGGAACGCTTTACGGTATGGCCCGTTTCGCCAACCTCATCGACCCCGTGACCCAGGACTTTGAGGGCTCCGCCGTGGCCTACATGGTCGACGCCATCAGCATCTCCATCGGCGCTCTCTTCGGTGTTCCGCCCGTCACGGCCTTTGTCGAGTCTGGTGCTGGCATTTCCGAAGGTGGCAAGACTGGCCTCACGTCCGTCGTGACGGGCCTCTGCTTCTTCATCAGCGTCTTCTTCGCCCCCATCTTCGCCTCCATCCCGCCGTGGGCCACTGGCAGTGTCCTGATCCTCGTCGGATCCATGATGGCCACGTCCGTCACCGAGATCAACTGGAAGTACATGGGCGATGCCGTCCCCGCCTTCCTCGCCATCGCCGTCATGCCCTTTACGTACTCGATTGCCAACGGCCTGATTGCCGGCGTCATGTCGTACATCATCATCAACTCCACCGTGGGGATCATTAACTTTGTCTCTCGCGGCCGCATCGTGCCTCCCAACCATGCCGATAAGGAGCCCTGGACGTACCGCATTCCCGGCGGCTTCTTCCCTCCCTGGCTGGTTCGCTTGTCCCACGGCAAGAAGGACTTTTGGCAAGAGGACAACACTGTTGTCGAAGAGCATGTGTTGCATAAGGAGCAAGACGCCAACTCGGAAGACCATGGCAACGCCGACGTCAGCCGTACCTCTGAGACGGCCGAAGTCAAGTTGTAAGCGGGGGCAGGTGGAAGCCCAGTTCGAAAATGGTGGCGAAGAATCTCGAGAGAAATGTTCGTCCTGTGTTTAATGGCGGTTTTCTGAAGATGAATGTTCGAATATAATGAATGATGGGTATAAAATCTAGAGGGAGCATCGAACGACGGAGGAGATACACCTGGGGGAGAGATCGGAGTTAGCATGTCATGATACCTATGTTTGGTTTCGCAGAGTATTCAACCTTTTCTGAGGTGATCAAGTCCTTTGGGCATCGAATTGTGCTTTCTAGATGTAGCGTTTGCAATGAAGCAGATGATGAGCATCGTCACCAATGACTGATGAGAGAGGAGAGGATCGCTCGGATCACTCGGTCATCATGTATATTTTCGTATCTTCGTGTCATCATGATATCTTTGGGAGTAACCAAAATGCCAGCTGCCGCAACGGACACCCCAGACGCTCTTATGCCATCAAAGCAATGTGTTTCAGCTCGCTGCAAAAAGCTAGTCAGTCCATCTGTAATAGATTATCGTGAAAGGGACCAGGATGGCAACCAGAACCAGAATAGCCGCAAAAAAGGTAGGTTAGGTAGTTAGTACTCACTCTTGCACCTGAAATCCCACCTTGGTGGCAGGATACTGTATCTCCTCGCCCTCGTCTCGGCCCAGCCTGGCCTGTTCCTCGCGGACCTTCTTGGCCCTCTCCGCCAGAGCCGGGATGGGCGCCAGGTCGTAGTCGGAGTTGAGATGCCAGAACAGGGTGCTGGAGATGCGGATGAGGGGCCGGTCGGGGAAGCGGGCCTTGCGGGCTTCGACGGCCTCGAGGGTGCGCTCGTTGACGACGACCTCGTGGTAGCCGGCCTTGATGAGGCCGCCGGTGATGTACTCGATCTGCTTGCCGGCCTGGACGAGGAGGTAGTTGCCGGGCGGGATCTTGACGGGGATGCGGGCGCCCGTGTTGCGGGCCCAGATGTTGAGGCCCGGGTAGCGCGAGCGGCCGTGGATGGTGAGGAAGTTGAGGTCGGTGTGGAAGCCGGCGAGGATGGTGTCTTTGGCGCCGTACTTGGTGAGGTCGGAGGCTGTCGGGGCGAGGAGATGGGGGCTGTTGTTTTTGTGAGCGAGGATGTTAGTTTGCCAGTCCATACGGCATCAAGGAGGGGAGGATGAAGATGATGAGAAGGGGACGGACCCGTAGCGGGCGGCGGAGCTGAAGTGGTCGGCTTCGAGGCCGAGGCCGAGGGCTGTCATTTCAGACAGTTTGGAGACGCTTGTCATCGCATCGTGTTAGCTGGGTTGATCGAGACGGAGTCGCAGTAAGAGGAGGGCGAGGCGAGACTAACGCATTCTTCATGGAGCTCCCCCACTGGTTCATGGTCGGCGCCCATCTCTCCTTGATGTGCGGCGCATCGGGCGTGACGTTTTCGGCGTTGAGCCCGGGGAACTGCGTCTCGTAGGGCGGCAGCTCGACCATGCGCCAGAAGAAGCGGCACTTGGGGTCGGGCGAGTGCGCCGAGATGTCGAGCGGTCGCTGGCTGGGGTCGAGGCGCTGGATGACGGCCAGGCAGGGCTCGTCGACGGCGCACTTTGGCTTCTCCGTGTTCTCGAGCGTGACGCCGATCTGGTAGCTGAGCTCGGGGCGCTCGTCGCGGCGGAGGTCGGCCTCGGGCTGGGCGAAGTAGTCCTCGAGCAGGTCGAGGAAGGTGTCGTTGTCGGCCTCGGAGACGCGGGAGTCGTGCAGCAGGAGGGCGCCGTAGGTGATGAGGGCGGAGGCGGCGCGGGCGCATTCGGCCTGGACGGCGGGGGACGAGGGCGGGTTGTTGAGGTAGATGTCGAGGTCGATGATGGGGAGGTCCATGGAGAGGGACTGAGGCTGGGGTTCGGTCGCCATGGTGGTTGGTTCCTCGTGGGGATTATTCGCACAGAAGAGGGTCGTTGAAAGAGGTGGAACAAGGACGACGTGTGATGCTGATGTGAGAAGGTAGAAAGGAAGGAGATTCAAGGTTGACGAAGCTAGGTAGACTGGGATTATGGAGAGGTAAGTAAAAGAGAAAGAAAAAAAAAAGTTTTTCTTTGTTTCTGGAAAGAGAGCTAGTGAGGCTCAACTCGGTTATCGTCTGCTACTACTACAGTACTACCTTGCTTTCCCTGCATCTACTAGGGCACGGGAAGATGTAAATCACGAACTGAAGAAAGCAAGGAACCCGAATGCCGAGAAGCATATTCTTCACGAGGCCGGAAATGGCATGAGGGGGAGGGGCATCTAGGCTAAAATGGCGGCCGGCGGCGTTGGAGACGAGAAAGAAAGGCTTCTTTGTGGAGATGGAGGCCGGGGCTGGTCGTCGGAGCCGGCCGACGAGGCCCGGAGGACGCCTTGACTAAGCTTGTGATGGCAGCGAAAGAGGCAATTGGCGATGAATTCGGGACGTAACAGAATCCACAGGCCCGGAGCAGCAGTGGGGAGGTTAGAATCTCATCAAGATTTGCATGTGCATATAGTACAGTACTAGCAAGTCGTGTTGAGGGTGGTGTAAGTTGGTGAGACAGGGGACCAGAGAGGAGTGGACAAAGGCCTCCAGCCTTGCTTCTAGATGGCGCTCCAGAGATGAGCCTCTCAATTTGCACACATCAATCGGTAGTTTGCACACAACATTTTGCAGTAAAAATTCCACAGTGACTAAGGTCCAGAAATACATACTGTCAGCCGCCTTTCCTCTTTCACTAGCTTATTTCCTCTTTAAGCAAGTGGCGGCAGGTTATCACAACCTGGCCGCTCACAAGTCCTATTGCAGCAGATAAAGTAGTGAGTACAAGGCCCTGGTTTAGCGCAGATACTTACTATGTGCGACAGTTTGTGCACCTGCTGTGAATACACTATGCGGAGACGTGATTTTGCAGTAAAGTGTGTGCAAACTACCGATTGATGTGTGCAAATTGAGAGGCTCTCCAGAGATGGCCTTGACGTAGCCCAGTTTTCCGTAAGTACTGTACATACATACGCATGTCTGTACAAGAATGGATGCGATTTGCAGCATGCACATACGCAGCAGCGTCTGCATGCAAGGAATGTAACCCTCCAGCCTGGCAATCCCCCGCTCGAGCCAACCAGCAAGCAAAGCCCTCTGCACGTCTCTCCATTTGGCCCCCTCAAGCCCGCTTTGACAGACATGCAAGACATGAGCATCACGACTTTTGAGACAAAAGACAAGATCCTTGCTGGTATTCATTTTTTTTTTCAACGGAAGCCCGGGCCGGTATTCCGGAAGACTCTTCCAACCGGAAGCTGTTCCTGTGCATTGCATGAGCCCGGTTTTCCCTGTCCGTGTAACCTGAGGGGTGATGACCTGGCGGGTTTTGGTGTCTTGGATTGGTAGAAGCCCTGCAGATTTATGGTGCCTCGACGAGGTTGTCGACGGGGAAGAGACGAGATGCATCCGGTGAAGGTTCAAGGGTTTGATCTCGGTTACTCGAGGGAGGGCGAGGATTGTTTCGGCCAGCCACGGGGAGCAAGGGAGTATCGTGTACTTTGTGCACAGACTATGGATGCTATCACGGGAGCTGAAGCTGTCATGGATCTTTGCGTGACACCTTCACATGTCCTCACTCAGAATGGTCTCCCCTCGATCAGCTAATCATCCCGGTTATTCTCTTTGCAACATCTGAGCGACCACCGGTTTTCAGTGCTTTCTCTACACTTTTGAATCCACCAACGATTTATTTATCTATCTCAATGAGTCAATTATATGGCCGTCTGTGCCTGTACAGGTACAAGGACTGCACGATGCAAAAAAAATAGGTTCTACACCACCACATCGCCGACCGTCCGCAATAGGCCTAGCCTTGATCCTTATCGGCAGATCTTCATGATGGCGAGCTAAAGCACTGGACCTTCGACCGGAATTTTTAGAGGCATACTCTATCTTCAGACCTTCAGGTTGGCCCAGATCGACGACAATCTTCAGCCGGCGCAATGGAGCAGTTCATCCTCCAGGCGCAGCACTCCGGCGCAATCAACCACGCGCACACGTTCTTGCTGCCGCAGTCGACGGCGCAGCTGGCGCGGGAGGTTCGCATCACTGTCGCCATCGTTGCGTTTGCCTGGGTCGCGGTCACGGCCATCAGGCAGTTTGGATGGAGGCATCACGGTCCAAAGTGATGGATGGGATGAGCGTTGATGCTGTTCTGATGAGCGTACGTTTGACTGGAGCACCACCAGTGCTGCCATGCTTCGAGGATAAGAGACTGATTTGAAGCTTCGTTCTAGTGACGCCGACGATGCGATACGATACCCACGATAGATTCTTCGAATAGACCATCTCGACTCTTCTTGCTTCAATGTCAGACGAATCGCATGCTTCCCAAGCTCGAAGACTGGTGCGATCGCGAGGAAATGGCGTCTCTGGTGTATGCATGATCTTGATCTGGCTGCTCATGGCCATTAATTGGGAACAAGCTGCGATCTAGGTGCAACGGGGAGATGAATCTAATTGCTTGCTGGAGAGGATACAACTGGCAGTCTGGATTGTGTTTGCCCTGTTGAACCCCAATCCTTTGGCGACGCATCGACCATCAAACCGTTCTGGTAGAGAATCACTGCAGCACGATGGCTTCAATGGTGGCTCATGCATGTGCGGCTTCAGCAATGTCTGGCTCAGGTGCAGCGGCCGTGTTGGGCTGGAAGTCTCCGGTCGCATCCAGACTCCCTCGAGCAACGCGAGGCACTTGATGCGCTATAGACCCATGTAGCAATGTACAGCTGTAGAAGGTTGCTAGAGAATGGTTTGAATAAAGCTGCAAGCTTGGAATTCGTAGCTTTGTATGGCCAAGGGGAAGGGTGCTTGATGCGCATCGTTGACTTCTGCATCGTGAACCAGATACTTTACAGGTACCTAGTGTGCACTGGGAATAGCTTCATCTGCGTGCACACCTCTGCTGCACCAGAAAGAAATCGGTATGCAGTGGCAGCAGCCGCAGCTGGCGTAAAGAAGATAGCAGATGAGTAATAGAGATGAACAATCGGATTTCGTTCTGTGATGCAGAGGGAGGGGATTAAAATGACGATGATGCAATGCATCTCCAAAGTGCATGTTATCATGATCTTGCGTGCATCTTTCGAAAACACCATCAAATACTCTGGATGTGGTGATGCTGGGCTTCAAGTGACTGAGCACTGTTGCGGCGTTTTGGCGGGGTGGGCGGGAGGCATGGTGGAAAACACCAAGAATCGAGTGTGCACGGGCAATCGTGATGATCAATCAGGTGCAGTTGGGCAGAAAAAAACACCAATAAATGGGGTGCAATGGTCGAGAAGGTGCTTCATAGGCTGCGCAAAAGCTGCGCCAGGTGGCAGCGGGTGGGCGATGGGAAAACACCAAGCATCGGCATCACGAAGGGAGCAGCTGCAGATCAAGAAGCTGGAAACACCAAGGATTATCACGACATGATCACGACCGGAGTCATTTGGGAGAAAAGAGAGCTTGCAAAGGATCGTGATGGAGGGAAAACAGCTTCATCAAGACACCAAAATCGAGTCAATAGCTCCAAGTTGGTGATGATTTCGCCTCAAGGGCTGGGTGAAATGGCGACAAGAGGTTGATGAAGACACCGGAAATCATCACCAAGTCGGATTTTCAGCTTCAAGTTGGCAGCGATTTGAAAGAAATGGGAGTCGAATTATCGTGTGATGGTTGCAAATCGGCTTCATGAGGTGGCCAAAACCAACTCGAAAGGTCCAAGTTGGTGATGGTTTTGACCAGAGCCGTCCATGAAATGGCGACAAGAGGTAGATGAAATGGCCAGAAAACATCACGAGAAGCCAATTTCAAGCTTCATGTTGGCGATGAAATGGTGAAATCAAGAGTCGAAACATCCCATGATGGATGCAAATCGCCTTCATGAGGTAGCCAAAATCGAGTCAAAGGGACCCAGGACCGACCTGATCTGACCTGGATCAGTCGTGAAGTTGGAGGTTTCACGAGATGAAATCGCCAGAAATCATCACGAACCCTCGATTTCGAGCTTCATTCTGGCGAAAATCGGAATCGAAAAGCATCGTGATGAAGCAAAACCAGCTTGATGAGGTGGCCGAAATTGAGTCGAGGGGGTCCGAAATGGTCTTGACTCGACCCGAATCTGTCCTGGGCTTGGGGGTTCTGATGGTTGAAATCGCGAGAAATTATCACGAACCCTCGATTTCCGGCTTCATGTTGGCGAATTCCAGAGTCAAATCGCATCGTGATGGAGCAAAATCGGCTTGATGAGGTGACCAAAATCGAGTCGGCCGGGTCGATTTGGTCTTGGTAACCCCAGATTGCGTCTCGAAAAATGGGAGTGCCAGAGGGTTAACCACCACGTTCAGCATCACCAACCCTGAAATCGGGAGGCAAGTCGTGATGGTTTTCGTCGATTCCAGAACGCAATGGTCCAATTCCGGCTTGATGAGACTGCAATTCTCTGAGGCCCGGGTCTGGGCTGGCCCAAGTTTTGGCGGCTGCCACTCGGTTAAAGCATCGGCCACCGCGCTAGAAGCAACTGCATCCCCGTTAGTCGAACCTCTTGTATGGTTTACCTGCATGATTTTCCCGGTAGTAGAATCTTGCACCCCGCTTGTTGAATCGCAATCCGGGCTTTTCGAATCTTCTTCCCAGACGGGCGGCACTTGAGATGCAGGTGCTGCAGAAGGTCGGGTTACTGTGCACCCAGGCTGAGAATATCCGCGACAGCTCTGCAGATGCAAGCAGCGAGATGATGCTTTTCAACAACCTAGTCGATGAAACGCACCCGTTGAAGCTTTTTCTTCTTGGTTTTTGTTATGTTTTTTTCTCTTTATCCTTCTTTTAATTATAGCGAATGTGATGGGTGGTGCGTCGCTGGAATGAGCTCTCTCGTAGGGACGTCGCTCTTGTAGGTTCCAGGTTGGCGATGTATCACCATCGTTGTAAAGTATTCCACGAAGCAGAGAGCGCATAAATATAAGCAGATACTTCACTTCCAAATGAGAATAACATCAATGCAGATAATTGCGTCACCATATTCTCACTGAGCTTGAGGCAAGCTGCGTCATTGAAAGCCTGAACAATAGCATCACGAAGGTCTTCTGCGGGGTGAGCGGTTCGGGCGAGAGGTCACAAGAGTGACACTTTATCTCGAAGTGACACGATCTAACTGCTGGAGAGACTTCACACGTAAATAAATGACACGATGTGCAATCATTCAGAGTTTGGTCCTATTTTCTTGATGAACTCATGTGAAGTGGCATAATTCCTCAGCTATGACGGGAGTTAGACAGTCAACTGCTTGGTCTCATTTCATTTGAAGCCCACGATACTGATTGAACTTCAGCTCAGAGTTACACAATGGCGGCAGAATTTTTGTGTTCACAGACGATGGCATCTAGTAGACGATAGATTCATGGCCGCTGGCTCTACTGGTGGATTAGGTGTGATTAAATATTAGCCTCACACGCATCCAGCCCCTCGGTGTACCGCAAGCTACTTTGACAAGAGTGGGATCCCGATATGCCGTGCTACCGCCATATCGACATCACCCAGTGGATACAGTGAACGACTCGCCGTGGAGACGAGGCTCACTTTGCAATGATACGCACACACACACAGGGTCATCCAATGTAGGTGGTGGTACATGAGTAGGTATCTCCATTCAAGCAACGAGAACAATAGCATCATTGCGAGGGCTAATGAAGTCAACATATTGGCAGGTTCAATTAGCCACAGTAGGCAAATGAAGCGGCGTAGTATATCCCTGAAGTCCCCAGCTTTGTTGAATACGAGGAGCTTTTGACCAGCCGCCCCGTCTCGATCCGTAAGCTACAGGGAATTGCTTACCACATCACGGAACCGTTTGCCGACTTCGTCGAGCTCGCTTAGAGTAGCTCCGATGCTATGGCGACGTCTGATAGATGTAGTCTCTCTAGAAATTATACCAATACACCGCCAGCACTTGATGTCTACAGGCTCTGTTTGGCTAGAGGCAAGATTCTTTAAGAGAGTACTAGGTAGTTGGGGAGAAACGTGCTTCCCAACGCTTGCCATCTTCGACGGCCCACCAGCATGCGAAGAGCGACCCAGTCAAGGAGCTCTTATTGATGTAAAGGCTCTGTTCGTTCCCGAGGATAGTCGGTTACAAATCCTGAGTAATGGTTGCGTAAGTGTCAAGGAATCATCGCTTGTGCAGTTGGATGGCCCCGCCGTTCCATGAAGCCCTTGGATGAGTTCCCTCCGTACCAATGGAAGAAACTACGCGGCTGTGAATGGATTGTCTAGTACTACCAGACCACGAGAGTCTCGATCATACCGTCAGTCAGAGGCGTTGATACGACGTGTAGAGGCGATCGCTATACTTTACGGTGACTACACCTTGAGAAGCCTCACTATAAATCTCAGCATTGGCTCACTTTCACATTGATACTGAAGCTCCGTATGTCACGTTCGTATAGCTGACTGAAGCAACACCTGAAATTCTTGAGGTCGTAAATGAAACCGTTGCTGGTCTTTGCAGCTTCTCTTTACCTCCTAGCACTGCAAATCCACCTGCAAACGTGACAAATCCGCGTCGGATAACCGGTCCTTGCAGCAACCCGTCGTCAGAAACAATCACACAATTGGGCACCAGCCTAAAGGAAGAACCGGGAGACCACACGAGGCAAGGCCCAAGGGGAAGACGGGTTCAAGCAAGCTCGCATAAGGAGGTAGCAGCAAATACAAATAGGAGCCACGCGCTCCTCTGGTATCTCTCAACAACAACATATGCTACAACCAATCCAACCCCCCTCCTTGGCCGAATATCTACATCTTATATCCGTTTGCCTTAGATCTTGGCCGCTGCAATGATGGGCCCTCCAACGCCTCCCTCCGTGATGATGACCGCGGCGCCCTGATCGGGAGCCAAGGCACTTCTCGGCGTGGGAAGACTCCAAATCGCATTACCACCATACCAATCCCCAATCTTGGTCACAGACGTGACGACGTTGCGGTGGTTAATCTTCTTGCCCTTGTTGACGCCCTTGCCGACCTTGACCGTCTGGTCAGTATTGGCGTAGACAATGAGCGAAATCTCGTGGGGAGGCGCCTCCTGCTTGTCCGTGTCGACGCGGACCTCGGTATCGTTGGCGTCCAGGTAGATGTGCCAGTCGCGGGCCTTGGCAATGTCTCTGCCCTGCTGGATGATCTGCTGAATCTCCTCCTTGGTTCGACCGCTGCCATCCGCCACGCCGTTGACGACAATCTGGGGCGTGAACAAGCTCGTGCGAGCCCACCGTTTGGCATAGGCACGCTGCCGGGCGTCGTTGGCGAGGCTCGAGAAGGTGTCCTTCCAGCCCGTGTGGTCAAAGAGGGTCACGGGATACGTCAGGATAAGCACGTTGGGGTCTGCGGTGGCGGCGTGGATGCCGGGCAGGGCTGGAGGGCACGACTGGCACGACTGCGACTGGAAGAGCTCCGCAACGGCGAGAGGCTCGAAGTTGATGAAGCATGCATCCGTATGCACATGGTCCGGATGCTCGCCCACAGGGTTCCCGTCGGCATCCAGGTTGACGGCACAGACCAGCGGGGGCTGCTTCTTCCGTCGGAAGAGTTTGCGGAGAATGGAAGCCATTGGTGCAGCGTATCGCGAGGGGATATTGTGTCTTGTGTCGATGATGATGATGATGATGGCGTATAACAGACTGAGCGCTTCTTCTTCTGCGCAGAGAAATCTATGAGTTGAGATGGTTTGCAAGAGCCAGTCAGTCAATAGGAGATCTCTATGCTGTCTACGTCCCTCTTCCCGATCAAGCGGCGGAAGCGCTCCTCCTATTTATGCTCTGAATCCCAGTTTGCCGGCACCGTTTCCTTGGCGCGACTCATAGCTGAATTCGTGGACTGTTCCTTCAAGAACATATGGCAACTACTTCAACTCCTTGCAAGTCTTGATTCCAGAATATAGTGCCATGCTCCCTCAGCACAAGAACCCTGCGCCACAAACCCCCCCCGTCTGAGTTGGTTGCGAGGTGCAAGGATAAGCAGGCGGATACTCTAACATGGGTGGGCACGCCGGGAATCGCATATGATAGGAGGCATAATTGGGTTCTGATTTCAGATGCTCGCGGGTAATATCTGCAGGCCCGTGGGGCCTGCTTCAGCTGTAAGCACTTGGTGTTCCTGACTTTGGAATCATGCACACTATCTTGCTTGGTGGAGCCCGTGACGCCGAACTGAATAGTTCTCAATCTCTCATTCGCGGTAGACAACCCAAGACATCCATACTTTGATTCACGATGCATGTAATCGGCATGCTTCGTCGAGTCTGGAGGGGGTTGAGGGCCACGGGCCTGCCTGCGCTCATGCAGCCTGTCTCCCCCACAAGGCTGAATATGAATCCCGTTGAAAGCCCTAGACACAGTCAAAGATGTGTAATCAGCACAAAAGAAACAAGGGCTCGAAGAAGCCTATGCATGAGGTCCCCATATGGCCTCCTGATGCAGCCACTCAACCACTTCTCCGTCGCCAAGTTCATTGTTGCTGGTTATCAGGCCCTTTGCGGGATCTCGATCGGGGCCCTCGTCGTTGAAAACTTTGACAGTCCTCGTATTTCCCGCGCCAACCTCCAGAATCGTCCCTCCAACGTTCACGCTGTCCTCAACGCACTGCAGCATTACCTGAGCTACCTCTTGGGGAGTGACCCACGCGTCCTGGGCATCATTCACGTTGATCAGCTTTTCTGGATGCTCCATCCATAAAGGCGTGCGGACTATTCCAGGCGCGACACCGTTCACTCTCACGCCGAATCGAGGCTCCAACGGTGCCAGGCAGCGGATGAAGCCTTGGAGGCCGAATTTGGATGCTCCGTATAGAGGGGCTCTAAAGGTAGGGATCTGGGCGGCTACTGAGGTGATGTTGACCACTCTCTTGGGGTTGTCGAACGACACTTTGGCAGGAGCCTTATCGAACTTGGAACCTTGTGCCGGAGGACGGGGATATAGCCAGTGGGATATGGCTATCTGGGTTGCGCGAATGGGATGCGTCAGATTGATATCGAGAAGCGCATAGTGATTTCCGTCGACTGCGTCTCTGCTTTGGCTCGATCCAGGAGGATGCCAGAAGTTGGACCAGTTGGGCTCGTATACTCCCGCCCCTGGACAGAGGATGTCGAAGTCTCCGAAAGTTTCGAGGGCAAAATCGAACATTTTGGAAAGGTCGGACCACGAGGTCACGTCTGTGCGGATGTATGCAGCCCGACCCCCGTCTTCACTCTGATGTTTCGAAACAACATCCTTTGCCTCTGGCCGCAGCTCCAGATCGGCGAAGACGACGTTGCAATTGCGGGCGAGAAGAAGCTCCGCAAAGGCGAGATTGATGCCTGGACCAGGTCATATGTAAGTTGACTGAGCTTTTCACCACAGACTCCTCTCATAGTCAGGGATACACACCAGAGCCGGCGCCAGTTATTATGGCGGTCTTCCCGGAAACAGAAAAGGACGTGGTCGATGCCATTGATGGAATGACTTTAATATTAGCACGCAAGTATCGCTTAAACCTTGTTGTCTGATGCTATGAATCCTTCGTCTTTCTTGTAGACGACAGAATGTAAGGAAAGCCGGCCGAAGTCGTTCATGCTCGGCTGATATCGAAATCGAGTGAGGAGAAGCATCATGTGGCACCAGATGATGTGGGTTATTGTAACCCCAAACTGTCCCCCCACATATAGTTGGATGACATTATAGGTGCGGATAAACTGGCTGAAAATATCCAATGTGCAGCGGTGGGTTCATTGTCGTATCTGCAATTCAGTCGTTCGGAAATAACGGGACGAGAGGTATAGGAATTCGGCTAGCAGTTGGGAAATCCCGGCAGAGGAAATCCCGCCTCGTCCCAGACGTCCATCTCGACGGATAGGTCGAACGGATCGGTCCCAATCTGTGGGAGGATTAGTACATGCAGCATTATTAGCAAGCCTTTGGACATACATCGGGATAGCTGTTTTCAAGCCACACCGAGGTGGGAAGGACGCTTCCGTCTGAAGGAGCTGGAGCACAGGCAGCGGGAGCCTAGGATAGACGTAAAAGTAAGCTTAGATTGATCCCCGAAGGCTGTGCCAGAAGAAATAGCGTAATCCTGAACGGTTATCATAGAACTCACACTTGTTTGGTTGGCGATATCCCGAGAAATTGCCTGCTGTTGAGCGAGGTCAGAGGGGTGATGCATCCAAACACTCTTGTAGTACAGATCCAGAAATCTGCGTGCACAAGCCGCCTTGGCAGTTTGGCGAGTCTCTTTTCCGAGGTGTATTTTGATCAACATAATGGCTGTACACATCATGAAAAAGCTCCAAGGGTCGGCGAACCGCAGATATTTATCCTCAATGGCCGGGAGGCACTGCTCCAGCAGGTCGACAGTCGACAAGGCATTGACCATGATGATGCTGTTGGAACCTTCTACAAGTCAGAAGACCTCCTTAGATATACAAAAGAAGAAAGAAGAGCCCACCTTGGTGTTGCATGAGTGTAAGGCGAGTCATGTGCAGCGAAGCAATTGCAAGGTCTTCGCGGAGTTGTGTCAGACTTTGAACTCCCAAGGCTGCGAGCTGTATGTTGGAAAGCAGTATTTCTCGCGCTGTCTGGTAACAGATCGTTTCCGAGATGGGGTATTTGCCGCCTTCCCTGTCCACATATGGCCGATGGATGGCCAGGAGACACTCCTTGAGCTGAAACTCCAGCATCGAGTACGACAGGAGCACCCGTCCATCAGTTTTGCTGTCAGTCCTGTCATTGCTCCACGGAGGGAGATCGTTCAATGCTCGTGTGATCTCGTGTGTGTACCGCAAAACGTCGTCATAATCGAGAGGCCTGAAAACTCCGGAACCAAACTGACGTCGTGACAGCTCGAGACGCAACTCCCAGCTTCGGAAGCTGTGGAACTGGTACGAAGACTCCGTGTAGGAATTGGACGGCCTCGACATGGGCGTCAGCTTCGTTGTGTCGTCAAAATCTTCATCAGCAAGGTTGAGCGGCGCTGTGACATTCGACTCAATCGTATGAAGAAGAGTGGGCAAGCCGCATTCAAACGAGTTCTGAAGCTCCAGCTCTCGGACGGTGTACCACAGCCGTCGCTTCATCTCCCTGATGAAGAAGGTATCTGCCAGTGAAGGATCGCGATTTAAGCCATCCATGATTGCGTCCTGGATCATGGAGCCCGTATCTTTCCAGAACCTCTTCTTCCCTACCAGGTTCATCCGCTTGGCAATGTACATCAAGCTGGCCACCTGGTAGTGCACGAGCTTGCGGTGCTTTGTGCTTTGCAGTCGCAGCCAGTCATCGATGGCGGAAATCCACGTCTCAGCCATTTTTCGATAGCTGGCAGGGACTGGCGAAGAGCCAACAAGGTGGACGGAGGCACAGACCGACACGGAGATCATGGCGAGTATCATTGCTGCCATTGTCGGGTACCGCGGTCGGCCGGGCGTCCAGAAGTTGATATACTCCCTGTTGAAGGTCGGGATGTGGACAATGCGATGCAGTTGCTCGAAATGATCAAGGTATATCGCAATCAGAACGTCCGTGTCATGCTTTGGCGGCAAGAGGCCTTCAATCAGAGGCTGCTCGTTGGCTGCCATCTTCATCCTCCAGCTCTCATCTTTGGCGACCTTGTTCTTCTTGATGTAGATTCCATAGGGCTTCAGCCACTGGTCGGCAATCTCCTTGATGAATGGAAACAGCTGTGGAATCTGTTGCGCCGGGTTAAAACAATCAACGGTAAGCACGGTAGAGTCAGGCGCGAGATTACCTCTGAAAAGAACCTCAGCAGGGCGTGCCGTCTGTAGTATCCTCGTGGCGATTTTTCCCTGGGATCAGGCGGGCCGTCACTAAAGCTGTTGGGAATCCGGCTGATGGTCACAATGTCCTTGGATTCCATCTCACTGCTTCTTTTGGAGGAGAAGTCGCTGACGCGCGAGTCTTCCGTGAGGGAGCCTCTGCCATGGTGAGGATGTAGCTGGGGCTGGGGCTGAGGCTGAGGCTGAGGGTGACTTGGAGGCGGAGGAGGCGCCAGAGGCCGTGAGAGCAGCTCCTTGAGCTGGAAGATCTCAGCCCGCAGGCTCTGAAGTTCGGCCTGGTCGGACTTGATCTGTTCCAGCTGCGCACCCTGGTCGATGGGCAGCAGCGCTGAACGCGGGTTGGTCTCAAACTCGCATTGGTCTGCTCTGCCCGTCCTGACGCATCTGCGGCACGGCCGGCCTCTGTCGCAGGAGAGCTGGCGATGGGTTGCTGGTTAGAACACGAACTTGCCAGACGCGATCTCTCATCGGTTTGCTCTTCTCCTCTGCCGCGTTACCGTTACCTTTTTCCTGCGACACTCGCCGCAGCTCAGCTGCAGCCGCTTCTTCCTGGAGCGCGCTTCCTGAGGCTCGGCACTGGTGCCCTCAGCTAGAGCTGGAGCCGGTGTTGGAGCTGATGCCGCATTTGGAGCCGTAGTTGGAGCTGTAGGAGCTGTGGGAGCTGTAGGAGCTGTAGGAGCTGTAGGAGCTGTAGGAGCTGTAGGAGCTGTAGCTGGAGCTGTAGCTGGAGCTGGAGCTGGAACCTCGACGCCGGCCGCCTGCGTGATCGCGCTCTTCGCAACCGCGTCCTCGGCGATTGTCGGAGCCGGACACGCGCGATCCGGGTCGTCTGTCATTCTAGAAGAACTCCTCGGTCTCAGGCTCGCGTCTCGATCGTCATATCAAGGGTTGCAGAGGATCGTCCCTGGAACTGCAAGGAGATGTTCGTCTATATAATGCCGGGGTGCTATGATTGGGTGGCTTGCGAAATGACCGACCATCTCCGTCATCCGCTTCTTCTCCACCCTCTCAGCTGCGGAAAATTCTTTCCACTTTCTCCGAGACCATTCCTACCTTGGAGCAGCGTCTACTGGTATCGTCGCCCACAGCTTCAGCTCGCTCTTTTACACCAAGAATCACCGCCTGGAATCACCTCGTAGATCGAGCACGGGAGAGTGGGGGCATATCCATCAGATGGAACTATCTCTCTATATCATACTTTTCACCCAGCTCATCGTGGATTGTCGGCTCGGTGAATACGGAGATGGAAAGCTTCATGTGTAAGGCCTAACGGCCATATATAAGTTACACACCCATACAGCCAGTAGAGCATGGATAGAAATAGACGGTTGCAGAGTGATCTACATATACGCTCGGCTATCTTGATAGTGTGACAGCCCTTCTGTGATCAAGGACCCTTCATTTGTGTGCCAGGCCCCATCGTTTGCTACCATGTCGCCGGGTAGCACTACCGAGATCGAATCGGCAATTTTTCCAGGGGGTGAAGAGGCTGTGGTTGTTGAGGGATCTGACGAAGTAAAGGGCCACTCAGTTCCGCATGAGTTTCCAGAAGGAGGTCTACGGGCCTGGCTGGTTGTCTTGGGATGCTGGTGCATATTGTTCACATCGTTCGGTTACGTGAATTCCTTCGGGTTCGTACCTACTTGGCCAGTCACCACATTCTTTATAACAAGATCATCGCTAACACAAATCATGACAAATTCTCGCTTTCCAGGGTCTACGAAACATATTATCTCAAGACGTTCTTGTCCGACCACTCACCATCAGATGTGGCCTGGATCGGGGCTATCCAGTCCTTTGCCCAGTTCTCAGCAGCGTTGGTCGCCGGTCCGCTGGCAGATCGATACGGAGCAATGGTAAGATGGGCCCGAGGTTCCCCTTCTTTGGATCACTACTGACACTGAGCGATACAGGTCATTGTTAGGCCGTTTTCTCTACTCCTCGTTGTCGCCATGATGCTCACAAGCCTTTGCACAAAGCTCTACCAGTTCATTCTCTGCCAGGGCATCTTCATCGGCATCGCGTCTGGCCTCATATTCACTCCTTCAATATCCATCATAGGTCATTATTTCTTCAAAAGGCGACCCATAGCCATGGCTTTTGCCACTACTGGCTCTCCCATTGGAGGAATCATCTATCCGGTAGTCATGACCAACCTGCTCCAAGACAACAGCATCGGATTCGCCTGGGGCCAGCGGGTCTGTGGCTTCTTGACTCTGTTTCTGCTGGCAATTGCAGTCGTGACCATTCGTCCGACGTCTCTGCGGAGGACTGGCGCGTTCATTCTGCCAGAGGCATTCAAGATTCCCGCCTTCTCTCTCCAGGTTGCGGCATTTTTCATGGTCATATTGGGACTCTGGACCCCGTACTTTTACCTCGCCGACTACGGCACATTACATGGAATGTCTCCCGGCCTTGCATCCTACCTGTTCGCCTTGATCAACGCGGGTTCTTTCTTGGGCCGAGTATTTGCTGGTGCCGTTGCCAGGCGTCTCGGTCAGTTCAACGTCATTACTGTGGCCTGCTACGCATCTGGAATCCTCATGTTCTGCTGGCTCAAAATCACCTCGACAGGAGGCCTCATAGTATTGTCCATCTTGTTTGGCGCGACCAGCGGCATCATCATTGCCCTCATGTTCACCACCATTGCTCACACGGCTGATCACCCTAGCAAGGTAAGCGCCCAGTCATATCGTCAAAAAACTAAAGGGATCGCAGCCTGACCCAACTACAGATTGGAACATACCTGGGCATGTCCACATTTCTCATCGGTTTTGGCGCTCTGGGTGGCACTCCGATTACTGGTGCCCTCATCGATACGTATGGCGGCTACTCTCAGGGCATCATCTTCAGTGGTGCTGTTCTTATGGCCGGAGCTGTGCTCTTTACCGCAGCCCGATTTGCCTTTTCGAAAGATAAACTTGTCGTATAGAGCGACAAGTCCGAAGTGACTGGATTCTTAGGGCCCATGTCGAGTTTCCGATCCGTATGTTGACGTCCTAACGACCTCCCGTGAAGATGATGGATGCAAGTACTAACGAATGGCTCAGGCACAAGTGACGAGCGTTTCTGTTGGCGCCTTAGCCTACACCTTCGAAGCCTCTTGCTTAATTCATGAGTTGTCATTTGACGTTTCCTCTGCAGTGACCCCGGATAGCGGCTTCTGGCAGCATGCAAATAGCCGCCGACCCTCGACTCTCGCGGGCTACAGCGGGGCCGCGGCAGACGCATCAAGCGGTATCACCGAATCCTTCGCCGGTAGTAGCCTAAAAGGTGCTAAACACCATCTGCCGCGCTTATTGGGGGGGTATCTAGTGGCGTGTATGGAGTCGGCAGTGAAATATGGCGGAATCTTTTGGTTGAAAGCGTCCTACAGCATACGCATTAGCCCTGCATCTCATCGGCCGAAACACCACCTCGCTTCTCACTAGTACGAAACATAGATGGTCGTAAATCCCTATGATATAACGCTAGACCTACATTGTGATAGAGTATAGAGACTTAGAAAAGGTGTATATAAAGTCAGAGCATTGAGTGCCTCACCATGAAATCTATCAATCGCGAAGGCTTCTCTCAGTCTACTTTCAAAACTTCACCATGTCATTATCCATCAAGAACGAAACCGCCTCCATACCTGAGCCTCGACGAGGACCAAAGGGAGGTTCTACATACCGTATACGAGGTGTGCCCCTCGATTGGGGCAAAGATCAGTTGCAACGCCATCTCGAGCTCCATGAGCCTGACACTCAGCCAACTGTCAAGTCTCTAGCAGATGAGATAGACGGAAACTTCAAAACGGCCACAGTAAACTTTCTGAATCCTCCATCATCGGAGAAGACTGTGAGGCCATGGTATATTCCACTGCCTGAAACAGAAGAGAGTGAATTCGCCGTGTCTAGCCTCCCACTGAGGCTAGATAGTGGCTTCATCGGCATGACGACTCTATTCGCACCTCCTGTAGAAGACCATGAGATTGAGTATGCACGCCGTTCCAAAGATTTGCCCCGTACTAAGACAATGCATCAGTGTCATTGCTGTTTCTGGGCTTGGGGGACACGCTTACGGGTCCTTCAAAGATAAGAATGGAAATTACATGTGGCTTCAGGACGCTCTTTCGTCCGACCTCATCAATGTTCAAACTGGTCGTTCAATGGCACGAATCATGATATACGGCCATAAGTCGACGGTGCCTGGAAGTAGAAGCGTTCAGGATATTGATGATCTGGCGACTGCGCTTCATTCAAACCTTCTGGCTCTAGTTGAAGGCCAACGAACAAGACCAATCATTCTCATGGGCCATAGCTTGGGCGGATTGATCGTCAAGAAAGTAAGTGAGGTGTGCCACCACATGATGGACTTCAATTTGACATCATACTTCACAGACGTTGATCACGCTGTCCAAATCTCGCAGTCAAGAAGACCAGAAGCTTTTTCGGGCGATTTACGGGATCGTCTTCTTTGGTGTTCCTCACAGGGGCATGGATATTGCTTCGCTTATTCCAATGGTGGGCGATGGCCCTAACCTTCCCTTGATCAAGTCAATTGGAGAGTCGTCTCCGGCCTTGGACCTGCTTCAGGAGAACTTCCACCCTGCTCTGGGCGATCAAGGACAAGCGGAAATCATCTGCTTCTACGAAACAGCAGAATCACCTACCGCACAGCAGGTATTACGAACAATCGTCCTTTCAAATGTTGCTTGGGATGTTGACAGCCGGTTCAAACAGGATAAAGAGGGCAGATGGCGCATGAACGGTCCCCCGACAGTCCTCGTAACGAAGGCTTCAGCCGTTCATTGTCGTTCTTGGGAGCTTGACGATATCCATGTTTGCCCTATTGCGCGATCTCATTCCGAGATAGTCAAATTTAGTCCCGCCGACAGCTTGTACAACGATGTCCAGGATAGGCTCCTCGGACTCGCTCAGCGAGCGATAGGAATCCAGCAGAGGATATGAAATGACGACACAGATCAGTTCTCGGAGAAATAGCATTTCAAGCCTTGTACACAGCCTAATAATCTAGAAAGACAAACCATGTCTATACGCATGGCCATGTCTCATATCATGTAAGAAGAAAGGAACCTAATCAAAAGATAGCCGTCATGTAGAAACTCCCACCCTCAGCTTGTTCAGAGCATCCTCGTACTTTGCCGGGCTGTGATCCGTCAACATACTCGTACCAAACCGCACCTCTCCGAAGCGGCCCTCGACATCTTTAATGTACTTTAGCACAATCCTCTGCGCAGGCCGTCCAATATGCTCTTCGTCCAACAAAAGGAACGCATCTCTGCGAAGGACTCGCTGCGTCTCAATGGTAAAGACCTCGCCTGGTGGGAGCAGCTTTTTTCCCTTCATGGCCGCCCTCAGGTTCTCCAGGGCCGGTAGCATCCATCTCTCCTCATCACTGACGCCCCCGCTACTCGCAACCTTGCTCGCGCTGCGATAAGAATACCATCGCTCCGAGACATTATCTTGAAGAGCATTCCAGATCTGTTGCCGGATCTCGGATTTGGTATTGTTCTCGTCTTGTTTAAACGCAAGCGCAACGCCCTGGAAGTCATGGAGTAGGCCCAAGGACAGGTGAGGCACCAAGTCATTGCCATGAACAACTGTGGTAATGAGGCCTCGAGTAATCTTGCGGAGGGAAGACGACATGACGGCGGGTGGACCGTACGCATACACATGTATGCGGCGGCCTGACGGAGGCCGGATGTCGCTCAGCCTGACGTTGACGAGAGCCTCGTGTGGTGGAGGCCTGAGGGTATATGGCTCGGCAGAAGTGACAAATCCGGGGCCTAGAGGATTGGGTTCGGACAGCATGATCCCCAGTAGAGATGTGACACCGGCTCCCAGAGAATGCCCGCATAGAACAAGCCCATAGTCGGGAAACTCGCGCAGAGCCTCTTTGAGCGTCATCAGCACGCGACCATCGCCACCGTAAAGCAGCCTCCTGGCAGAGGCGTGGATACCCTTGTGCACTCTGTAGCCCTTGCCTCTCCAAACGAGCCTGTCGTAGTCGCAAGTCAGATCAGCCAGGACGTCTTCGAATCCTAGCGTCCCTCGGCAAGCAAGCACGACTGCTTTGGCTGCGTGATCGAGCGAGATATAATGGACAAGGGGAACACCTGACCCGGTGGCACCAGAAGAGTCACTGCCTCCATTGGGATCAACAAAGGAAGCTAGCAGTATGTTGTCGGCTTGTGACTCGGTGTGGTGAAGAAAATGCTGTATATCGTGGTGGGTGCCGTCCCAAGCGCCAACTTTAGGTATTTCGTTGGATATCCCGGTAAGTTTCAGGAAGTTGGAGCCGTAGCACGCCGATGAGAAACGCATATATCGAGTGATGTTGGGGAGCAAGTGGCCCTCGGGAAAGGTGCCGTCGACGAATCCTTCCTCGCGGAGAGCCCGGAGAGCGTCTGCTGTGTTATAGGCACTCTTTTGATAGTACGACGACAGCATCAGAGACGACTGCGAGTCGTTGGTTCCCACGCTATAGATGCTGGTGGCATACGATCGATTTCGTCGGTGGCCAACAGAAGGTGGCACCAGGTAGATGTTGTGGTGCTCGGGAGGCGAGCGTATTGCCAAGTCGCTGTTTGGAGATCCTGGTCGTCCATCTTTCGAGTCCCTATGAGAGGACTTGAGGTGAAGCTTTGACTTGTCTTTAGCGGTGACATAGTCCATCGGGCCGGACTCCTTTGTCCAGATGGATGAGATGGACGGACCGCTTCCTCGAAGGACATGCCGCAAGCCTGTCTTCTTGTCCGATGATCTGGAAGAAGCTCCTCCTTCAGTTCGGCTCCCCGAGTGAGCTTGCCTATGTGATTTATCTTGAGATTTTGCGCTGTGAACCGGCGTGCGTTGCCTCTTTTGATTGGCCAAGGCCTCCAGATCTTCGAGATATATCGGCTCTTTTGAGACAGCCGTGGATGTTCGAGAAGCAACTGCCTTGGCTGAGTCGCTATTGTTTTTGCGAGAGCTCGACTGCGTCGGCTTCGAGAAATCATGAGAATGTGACTTATGGCGCCGCTTGGTTTCGGTAGATGTAGATGGCCGTAAGTGCAACGCAAACGTCGAGGACGGCAGCAAGTTTGGCGAAACGGGGGGAGATTGGTACTCAGGAAGAGTAATCGTAGGCGTCCCTGGAGCAAGAGTTTCTTCGCTGCTGCAGCTCTGGTTGTCAGACATGATCTCGAGCGCGTCGTCTTTGATTTCTTCGTCGCCTGGAAATGACGAGGTCTCCTTCTTCTGACGGTGCAACTTATAGACGACTCGGTAGGATGTTGTGGAGGTTTGGTCTCTCTGATTCGATGATGTGTATGGTAGCTGGCTTCCGGAGGCCAGAAGAGTTTTCGTCTCAACAATTTCAGCTCCTGGCGGTGTTGGTAAGGAGAGAAGCCGGGGCCCATGGACGTCGACAGTGATTGTTTGCACTGAAGATACAGAGTTGGACACAGACACCGTTGTACCCGGGGTGAGGGAGGCCATGATCTGGCTCTTAAGGCGCGATACAACAGCCTCATCGTCTTCGGTGCCGGTCCATGAACTGCCAATGGGCGACGAAGGAATCTCGTCCTTGTCCCCGGGGCCGTAGCCGCCGCGAATCTCGCTCAACACCTTTTCATCAATATCCACTCTGTCTCCGTCTTCCAGGACCACCACATCCCAGATGACTTCTTCGCATGACTGTCTCCGGCGCTCTTCTTCGACCGTCTTACGGCATGCTCGTTGCAGATAGGCCAGCGTGCTGAGGGCAAGAGTCAGGTCAATGACACCAACTCTTTCTCCTTGCAGACCCGTTGCGGGATTCTCAAACTCGCGGCGGATAAGCGTGACAATGCTGGCAACAGCTCGGGAAGAATCGGTCGAGCCGAAGAGCTGGTCGAAGGACGACAAGAGCAGCTGCGAGCCTGCGGAAGCAGTCGATATGGTTGTCCCTGTGAGTCGAAAGCTGACAGACGTCCAGAAGACGGCCTGAGTGACGGCGTAATGCAGGCTCTCGAGGCTGCGCTCCAGGACCGTCTCTGCATCCTGAACGGCGAGATCGGTTCTCGATTGTTCAATGGTGTCTTTGGCGGCGCGGCTCATTACGCCTTCGATCAAGCCCCGGGCCAGCCCGAGGCCACCCAGGGTTGTCAGTCTGGCAGCATCGAGGCTGGCATTGCTGACCACCGACCCAATGCGTATGGCAAGCGACGTCGATCGAGCAGCAAGGCTAACGGCCTGGGCAACGGGCGACGGGAGTAGCGTTGGTCCTTGCTTCTGCTGGGCCTGCTTTGAGGCTACGACAGCATCATCTGTCGGCATGATGTTTTTTCTTTCTTTTTCTTCTATTTTTTCTTTTGTTGTTCCTTCAGAAGCGATCGCAGAGTCGACTCAGCTGGTGGGACAATGCAGAGTGCTGGACATCAGCATTTCGAGGGGCCGCAGCGGCGGAGGTCGGTCGTCAAAGAGCCTGCAGGGAGAATCGGGTCGGTTATTAGACAGCACATGAAGACCCAACATCGCCATCCATGGTGACGAGGCCAGTGTTGTTCTCCTGCTTGCTGCCCATCGAGTTTCACATGTGATTACCGGGCTCTTCAGGCCCCCTTGGCCGGTCCATATCAACCACCAATAGGAGCAACACACGTCCAATCCGACGGCTCCATCGCGAAGCTAGATCGAATCGACGGTTGCTATCCTATCGTATCAAGCAGGGGGCGACACGCCATCGAGTGTGCGTTTTCTTTGCAGTGCTGTTCATGCATGACATGCTGGCCGAGGCAGCTGGAATGGAGCGAAATGAGGTGTCGAAGAATAGCTTGCAGATGCGATAACGTCGGTGGTCGAGACGGAGGCTCGGAAAATGCAAACGATTGATGGTGAGACATAAACAAAGATGATCGTTGAATTCCAGTCGAGAGGAAGCCAAGGACAGGTAAGGTATAGATGCAGACATGACGTTTTCGCTGTAAACCATGGGTAGGAAGGCGAACTGTCAGCCTCTACTATAGGTACCTCCACATCCATACCTTGGGTGGTTGAGGCGCTCAATGGCCCGGGTCTCTCAGCGAACTGCCTCAGCGCCCAGCCTCCACTGAGGGCTCGCCTACAGAGGCTTGAGGTCAGCCGTGATGCCCCAGCTGCGCTGAAACTGCCTCTAATAGACTCCCGTCGAGTCAGCGTCCAGTACCTGAGGTAGTGGCAACATGCTGACCAAAGAGGCAATGAGCTGGAACCTCGACTTTTCGGCTTCGGCCTGTCTGTCAGCACACTAAAGAGACACGAAGATGATTTATCCACAGAGGGCGACGTAGTTGCATGGCATCTCACATAAGTACTAGGTAGTGGCCCGTAGTAGTTGAGCGTAATATTCAAAATCAATCAACTCTTGTTTGTCTTTTTGAGACTGTCGATGCTCCTAGAATACAGACTGGTGGAAGCAAAGCGTGGAGTGCTTTCTGCAGCAGACCTCCCAGAAGGAAGTCCTAAGGACACCACCCGAAAAAAAAGAATCAAAGAATCCATGATGAATCCGACTTCCTACAGTGTCGAGTCTCTCTTTCGAGTTGATGGCCTCGTTGCCGTCATTACTGGGGGAGGCTCTGGCCTGGGTAGAATCACAGCCCACGCCCTCGCCGTCAACGGGGCCAAGGCAGTCTACGTGCTCGGACGACGAGAAGATGCCCTGATAGCCACACGAGATAGCTCTCCAAAGCCAGAGGCCATACGACCTGTTGTCTGCGACGTGACGAGCAAGGACGCGCTCAAGGCAGCTGCTGACCGAGTCCAGGCAGAGCTGGGCTACTGCAATGTCGTGTTCGCAAACAGCGGCATCATCACGGCTGATAATTCGGACTTGGTCAAGAACATTGACAGCCTCGATCTCAAGGCTATCCAGGAGAGTCTCTGGACGTACAGCATGGAGGAGTTTACGCAGTCGTTTCACGTTAATGCCACGGCTGTCTTCTACACTGCCCTTGCGTTTCTGCAACTGCTCGACGAGGGAAACAAGAGAGCCGTTATTCCACAAAAGTCTCAGATTATCGTTACGGGTTCTGTCGCGACCTTTGCTCGTCTCCCTAAGGCTGGTTTTGCTCACGGCAGCAGCAAGGCAGCAGCAGTACAGTTGGCCAAGCAGCTCGCGACGCTGCTGGCACCGCACAAGATCAGAGTCAACTCGATCGCGCCTGGGCTGTATCCGAGCCAAATAACCGAGCGAGACATCAAAGCTTCCACCTCGGAAATTCGCGTGGAGGGCAGCTTGCCAGGATCCTTTATCCCTCTGGCGAGGATGGGCACCGAGGAAGAGTTCGCTGGGGCGATGCTATTCTTGACGAGCAAGGCGGGAGGATACGTGGACGGGAGTGTGCTGCTGACGGATGGAGGCCGCTTGAGCATCGCGACTTCGACATACTGAGAAGAGAGAGGTATTCTGTAGAGGTAAATAAGGTATATAGTAGTTGCTGGTTTGAGCATCATAATGAGCGTGTATGCGGAAGGCAGACGCGTTGTCTCCCTCTGGGTGCATCTTGTCGCATCATCGCGAGTGCAGGGCCATAGCTTCATGGTCCTTCTTTTCACCTCTGCAGGTTTTGGTGCTACTCAGTGATTGCTTCACTCTGTAAGGTGGTACCTGTAGTACCACAACACTACAACACCACATCAACTCTAGAGCAGCTCAGTCAAGACTCTTCTTCACTGCTTGGGCTTGCCCAAGCAACAATGAAAAGGGTCGCGTCGCCTGGAGGCAGTGTAATACCAGGGACACAGTGAGCAGGATCATGCGCAAGCGCAGAGGAAACTGCTCGAGGTGCAAAAATAAGAATAATCACGATTGGTCCCCTTGGGGACCTTTCAGAGATTAAACTGAAAAGAACAGATACTACACTTGATCTAAGCCAAAAGGCAAAGAGAGCTAAAGAAGAAAAGAAGAAGAGAAAGCTTCGCTTTTGCGGGAGCGGGCGAAGAATATATAGGGGGGTGAAAGCGGTGAGGGCCAGCGGGCCGGCAGAATCGCCCGGAAGGCGGCGAAGCTCGACTTCCGGGTGAGGGCATCGCGTTTTGTATGGGAGAACCGCGACGCGGTTCGGCGTGTGGGGAGGAGATGGAGCCAGTTGGGCGCGCTGGACGGCTGTCTGTTTGGTTTGGGAGGCGGGAAGCTGGCTCGATCTTGGGGTCGACTCGATGATGGAGGGTTTGTGGCTGTATATCTGTGTAGATGCAATAGTAACACGAGGCTGCTGAGTCTCGTGGTGAAGCCCCTGAGAGTCACATGTATCGTTATTGATATTTGGCTGTTTGCTTTTTCGTGACAAGCTCAAACTGGTGCTGCTGTGTTCCTTGATGTGCCTACGTCTAGAAAATTACAGAGAGAACCACCCCGTTGCGTCCACGATCCAGTCATGTAGCAATACAGTAGACGTCGAGGCGACGATCTCGGAATCAACGAGCGGCTCCAGAGCCAATGAAGCACAAAGATGGATAGTATTGATATAGCAGAGAGTATTACAGTAGCATCACTTCGGTCATGCTGAATCTCAAGCGTCTGTTTCGTAATTCTACTGCCGTTCCTCTCTGAACATGGCTGGTCAAAATCACAGCACCAATCCCGCCAACTCTGGCCACCATTTCCTGCCCAAGCAAATCGCCAGAGTGCCCAAAATCACCACTCTTCATCGAAAGACGCAAAGAGGTCTTCTCTAGAAGCTCTCGGAACATTTCGTACACTTAAAATCCATCGCTCGTACGGAATCCCGCTTCCCACAGGTCGTGTCCTTCTCCAGATGATCGACTGACGGCTACCCGGTAAGCCCATCATGCTAAACTTGACCCCTGCTAGCTCGCCGAAATCCGAAGAATGCGATGAGTACGAGAGCTCCAAGTGGCGCTGCCGCCTGCTCTATAGTCAAGCTGAGCTTCTTTGACGCTGTGCCCCAGCTATCATGAAACAATCGAGTATGTCCAGCCTCAGCTACGGCATGGCATACATAAAGAGCAATCCGCCTCGAAGCGGTTCATCTCCCCAACGATCAAGCTTCCTGAAGCCTTCAATAGAGAGGAGAAGAAAGAAAAAATGACCCGACTCTTCCAAATCGTCCGCCCAGCTTTCAAGTGCTCCTACCAGATAATCCCAGACGGCGAGGAGCCTCTCTACAAGGTCAAAAACTTGCCGTACCACAAGGGCGGCAAACCTGATCTCGCGCTACTCGACGGCCCCGACGAGACGGCGCCCGTCCTCATCGTGTGCCATATGCCAAAATTATCACGACACTTCAAGATTGGATTCGGCGATCCCACAGGCCCCGAGCCCATCGTATGGGAAGACTTCATCAAGCCCAAACTGGGCAGCCTCGAGCGGAAAATCTCCGTATCCTTCTCAGGCGACGGGCACATTGTCGAGACGGGCCAAGGTGAGCGAGAAGAGTTCACATGGAAGCGCACCCGTCATGTCAGCGTCCTAGGGAAGAAGTCTCGCGCCGCCAGCCTACACAACAGAAAGCTCGTCGACGAACAAGGCAACATTCTCGCAATCTTCACTCACGCGACAGCCATTGGAGTCGCGGGATGGCTCCAGATCGAAGTCGACAGAGGGCGCGACTTTGACCTCATGGTCATGATGACGGCGTTGTCCATCCATGAGTGGATGAGGCGGCAATAATGATGGTGATACCCTGGTCCAAGAACTTTTCGCTTCTCCCTCATGTTTGGAGCACTTGACTTTCTTTGTTTATGGTCTATCCTATGCTCGCGTAGCGTCTAGGCATGCAATGTCCAATTTTGCATGCAACACGGATGATTTTTGTCGGACTTTTTCTTTCTGGAGCTCATGGGGAGCTCATGGGGAGCACAATATATGGGTGGGAGAGCAGACTTCAGACCGCAGCATGGCCATTACATGTACCGAGTCTCATGATGATAGCTGGTAGCTGAGGATCGATTACTCTCCACGCAATAAGCAAACCTGGAGATGGTTAGGTGCGCGATGACATGTTGCTTCTCATCTCGCAAGGAAAGCGTATGTGAAAAGGCTCATACATGCATACTGGGGCCAGCAATTGCTGGTTCTTGAATTACCCCAAGACCTACGCGCACCCGATGTTGTTCGACCCCGGTCGTGGTTCTTTGGCCGCTACAAATGTCGTGGTTTTTTGGCCGCTACAAATGAGCTAGACCATGCTCGAGTGTTTGACTAAAGACGCTGGATATCTTGTCGATTCTTCGCGCGGGAGTCTTTTTTCATCCTGGTGTCGCAATCTCTGAGTCTATTCATGGTCAGCGTAGCTGTTGACGGCAGTAGGAAGCCAGCCGAGGCCATCCTCGAGCACACCAGGCTTGTTTGAACAGCCCCAAGACAATTCACAAAGGATTGTCCCATGGAAGACGATGTGTGTCGAGATGTGTGTCGAGATGTGTGTTGAGATGTGTGTCGAGCTGATTGGGATGTTGGCGCGGGATGATTCGTGGGAGGTGAGCAACGCAGAGTAACTTGGGATGGCTGTCGTTGTCTCAGTGTACCGGCGCTCAGTTGCGAGACGGAGGCTCAAAGAGATGAACTGATGGGTAACCAATCTTAAGTGGAAGTGTTCATTATCAGGTCTGAAATTGGTCGCTTTTGCCGTCACCTTCAGGTTGTTGGTTTGGTCGTGGGCGTTGTGTCACTTTGTGTGGTCCGCTACCACCAATTTTGAACATTGTCACAACGCCTTGCAAAACTTGAAAAAGAAAAAGAAGATTGTCAAACAAGGATCATGTCCCTGCACCCCGAAATGCACAGCTAGAGCCAGTGTTCTGAACAAAGGAAAAAAAGTAAGACGTTCACATGCCCAAAAAAAGGTTCCAGAGGGAGTCGAACCCTCGCTGGCGGAATCAGAATCCGCAGTCATAACCGTTAGACCATGGAACCGGGTTGTTGAAGTGGTTATCCACTTCCCATGGCATGCCGCCTTGCCTCGTTCAGAGCATCTAAGAACTTACTGGATTGAGAGACGTTTGTTGCCCTCTATGAAACCCGTGATGATACATTGTATTTAGCTATTTTTTGCATAGAAATGGTCACAAGATGTTCAAATATACGCAGAATCAGGCTGAGCTCTGCAGAAACCGATGCCTGGCTCATCTGCCATGTTCAGTATCCGTCTTGGCTTCAATATGACTTTTCGTGGTCTCGGAATCGATGCATACCTGTTCATCTCTCTTCTTTACCTCTGTCTCGGAGCTGTTCATCAGCGACACACTTCGCGACCTCTAGTAGGTTCAATGAGAACCTCACGGCTCTGGCTATATAGACCGTAATGTGATTCTTCTGAGCAGCGAAGAATAAGAGGATCAAATTCACATCAAGCTCTACTTTCATTCACTTCACCCTCAGACTTCCGACCAGCCCCCCAGCATGCCTCTCGGAAATCTACCCGCCGAGCTCTGGCTCATGATCATGGACAATTTGGAGAGCCAAGATCAACTCAAGTCCTTGTCGTCCCTGTCTCAAACATGCTGGTCTCTCTATGCATTGGGAAACCCCATGCTCTACAAAGCGAGCTTCAACGACGAAAGCAAGATCTGTGCTGCTCTCAATTGGGCAATTTCGAGAAACTCCACCGGTACCTCGACAAAGCTCATAGAATATGGCATGCCGGTCAACGAGTTATTTCAAGAGCTTGCTAGTAGGTGTAATCGTATGCTAACTCCCTTGGCTATGGCAGCAGAACAGGGACGCGCCGAGATTGTGCGCCAATTCCTCAATGTTCCTGGAATCGACGTCAACGTGAGATGCGCATACCAGGAGACGGCATTGCATCACGCAATCATGTCCAGGAGCCTGGAAACAATCAGCCTGCTTCTGGCTCAAGAGAGCATCCTGGCTGATGCTCGATCTGATACCGGACTGACGCCTCTCGGCCTCGCCGTCAGCGGAGGACATGCAGAAATTGTGCGGCTCCTGCTAGCCCAAGGTCCATTGGTCGACCCGGATTCTCGAACCGACCGCGGCTGGTCGCTCCTCTACATTGCGGTTGATCATCAAGTCGACGCCGAAGTCGTCAAGCTGCTCATCGATACCGGAAGAGTTAATGTCAACTTCATCGATCCCACCTCTCGTTTCACGCCCCTCATCGCTGCCGTCACGAAGAACCTCCCAAACATTGCCCGGCTCCTTGTGTCGCACCCTGACATTGATCCGAATCTTGGGGCGTACAACAACCAGATTGTGCCCATCGCCACAGCCGCCATCCGAGGACACACCGAAATCGTACGCATCTTGCTTTCTCACCCACAGACTGACCCCGACAGGGCTATACTGCCTAGATCTAGAGCTCTTCTTCAAGCTGACATATGGAGACGCGAGGAGATTGTTGAAATGCTGCTCGCTGATGGAAGAGTAGGGGAGGAGAGTCGGGCATTGCTGAAGGGGCAGCGAATCCTCACCCGAAAGCCTGCGCTTGGTTCTGAAGTTGAGACTGGCCTTTGGTGGAGCAAGATGTTCAAGAGCATTTGGTAGAAGGAGTAGATTGTCAATGATGACTTCCAGTTCACACGCATTTTGTGGACTGTGCGATACGCATGGCGGTGATGGTTGAACTTTTGTCGTATACTCGTGATGGCCTTGATTCGAGAGTGGCATAATCAGTTGCCTAACACTTTTGATTCAATGCCGTGATGAAAGCAAACGCCGACTAGCTCATGATGTTTATATTACCATCTAATTGCGCTGGGTATCTGCTCGACAAAACTTGCGTTGCGGCAGAGGCTGGCTAAACGTCCTTCTACATAAAAGCAATCACCAAAGCTTCGACAGAATGATAGGCCACTATGGGGGAGTAGATCAAGTTAGTAGAGAATCTCGGCCACTCTTCTCATTATACGAGAGAAACCCAACTCACCACTGAGGCCAGCAGAATAGCTAGTGGAAAGTGCGTGGCCGCAACGATCATTTCCATCCATCTTGCAGCAACATCACGGCCAAGCAAACCTGCTGCCTGGTGTGCTATTGGCAACGTCCACTTTGTCCCCCACCAGGCATTTCCCACCTCGGTCATCATCGTTGCCCAGATGGTTGTGCAGCCCCAGTATATCGCATGTTCCTGCCACCGGCTAAGGCTGTCAGCCAACTGAGGCCTCTGCCGAGAAGCCTTTTCGCCTGAGCTGCTGGAGCTTCCCAAGAGATCCGATTGGAGAACTAGGCCAGTGACTAGAACCATGCAGCCCTGAACGCCGAACTGAATGTGTGCTGTGAGGCCAAGGCGTGGATATGGCACCAGAGGAACGAGAAAGCCGAAGAGCATACCGCAGGCGACGAGGCCACCGCCGTGCCGAATGAGAGAGAGCGGAAGCTTACTGCGGCGGTATGGGCTTGAATCGAGCCCTTGGGAGCTGGCAGTCGGCATTTTGGAAGCTATTCTGGTGGCCAGGGAGAGACAAGAGACTCCCAAGCGATGATGCTATCAGCCAGGCGGCAGCTTTCCTATATAGCCAGTACTTCTGGCTTCCCGGTAATGGTCATTATGATTCTACATCTAGCTCATCTATAGATGGATCAACATACCGGGTATCGTTGCTGATTGCGTGGGCCCATATCACCCGATAGCCTATTGCTCGGCCTGTCGCCCGCCAGGTAAGCCGACCTAAAGTGTCATGACTGAGTTTGTCATTCTGAGCTGAGAATTGGTAATACATATTGTGAGATTTGGGTGCAGGGAGTCGCTCCCTTGACTGAGCCGATGATTGAACATTGGCTCCCATCTCATTGACTTCCTCCCTTCGTGAAGCAGTGAAAGCAGTCGTCCGAGGATCCGTGCAGATCCGAAGCCATGACTCTGGGGTTGAGGGATCTCTGTGATGCCATCTTCGTCTCAAGTTTGACACATGCCCCTCGATCGTGCCGTTCAGGAGCAAATGGCAATCAAACGGGTCATTTCACAGGCTGCAGAACAGCGTTGGTGCTGGCTGTTGTCAAGGGCAATCAAGTCTATCGGAAAACGATCACAAGCTTGGACGGAATCAGCGGTAATGACTCGCCTCACCCAGCTTTTGAGTGTCACAGACTGTGCTGACGCCTTTTGAAGAGACAGCTTTGACAGCAAAAGTACTGCTCACTTATTGTCATCCGTTTCGACACAATTGTCAAGGTGCCTATGTGACCCTGTTGGTAATGGCCAAGGAGATCTGAACGACTGGCAAATGTGAACCGATCATAATCGTCCGAGACTTTGCGGTAGCGAAACCGTTTGAGAGGACAGTCGAAGAGAAACAGGATCAAGTTGTTGCGGGGCTTCCCAGCAGCTCACCATTGGGCCCCCTGGGTATGTGCAATCGTAGACATCTTTGTTGATCATGCAGCAACGGTCGGCTGGTGATGAAACAAAGGCTCAATTTGCTCTAATCAATGTAATGTACACTGGGACGTTTGGCACCAAGCGACAGACGTCCAGATCTATGCTTCTTCGTTCACAGGCCATCGCTCACTCCCAGGAGAGGCTCACCCCGAGCTCAACCACCTGTTGTTGTTCAGCTCTCTTCCTTGAGCTCAAACATCTTCCGTATGGTTTCACCAAACCGCTTCACGGCTTCTTCAATCTTGGGTAGCGGGGCCGCCGCAAAAGTGGTTCGATAGAAGACTTCGTCATGGGCCACATCCGATGACGCGCGGAACCAGCAGCCGCGGCCAACCAAGGCTCCTGTAGAGATGCTTTCCAGCCAGATTTCCCCCTCCAGGGCGTCGGCCGTCTTATTTTTCGCATTGGGGTGTTGTCTCCAGTCGACTTTGAGCCATTACTGTGGAATGACTTGTGAGGATAATGAGGTCCAACCGTTGAAAGGGCGTAGAATTACACTTACAATCATGCCAGCCTCGGTTGGCTCCCAACTAACAACTTGCTTCGGCAAATGGCGCTCACATGCCGAGATAAGGAAATCCCTTCTCATAGTGTACTCGCTGCGCAGGTGCTTCAGCCACTTGATGTAGCCCTCGTGGCCCCAGTGCTCATCAACGAGCTTGAAGATTGCCAGCTGGCTCAGGCCTGCAGGGCTTTGGGTTGACACGTCGGTATGGTGCTTGTACCGCTCAATCAGCTGCTCTGGTGCCGTGATCCAGCCCAAGCGGGCTCCAGGGCCGATGACTTTGCTGAAGGAGTCCATGAGAATGACTCGCCCGTCGATATCCATCCGGAGATATGAAGGAATGAGCCTCTTGAGAAACTCCGTAGGTGACTGGATCTCGAAAGCAATCGGACCGTCCTGATCAGGGGAAGTGTAGGCGTCCATCTGCAGGAAATAGTAGGGGTCGTCCTCCAGTATAATCAAGTCGTGCTTTTGGGCTACTCGGTAGGTTGCCCTGCGGCGTTGAAGGCTCTGAGTGGTGCCAGTGAGTTTCTGGCCAGTCGAAATCGCGTACAGAACCGATGGCTTCCTGGCGCCCTTGTGCGCCGCAGGATCCCAGTTGTCGAGTATGTCGTCGAGGCTGTCGGGAAGCATGCCCTCATGGTCCATGTCAACCCCAACAAACTTGATTCCTATCGGCACAGCGGTCTCAATAGCGGTAGAAAAGGTGTACTTGTCGGCCAGGACGTAGTCCCCGGGCTCTGTCAGCATCCTCAGGCACATGTCCAGAGCCGATGTGTTGCCAATGGTCGTGGAACATTGCCAGTCAGCGTGAGGCGGGTCGTGGATCATTTCCGTGTGCTCCGTGATCCATCGCATGAACTGGGCCGAGCCGTAGCCCTGGCCATAACTCAACGCAACGGAGAGGTCGTAAACGCTGGTTCCATCGGCTATATCATGCTTGGTAGCATGCAGAGTTGTCCGAGAAGTCGAGGACACCTTTTGCCTTGCCGGAGGTTATCAAGAGAAGGAGGCCTCAAGATGACTTCATCAAATGGTATAGAGTCACTCAGGGGAATGCCACCTCCCAGGGAGATGACGTTTGGATTGGAGAGATGCTTCACAGAGGCTTTGAGGGATGATCCAGTTCGATTGGCCGATTCGGTGCTCATATAAGCTGTCGAAACAGAACAGCAAATGGTTAGCTTTGAGAGTAAAGAAATCTTGGGTTATGCGGGCATCTAATGGCAGTTATAAAAGCAATATGTCTCTGGGAACTCACGGTGCCATCGTCGGGTCTTTGGCTTGTACTTGACGCTCTTGGTCTTGAACTGATCGCTGCTGCTGGCTGCTGCCACTCCTCGTTGAGCAGCAGTGAGTGGCCTTCTCTTGGGGTGGAGGTTGGGTTCCTGAATGCAGTCGTCGACTTCTCTGGAGAGGCTACCCATCTTGTCGGATTCTGTCTGGAGATTCTGCCTGCTCTTCTGGAAGAACGTTGATGATGCTGCTGATTGTTGCTGTTTACGGACCGTTTAGGCTACCCAGGAGGGCTCAGCGTTTTATAACCTGCCAAGTGGCCCATGGTACTGATCAATGTGGCCACCATCGTGCTGGCTTCTGCTCCAAAAGAGCTCTGCTTGGATCAACGAGGCGTCTTGGCAAATAGCCCAACAGCGAGCGGCTACAACTATGCCGGAAACTGGTCGCAGGTCACCAACGAGGCCTGTGAATAGGACAATGCGCCTTTGCCACTCTCGCCCGCGAGTTCTAGTGCAACATCATGGAGCGGCCAACGGTTGCGAGTTGGCAGTTGGAACAAAGCACAGATGTTGGCTAGTGAGGAGAGTCTTGCTTCTCCACAGATGCTGCAGAAGAAGTGCTCGGATGCTACTGGAGTTGCTGATGATGAATCTAAAATCCAGCCAACCGCTGAGCCAGTGACAATCAAATCAAACCCGTAATGAGCCAAGTAGTGTGATATCCAGTGTCTCGAGTTGTGATGAGTTGAAAGCCTTTATCAAACAGAGATGATTAAACAAATCTCCAAATAACAAGTCGGCGTATGGTGGGGGCTCTCCGGAGAAATCGGGGCTCCGGTCTATCGGAGAGAAACGCTCCGATCCGCCCGTTCATGTATAGTAGTAGTTGTATGTCGTTCAAGGTGCCTCCTAAAGTACTACTACACGGACCGGAGTAAACTCATCCCTTCTCCCCATCTGCTTCTCTCCATCTCATGAGCCTCCTCTCCCGACCAAGTACCAAAACGCCACTACAAGCTCTCTGGATCATGAGCATCCGACACGCTGCGTGTGAACCATGTCGACGAGCCAAGCTGGCTTGCGGCCACGAACGGCCCACTTGTGCCCGATGCCGCATCCGCGACCAGATCGACCTCTGCGTCTATCGAGCTCGGCCATTTCGGAGAAGAAGCCCCAGTGATCGTTTGAGAGAGCAGAGGTGAGTAGCGTTGAAGAGTCTCTGGAGAACTGGGCTTGCCGATCTACAGCTGCTGACCAGGGCTTGCTCGGGTGCTCTGCTTCGCGGCTCCAGTGCAAGACAATCGATCCGTGTAAACGCCCTGACCACTCCCCCGTTGGAGACTTCGCCAATCGCAGAGGTTCTCGGCACTTCTTCATCTCGTCTCCGTCGATACCCCAATCCTGGCTATCTTGGCGACGTGAGTCATGCCAACATCTTCAATCAAGTGTCTTCACGGGCCCCTTCGGGGGTGGCCGCTGCCCAGCAAGACGAGTCCGTGCAGCAGCCGATTCCCAGCCCTCCAGCCGATACGTTTATCGATCAGGCAACTTTTGACAGAGCCAACCATGCCTTGAGTCTGCTTGACCAGCTGCAGGTCTCGGGGCTGGCGTCTCTGATCCGGTTCTGGCTCAAGAAGGGAGTGAACCTGGCGCTGGCAGAGCCCTTTGTCGAGACTTGTGCCGAAGCTGCCGTTGATTGGAGAGAGCTGTCAACCCCTCATGGAGCCAAAGTCCATGATGCCAGCGTTGGGATTGCCCAGAGAGCGAGGGTTTTACTGGAAAACACCCACAGACCACTTGTGGTGCATAGACACTCGACCGCATCCGAATATTTGTCGCAGATGTCTGGTAGGAACTTGCGGTGGGAGAGCTTGGGGATCTTTCTCGCTGCGGCAAGTCGGGCAGCCCTAGACACCTCTTCGTTTGCTCCGCTCTACAACAGCGACGAGGGGAGGCGAGGGCTGATCAAAGCTCTGACATACATTGGAGACTGCTGCTTGGAGACGTGCCTTGCCCTGGACTGTCTCAACGATCTGCAGCTCGTCCTGCAGTATGAGAACCTCATCGTCCACTCTCAGGTTGACGGCGACCAGAGTAAGTCGATAGCGTGTTGATCTTGGATGACTCTCGATTACATCGTTCGGACCCGCCCGCCACTGACAGTCGTATAACTCCAGGCTACCACTCATGGCGGCGCATGGGCGACGTTGCTAGCTCGCTGTTTGCCCTTGGGTATCATGAAAAGATTGATGAAGACACTTCTGACATCCCGCTGTTCGTTGCCGAGCTGCGGAGATCTTGCTTTGCCCGCATCTACGCAGCCGACAAGAGCCTGGCCATCTTCCTTGGACGACCCCCGCGTATCATGAAGGAATTTTGCTACTTCCAGCTGCCCACTAAGTTTACGAGCCTCTGGGAAAACGATGGTGGCAATGGGAAGTCGAACAACGCCCCCTTATCGTCTCCCATGGTGACAGGCGTAGACGGTGAGATGTGTAACAATGAACAGGTCTTGAACTACACTTCCGACACGTTTTGCTCTGCCCTCTTTGCGGTCATCAAGGAGGAGATACTCCAGCTATTCCGCAAGCGCCATGTTTCCAGCGAGACGAGTATCATCAGGTCAGTTGCTGCCATATTCCCCCGGAAAAGACTCCCTTGCTTGTACTAAAGCAGCCGGCGCTGCAGCGAGCTTCGTCTGAAAATCGACCGACAATGGCAAGACTTGCCTCCCCATTACCGCCTCACCACCAGCCTGAAAGATTGCCCACTCGGGCCTTTTGCACGAGACTTCCTCGCCGGAGCTCGTCTGGAATATCTTCATACGCACTTTCTCCTCGGTTTTCTATCCCAGCGCAAAGTGGCCGAACCCGATGAAGCATTGTTGAGGACTGCGAGCGAAATGCTCTCCATTGTGGTTGAGACGATCATCCTGCGGGATCGAATGGCAAATTCGGGAACGTGCCTCATCTGGAAGGTAAGAAGAACATGTATCTGTATTTGTCTGCTGTTGTAACCCAAATTTCTAACTATATAATTGTGCGTATTAGGTGGCTCAATACGGACTGCCAGCCGCGGGTATCATCTCCCTGGCCCTTCTCAACTCGACAGCCCCCGACTCACGGCAATTCTCCCGTTCCAAAATGATTCAAGCCCTCAGCGTCCTCGTTGCTGAAATCACCATCGGATCGTGGATCCAGCCTGGCGAGCCCAACTTTGCGCTCTTCTCGCAGGCAACAAGGACGATCCAGAGCTTGCTTGACTCGCTCACAGCGTTGAAGGTGCCCTCGGGGCCCAATGACTCCCAGCAGCTTCTCGGTTCCGAAGTCGCCGATAACTGGGATCCATACATCAATTCGCAGTCTTGGGAGCTTGAAATGGACTTCTGGGCTAGCTTGGCCGAGCATCCAACTCTGGCGAACTGATTACGTTCTTGGGATTATACACTGCAGTCAATTGGAACGCAGTAATCAATAGTCAACCACAACAAATCATGTTGCATTATGCATGGTATGGGGGGATTATATAGTCATTGAACTACTGTCTTTCAACCAAAGAAGCCGGGCACAATCACTCCCAACTTGCATACCCTGTGGCGATACTGGCCAGCCTCTCTTAATTCCCTCGTCAGCTCCCCTTAGACGGCCATCCTCGCCTCGTTCGCCTTGTTTTTTTCGGCGAAATAGGCTGCAAGCTTCTTGAGCAACCTTGGAGCATCAGCATAATGCATAAAGACCTCGATCAAGGTCAACCCTTTGCCCGCCTGGACATCCTTGCGCCCCCAAACACTCCGCAGCTCTCCCCAGTTCCTGGCCTGTGCTGTTATCATGGGGTACTCGGGATCATCTTCTGGCGCGCCGAAAAAGCTCGGGGCCAGAGTGTTCCTCCACGGCTGGATTTCGTTGTAGCTTTTCTTGAAGCCGTGAAGGACTCGCTCCACTGTGTAGCCGTCGTTGTTGATGACAATAATGGTGGCATCAAGCCTGTTCCTGATAATGTCGCCAATGGCCTGGACGGACATTTGCAGGCTTCCGTCCCCTATGAAGAGAATGGCCCTACCCGATGTGCGAGCGCCCTCCCTATGGCCCTCTTGACGCTGTTCTCGTTGAGCCAGAGCGGCTCCTTGCAGAGCGGGAAGCGTAAAGCCGATGGAAAGCCACAGACAGGAGTTGATCAGGATGGTATTTTCCGGGAGAATGAGCGTGTTGCCGCCCGCAAAGGGCGTCCCGGCCTCCGTCACGAGCAGGTCTCCGGGCTTGAGGTACTCGGACATCCGGAGCCAGAACTCGTCCTGCTTTATGGCATCGCCATCGGCAGCTGGCTTGAGGCTCTGCAGCTGAGTAGGCGAGAAAGAAGGACCCCTGGTGAATGGTTGAATTCTCGGCAGCTCCGTGGCCTTGAGGCGCTTGATCAGCTTCGTCATGAAGGACTGAATGTGGAGAGCACGGCCTTGGGGATCGGCCGCCTCTGTTCCAAATCTGACAGAATGACTCTCAAAGGTGACTGTAACCTCCGGCCGGGGCACAGAACTGAAGCCCATCGAATTGACGTCCGAGTACAACGGTCCGAAGCTCAGTACAAGGTCCGAGTCATCGATTTGCTGCTTGGTGGACTCGTCTCCAACGGCTCCTTCATAGCTGCCGTAATAGTTGGGCAGGTTCTCATTGACGACGCCTTTTCCGAAGGGGTGGGAAAGAGTAGGAAAGCCCGTCAAGCGTACAAACTCGTTGATTTCCTCATTGATGTGGAAGCGGGCGGTCAGTCCGTCCATGAGGATCACTGGCTTCTTGGAGCTCTGCATCTTCTCAACAAGCGTGTCCAGCACCTTGTTCTCGTACCCTTCGTCGTATGCGGGATGCGAAAGATCCATGGGTACCGTTGGAGGATGTACTTGAGCGTGGACCAGGTTGGTCGGAAGCAGGATGTAGACGGGCTGGCTGTTCAAGACACATGCCTTGAGGGCTGCGTCGACCAGGGCCGGGGCCGTCTCAGCGTCAGTGAGACTTGCCTGGGCCACAGTCAGGTACTTGTTCATCTCTGAAAAGGCCCTGTAGTCGCCGTTGCCCAGGGTGTGATGCATACACACCCTGGCCTTTTGGGCTGCCAAGGGGGGCGTTCCGACAATGTGCACGACGGGAGACCTTTCAGCAAAGGCGCCTCCAATGGCATTGATGGCAGAGAGCTCTCCCACGCCAAAGGCTGTGATGACGGCTGCTATTCCCTTGATTCTCCCATAGCCGTCGGCGGCGTATCCAGAGTTGAGCTCGTTTCCATTGCCGGCCCACGTAAGGCCCAGAGGCTTGATGTAGTCGAGGGCGGTGAGGTTGTAATCTCCAGGAACTCCGTGAATGGTCCCAACACCAAGCTGGATCAGCCGTCTGTAGATGTATTCTGCAAGGTCAATGGTGCCTTGGACTTCTAAGTCTGGATTGGCCATTCTGGTGATGATGGGAGTAATGCGCGGAGAAGTAGGTGGCGACCAAATCTAATCGAAGAAGCGGTTCAATTTCTGGATTTGTACGTAGCGATTCAAGAGTATCATATTCAACACTTCTCTGGTATCCGTCGTAGCCTTCACTTATATACTGTTTGATGCTCCTGTCATCAACGGCTGTCCGGGTCAGCCAGATCCTCCAAACTCCGCAACGTACCGACACAGGGCCATGAGACCGATCACTCCGGCGGTCCTAATTGGGCGGTTTTCAAGGGCAAAAGCTTGAAGCCGCGTGCTGATGTTTTTGGCGCAGACATCTTACACAAATTCAGGCGGAAGCTTGTTTGATTTGAGTATCAACTAAACCTCCCGTCAGATCACCGTATGCGATGACTGGCTAATGTTCCTCGGCAGAGGTAAGCCGACCTGTCAGACATGACCAAAGCGACAATCTTTCATGGATATGACAACCCCAAGCAAGATCTCATCCGAGTAAGATTACGTACCTTGGCTCCTATCTCAAAAAAGTATATCAGACGTGGCTTGTTCATATCGATTCTTCGATCCGAGGGAGCCAAGTCAGGACGACGGCATATAAGGATTCGCGTTCCACGCCGACACGATGCTTGACCTGCTTACCACCCAAAGTAGGTCTGAAACTTATAATACAGACAGCTGCTGTCAACTTTCAGCCACCCATTCAAGCCAGTGTTAAGCGATGTGCCGAATCCGGATGATTTGTTGACCAAAGCTCTTCCACGACAAAACAAGTTCAAGAAAGTGAAGCAAACGGACCGGTTGTCACGATGTAGATCATCGACACTGCTTATATCAGACATAGAGACAATTCTTCATATCAGTCTACACTTTGGCAAGATCAACACCGGTCAGCACTTGACTAGAGCTGTCCGTTCGGTGACCGGTCTTTGCCCTACTCTCCTACTCCGAAATCTCCGACATGCCATCTTCACTTCTCGTCAACAAGCACCCACACTCCAGTTGGTGTAAGACATGATCAGAATAAATGAGGCTGTTTCACTATCCGAGGAACTCGGAACCTCGCTTCATGTATTCCTGCCCATCCGCAACCACCGAGAACTCATCGCTCACGGCAAACTGGGATTTCAGCCGATTGCAAAACGTTGCCTTGTCTGGAGCCAGTCGTGCCTCATAGTCTGGATCTGCAAACGACCCGATGAGAGATTGCATATCCGGGAAGATGAACGTCGTGATGGCATCACAGTCGATGAAAGCGGCGTTTTCTCCAAAGGCAGAGCGAGTAGTTTCCTTCTCCGCCTATGTGTTGAAGTGCTAGCGAGGGAGAGTCAGCCGCCGCTCTTCACCTTCGACAACTCTACTTTGGCTCTATACGATCAATGAAAGGATTTGAACACAGAAGGCTTACAATTGAGTAAGCAAGAACTCCGTGTCGCCTGCAGACTTCAAGAGCCATGGGGGCGTGAATGTCGGTGTAATGCTGCCGAAACTCCTCGTCGCTGAGTCCCTCCTTCTTGGAGACGAGGAATGTCGCCTTGACGACGTTTCGAAATGTGCTAGCCATGATGTGTGTAAGATTCAATCAATGATGATAAGACCAGATGTATGAGCAACCGGAAACAATCTGGGTTGTATTTATACAACGCTCTGTCGGCTTGTTCAGATGATCTTTCGAAGCAGGTCAACAAGATCTATAGCACGACTCGAGCCCAAGATGTCTAGACTACCGAGATGGTCGTCATAGGGCAAGGAACTCCATATTCCTTCAGCACCTTTTCGTCAAGAAACAACTGTGTCAAACCTCTTCACCTTGCAGCGCTAACTTGTCAATCCCGCAATCGCCAAGCCAGTGCTTGATCAGATCAATCTGATGGGGAATTCCTCCACACCTTGGCTCCCGAGTCTGCGGATCTGGCTAACCTTCAAAAGGCTAGAATACCGAATCGTGACAGGGGACTCTCTGCTCCGTGGTCAGGAGGTTGAGCTCACAAAGGCTTAGACAGATCCATCAATAGGCTACCTAAGATGACCCAGGCCGGCCGCTTCCACGAGACTCGTGAGACGACACGAAATTTTCTTCGCGGCTGGATACATCTCCCGCGTTCCTGATCTCTCACGAAAACAACTTCCACACACGCTCGTTTCTAACAACCGTCGCAGAAGTCGGATTCGGAAGATTGACAGCTTGTTCAGCATCAGCATCAGCTCCCGCGCCTATCACTCTCTACTTCACTCTTTAAGAACATCACACCTAGATATCCCCCTTATACCCACAGCCGCAAATGGCCTCCATCGCCAAGACCCTCGCCGTCCTCGTCCTCGGGCTTGGCCTCGGCGCCTCCGCGACCGGCTCTCGCGGCGGAAGCCTCGACTTCTTCTCCGACGACAAGTGCCAGGACCTCATCAAGGCCGAGACGGCGCCCATCCCCCTCGACGTCTGCATGGTGGCGTCGCCGCTCGGCCGGCTGACGAGGAGCTTCCGCGTCGACCAGAAGCCGTACTGCCCCGACGGCAGCAGGCCCTCGCTGCTCTTCTACCAGGACTGCGCCTGCACCGACGGCGTCGCCAACTGGATCCCCAACGCAAACTACGGCGACTACGGCAACGGCTCGTGCCAGGCGGGCTGGGGCGGCGACTTTCTCATGTTTGTGCTGTCCTGCGGCGAGTTCAAGGAGCCCGTGCGGAGCGTCATCTCCTTTGCCGCAACGTTTCCGTCGCCGTCTACCTCGACGAAGCCCGTTGGCTGTCCTCCGCTCACCGGCGACGCTTCGGCAACAACTGCTTCCGGCTCTGCTGCTTCTGATACTGCTGCTTCTGCTACCTTTGGCAGCGCCGAGGCAACCTCCACGACGGACTCCAACTCCGATTCCAGCTCCTCTTCACGCCAAGACGGTGACGACTCTTCTTCTTCATCATATTCCATCCCCTCTACGGCGACAGGAACAAGGACAAAAGGTGCCTCGGCAACAGGCACACATTCTCAAGCGGCTGCAACGACGACGTCGGCCGCGATTGGGAGATACCACGAGATGGGGGCTCTGTACTTTATGGGCTACGCTGGAATCTTTGGTCTTGTTTCGTACTTTACACTCTAGACGCAAGGGTGTGACTGTTGATGAATGATAACTAAGAAAATATAAATGGTATAATGTCATGATAGGATTACTATAGTGTATTGAGTGATCAAGTCTAGTCGTGTCTTGGAGAGATGCTGCCTGATAACATGCATGCCCGGATTTTCCCATGTAGTCCCATAATTTCCGTTGAGGTCGTGATTTGCCCGTGTATGTCTTTCGCAGGACTCATTTGCAAAAGAGCAAGTTTATTCGTTCACAGTCGTGGTTCCGTGATTCTGCTTCTCTCCGTTGCGATGCTCCCGGCCATGCCTCCTGCTCTCGTCGAGGATGAAGAGCGTCGCTACCACCACGCCTAGGCTGCTGAGGCCAATGCCCACATAAAAGGCGCTTCTGCAGCCCCTCAGAATCTCTTGCTCCGACTTTCCGGGGCTTATCTGTGATTGCACGGTGCCTGCGATGCCGAGGCCTATGGAGATGGAGTAGTTGATGACGGTGTTGACGAGAGAGGCGGCAAGGCCTTGGTGTTCCTTCGGCAGAGCTTCGCTGAGGATGATGGTCGCGGCTGGGAAAGACATGTCCCTAAAATCATATGGTTAGCAAGGTGATATGCAGGCAGGCGTTTCGACGAAGAGGCACAAGAAAAAAACGTACATTCCCCAGGGCATGACGACGACGGATACAAACGTCTGAGCCCAGTATATCTGATGGGCAGGCACCGTCGCGACCAGGATACCCCCGACAGTGAACGCCGTCATCGCCATAAACATGACAAAACTTGGCCGCAGCTTTCCGAGAATAAGACCGGTCGTGAAAGCAGCGCAAGCCCCCGAAACTGCTGCGGCGCTGAACTGTGCGCTCCCCTGGAGAGGACTATAGCCTCTAATCTCTTCAACAATTTGCCACAGATAGAGCAGCCAGATGCCGAAGCTGGACCATCCAGCAGCTATGCAAGCAAGCACGAAGCCCAAATGGCCGCTGAATACTTTTGTCGGTAGTAGAGGATATGCCGCGCGGGTTTCGAGCCATGCAAAAAGGCCTAGGAACAGGAAGCCGATGATGAGAAGTACATAGACGTACGGAGTGCTCCAGCCAGCCACGGGGGCCTGATTCCAAGCAAAGTTGACCAGAACCAGTCCCGTGACGCCTGCAGCAGCCCCGGGGACGTCGATAATCTTCCACAGCGGTGCATGCGACCGCACGCCTGCGGCACCAGGAGTCCGTGGAATGATGATGATGCCAGCAATTGCCACAAGGGCGCAGACCATGGCCATGACAAAGTATGCCCAAGGCCACCAGACGAACTGGGCAAAGAGCGACGAGAATACGGCCCCCAGGACGAATCCTCCGGGGGCAGTGGCACCGAACAAGCTGAAGATCATGGACTTTCTCCTGCCGGGAGGGTATGTGCGGCCGATGATGGCCACCGCCGAGGGCACAGCAAAGGCAGGGCCCATGCCCTGGAAGGCTCTGCACACGTCGAAGAAGACAATGGACCTGGACCAGACGCTGACGCCGGCCACCAAGCTCCAGAGACCGTACCAGCTGAAGCCGACGACAAAGATGGTCTTGTGGCCAAAGAGGTCACCCAGCCGGCCGGCAATGAGGATAAAGGTGCCCACGGTGAGACTGTAGGCCGCGGGCATCCAGCTTAGCTGCCCTGCATCTTGCGTGCCGAAGCTGTTGCCGATGATGTGCAACGGGGCAATGCACTGGGCCAGTCCGGCCTGGGCCAGCAGCTGAGCCAGGCATAGAGTGATGATGAACGGAATCTCGACGGCCAGAGACTGGGGATGCGGGACGCTGCTGGGAGTGAGCTCGAGTGCGAGTTCGTGGGATGCGGCCGTCTGCGAGGTTGACAGCTGCGATTCCAGGTCGGGGTCTCTGCCCGTCTCCTCGTCACGCCGCGATTCTACGGAGATTTTGTCCATGTCGTCGAGCGGTCCCGGCTGATGGCGACCCGGGTCCTCGTCCTGCACATAGTCGGAGGAGGCTAGAACGCCATCATCGCCGCCGGCGCGTCTAATACCATCGGAAGCCATTCCGGCAGTCTCGTCCGTCAATGAAGCCGGGGGATGATGAGACAGGGCGAATCCGAGGCAGTTGCTGCAGTTTCAGACATTGCAAAGCAGACAGAATTGCGCTGTTCAGGGTTTTAGGAGAAGCAAAACTCACGAGTGGAGGATCCATGCAGTGTTATACCATCGGACCCTTTTCGTCATGCATGCTGAGAAATCGCTGACCAAACAGATGAAATCAGTGGAAATCCATCTGCTCTGCTGGTTTTTGGCCCACTTCATGATCGCCTCCTGAGTAATGCTTCCGCACGAACCGCACTAGCCGCAGCGCCCGCAGCAGCCGCACTACCCGTTTCGCAGGACTGCCACATGGAGGCCTTTGGCACGACGGCTTCATCGCCTTTGCCTCTGGTGACTGTCGGTTCTCTTTTGATCATTGAGTGCTTCTGGCGGATATCGGCCGTGACGAGGATGATGGAGGATGGATGGATGGATGGACTAATGAATAAATAGAGCGGGTGTCTTCGGGAGCTATTGCAAGCCATCAGTCGCATCCGAGATCTAAACTAGGAAGTTGACCGCGAGTCAGCTTATACTGGCTTTGACCTGTTTCTGAAGGGTACGGGGAGAAACCTCTTCACGAAGAACAGGTAGGGAGAGAAGCCAAGAAACCATCAAGTTCATCACGTACCTCGACCACAATGAAAGCTCTACAACTGCTCCGCGAGACCGTCAGCGAGACCCCTCGCCTGATCTTGAGCGACCTGCCAAAGCCAGCCATCATACCCAACCACGTTCTCATCAAAATCCACGCCTCAGCAATTCACCCGAGCGACGTTGGGAACGCTTCAGGTTTCTTCCCATACACGCAATATCCTCGTGTTGTCGGGAGGGACTATGCAGGAGTTGTCGAAGAAGGGCCTCGCGAGCTTGTTGGACAAGAGGTATATGGCACTAGCGGTCACTCGTACGCCTTTACCAAGGACGGTTTCCAGGCGGAATACTGCCTGATACACGAGGACGAGATTGCTTTGAAGCCGGAAACCCTGACGTTTGCCGAGGCAGCCACAGTGGGCGTTCCTTTCACGACAGCCTCGCAAATGGTCGAGAGGGCAGCAGTCACAGAGTCCGACACGGTTCTTGTTCTAGGCGCCAGCGGAGCCGTTGGATCTGCTGCCAGCCAGCTCGTCGAGAATATCGGCGCGAGAGTCATCAGGGCGACCCGAGACGAGTCGGGCCAAGTGAATACTGACAAGGACCCCGAGCTGAACACCCTGGATGCTCTGACGGATGGCAAGGGGGTGGACGTCGTCTTCGATACTGTTGGATCTCCTGCCCTGACGGTTAACGGACTGAAGAAGCTGGCCACAAGCGGCCGTCTTGTCTTTATCTCAGCGCCCAAGTCGGGCGTTCGAGATCTCAACATCGATATGCGCGACTTTTACCGCTCAGACTTGAGTCTTTTTGGTTGCAACTCGCTGAACCCTTCGGCAAAGGAAATGGCACGGCGGTTGAACGCCATCACGAAGCTGTTTGAATCTGGAAAGCTGAAGCCCGATGGCAGATGGACGCCGGTGCACCTTGACCAAGCGGTGGAGGCGTACGACAAGTTGCGGAAGAAGGCAACGAGGGAAAAGTACGTCATTGTCATGGAGTAGGAGGAGTGCTATAGTATCGATCTGGGAGGATGAGTGATGAATCACGAAGGGCGAAATTCTCTACCTGCGAGAGGCAGCAGCAGAGTACAAAGATGAATGAATGAGAGTATATCGATTAGCAAGCGAAATTTCGACCAGCACTTTTTGCCTCGAGGTGCAGGCACGTCCATGAATCACTGATGTCTTTGTCCTGCTTTCAAGAGTCTAGCCTGTGTTGAAAACTACCTTAGATTGAACAAAATCGTATGAAACGCTGCATTTGCATTCTGCATCGTCTACCCTTGTCCCAATGTTCAATGCATTGATTCAGCAGTAACTGATGTTCAAGGACCTATCACACCCCATAGCACAGGAGTGCAGGGGTGATCCACCCTAGCAGTGGTGGGATAATGCCTCCATGTCCATCAGTTTCAGCTCCGGCTGTGAACAAAGCTGTGGTTCAACTTATGTCGCCAGTCAGTGAGAATTCTTTCTGCCTCTTTGTTCCCCACGCTTGGTACCTGATCTATGGACTAGGTAGGTATATCAGAAATCATGTCTCCTTCGGGTCCATCATATACTTGTACTTTCCAGGTATCGAGGTCAAGCGGGATCGCTACGTCAGCTCCAGAGCTGCAGATTGATAAGGCTCAAGCCAATCGCTAAACCTCCGACTTCTGCGGGCGGCAATCCTACCTGAGTCAAGTCAAGCGCTGGTCGAGAAAGCCCACAGCTCCCGATACACACCCCCAAACACCATCGCGGAAACACAACCACATCCCTTTATTACCTTCTCCTTATGGTTATTGTCCGGTAGCGGCAGGCTAGCAGTGCAGTGCTGGGACGATCGGACAGCCAGCAACCCGCAAATGGCACCCAATGATAGCGAAAGGCCATCCCCCATGGCCTTCCCGATGTGAAACAGCTGAGATGAGCGGCTTTTGTCGAGGCACCAAAAGCCTCTCTCCCCCATTGGGCCGGGTCTTTTGCAATCTCAAAAGCAGGCAGGGACTTGTGTCACCATCAACATTACAGACGGAGAGCTCCGTACAGTTGCCGGCAACTACCGATTGACGGACTCCAGGCGGTTGTCGCACTTTGCGCGTTGTTGAGATACTAGTAGCAGCATGCGAGCAGTCTCTACTGTATGATAGCCCCTCTCCATCATTGCGACAAGGGAGCAAAATAAACTGGAACCCTCACGATGCCGGAATTCCGTCCACAGAGCAGACCGCCTTCCCGGCTCGGCCTATCAAGACTGTCGGTACCGAATAAGGGCACCGAGCTCAATCAAGAAGGTCCCCTGGCATCGAGGGGACGTTTGTTCCAACCAGTGAAGTCTTCACGTGGAGGGAGAGCGATGGGCTGGTCAAACGTGGCGTCGAGGCCACGGGGGCCAGTCGCCGAGCGTGATTGTGTGCCGAGAGGGTGCCGGTATGTACGTGTGGAGAGGAGCTGTGGAGGATAGCCGTGGCCGACGGGCTGCGGAGGATCGTCTTTTAGGACGAGGGGCCGTGGAGGAGCGCCCGGGAAGAGATTGAGAGCTTGGACCTGCCCAACAGGGGAAGACAAAGCTTGGGATCTGGATCTGGAGGGGTGCCGTTGTTGAAACGGAACGGGCGATCAAAGGCGAGATCGACGGATATATAAAGATGGAGACATGTCCGTGCGGTCCCTGACATATCGTGCTTCTTCGTTCTCGTCTTGTCCTACAACTTAGCCCGACCCTCGTTCTTCAGCTTCCTATTTTCCCTCCAGACTCCCCTCCCCTTTCCAAAATGGTCAGCTTCAAGGTGTGTAATGTCCCATCTCGAGAGAATCAGGGTCCAACCGTCCACACACAGCTTGCTAAACTGACTGGCTGATAACACAGTCTGTTGCCTTCGTCTTCGGCCTTGCCGCCAGCGCCTCTGCCGCGGCCATCGACAGCAGCCTGGTCGACAAGCGCGCTTCTTGCGTGTACACCTGCGGCTCCGTCTGCTACTGGCAGTCCGATATCGACGATGCCCTCGCCAAGGGATACAGCCTGTACAAGTCTGGTGACGACGAAGGTCCGTTCTACTATACCTACTCTCTTGCACAAGCCATGGGGCAGTGCCGGTGGTGCTGTGGACAGTTACCCCCGACGTAAAGTACGGTATGTGCTAATGGAAAAAAAAAACATTCAGACTCCTACCCTCACCAGTACAACGACTATGAGGGCTTCAAGTTCCCTACCGCTTCCCCCTGGTACGAGTTCCCGATTCTGTCCTCCTTCAAGGTCTACACCGGCGGCAGCCCCGGACCCGACCGAGTCATTTTCGACTCCAAGGGCAACTTTGACTCCGTCATCACCCACACCGGTGCCAGCGGCGACGACTTTGTTGCTTGCAAGAAGGATTAAGGAGACGAGTGCCTAGATCTGGGCTTGGTCCAATGTAGGAGGGAAAGAAAAGCCAAAAGGAGGAGTCACTGACACTGTGCCTCTATGTGTGTACTGGCAGAATTGTACATTTGCATTGCACAGACACACTATGTACTTATGTATGTACTGCAATTTAGCAAGCCTGCCTTGTTTCTCATCAAAATATACCATTCTTCTTTCATCTAAACATCTTCAAAACATCCTAGGGCATGGTTATGACCTTGTCTTACAGACAGAGATCTGTTCGGCTTGTTCAGATTCGTCTGCGTGTGTTCCGTCGCCCGTGTCAAAACTCAATGACTATCTTCCCGACAGCACCTCCATTTCTCATGTATTCAAAGGCTTCTAATGACTTGTCGAAGCTAAACACTCGGTCGATGCATGGCTCGAGCTTGAAATGCGGCTGTTTGACAAAGTCGAGCAAATCTTCCAGATCGCCTTTTGACCCAACCTGAATGCCCCTGTCGAGGAGAGTAGAAAATGTTAGCTTCACGTCGCAGTCAAGCAAGGAATATTGCACCGCTTTCGACTTACACAATGCTGCACTTCCTGATGATGAGCAGCTGGACCAGACGAAACATGTCTCCGTGACCGTGTCCCGATAGAAATCCGACTTGAGAAATCTGGCCCTCTCGCTTCACTGACTGTACGCTCTGCAGCAGCGTTTGAGCCCCCCCTTGTTCGACGACAATGTCGACTCCGAGGCCATATGTGAGGTCCAACACTTGCTGTTCCCAGTTGGGATTCTGCTTGTAGTTGATGACGTGGGAAGCACCGAGCTCTCGCGCGCGCTCTAGCTTGGCATCGGATGAAGATGTGGCAATAACAGTGGCACCGGCTTTGGCAGCAAGGCTGAGCGCTATGATGCTCACGCCTCCGGTCCCTGTAATCAGAGTCAGCAATCAATATACCTACTAGGTAGCTCTGTCAGGCTCACTCTACCTTGAACAAGCACCTTCTTTCCCCACAGATTGTTTGTCTTGATATTCAGGGCTGACCAAGCAGTGACACCAGAGCAGGGCAGAATGCTGGCCTGGACGCACAAGAAGTGTCAGTACAGTATTGATCTTCTCAGAGGAGACAACGAGAAGCCTACCTCAGCCCATGACAAATTGTCGGGAAACTTGACCAGTTCGACCTCTGAGAAGACAACGTAGGTAGCCAGGGTTCCGTCGACACCCTGGCCCGGGGCTGCCATGTGTCGTTAGGGAATCAGCATTCGTCCTAGCAATAGCAAGCTAAAGGTGGCTGGCTGATAGTACCCATACCTCTGGCTGTTGATTCGCGTCCAGTGATGTTATCCAAGTTGTGAATAGCAACGACTCCGTCGCCGATCTGGGTGAGCGCAGGGAGTATAAGCGGTGGTCAAGAATCGAGTATTTCCTCTAGGCCATGTACCTTGAACTTGGCAACCTTTTCTCCAACCCAAGCAACCTCGCCTGCAACATCCGCGCCCATGATGATGTTAGATGGCACTGGCCAGGGGAACTTATCATCCAGCATAGCCAAGTCCTTGTAGTTGAGCGAAACAGCGCGAACCCTGATCAACACATCGGATGAGCCCCGAGAAGGTATGGCCTCGTCGACAAACTTGGCTTCTCGGGGGCCGATTCTTCGGAGGGCTTTTCGCGTCTGTGGTATAATGAAAGCGGGCATGGTTCTTTCCATGAGAGTTGAGAGACACTACGGCAGTTGTACAGCGAAGGCTCCTGAGCAGATGGGTATATGTAGGTTGTCGAGGTTCTGGAGTGATAATCGAGTAGTTAGCAGAGAGAGAGAGATCATTCATAGAACAGGCAGACTAGATGTGTCTATACCTACATTTGGGACCTCCTCGGCAGGTAAGCATCGATGCCAACCACCAGCACCGCACCTACTCATCGTCGTTTGCCTGCTTATTCCGTAATTGGTGTGGGAGCGTTTGTCATTTGTCAAGTTATTTGCAGTCTACATAGACGTCGACTGGAGACTAAGCCCGCTGATAGAGTGAGAACTGGTCCGCAGAAACTGCACTGGACTCCAGACGACTCCGCGAGCTTGCTTTGAAATCGCCGGTGGCAGAGAGCATTACTAATGGCTTCGTCCATGTCCGGGCACCAGTGAAAGGGAACTTGACGCTTCTAATTTGTCTTTGGATCTTGTCCAACTCCCCAGAATAGCACCAGCCGGGGCCTTTAGAGTGCTCTCCACCAGCAACTCCGCCGCTGTGGAGAGGCTTGAATAGTGGCCGACGGATCTCGACAGGGGTGCGGCCGCACCCCCCACATGTCTGAATTGCCCGAATCAGAGCGCGAGGAAGGGAGCTCATGAAGCTCGATGGAGTAATTGCGAAAGGGGGCGCATGGTGGCAGCGTGCAGAAGCTTTTGGTCGAAGCGCCGGTCGATGGGATAGATGATGGGAGGTGTTGGCTATTTAGGAGTTGAATTCGCGTCCAGTTCCCATAGGTTCCATACCTAAGCCTGAGAGTGTCTGCAGCCTTATAGGGGGACCGGCAGCTGTTACAGCGGGTGCAGGTGCTATAATTCAATGAGGTGGTTGAACGCCCTGTTACCTTAGGTACCTTAGTTTTCAACGTGGTCCAACGTATGGGCAGGGCATGTAGGAAGCATCCATATCGATTCACGATGACTCCGTGTCTACCTATTTGGCATATGCCTGGTCAAGACACCAAGAACGTGAACCACTCGCAACGATTTACATCAATCAGAACCTCGATACAATCTGTTTCGACAAGTCTACACATTTCCCCCCGTGCATTTACGGCCATCCGATCAGACCCATCGTCAGCTGCGGACCACTTCCAAACTCCTTTGCCTTGTCCTTGAGCTCCTCAACGTCCCAGTTTGCCCACAGAAATCGGCCTCGAAGGCCCTCTGACTCGGAGCTGGCACACCAGACTGCAAAATTGCCAGGGAGAAAAGCTGTTGAAAGTGGTCAGTCATCCAGGTCAGCCTGTTCATTCTGCAGTGGCCGTGACACTCACCATCGTCCATTGTAGGCCTTGGGATGCCCGAATCAAACGACTTCTGCGACATGCTGCTCTGCACCACGCCGGGGTGGAACTGCAACACCCTCAGCTCCGGGTTCTCGAAATGCAGATAGTCAAAGAGCTTGACCGCAGCCAGCTTGGAGCCGTGGTAGCTGCTGGAGCCCGGAACAAAGGGGAGCTGGGCAACCGAGCTTGTCACGTTGATGAGCGTCGCGTTATTCTCGGCCAGAGGCACAAAGGCTCGGACGAGGTTGAACTGCCCTCTCACGTTGACCTCGAACCCGGACCACCACTGAGACGCATCAGATGCCAGCACCGTCCCAGCGTCAGGCAGGACACCGGCGTTGGCAACGAGAATGTCGAGCTTCTTCCCCGCGACGGACGCAAACTTCTCCAGCGCGGTTCGCACAGATGCTTCGTCGGCAACGTCAGCTTTGACGACGTACACGTCTGTTGTAGGATATGTAGCGTTCACAGCCTGCTTGCTTTTCAGCAGGGCGGCTTCTGTGCGTCCCAGGAGAGCGATGCTCGAGGCACCTGACTGGGCAAAGCTCAGAGCCATGGCGGTTCCGATTGCGCCGCCGCCACCAGTGATGACAACATTCTTCCCCTGGGTAGACAGCTCGGGACGTGTAGGGGCGATTGCCGCATAGGGCTCGTGGTGATACTGCTTGGTATAAGTGGGAAAGCCTCCGAACTCTGGCATTGTGGGCGTCTTGGAATCAAAAGATTTCTTGTAGCTGGAATATATAAGCGTAAAGGAGGTTTTGCCTACTCCTTTTCTCGTCTGACAATAAAAAAGACTATGGCATCGGGTACCATGGTGCCCTTATATACCCAGGTAGTAAGCTGCAAATCATTGAGACTGTTCTCAGCGTCCCTCCGGCCAGCTGCCTACTGCACCATTGTCCCTGCGGACAATATTAGAAATCAAAGAAGCAATACTAATCACACCGGACCCTTGCTGCATTCGAATGCTGCGTCAGTCGGCGCCCCGATGCCACAAAGCTCCCAAGAGTGGCTACAAGAAGAGCACGAAGCCGCCTAACAGTTACTGTTTCTGCACCTGATGCCGTGGACAAGCTGCAAGGGGGTCGGCCAATGGTCTACCTACCTATGCATGCATTGAAGGGAGCGGCGCAGCCTCTTCTGCACTCTGCCGTGGACAGCAGCCAATCCGCAGTGGCCACTCCTCCTACATCAGGCATAGTCGTACAGCAGACAAGCAGGGGGGGGGGGGGGGGGGGGGGGGCAGCCGCAGCTTCTCAACTCCAAGTCAGTTGAAGCTGAGCAATCGGGGAAGAACGATCTGAGGCTTCTCGTCGTTCCTACCTTACCGTACGCCATCCGACATAGGGCAGAAACCCTCTCCTTCCAAATTACAAACCCATTCCTCGTCGCCCACATACCTACCTCTACCTACCTTACCTTACCTACCTACTAACCTACTTACCTGCTCACACACTAGACATGCAGACGGCCTCAACATTACCAACCATTCACTGAACCTACTCCGCACTGCAAGAACCATCCAAGATGCCGCCAGAGGCATCCCCCGAGCCCAAGGCGTCCAGGGCTTGCCGCCACTGTCGTCTTTACAAGCGGGAGTGCGACCAGAAATTGCCCGGTTGCTCGACATGCTCCTCGTAAGTGCCCAACAAAGTGAATCATGGACAGGCCATCGTCGTGTTCGTGTATATGCAGGGGAGTAGATGGGATGCTGATTCTTGGTTTGTGTGATCCATCAAAGCAAATGGACCATTTGCGAATATGACGACGACTACGTCCCCATCGAGACGGGCGAGGCTGACACGGAGCTCCTGTGGAGCGAGCCCCTTGCCGTCGAGCGCTCTTTGTGCGGCCTCGAACTCACTCCGGCAGGCGAGGAGCAGCTTGTGTGGTCTGTGACTGCTGCCACAGGGCCATTCGAACCTGCGCCCGATTCCAACTTTTTGATGGAAATCGTCAAGGACATCTTCTCCTACGGCGGAACTTCCGTGGATCAGGTCATCGCTGATTACTTTACCAATGTACACGAATGGATGCCCATTGTTGACAAGCCAATGGTCGTCTCCGCGCTGCAGTCCATTCGTTCCACGGGCCGCACGGGAACCAAGGACGACGCCATGGCATTGCTTCTCTTGTGCATGGACATGATGAACCATCACTGCCACCACTCGGAGCATGGCGCGAACAGTATGCTCTATCGGGCAACGAGGCGGCTGTTTTCTCTCGTGGAGACTTTGGGCCGTTCAGGCCTGCTCGCAAAACTTCATGCTGGCCTGCTGCTGACGGCGTATGAGTGTGGACACGGGATGGCTGCCGAGGCTTGTTTGACTTTGGCAACGTGCGTTGGCCTCGTGCGGCAGCTGGACATGTCTGCTTCGCGGAACCCTAGCACGGGCGTGGTTTCTTTCGATGCCAGACGAAACATGTGCTGGGCCGCTATTGTCTATTTAGATCGGTTGGTTCCCCTCCCCCCTTTGCATCATGTTCATTCTCTACTTCTTGATCACTTGTCAAGTGCTCTGCTAATACGATGGTAGAGCCATCGCCCTCTCCTGCCCGAACGGCACTGCGACCCTGCTCATTCCGACGAGGGCATCCCTGCCGAAAGATGTCGTTCCCTACGTGGCCGAAGTGCATCATGCTGCCGGTAACGACATCGAGATCAAGTTCAAGGCAAGAGTTTCAGCAGCGCTCTGCATCGGCGAAGCTATAGCATCCAACCATGTTGTTCCCGATGCTCGAGACTGCGCGATACTCGAGAGGCTCATCCACGATTTCGTTCTTCGACATGGACCGAGCTCTGACAACAAGGACGACGAGGACGACAAGGACCTGTATCCGGTGTCCGAAGTCATAGCCATGGGATTGAGGTGTGTCTTCATGCGTCTTCAACGTCTTCCGACGAGAGTCATCCTACTAACGAAGATCCAGCGCTGTCGTGTCACTGTACAAGAGAATGGTCCAAAAGCTTGGGTCGACTCCCGACGCGAAGCTCAGCGTCGACTTCAAGTTCGCCTATGACATAGTGTTCGAGATGTGTCGAGTCGAAGGCGCCCTCATCCAGACGAGGAAGGAGACGCACGGCCGCCGGCTGTGCTTCTCTGGACTCAGCTGCCTGTACCGTGCAGCCATAGGCCTGGATGAGATTTCTCCTGATGGGGCCTTGCCCCAGGATGCCAGGCAGTTGCGAGATAACCTCAAGTGGTTTTCTCAGCACTGGTCCATTGCTAGTAAGTCTGAACCTCACCTCTGTGCGAACTCAACGAGTTGTTGGAGAGACAATGCTGATCTATAACGATGGCAGACCAGTTGCTTTGGCAACACACTTGCAACATGCGACAGAGGGCTCCCTATCATCCCTTCTAAGAGGGGTCCCAGTGTCGGGTTCCTGTCATTATCGGGGCCGTTTATTCTTTTTGGGAGAAATGAGAAAGAAACAAGGCTTTCGAAGCCGTTAATGAATCAGCCATTGTTGGACCATGTTTGTCACGAGCGGGAAAACGCCAGGCTTCTTACGACCAAGTCGTGCCCGAGAATGTACCAGCAGAAGCTGTCTTCCCCCCGTCACTTGCGAACGAAGTATGTCCAAATGTCTATTACAGATGTACCTTATGGTATGTAGGTAGCTTTCAATAGACTTGGACTTGAGATCCTAGAAGATGCTGCAAATCATCCAAGTGCATCATGCTGCTGTAGTCCTCGGTACCTTATCTTCTCACTCGGCCGTCTGCAAAACAAAGGCCTGACGGCGCCATCTACCACCCTCCAGTCACCATATAGGACAGCCCAGGCCTCGCATCAAAAATCACCCAGTCGGTTTCTCCCACCAGAGCCACCCATACAGGTCCATAACCTACTAGTATTCAACAGCATTTGCGCCTCTCCTCGTCATGCTGCTTCTGTGCACATTCCACGCCTCTTGCTTCACCGTCACTTCGCTACAAATCAAAGGCAGGCATGAGCAGCTTCTTTCCCTTCTTTCACCGCCGCGCCACAGCAATCAATTCCGATTCGCCCTCGTCACTGCCGCAACTGCCAGAAGTCTTTCCTTCCCCAAAGCTAACGACGAGAAAAGTGGGGTGATGCGCTGTGGCAGGAGCTGTCAAAGCTGAAAAGGTCCCTGGAAAGACTGGCAGGAGCAGCCCAGCGGCAGTGACTTGCTGACGAAGGAATCCTGAGCTGCCCCCCCGACCTCATTCTCCTTTATCCCGTTTCTCGGACCTCTCAGGATTCCCTCACTCTGCCCCAAACCCTCTGCAGTTGATGGGGCTTCTCGTCAGCATCCTCATTGCCCTATCAGCACATTCATCCATGGTGTATCTTTCTAGCACTGCCCTAGTTCCCTAGCCCTTTTCTCAGCATCCTCAGCATTCGCCGCCATGGCGCAACTCCAAGATCCTGACCAGGACCAGGACCAAGACTCGCTGACCCCGGCTCCTGAGTCTCAGCCGGCGGCCCAGCCTCAGCAAGCGCAGCCGCAGGCGCAGAAAGGTCGCATACGTGCCAAGAAAGCGTGCATAGAATGCCGCAGACGCAAGCGCAAGTGTGACGGCGTCTTCCCTTGCTCCATGTGCACCCACTATCAATACAACTGCGGATTTGACGGCGAAATCGTCACCAGTGGCCTGCAGCAGAAGAGACCCCATGATGCGCTCCTCGAGCCTGGTGAGGGTTCCCAAAACGCCTCGGAGACGCCCGAGGAGACCGGCCGCCCATCCCCCCTCGTCCGCGGCATCATTGAGCCGGCCAAGCGGCGTTATATGAACCAGAACTCAGCAGTGGCCTTTCCAAACCAACTCGGCGTCGAGCTTGAGTCGGCTCATCCCCCACGACTTCATTCATTTGCCTGGAACTGCGGCATTCGTCCGGAGGAGCCTGGCTCGATTCATGCCCCCCTGACGGACTACGTTACCTGGGAGGAGTGCAGACACTACACGGACATCTACTTCGCGACGGTGGGTGTGCCCTTTCACCTGTTCGACAAGGACGAGTTTCTGCAGCAATGCGACACCTACTTCAACAGGCGCAATCAGGATCTGATTCTCGGTGCCTTGATCGGAGCCGTTGTGTCTCTTGGCTCTCTTTTTGCCTTTCGTGACGGCCATCATCTGGAGCCCCAGATCGTCAAGCATGTCAAGGACGTCCTGGAAGACTCGACTTTTAGTCGTCGCCCCTCCATTGACCAGGTCAACGCGTGGATCTTGCGGACTCTCTATCTCCGCTCGACAACCCGACCTCATCTCACCTGGCTTGCATCCTGCACCGTCATGCACCTGGTAGAGGCTGTTGGTCTTCACCGGGACCTTGAGTCCGACCTTGTCACCCAAAGCGGCGAGACGCGGGCCCGGGAGGACGAAGGGAGCAAGAGGACCTTTTGGCTTGCTTGGTGCATCAATACCATTATCGCGTACGAGTACGGCCGTACAAAGATTCATTTTGATGGCGAAGACTCTAGGCCAACCCCCTTCAACGACACGAGCGAGACTGGCCTCCAGATACGCATGGCCAGAATCTTGCCTAGTGAGAACGCCAACGCCGACGCCATGGCTGTCAGCAAGTCACTTGAGGGTGCCATTCAGAAGCTTGTTGACTTGGGAGACGTCAGGGGCTTTCCCGCTCTTACCCGAGGAGATCTCTGCTTCTGCCTCTACCGTCGCCTGCGCCTCCTCAAAATCAGCATCAGCAAAGACACCTTGTCCCACATTCTCCAGATAGGACAACACGCTGTCGATGCAGCCTACGATCTGGCACAGCGAGGCGTCCCGTGGTGGAATGTCTTGGGCACCACTTTCCAGTTCTTCTGCGTTCTGCTCGCCATCGACAACCGTGACAGCCTCACCCAGGTCTCGTGGGTCCTCTCCAGACTTGACGGCATCGTGCAGATACTCAACACACACATGGCCTTTGAAGCATTCGAGACGGCCAAGACGCTGATGAGAGACTTGCTCGTCAAGAAGAGGCAAGAGGTTGCCTTGCTAGAGATGTCGGAAGGTAGTGACATACCGTTCTCTAACAGGGAGCTCACGCCTGACTGGGACATGATGTTGAATCCGTTTTACACGACTGGGGGCTTCAACTTTAAGGATTTCGGAGTCTGACCTTGAGCCGGACGTCATGTACAGTGTGAGTCAAGTATGGCGGCCTGAAGTGCGAAATTTGTTGGTTGTGATACGGACTATGAGGCAGGTATGAAGCATGGATTATGAAATTCTTCGGTGGAAGCATGGAATATGAAGCAGGTATGAAGCATGGGGCACGAAATCTGTGGACATGAAGAAAGCAATCATCATCAAAGACTGCATTTGGGGCGAATCGGAATATGGAGTACGAGAATTTGCTGCGATTTTACTCCACGGGTCATGTTTGTAACGAGGTTAATGGTGCACAAGAAGAGCAGAGATTAAATTGACACGAGCGTTATAACTTTCCATGTATGGTCTCTCCGCTGCTTTCTCCAGGCAGACAGGTGTCGATGCAGAAAACTTTGGTCTCGTACTTCCAGCCTTCTTACCCAGCTCCGATGGTCGCCTAAGCTTGACAGGCAACATCGAGGCCGCATGCTTCTTCAACGGCGCTTTGTTACGAGTTCAGTCCATGCTGCATCTTCAAGGTCAGCAGCATCAGGCAAGCCACATTATAGCAAGCTTTGATGATTGAGGGAGACGGACCTCCCGATCTGTCAGTCAGCAGCGTAGGCTCCAATCCTCCCCAACAGCATACCTTGCTAAAAGATCCAGACCAGGTTCCAAGTCAGCGAGCCCTCTTCTACGAACTCAAGTTACTCGGTGACTATTCGACGATACGCTCTCTTTTCGATCGGAAGCGGCGAATGCCGGCTCAATGTCCTCAGCGAAACAAGCATTCTCCTCGCAGGACCCTCTTTACGGTCCTCGCCCGTATGCCGTCTATCGAAGGAGTCATCGATTATGACTATTACCTATTACTACGGATTAGTTGAAGAAGAAAAGAGGAATGTGGCAGCATGCAAGACGCTCGAAGCAGTCTCTAGGCTTCCATCCCCAGGAGCCTTTTGACGAGATACGTGTAGGACTGCCGTCTAACCAACGACCATCCTCGTCCGAGACGCTCCATCTACACTTTACTATCCAGACCATACCATTGTGGCAGTTGTCAAGCGGCTACAAAAGGGAAATTGCAAAACAACAGGTCTGTCAACACAACCCTTCTAAGCCATCAACCACTCTGTGTGCTTACGGTGACAGGGGTCCTGACTGCCGATGCCATCCATGCCCACACAGAAGATTGAGGCTCTGTCGACTGCCTGCCACTAGCCCCAATTCCCACCCCCCCGGCACAATCCTGCTGGTTTTACGATCCGATTGATTACACGATCTGGTTGGTTGCAATCGAGTCAACACCATTACCTTTTAAGTATCCGAAATGCATCCAAACCCGACAAGTCTTCAACCTTCCCATGATACCCACCGCAATCCATTGGCCAGTCTCGGATCGTCGTTCTTATACCCCCCCTCCCTCCCCCCACGGCAGGCCATTTGTTATCGTCACCCCTTGACCAGACCAAACAAAGAGAAAAGATTGAGAGAACGAAACCTCCTGATTCGTCCTTCAGGACACAGGCGAATCTCTCAAGCGGCTTCTCGGTTCAGGCAAGCATCTACCTGTGAGTAATATCGCCCAATTGGGGTCACCGGCCTCGGGTCATGTGTAGCCTAAACCCTCGGGGAGTGATATACCTACCGTGAACAGTCTCACAATTCAACGAGTCAAATCTGCCTAGAACGATTTCCTCACCTCTAGCGTTACGCACACGACCGTGTTACTCATGCAAGGCAACGAACCACTCTTGGCCGTTTTTGCCTGGTAGGGCGTCCAATGGTTGTTTAAGGATATCTATCTGGTTGTCACATGTCGAGAGAATGAAGCATGGGTCATGTGTGAATCTATTCAGTCTGTAGAAGTGTCTGTAGTAATTGGTCTGAAGAAAGACAAAGAAAGACAAGGAAATAAGAGTGTAGTGCGTTGACTCAAAGCCAGTGAAGCCGCCAGTCTAATGGTCTAAGTGGTGCTGATTCTAATGCTGACAATGCGAAACGAGATGCAAAGGGAAGGTTCTCACTATCCAACGCATGCTTAGCCAAAATGCGACAAATCCCAAAACTCCTCCCATGCTCTGTATCATAGTGGTGGAATGTGAATTCCGCTCAAGTGTTGGTCTAGGTGGCCTAGATAGGCAATTCAAAAAGGCCGCGAATGCAAGTCGTAGTACAGCAACGGGTTTGCCAGCACAGTACCGTGATGGCTAGCCGCTACATTCGAAGACGATGGAGGTCGTGGGCGAAATCTAGCTCATGGAGTATTCGCAGTTGGGGCAACGCCACGCCTGGCACATGGGGCAAGAGTCGTTGATCTGGTAGCTGTACCAGCCGCCAGAGCACTTGCACTGCAACCCAAGCAATGTCAGTTTCTATCACGGTAGACAACGGAGAGGAGGGCGAAGATGTAAATCGGAAGTGTTTCACGTACGCATCGCCAGTAGTTGGGCCTCTGTGATCCATTAGAGGTAGGTCTGGATGAAGAGGCATATGAGCTTCGTCCAGAACCTGAGGAGCGACTGCCGGAGCAGTAGTTGGAAACATCGACGCTGGAAACACCAAGTCAGCTCGGGTCTTCAGACGTGGGGAACCATTTCGGCAAGCTTTACCATTGACCGCAAGCCATGGTGATAAAATGTAGTTTTCGAGGATGGAACTGTATATGTGTGTGGGAAAGGTGGGTAGAAGAGACTTTTCTTCAGAGTATGTGTAGGTGCTTGTGAAGCGTTGAGTTGACAAGTGAAGATGATAGTTTCAACTTACATCAAACTCGCCGGTTTCATGTCCAACATATATACCTGAGGAATCTCTCCCGGGGCCTCCTCCCATGACGCAGGCGAGCGATGCCACAGACCGAAACCCCAAAACATAGCATGGCTTTGAGTCACAGGTCCTAGGGGGAGTGGACTTGGCGCCTCATGTCGAAAGATGCCTGGGGAAACAGCCTGCCGAAGGCTGCCCACCAGCAACGGCCCCAGGCCCTTGGCTAACAGAGGTGAGGATGGCCCCGTTTTCCAACGGCGGCCATGATGTCTTTTTGGTCGAAAGACAAATATGACGCGCAGCGTTGATTCACAGAGCCAGACGGCAAGGTGACCGGCCCGCTGATAGGGCCAACGCCATGACAAGAAAGCCTTCAAGGTGACCCATCGGTAGGGCGAGCAAGCGTCGAGGGCCTGCAAGGCATAGACAAAGGGCGCCAGGGCTCCAGGCAAGCATTCCTGCGAGCTTCCACAAAGCTTCGATGCTAAGCCTGATGGGCTGTCAGCAGACCGGAACGGTGCTGCGGCGCACACTACATGTGTTGGCTGCGAACTCACGATTCTCTGCCTGTTGGCAATATTCACCAGCTCGCTGAACGACTCCGAGCAAGGCTGCACCTCTTCATTTTGCTTTTTTCCTCCCTCAGGTCATCTTCTCCTACGTCTGCATCCCACACCCGGGGGAGTCGGTCGGTGCGATCCCGCCGCACTCAGGGAAGCCCAGAACCATCTTCGAATCCTGTATTGCATCCTCCGGAGTCCATCCCCGGTAGTCCTCCTGTAGAGCGAGCGTCGGCAGGCAGCCGGGCGAGCATCGGCAAGCGGGCTTGGTCGTTGGTTGTGGCGAGTTGTTCGAATTGCCTGTCACAGGGTCTCCCGTATTGTTGATCGTCAAGAGCCCGGCGACGAAACTGGAACGACTAGACGGACCCCTGTAGGATCAGGTCCCATGTTGCCATATTAGCGTTCAAGGGCCTCGCTGACTTTGAGCCGCAAAGAAATGCTCCATCTTATCGTCAGGGTCAAGGAAGTTGGGAGACGGGCAAAAACCAACAAAGGGGGGCTCGGCAGCCGAAACCCTCTCTATGTCCAACAAGCAGAGCAAATCAAAGAGATCTCAACTCACGTCACGAGTTTGAAGCGCGGCGGAGATGGCAGTGCATCGCCCAAAACATGGACCCAGCATCAGACCGAGGCCAGGCTCCCAAAAGGCAGCAGCCTAGAATGAGGCAAAGTGTGGACCCAGGGCGGAGGTGGCCGTCATTGTCAGAAGGAAGACTGGGAAAAGAAAGGGAAGAATAATGATCGTGAAGTGGGAGAAATGAGGCTGTTCCTCCTAGTCGACGCTACAATGGATTCCAGCCTCAATTTTTTTTTCGGGCTCTTATTCTGTTCCCTCCCATCCTTTCTTCCACTTGTGCGTTGCCGCCCCTGCAAAGTCCTACCTTGAACAGGGTGAGAAAAACATCAAAGAGGTCGATGGGACAAGGCAGATCGCGGCAATAGTCTCGTTAGTTTTGGCGTTTTGACGTAGTGCGGGCAGCTTCGAGACCAGGCGAAGCAAAATCGAGTTTAGAGAGACAATCTACTAGAAGAAGCAACAGCAGCTGAGGGATGGATCAGACCAGAGGCATCACGTGCAACGGCCTGCCAATACCGGCCTGGGCACTTGGGTTGGCATTCCAAGATTTGTTTACTGTTTACTTGACGTCATCATCTGCCCCTGGATATGATGCGAATGTAACTATACAGACGATGGATAGGCTTGAACCGTGAGGTGTGATGTAGCTTTCGGTTGGTAGAAAAAACAGGGAGCAGCTGTACCTGCACCATCGTGAGCCTAAAAAAGAGGCGATCAGGATGCTGCAGAGCAAGAGAGAGATTATTTCTCTTTCCTTCCTGCTCCCTCTTTCTCTCTTCTTTCCTCTCTCTCGCCATCGTCAAGTGCCCTAGACTGAGGCTGAGAACAAGGGATAGAAAGCCGCCATTTCGCCCTCTGATTCCTGACCGACCCAAGCCCGTTGAGGCTGCGAACAATAATCAATCGCCCTGATATTCTCTACTGCAATCACTGACTTTTACCCCTCGTCGCCTCTGACCTCGGTATCGGAGCTGAACACACGGCTGAATCTCGCCCTTTTCTGCTCACCCGGAAGGATTTCGTCTCGCTCCCAGTTCAGCTGAATCCAGCGACCGAGCGGCTCAAGATAGGCGCGCAAACAGACCGAAAACAAGAGCAGCCAAAATGGCAAGGTCCAGCCTCTCCATCAGCTACTACGCCTTCACGGCGCTTCACTTCGCCTGCTTTGCCCTCGCCATCACCGTCTGCGGTCTTTACGGCGCCGACTTGCAGCGGACGAAGAACTTTGACAATTACACAAAGTCCAAATGGGTAAGATACCGATACTTGATTCTCGTGTCGCACGGAGATGGAGTCATCGAGTGGTGGTCTGATGATGATGGGGTGATGGAGCAAAACAACATGTACTGTGTGCTACATGTACTCTCATCACGCTCATTAGGAGTGCTCCAACAGTCACTCGGCATACTTGCCTTGTCTCCTTCTTTAAGGAATAGCTCAAAAAGAAACTGGCCCCAGCTGACACTACTCTCGCCCAGGTCTATGCCGTCGTGGTAGGCGCTTTGACAGCGGCTACGTGCGCTCTCTACTTCATCCCATTCATCATCGAAGCGGGCGGCATCTTCATCGCCTCCTGGGATACCATTCTGTTTGTCCTCTGGATCGCCCTTTTTGGCGTCTTCGGCAAGGTACGTTGCCTCTCGATCACACTCGCGTTGCACGACACAGCCAGGGGAAGAGGGAATGGATTGAGGGGGTTTGGGAGGCTGGGATGCAATGCAGAAGCAACCCGAACCGTGCTGTGATTGCTGTTGTTACTGTCGATGTGCTATACTCGTGGACCGCGACCATCACGTCGGATACTGACTCGTCAACTCGCACCAGTTGTACATCCACGAAAACGCCCATGGCAACGGAGATGTTGAGCGCATGAAGCACGCCGTATGGGTAGACTTGACCAGCGCACTGCTCTGGCTGATTGCAAGTGTTGCCGCCTTTGCATACTGGTGGAAGCATCGAAACACCCGCACACGCTTTACTGGTCGAGCAAAGGTCTAGCTAGTTAGTATGCTGTGCTCACTGCACTTCTCATTATCATGCTTCTCAAGCGAGAGTGAGAAATGAAGAAGCGAGGATGGGGGGAAAGGTGACGATCGGTGATTGGGGTAATACAGCCAAGAAACAAAGACAGGACAGGCGAATATGCAGCGTCAGGCGCGTCTAAGCGAGCATGAGATGGGAGGACGACGTGCCTATTCCACATACGGCATGAGCGGCGTCCATCTGCGGCAATTTGGCCTCTGGCTGAGATATCTGATGGGTGCTGGGAGACTGGTGCGGGTAAATGGGAGGGACGGGGACTGAGGCGGAGTTGGATGATATGTACTGCTAATGATATGATACCCCTCTGGTTCGTTCGAATACTGTGTAGGTAGCTTGCGTGGGGACAATGGCTCACAACGGTTCACTTATTATCCATGGCTTTCGCCATGACAGCGAGAGGAGGCCTGGCTTTGTATTCAAGTTCAATCTCTGTTTTTGGCTCTTTGCTCCGTTGATGGCTAGTAGGTGAAGCCTGTCATCATGGTCATCAATTGGCAGTGACGCCCAACATGTGTCCCCCATGTCTGTGTGATATGCTCCGTCCTGTGCTTTGGGTGTTCCGTAGTGGGTACATGAGGAGGTTGGAGAGAGACGCAAGGCACGTAGGTATGGACATATGGAATACTCCAGAGCCGTATGTAAGAGTCCATTCGCGAGTGGATTGTGTAATACGTGGACACATACGACACGCCGCCAAGACTCAAGTCGGCAAGGAGATGCCATGCCAGGCTGAGTCCTCTTTGGCCCGGTCGTCGGTGGCCCATGGACACGGCTGCCGGAACATCTTGTCTGTTCTCTTCCCCAGACAAATGAGGGGAAACAATCTCTCGCCTTTCCACCCAGCACGAGGGCCGGTATTGGCGTTGCACCCAAAGTGGTGCCCGACGATATCCCTCAGATTAACATTGCATTATGCAAGCCGAGGGGGGCCAACAGAGGACAAGAGGGGAAAGCAGGAGGGATGAGGGCAGAGCTGATCGGCGCGGAGAGGAAGCGTGGGAAAGAGATGGATGGCAGTAGATGAAGCCATGGTAAGAGGTATTAGAGAGAGATGCTTCGTTGACCGGGGGGCTTATTCCCCTTTGGGCTTTGATGATAGCCGCCGATCGGCAATGGCACAGCACTGTTGCGGCGGTTGAACAGAAGAGCGTGGGAGGAAAAGGAACGGACAAGGCGGACTCCAGGACTCCAAGCCAATATTCGGTGGCCGTGTGACGTCAAGTTTGAGTGCCCATTATTCGACCAGAATCTCTCGGGGGCGCACGTGTTGACAGAGCACAGAGCAGCCCGTTTAAAATCAACATCTCCATCTCATGTCTTGTTGTATATGTATATCCCAAAAGGTTGCAATCTTCCCTCCAATCCCGCACCCTCCCGACTCGCAGCAGATGGAAAATCAGAATTCACAAACAGGGGTTGGGGGAAGAGTCGCCATCAGTCTCAGGAAACCCGAGTCTTCATAGACGTCTAGCCGTCACCACGCTTTTCATGTGGCATGACGTGGTTGGCGTCACTGGTGCAGCTGCTGGCGTCCTTCACAGCATTTGATCCGTTCAGAGCCTCGCGCTTTTCACTCGTGCAGAGGCGTCCAGTTTCGCATCCTCTGGGGCCAGAATTCGAGGTACGGAGCCCAACAACTGCCAGGGCCCGACCCCCGTTTCGTCGGTCTTGAGGCGAGGCGAAAGATACGAGTATGTACAGTGATACGGGTGTTCCTGTGTGGAAAAGTGTAGGGCATGATGTAGGACAGACAAGGGCCTGAGGGGGGCGTAAAATCGACCTCTAGCATCCATGATCCTTGCAATTGCCCTGGGGGTAGACGCGCGAAAGCCCGTCAAATCCACTGCTGGACAAGGGGGAGATACCACTGGAATATCTGCCCCGAATAACATGGGTGGCATGATGCAGCAGTCCTAGTACTCTCAAGGTGTTCAACGCCTCGCTCTCGGATTGTCAGCAGGCTGTGATGGGTGAGGTGTTGCATCTCGTCTTTGTCACGCCACCCATGAGGAGAGACAAACACGGCCAAAATGTGCATCTTCTCGTATTCTTCATCGGCAGTCTGGAACAGAGAAAGGAAATGGCAAAGATGAGCGCGACTAAAGAGGAGAATGGGATGCTTGGGGGGCAGAAAAGACGCGGATGCACACCTGAGACATGGAGCTTATCACTTCCTCATAGCAATCCTTCTTTCCCATCTCTTCTTCTTGAACGCAAATGGTGTTGCAATGGCTGCAATGTCTCATCCTACATATCTCTGACCTACCGGATCTCTCAGACTTGTGTGCGTCCCCCATGGCTAAATGCCATCCACATCAGTTGATCAACGACCGAGACGCTCGCGTCTGCTTCAGACAGAAGCACACCACCTCACTGCCCGCATGGCACACACTCTCCCTCACGTTGACACACGCCATTGGCCCGAGCCAGTACATCAGACTCAACAAGAGGAAGGTCAGATAGGGGAATGGGACGGCAACATGCAGAGGCAATAAAGAAGGCAACGACAGAGACAAGATCCCAAGCCGGCAGCCGGAAAGTCGCATAGACCGTCTGTCTTGGCACCATCACCACCTCAAGCTCCCAGGACAACCACTCTCTGGTTACGCTGCCTACGGGCCCGGCTTTCAGCAAGGGCCTCGAGTGGGAAACATAACGTGCATGAGCCCGCGTTTGTATGTGCTTGGCCCTCCGTGCTCCGTGCTCCGAACGTGGGCCTTGGGATTTAGGTAGTGCGCCGTAATTCTGCATGCAACAGGTCCCCTTTTCAACGGGCGGGACGATGGCACAGCTTGCAGCCAGGCCGCAGCAGGCCATGCCGTCGTGTCGCCACTAGCAATCGACCACGAGATGAGATGCAATCCGGCCCTCGATGCGATATTGTGGGGAGCAGGGGGGGAGGTTGATGCGAAGACGGGAAGAGACGAAGCCTAACCATGAGTGCGAGTTTCCTCAGGGAGGTACTGTGCTTTGTTGCAGTCGTTTGTTTGTCACGAGGACCCCCAGTGGAAAAGCAGTGGGCAGACAGCAACGTGTCTGCAGTGGTGAGGCGAGAAATGAAAAGGGGGAATAAGGACGGGCAGATGGCTCGACGGGCGTGCAAGCCCGTAGGGTATCATATCAACATCAAGTGTTACCTTGAGTACGGAGTGGTTGGTACATCCTGGTCTGTCTGCACGACGAGTAAGCTGATGGCTGGTACGCACGAGTAGATACGTTGGTTATGGAAGAGTAGCAAACAACCAACGTGTGTGAACCCGCTGACGAATGCTACAACATCAGATAAAGGTCCAACGACAGTGATAGAAGCAGAGAGACTTGAACCAAAGTCAGGCATGGTATTGTACTTCGTACGTTCACTGACTTAGCAGCAGGATATGCAGATAAGCCGAAGAACAACATAATCATGGCCTCATCTTGCTGCCGTGCTCTCAGCATTTCTTCGCAGCTCCAACTCCACACCAGACGCGGGATTGTGCCCCGAAGCAAACAGCCACTCGCCAGGTTGACCCTTGCTCCTAGGTACTAGGCAGGGCTTCGGTACCGCTCGCTCGCCCATATCCATGTGTATCCCCCATGTTTCAATCTAGGATTTCTGCAGCGCCCTGACCTCCTCAGCCAAACAGCCTCAATCCTGCCCACAGGGCCTCGTCCCTACAGCCCAAGGCAGGGCATGGCGATTCGCTTCACTCGAAGAAAGAATGGGATCTGAATTTTCATCGTTTGGACTTCGAGATAGGCAACTTGCCTAGGTATTTGCTTCGCCTGGGTACCTTGTCTACATCTACCCACTGGTCGGTGGTGCGATAAGGCTGTTGGTACAGGCACGGCTTGCAAGCACCAGGATGGTACAGAAGGCGTAATACGGAGCCTACAGGCACAGGGGCATCACCACCATGCATGGCGCATGTATGTACATGCCATGTAATGTATAACACTGATCCAATCCTTCTCAGGAGACAGACCGTCCCTTGGCGCCTCGTCCATCCTCTGACGGGAACTCAATCCGATTGACTTTTTTTTCCCCTCTGATCGCGTTCGGGGGCCTCGTCCCCCGATTGCTCGGCCTGCTTCATCGCCCCGTAGAACGAGGGACGCCGCCCCTTGTTGGCAAGCTTTTGCTTAGGCCGTCAGCTCAAGGGTCCAAAGTCTCCGGCGTCATCTAGCCCTGCCGCCCTAACGATGTTTGCAACTACTACGAGTTCTGCATTTTATCACACGTCAATGGCTGTTGGTAAACAGGCAAGGTAGAGTAGAAACAAGGGCAAGTAAACTTTTCGGTCTGCAGCGCTCTAGTAAAGAGCCTGAACAAAGAAAGACCAGACAGCAAATCAAGAAGCAATGATGGGCTGGACGGGGAATCTTATATTACATCGGCTCTGGCCGCGCCCAATGACGACGAGGCCAAGCCACGCCCATCAGAGGCGGAAACAAGGTGAACTTGCACTGTACGCTACGAGTGCAAACGGTACTTTCTGCAGCAGACACGAGAGAGAAGACGAGTGAGAACCTAAGGTTCCTTACTGTGCCCCGGAGTTTCATGCAAACCCGTACCTACGCAGTAAGCACCTGCTGGTACGTGGACACAAACAGCTCGTTGTCCGTCAGTCAGGTCACTTCATGCAGAGAGGAGAGTTGGGAGCAATATCAACAGATGCGGGGCCCGGCTTTGCTTGACGATCCCCAGCACCCGCGCTCCCTCTCCCCCCGGTTCGGCATGAGTCCTCCGGCCATCCGCACTGCAAGCAGAGCAAACAAACAAGGCCCCTGGACTCGCCAAAACAAGTCCCCCCCAAGGGTCAGCATCTTGTGGTAACCCATAGAACTTCCAAGATGCCACAGACGAGATCCAAGTCGAACTGCCCTCCCTTTCCACATCCACCAAAAGCTTGCACCGTCCAGCTCCCCAGCCAGCACCATGGAAGAGGCCTTGGAGCCACCTACGGCTAGCTCTTTAGCCACCGACATGTGCATATCAACCTTTGGACACGCTAATAAGGTACTGCTGGGCGAACTCTGTAATCTGCCCACCATGGCAAGACGCCAAGCGGAAGTCAAAGACCCAGCGCGAAGCCCAAAAGTACTCCCCCCCAAAGCCCAAGAGCAAGCAAACGCAAAAAGCTAAAACCCTCTTTTTTCTCTTCCCGAGCTCCCTACCTGATCGGCGCCGGTGCGATAGGCTCATGGCCCACGTCTGAAGCTGCAACAGAGTCCAATGGCTCCACGCAAACCTGGCGAGGAACGTCTGTTAGTGGTCCATCTCACGCATCGAATGGTACCTTGAGGGAGCCATTTGTGTGTTTCACAACAGCAAGCCCCCTGTCAAGGTCTTTTCTCGCTCTCTCGCTCTCTCTCAGTATGTGTGTGTCTCTCTCTCTCTCTCTCTTGTGGCTACCCGAAAAGCTAGGTACCTTCACATCAGAGATGCGTACGAAGTACAAGGCCTGCTATGTACCGTACAGTGCCGGAGGAGGAGGAGGAGGGGGGCTGCCGTTGGAAACTCAGCAGAAGCAATAAGCGCTGCCCACCCACCTATTGTACGAAAGCCGCGGGGGGGAAAGAGGCGTCGTTGTGCTTGTACTTTGCTGCCTTTTGTCTGCGTCCCAGTACGGGTGTGAGTGTGTGGCTGTATGTCGTGCTGGCTGCTCGCTCAATGCTGTTCAAAGTCGATTCTACCTACACACGAAAGTTCTCTCTGTGTCGTTTACCATGAGCGGTGGGCTCACTTATTTACGCCTGGTCGAGTGTCCCTACCGTGCCTTATTCTTCCCCTTCCCTGTGGCTTTTCGATTTCCTCTATTTATCCCCGGCCCCAGAACCTTTTTCTTCCCTTTTGGTGTGCAGCAAACAAACCCGGGATCCCTTTTTTCTTAACTCAAAGCAATCTTAGCCCAGGGCCTTCTCGTCGTCTCCTGCGTATACAAAGGCACAAAAACCCCCCCGTATCCCAAAAGCTCACTTGATACCTGCGTCTTGTCGCTTGTGCCTTAGCCTTTGTCCTCGCCACTTGTCACCACACGAAGGCGCTTTCAAGCTCTTTCCAGCCTCAAACTCTCTTCCAGCCAAACACTCACCCCTTCTTGTTCACATCAGATACCCTTCCCTTTAAAGAATAAAAACTTCCCTTCTTCTCTCTTCCTATTCTTCTTCTTCGACATTGCCTGCGTTCAATTCAATTCTTCGTTCTTGTTCAACTGCATCGCCGCCTCAAAGCAGAACGAACAGCCGATTGCCAGAGCCATCCGTCGCACGTCAAGCCGGCTTTTCCTCCTACGTCTTGCCGGCAACTCATCCATTCGCGCGCGCCATCATTCAAAACCTGAATGGGCAGTCTCGACAACTGGAGTTTCGACGAGGGAGACGGCATCATGGATAGATCTTCCCGCTCTCGCAGATCCAGGGGCAAGTCGCCGTCTCGCACCCTGGGTCGTTCAGTGTCCATCCTGTCCAACCTTTCTGAAATGCCCGAGTCCGTCGTTTTCGGTACTCGCTGGCATCTCGATGAACGCGCAACCAGGCACGGCTTCTCGTCTCGACACATTGACGACGACTGGTTTGACGAGCCGTCCGACGATTTCGGGGCCTCTGCCAGGTCCTCGCCCAAATCGTCGACCGTCGGCGGAAGCAGAGCGTCCGGGTCTGACGAGAGCGAGCGGCCTCCGCGGCGACGATCCATTAGTAAGTTACCAACTTTGCGTTCCTGTTCAATGGCTTCAATGGTTCAAAGACTTTCCATATGATCCGACTTTCTCACTATCGTCCCCTTTACCCTGTTTCTCCGCAGTCACCGATTCTTCCGTCCCATGCGTCAATCTTCGTCTCTGCATCTTCATCCCACTCTGTACTCCTAGTCTGCATTCGGTTTCCCCCCCTTTCCCGCATCGTCTGGCCGTCTTCCTCCATTTTCCTCCTGTGTTGCCGTACAGTACGACGGACGGGTCGGAGATTTTCTTGCCTCTTCCCTAGTCATGTCTCGGCCTGTCGAACCCGCCAGCAACCAGCACCTTTGAAGATGACGCCAGCTCCCCAAATCCACAAAAATCCCATACCATGGTAGGTCGCCAGCCGCCTAGGCCCGGCTATCGAAACCCCACAGGCGAGGAGAGCCATCGCGGGGTATCCGGAGCACCGAGTCCATCATCTTGCATGAGGGCTCCAGCAAAATAGTGTCCAGGCACGCGACCGGCGGGATGTGGATTCTGCTTGCCGCCATACCCTTCATCAAGGCAGATCATCTCTTCTCTTCTGTCAACTTCTCCCAACTATCCATGTTTTCATGAGGACAGTTCTCCGCCAGTCGATCAAGTGTCGATCCCTATTCCTCGCCCTCTTCTTCTACTTTAAAACTCCCCCCATTTCCCGACTCCGACTTTTGTCCCTGTCATCATTCCCAGCGTTTTCGTTCCGGCTTCGGACTCGTTTCTTTCTTTTATATTCTCCTCTTGCCTCCCATATTCTAAAGCTGATTCAACAGGAGCCGACGCAGATACAGGGGCTGGATCTAGCTCTTCCGCATCGACTGGCAGCCGTCCCATTGCCATCCCCCGATCGAGACAAAACAGCGCTGCATCTGCCAGCACGCTTCCAGAGGCTCTGTCCGCCAGGGGCGAAAGACAAGGGTGAGGCCGCAAACATATTCAACGCCATCTATCGCTTCATACTGATCCTCTGGCTGCAGTGGTTACTTTCCCCTTCACGAAGACCCCAAGACTCGCGTGCGCCACACGCACCCCTTTTATCGTGAGATGAAGAGTTACGACATGGATCACTCAGTCGAGGAGGTGGACACCGGCGCTGATGCCGACGTCGATATGCCCAAGCCCCGGTCCCAGTACCACCTGTCAAACTCCACGAGGGACAGCGATGCTTACTGGATCCCGAGCGATGATGATGAAGACAGCGAGCCCTTTCGCTCCGCCTCCATGGGCAAGTATTATCCCGGGGTCTACGAACGGCGGCAGGCCCAGAAACGGAGCGGCCGGCCCGTTGATCCCATACCAAGCAGCAGCAGGACTACCGCCACCCAGTCCAGGACTCCAAGGACCCCGAAATACCGGCCAAGGCCCAGGACTCCCGTCATTGTTCCACGGTCAACAGCGACAACGGAGCCTATTCCACCACTGAAGCTGTCCGCTGTGGAATAGGATGCAGCCATGACATGGGAGCCGGTTGGATGGTAGACAATCCGTGGAGTCTGCTTCACCATTCAGCACCCGCCAATAACGGATATAGATTTCTTTTCTTCCTTTTGTCCTTTTGTTTAACGAATTAGAACACAACTGGGTCGTGGAATGATATACGACAACGGGATTTGGGCATTTGGGCATTTGGCTATTAGCGAGAGCATGGCCATGATCAATACGGCCGCTCATTACACTTGGGATTCGGAATATTGGGATTACAGCGGAAGGCAACATGCCGAGCGATGACGGCTTTTCTTGCGAGACCTTTGGAAAAGGGAAAAAGCCACAAAAAAAAATGCAGACTTGGGAATACAGCCCCGGGCAGTTTGCCTAGCTATGATAGTATCGGCGACAATGCATCCGGTGTTGTCCAATGGAACAAACATTCAATCACGTACAGGACTCTTCCTTGGCTTCTACCGTAAATATTCAATAACCGAAACTATGCCACTTCCTGCGGCGCTCTAGACTATGTGCTTGGTGTTTCCAGATGGTCATGTTTCCCTTGCTTCTCATGGATGAGGCTACAATGACGTGTGAGCTGAAGACGGTCAACTCCCACCCACCCACTCGCTCATGGCCTCACCTCACCTTACCCAGTAGTTCTTCGTACACCTCGAGCCATCATTTGTGTAGGTAGGTAGGTTAGATGGCATGTACAGGTCCGTCTACTTCGATCTCACAGAGCAACAATAATTCAATCAGGCTGTGTTCCCCCAACTTGGGTAACCTTGGTGTTCAATTTGGCGGTTACTTTTCTTTCCACCTTCTGCTGCTCATCTCACGAGTCGGTGTTCTCACACTGTGTATTCTTTGGTCCGCCCAATCAATTTCCCACTCTTCCTTCCTCGAGCTACCAACTACTACGTCTGTACTCACCTACCTACTACCTACCTACTAGGTAGTAGTACTCTATCGATGTGATGCCAAGCCCCATTGAGTGGATGGACGGCTCTTTCTTCAAGAGGCCGGTGTGGAGTTTCTCCTGTTTTGAGTTTAAGCGAAGCTTCGACAGCACCTTCCTCATGAAATTCAAACTCAAGCTCCAGTCTTCTACAAAGCACATCGCGGTGGCACGTGATTTGGCGTCGCGTCATTTGCTGGGCTTTTTCGCTTACTCGTCACTCTCGCCCAAGTCGCGTCTCGCTACTATTGACCACCTCGTCTTTTATCCTGCCTTTCCTTATTGGGCCTTGATGAGAAAGGCATCTGCAGCTTTCTTTACATGTCAGCATGTCAGCCCTTCTTTTCAATCACAAACAGCCTTGAGCCTTCTGTTTAAGATCATATCATTACTTCCAGGCACCTCCCTGTGTGAACCATCTTATGTGTGCACCTTGGAGAGGACGACACATTCGCATGTCGTTCGCCGGGTTACTCTATGACCTCAAACCTCCATTCACATCCGTCTACACTTCTCTGGCTACATGTGTATCCACCTCTTCATCGCTTCCAGAATTCAGCCTCTTTACCAAAATTACGGAGCGGTCTTGAAAGCTCTTTTTCCAGCTCCCGACTTACGTTTTCTCACCACCGTCAGACCCTGAGAACTCACCAACCGCCGTGTACAATACATCGCTCTTGACCATCCCCCATTTCAAAGAGTGCCGCCTCGACGTATCAAAACACCCTGCCGACCATGTTTCGTCCTGCGAGGGATGCCGGCCCATCTACCGCCACTCCCGCCACCTCAAGCTCTCGGTCTGAACACCCCCCGGTGCCAGAACCTGGGTGTCAAACAACGAGCAATGCCTTCGCAAGCCACACGTCTGCTGCGCCGACATATCAGAGGCCTCGGCGTTTCCTATTGTTAGCGAGAGAGAAACTTGAGCCAGCAACCACTCCTACCACACCGGCAGCTCATGCTCCTTCTCGCCCCAGGCTTAGACTCGTTGATAGCATTGAATCAGATTCTACGCCTCCTGAATCAAGATCCCGCGATACCCAGCAAGTGGTGCCACAGTCTAGGAAGAATTCGAACCCTGGTCTTGACAATCGACCCGTTGCACCAGCATCATCTTCATTTTCCTCCTCCTCCTCCTCCTCCTCCTCCTCCTCCTCCCGTATCGTCCAGCGACCCAATCCACAGCCTCAGCGAGATCCACATGTCGCCGCGTCGTTCTCTTCTAGACTCGCTCAGCGGACCATAATTCAACCCGAGAGAACTGCCGGCCTATCAGATGTGGTATCTAGTGGTATTCCCTTCGCGTCGGCGAACCGCGGCTTTAGGCCTGTTCCTTTGCCAGGGGTGCGAAATACTGGATCAACCACGACCTCAACGATACCATCATCCTATGCTGCCCATCAATCCGTACCTCAACCTGCAAGACACACTGGGCCAACTCGCACGTCAGTTGCGTTAGTTCCTCAAGTAGCTCAGCAATCCATGCATCAACCGACGACAGATGCTTTACCAAATCATACGTCCACTTCTTCAGCGCCAAGGATAGCTCAACGTCCAACAACTCAACCTCTCAGGACGCTACCAAGTTACGGCCCCCCTCTCTCTTTGTCTCGCACTACTCAGCAATCTACATCCCGCTCTGTGAAAGGTTCCGCAGCGCCGTTGAATGCTCCCAGTTCATTAGCATCAGCGTCTATTCTCGAGTTCATTTGCCTATATACGCATGACCTGCGCCGCAAGAAAAAGAGATGGCAAGACGGCAAGCTCAAGTTCCACACCTTTAACAAGAAATACATGGTATATGATGACGGCGGAGGCTTCGTCGGCGACGGGCACTGGCAGGGAGACGAGAGCGAGGTTGCAGAGGGCCTCGAAATGAACCTTGACCGGGGCATGGCTATTGTACAACTATTGGAGTGCACGGGATCCAGGGAGCAGGACCTCGGGGAGGTTCTGGGCAAGCGGGTGAGGGAGGTGGAGGAGAGGCGTGTCAGTGCTGCCGCCAAGGTCTCGTCATCAGCAGCTCCGTCGAATCCAGCAAAGAGGAGCAGAGGGGTCGAATCGGTGGTCGAAACACCGCCGGCTACGACTCCAGCTAATGCTCTCCCCCTGCCTCCAAGAAACGAGGGATCAGGGGTCGCAGCAGTGGTCGAAACATCGCCGCCTACGGGTGTGACCACTGCGGCCACTCTACCTTCGAGAAATGAGGGACCAGCGGCCTCAGTCGTGGTCGAAACACGGCCGCCTACGACTGTGACCACTCTACCTCCCAGAAAGGCAAGGCCAGGGAACACAATTATGGCTAAGAAACCGCCGCCTACAACGGGCACCACTACGATCCTTCTGCCTCCCAGGAATGGAGGTGCATGGAGCACGCATGCCATGGACCTGTTGGGGATGACCCGACCAAGGCGCGGGTGACTCTGTGGCCTATCTTTCTTGAGATTGTTGAATCTCATATTGTATATAGAGATCATGACCCAGGCTGGTTTGATATTAGTTTTCTGCATGATGCAGTGATCCACTGTACTCAACGAGACAATGAGATATGAACGAATGTTACGCGAACCGAAGAGATACAGCATGAAGCCCGTAGCTCCTGTCCCTATTCCAAGGTGACTGATTCGGCATATCACTCAGTAGACTGATACTGCAACGATTGTCGGCATTTTGAGAGAGGCTTCACCCACCTAATGGCCGTCACTCAGACGTGGATCGTAGCTTCAATCTGTAGATCGCCAAAAATCGAATGCTCGTTGAAATGATCGACCGACTGTTCTGCTGGCGGGCAGCAAAGCAGCTTCGGGAGAGCCCCGCACAAACCTCTGTTCGGGCCAGCTGGATGTGAAGTTGATGGCTCCGCCAGGCTATTGCCGGCCCGTGGGTTTTCGTGCTTAAGATTTCGGTCATTGAAGCGCAAGAGCATTGTCTCGGTAGCGTTATGGTAACAGAGCTGCCTGATGTTGCTGCAAAGATCGGCCAATGCTGCCAAACATCTCTTAGAACTCGTCATTTGGCTTCCATTCGACTACACTCAAAGATCAACGTCCCAGCCTCTCGATCCATCTCGTCTCGTCCGGCCACGGGCTTCGGTCTCGGCTTCGGAGTGCTGCAGATGCGCTACTAGGTAGTATCGAGATGCCTGGTTCAGCCCAGGATCGTCAGTGGGGGTGACCTAAGCCTTCTCGAGCTCGCCGAAAAGCTCGAACCACGCTTGAGCCGGTTTGATTGCGGCGGCTTGCTAGGGCGATATTGACGAGCCGGACATGGCTGCTGACTGTCCGAGATGCACGGGGGGGGGGGGGGGGGGGGGGGGGGGGCGTATACAGTAATGCTTTGTGCGGCTATCAGTTTTGGCAGCGAATAGCGATGAGGTCAATCGATCCGGCATATTGCTCCAGGAGACGATATTCTTCCCTTTGGTTGTTGTCAGACTGTCTCCTGCGCCAGGGCTGTGTAGCGATTGGGCTCCGACACCGCGACACCGTGGTGGCCCTCAATACCACCGTTGCTGACATTGGCGTGGACGGAAGGATTCGTACAGCTCGTATTGACTATATGTGACGAAGCAGTGAGGAGGACGATCGTCGGAACCATGCTCGGATAGCCTTGGATGGCGAAAAGACTGTTGGGAGCGCCGCTGAGCTATCGAGTCCAGTTCGTTAACGGTGAGACTTTCAACAATCGATGTTGCCTACATACTAGGTAGCCGTGAAGGGCTCGACTGGCTGCAGGGTAGGAACAACAGAGACGACGGCGTCAGCAACCCATCATAGGATTTCGCGACACAAGTTCGAGCGGGATCACTGCCCGACTCGGCATAAATCCCTGAGGCCTTCGGCACGTGTCCCACCACAAGAGCCGCTTGTTGATAAGTTTACAAAGAGCCATCAAGCAGAAAAGCTTTAAAGAGCAAAGACGGGTTTAGACGAGGGGCAGCACATGAAGCTTATGTAGTCACTCGAGTGGTTGGTTGGTAATATGTTCCGATAGCCATCTCTCGCTTCATCCTTTGGCCTTTGAATCTACAGACTAGTATTCTTCGTCCAGATCTTGGTACTAGATGGGAACATATCTGATAGGCCCTGCTCCCGTCAATTCGTCCTCGCTTGGAGATTCTGGGGTATGTTCGCCTCACTAACACGCATGGAGGAGCGGGTGAGCTGACGAGGAGGGAAATGGCACTACTAGGTCTCATCAATTTACGCCCAGTACCTGCACGTCTTGCGCACTTCAGGTATTGGCATCGTCACGAATACCGTCCTGAAGCGCCGAGACAGCCGCAATCTAGCACGTATCTGCAGTTCCATCTGTACCTGTACAAGCGTGCCGTTGCCCGTACTCGTCCCTGTGCCTGAGCGGACACCCCCCCAATAACCTCAAGCAGAAGCTCTCCAGAAAAGGGAACTTTTTCACCAGCCCAAGGTTGAGTCACTCGCATGTGGCCCGAGCGCAGACGGTGCCATTGGCCAATCATCTGCGCTAAGCTCTCGCCGAAGGCCCACTCAAGGCGGCGCATCAGGTGGGGGATTTGGACCAATCAGCGCTCATGCAAGCGGGGCTCGGGATCGCACAGCACAGCCCTATTGGCCGGCTGAGCCCCCGAGGGAGCCTCGCGCTAGTCCTTTCTCAGCACGCCGAAAGAGTCAGGATTGCGACTATCCCGCAAGGGCCTCCTTCCCCAGGGCCGCTCCTTCTCAACGCCTGGCCGGACAGTGAAATACCGTCATGACTCCCAACCGGCGGCGCCTGAGGAACTCGGTTTCTCCTGCTCTCCATTTTCCGTCTTTGCTCGCGACTCTCCTGGTCGACCAGTGATACCTTCTCTGTCTATTCGTTCGATACCCTGTCGAATAGCCTCCTCCCTCCTCCCTCAAGGCTTGATACTCAAGTTCAGCCAGCAGCCTACAAGCTACCTATCGTTGAGCTTGTCTGGTGCTTTGTTCTTGTTTCTCTTGCTTCCAGCGCGCCAAGATCCCCCCCCCTCTTCGCTCACACACTTGGCGCTGCTGCGAATATCATACCTACTCATACTCTTCTACCTACCAAACAATTTCTCTATTAATTCATTCGTTGATTTTAATTGGGATCCAAAGTATAAAAAAAAAAAAAGAGAAAAAGAAAAAGAAAAGAAGGAAAAAAGTTGAACCCTGAAGAATCGGATCAGTACTAAAGTTTCAATTGTGTAAGTATCCCGATGAAGTTGAAGCCTGGGCTCAAGCGTATTGTGGGCTTACACTCCTATGGCCGGCCCAACAACGCCGAATCCTCGCGAAATAATACCAGCCCGGCCATCTTCGATTCGACCTTGCTGAGACTCCGTATCTCATGATTTCTTACCCTTCGACTTTATCGAATCAGCATCTTTCCACCTCAGCAATGGCTTCTCAGTACTCTTCCACTGCCCCTCTCCCTCAGGGCTTCTCAGTCTATCAGCCTCAGCTCGGCGCTCAGCTTCAGTTCTTCCCTGCGCTCGGCACGCAAGAACTCGATGACATGATCAACGCCTACATCCCCGGCTCGGCTCCTCTCAAGGAGAAGCGGGCGACCATCTCGCTCGACTTCTTGGAGCACTCACAGCTCACTGGCCAGACATTCAAGTTCTACCCGGTCTACTACTCTTCTAGCCCGGTGGCAGCCTCGCCAGTCAACTCAATCGCCGCCTCCTCCTCCTTCAGCAACGCTTCTCCAGCCAACTCGGCCTTGGACTGGAGCCAGGCGTCTGCATCGCCATCAGTGTCCTCTCGCTCTTCCGTTTCCAAGAGCCGCAAGGCCTCCAAGTCCGGCAGCCTCGTCGCACGCTATCCCGCTGTCGATCTTTCACACCTGCCAGGCATGAAGATCATGACCAAGGATGGCCAAGACATCACAGACTCTGCCTCTCGAGGCTCCAAGACAAAGGAGCAACGAGACCACGCACATCTGATGCGCATCATCAAGGCCTGCGATAGCTGCCGGCGGAAGAAGATTCGCTGCGACCCCGACCACAAGAAGCGCCCGGCCTCTCAAGCCCAGCCTCAATCTGCTGCGAAGTCGGCAAAGAAGGCGCGCACAACACCACCGGCAGCGGCGTCGCCAGCACCAGCAGCCTCATCAACGCCGCCGCCTCAAAAGACGGCGCCTGCTTCTGTGGCGATCTCGACTTTAGACGATAATCCCCCTATACCAACGTCGCTGTTGGGTCTTGATCCCACCTTTACCTTTACCGGCTTGGACGGCCTTCAATCCAATGACCAGATGTTCGAGTCCTGGGAGGAATTTGTCCAGTACCCCCCTGCGGATGTCGACGACAGCTACGACTTCTTCCTCGACCCCGAGGGATACTTTTCTTCCCAATCCTCCGCCACCTCCTCGTCTGCCTCTCCCCCCAAGGCGCTTACGCCGGCATCACAGCAAGATGTTCAGGCCGCCGCTGGCCCTGAGGAGCGTGAGGGACTCTCATCACAATCCGCCTCACCCCAGCTACCGTTCATGCAAGACAAATCCACCACCGCGAGCGGCAGCTACACCGACTTCAACCTGTTCTCCCCCTCATCAAGCTTCTCCGAGGATGACCGCATGGTCCCGATCTCATCCACGCGGCTGCTCAGTCCGGCTCAAACATCCGCCTCCGGATCCGACCCCTTCGCCTTCGATGGTTTCGCTGCCGATGGCAACATGCTCAACTCTCCCTGGGATGGCACAACTGCGTCGGTATCTCCTCTGGACACTGCTAGCCTCGTTGCGGCTGCCCACACGGACCTGTCGTGGTATGATCCGGGTCACAATGGAACCGAGTCTGGTGAACCAGGAGACTTGCGGGGTGGCATAAGTAGGACGCCATCCACGGACTGGGCAAGCGAAGTTCGCATAGCCTATCCATCGGGTGGCTCCGTCCTTGTTACTGCGGCCTCTGGAAGCGGCGATGTGGAAGTGATTGCGAATAGCGTATGTCTTTTGTTTCTCCCCATCCTATTCCTGCATATCGTCTGCCGTTGGATGAACAATGACTGACCTCCTTGGAAGGCACCACCTGGACGCTCAGATGCTTCTGGATCTGGATCTGGATCTGGATCCGTCTCAGTTTCAATCCTGGGAAGTGTACGTGTCAACGCCCGTCAGCTTTTTTGCAGAACCGCGACTGACTTTTCAAAAAAGGGCCCATCAGCTGAGCTTGTTTCGAGCGCATCGACCGGCACCGCGCTTCAGTTCTACTCCGTACGTTCTTTGTCTTCTTGCGTGCGGCTAGTTTGCTCAACGGCGACTAACTTTGAAAAAAGGACATACAAGATGAAGCCCCATCACGCGAATCATCGCCCACCGAGCGTGGCAGATTCCCAAGTGTACGTTTCCCTTGCTGGATGGACCGTCAACTATCTTGCAAGACAGCGACTGACTTTTTAAAAAAGGAACCACCAGTTGATCATTCGTCTTGGTTGTCCTCGGGCCAAGTCGACTCTCCAACTGTATGTCATGCCGAACCCACAGCTGCTTCCGCCCTGTCGACGACTAACACGCGGAAACAGGACATCACGAGCCAATTCACGAGCCAACGCAGGACCACGTCCGTTACGCTGGCGACCACCGCGGACGATCCAATCCAGCTCTCAAGGAGCCCGGAAAAGCCACCGTCAAGGGTATGCGATGCCACAGCACCTGCACAGCATCACCGAGTCAGACTAACTCGTCTCAAGGTCCAAACCCAGCTTGCCGCCAACCGCAACGTAACCTCCGAGGACTTTACTGGCGGCTTACAAGCTTCATACGGCGATGCGCTCCACGCTGTACCTGGTTCGACCGCACACGCAACTGCCGGCGAGGATACTTTGAGCCCACACACCTCGTCTGGCCCTACCGCTCTCGTCTGGTCTGACAGGGCTGGCGTCGAGGCTTTCCTGAACCTCACCGGCCTACCTGCCCAGCAACTCAACGGCGGCCTCGATGTGCACCAGCAGGCAATTGACCCTATGGTTGACAGTGGTCTGCAGACCCTGTCACCGCCCCTCCTGCAAGCGACGTCGCCCAAGGAGGGCTTGCCCGCTGCTGGTGGATCTGCGTACTTTGGCGCTGGCCAAAGGTCGAGCCAGTTGGTTGTCCGCCAAGTCCTCTCTATGCAAGCCATCGTGGCGATTCTCGCCGCTACATTGCTCGGCGCCGCGTTTGCAAGCATGGCTGGAGCCCCTCTCGTGCCTTCTCTCCTCTCAGTGGCTCTTGCTACGACGGCCATCTTCCGACGATTGGGAGAAGCCAAGGCTTTCTTTGAGACGACACCATCGACAATGTCAAGTTCAAGATTCAAGCAGGGCACTCAGCCGTGGGCAAAGAAACCCCACGGACAGAAAGCCCAGCAACCTTCGGTACTACGACATGAGGTATCTCGTCTATCCTCTCGTTTCTCTTCTTTCCTCGAGGAAACCAGGCCGTTGGCCTTGATTGCTCCCTTGATGGGCTAGAACCTACCTCGCATACATGGGTATGCAGTGGTGTTCTTAGTGGGCAACGGGCATTTAGACCACGCTCTGTTATTTCGGGCCTATTGGCCAATGATACCCCTTTGCGTGGCTTGTGTTGGCATCTGGTACGAGGCTTTGTGGGATTTGGTTTCTCGTCTGCCCATCTGGAGTTTTATAGAACATTATAGCGTGGGAATAGAATTCGCCATTTGGCGACTTTGTGTGAATTAAATCTTATGAAGACTGGGCTGATGGCTCAAAATTTCTCCCTTGACTCCTTGTCCCTCCTTGCTACTTTACCTAAATCTGTATACGAATCCATCCAAGCTGTCGTTCCTCCCTAACACAATTTTTCGCAGGTCTTCGGCTTTGTATTGTGATTGTAAGTCAATGACACTCAAATGCTAGGTGTAGAGATGACAAGGAACACCTGTGTACATGGCTGGAGATATCTTTGAATCACAGCAAAGGGGACATTCTCGCTGTGATAAGCAGCATTTAGGCGGCGGAGGAGGAGGAGCGGATGGAGCGAATGCTGACTCATCCAATCTGTTAGGCGTAAGCCGTTTTTCAGTGAAAACGTGTGACAGAATTTCAAACGCCATTTAAAAGGTTGGCTAATCCTCTCCAATCTCACCGCGAAGGAAGGTCGAAAAATCACAAACAAAACGCACAACCAAAGACCTTTATTCTTTCTTTAACAGAGTCTCGCCCAAAGCAACCCCCGCGCCTATTCTCGAGGCCATATCCTATCGCTTTCGGCATTTCAGCAGGCATCCGGCCTACTGTCCGGCCGCTACTAGGCAAGCCTCCAGAGAGGCCTGCTCTCCCACACTCACTTTTTCCTTCTCGAAAGTTTCCCTTTGCAGGGCTAAACTGCGGAAAGAAACTTGATAGCTGTTGTGTGCATCCTGATGCATGCTTTGAACGGTCAACACAAGGTGTGAAGAAATCCCCTTTGCAGCTACCTGCCCTGTTTCTCTCTGTTATTGAGCAATGAACATGGCAGAAGCACTGGCTGACATGCGCAAAAGGCATTTCTCTCCTCCATGATAGGCCTGTAGGAGCATTCACCTCTCCTTCAACAGGCTCATCTGGCCTTCCCCAAGCCTACCTAGCCAGGGAGGATACACATCGCGCCTGGCCTCAATCTCCATCTCGAGGCTCTCTTTCCGCAGAAAGACGGCGAGCACCTGTCGTCATACTCACGCCAGGGCCATCTCGAGGAAGACAGCTCCTTCCGTGGCCTGAGAAGGCAAGTGGCCGTCATCGTGAGGGGCTACAGGCCTGTGAGGAAGGAGCAGCGGTCGAGCCCCCCCCTCGCCAAAGGCAAATCAGGCACACAAATCTTTTAACCCCAATATATTTCCTCCCACACCTGGACAACTCAATCCTAAACCCAACACACGCTCGAATTCACCCTCAACGAGAGCCGAGAGAGGCTGAAGCGCAACTCCGGAGCCTGCAGCCGCCATTCACCCAGGAGCACCGCCCCCCCACGGCCCAATCATGGCGGCCGCTGCAATCAGGTTAATCACCCTGGCAGGTGCCAGACGGGCCATGCGCAGATGGTTCCGTCGCGGCTCCCCACCTGGCGGCAGCTCGGACGACGAGGCCGATGGCGCCGACGACGGAGCGGCAGTTCCTCCGTGCCCCCCCAACACTCCTGCTGAAACCTCGCTGGTCGAAGAGGAGAGCGACGAGGACTCTGGTCGTGACGACGAAGCCCCGGACATCAGCGACTCGGACCCCAGCCTGGGCCACGACGACAGCTACGACCAGGACTTCTACAACGACGACTCCACCATGAGCCTCAATCTGTTTGTGCCCACGGTCAACGGCATGCACCAGCTGACCTCTGCCGACGCCGCTGCGGCTGTGGCTGCGGCTACGGCTGCGGCTACGGGCGACCAAGAGCAGCACCAGGACGATGAGATGCAACAGCAGGATGAGAGCGCGAACCTTGCCTCTACCTCTGCCACCACCGTTGCCTCTGCCTCTGCCCCTGGTGATGGCAACGATGTTCGTACCCTCACCGAGAAGCTCAGCAACGTCGACCTCGCTGGCTCTGGCGCTGGCTCTGGCTCTGGCACTGGCACTGCGGCCTCTGTCGACAACGTCACTGCCGCGGTCAAGCAGCAGCTTTCTGCTCCGGGCGACATCAACGCCAACGTTGTCCGCTTGGATGACCCCGCCGTGGTTGCTGAGCGTGCTGTGCACCTCAGGTTCATCAACGAGGCCTTGGACATGGTGAGTGTGCCCTTCCCTGCCGTCTAGTATCTCTTTGCTCAATCATCTCGCTAACTTTTTGCATGATGCAGGCCAAACTCGCCCTTCGCACCAATGAGACTCCTGTCGGATGCGTCATCGTCCACAATGGCGAGATCATTGCTCGTGGCATGAACGCGACCAACGTCACTCGCAATGGCACCCGTCACGCTGAGTTCATGGCCATCTCTGCCCTGCTCTCTGTCGCCCGCAAGGACGGCCCCAAGACCACCTCTCTCAAGCCCACTGTGCCACCCAAGAGGCCCATCAAGGGAGACAGCTCGTCCGATATCTCTTCCGTGGAGTGGCGTTCTCCCGATGAGGGCAATGAAGATGGCAGCAAGAGCCACCTGTACCCCTATGGTCAAAAGATGATCCCCAAGGAGCGTGTCAACGGTGCCATCTTCCGTGAGTGCACTCTTTATGTCACCGTCGAACCCTGCGTCATGTGCGCTTCGCTCCTTCGCCAGGTTGGCATCAAGAAGGTCTATTTTGGTGCTGTCAACGACAAGTTTGGAGGCACCGGCGGAGTCTTTAGCATCCATGCCAACTCCAACCCCATCCGCGAGGATGGCCAAACGGCCAGCGCTCATCCTCAGCCCGTCCCCGTCCAGCATCCTGATGGAGGAGGCAGCCTTGGTGTCTCGTACCCCCCCGGTGGCGGCGATGGTGGCAACATTGAGCCAGGCTACGAGATTGAGGGAGGCTGGGGCCGTGACGAGGCCGTGGCTCTTCTCCGTCGCTTTTACGTTCAGGAAAACGGCAGAGGTAAATATGATCCTCCCCTGTTATTATACATGACTGCAGTATCCTGTATTCTATGATGGCTTGCTAACGTCGATGTGCTTCAGCTCCTGTTCCACGCAAGAAGGAAGGCCGAGCCGCACGCTTGGCTGCCATGATGGAGCAGGATGGACTCTCGCTGCCCGGCCCGGATGGCGCTGGCAAACCTGCTGTGGCGTCCGCTGTTGCTGATGACAAGAAGGAGAATGTTGAGCCGCCAAAGGCTCAAGAATCTCTCAAAGGCAAGGAAGTCATGACCGAAGCGGCTGCCGAAGAGGTGTCCAACGAGGCTACCGAAGCGGCCACCGACTAGAGCAGACAGCTCTGCCCGACACGAACCACTTGTTGAAGGCTGCTCTTGATTGAGCTGGCCTGGCACAGGGTCTTCGTCTTTCATTTCTTATGTCAACATTATCGAAAGCATTCCGACGCCCATACCCATTCACCACGATGATTCCTAATCCGCAGCAATGCAACCTTGCTTCACGTGCGTTGATTGGGAAAGGGGTCGAGCCTTGGCGTTTTATCATTACAATCACGGCAGCGATGCCGCTGAAGGAGGGAGGTACTTGACATTGTTTGTTTTTTTTTTTTTTTTTTGGCGCCGCGAGTTAGAAAACTGCGAGCATAGTGGGACTATTTTTACTGTCCATCTGAGGATTCTACCATCGTCATTATTTGCTATTCCGCGGGCTTCATGCAGAGAGTATGTGGCCTCGCTCGTTCGTAGCCTTGCATCTCATTTAGCCTCGCACCCTACTTAGAAGGTAGACATAAGAGACGAATTAGCATTACCTGCTTCAAGCGACATTGTGACTGCACGTAATGACGGGGAAAAGGATGAAGAAGGCCGGTTGATTCTAGATGGCCATCACGTATGATGAGAAGCAAAATAAAAAGTATAGAAAAAGGCAAAAAGAAAATCTAATGCGTAATCTGGGAATCGAACCCAGGGCTCCCCGACGTTGCTCGGATGGCAACGGAGAATTTTACCACTAAACCAATTACGCTTGTGATTCATGTTCGAAGGCTTCCCATTTTGGCATCATGATTGTTTCGACGCAGATGAGATCGTGATGATGATTTCATGGCCTCTAGGAGGCTCGACGAGAAGATGGTTACCGGCAGATGGCATGGTATGCTCTGAATCCCATTGGGATGGCATTAGGGGTTGACGAAGCCATTCGGCTGACGGTGCTTGCTTGCATACCTAAGAAACGCACCCCAATGCCTAGTATTCCACTTGTGAGTGTCGAAGTCGATCTTCAGCTCTGGCAATCATACTGAGCGAACACGACTGATTCAACACGCTGGGCCTACGCACATGCATTGTCAAGAATCTGAATCTTCTTCCCACCTGTCTACTACGCGTTAGAGGCGGTTCTCAAGGTCAGTCACTCACCCACGCGTCTCTTATGCCGAGGAACCATTTCTGTTCTGATTTCAGCCGTAGGGCGCTAATGACACGCCGGGCTCCTCTCGACTCGAGATGGGCTCCAGTTTCTCTCGGCGCTCAAGGCGTTTTCGTCGTGTAGCTGAACTGCTATCAGCCTCGGCTGCTATCTTGCTCCATTGAAACGACGGTCTTGCGAGGCGACAGGGAGGCGGAATCAAGCACGAGCTGAAGGGGCTACCCTTCTTTCGTTTGTTGAAGCGGCAGTATAAAGACGTTGAACGAGGACGCGTGAGGAGGATGCATTCTCTCTATTCAGAATTCATCAGCTTTGCTTCATTCCTTCTTCATTCGGACTATATTCCCGTTGTTTGGCGTCCTTTAAAGAAGATAGACATAGAGAAGCCAGTAATTGACATAGACGCTATGAGTCGGCTCCCTCCCATCGAGAAGTTCTCGCTCGCAGTCCGCAAGAACAGTAACTTCTCCCCCAAGCAGCCTTTTGAGCTTCTCCTGTTTAATCAGCATCATCAACTCAACGGAGTGCTGACTATTGATCATCTTAGTCCGTGACGAGTGGGAGAAAAAAAAGTCTGACTATGAGCAGAGACTCTCCGAAGTGCTCGGCGAGCCATGGAAGATCGACATTGACCTCCGCCAAGTCTGCGCATATGCCCAAGACGGATATGCCGCTGAATCACCTGGCTCGATGACTTCTGCGTATGCTGATACCCCACGCCTTTATCAAGATGACGAACCAAACAGAAAAGCTGATCGTCCTCGGGTTGACATTGAGTTCAGGTACATTGACGGCGTGTTGTACCAGCTAAACCGCTTCATCGAAAAACATGGAGCAGCGGGCAAGTCAGAGCTCAACACCATCGCCTCGGCCCGGACCATCACCATGGACCTAGACCAAGACAAGAAATTCACCTATTGCGGCTGCACAATCTCTCCCGACGGACAGCTGGTCATTCTCTTCAGAGAGGGCTATCTGGGCGTCAACATCGACTACGCATGCTCCCTCGAGAATCTCGAAGCCGCTCTCAACGAAGCTCCGAAATCCGCTTCGACTGGCGGCCTGCCCATGAGCTTTGCCGCCCGCGCAGCCGTCAAATCTGACTGGGACAGCGAGGTGCAAGCCATCGAGGCAAAACTGAAGGACATCCTGAAGAAGGACATTGCCGTGGTGCCGCAGTTTGAGCAAGTCTTTGACAAGCTGAGCGCCGCAAAGGACGCACCGGAAAGCTGGCAGCAGAACCTGGGTCTCTTTCTCAAATTGTATTTCGAGGGCCTTGTGCACTACCTCGAGCACCAGAAGTTTGGCGAGGACGACATGCTGTACGAGGCTTTCAACGAGACGATTGACAAGGCGACTGTCGCCTTTCGCATCGTTGACAAGGGCCAACTGAAGCACTCCACCTATAACGAGTGTGTCATAGAGGACGGCACCCTGATTCTCCAGGTATTTGTTCTCTCCCTCTTGCCCTCTCTATGCATCATGTTTGGTATGGATGCTCTGCTTCGACGCATGCTAACCAGGAGAACACGGGCTAGACGATCCCCGAGTATTTCGGCACCAACGTCGACCAAGTCGCCAGCAACCTGATGGATTTGCTGTAAGTCTGAGCGCTGGATGGGTTTGTGGGGTCAAACATTGCCTGTACGAAATCGCAGCATCTGCATACATGATGCAACATAGATACCAAATAACACCCAGTAAGAGTCATACATCGTACCTTGTTCCAAGTACACACGGAGGAGAGGCTCCCCCCCCTCGAAAGCCCCGTAACAGCACGGCAATCCGCTGGCAAAGAGACCAAGTGGAGGCGTTTGGGCGAGGATTCTCTTCACCTACAGCTTCGTTACACGTGTTGATGCAGGGTGAAGGGGAAGCCTGGCGCCTCTGGTTGGCTGGTGCCGGGACAGGCTTGCAGGCATTGGGAGTGCGTGCGGCCCACCCATGGAGGCATGAGATGCGTGACCGGCTGCATGTAGGGAGTTTGCATGCATGTATAAAGACGATGGGGACTTGGTAAAGAGAGTGAGGCGACAAAGGCCCAGTCGCTTGGACGAGCAGCAGTTTCCAGTCATCCATCAACGAACCAGATATATTGATCAATTTCTTCTGCAGGCCAAAGCCCAATCGGTGCCGGACTTGTCTTGTGTGACCCTGGAACGACCAGAAAAGCAGCACTCCAGAGGGTGAAATCATTCTGGCGGTGGGCAGTAATACCCCGCGGAACGGAAGCGATTCGACGCGGCATCTTCTCTCTATTTTCATCCGTGTCTCTGGAGAGGTTGCAGCATTCTCTCATTCAGTTTGATTGATATTCCTCCGAAGATTCTCTTCTCTGTCTTTCTTCTTTTCCTGGCAAAGTACACAATGTATGGCGAGGCATTATCTCATGCATCATCTTGTGGCCTTGCTGACCTCTCTCACCAGAGCCAGTGATGCCAGTACCTAATCCGACGACGCCTCTGGCCGAAAATAGGGCCGCTGCAAAGCGCCAGGCCGTCACTACTGTGTCTATCGTGGCCCTCATCCTCATCCTGTGGCCAGAACGCTTCATCATACTGAGAAACCTTTGTCTGGTCCCCGTGGTGGCCTGGGCGACGGCACTGGTGTTTGATCTGAAGCATGGAGCGCTGGATGCGTGGGACGGAGTGCCAGCATGGCTGAAGAGAATCATCGGTGCAGACGACAATAACAGCGGCAGCAACAACAACAACTACAGCAACAACTACAGCAGAAGAAATGAGTCTATTCACATGAGAAACCGACAGCATGCATCGCCGATGAAACTGTCTGACTATGTGTTGACGCATCTCGGTAACTCGGTTTCTCTCATCATGAGCGAGGCGGTGAGGCTCTGGGAGCTCGCTCGCCCGATCCTGGCGGAATGGGCGCGTCAAGCCATCCAATGGCTCAACTCTCAAAGTTTGTGAACCTTGCACCATCTCCCATCCATTCCTCCACGGTGTATGCAGGATCAGGCCGTTAATTGCAATCATCTCACTCAGCATCGATAAGCCAGGCTTCGTCATCTGCCTCGTCTAAGAAGCCGGCTCCCAAGTTCACTCAGTACTATGGCATCTTGGTCAAAGCACCCCGGGGCCCCGACATTCCTCCTCCTTTCGCGCCTCTCTTTCAGATGCGAGACGTCCCGGGCAGTTTCGACTCGAGGGAAAGCAAGCATGGGGCAACTGTTCCCTCAGTGCTGAGCTCTTGGGACGCCGAATGTCGGTTGTCTCTGGTCCTAGTGGAAAAGACAGTATGGGACGATGGGCACCTAACGCTGCGCCGCAAACTGTCGACCGGGACGAATTGGAGCCTGTCGCCGCCAGGACGTGGGAAATTCGACAAGCAGATGGAGAAGCCAGAGTTTGGCCAGATCAAAGGCATCGACGTGGTTGGGCTCGGCGACGGAGAGTACGATGCTCTGCATAAATGTCGCCAATGTAAGTCATGGACATCTCAACCGGCAAACCACTTGGTAATAGGTAGCGAGTGGCTAATCCATCCCAGGTTTCCAGCTCCTGTCTCAGGACTGGAAGTACACGAGGATGCTCTGGGACGACGTCGACTTTGCCGTCATCCTCGGCCTGTTAGTCCTTGGACCAGCTGCGGCCGCCAAATGCGTCGAGCTCTACCGATCGCTTTGCCAGCTCAGAGAGAAGCAGGCTGGCGCCGGGACGCGAGGCGCTCCTGGGCTGAGTCCCTTGCTCGTCGCGGCAGCAACGGGAAGCCTGGCGGCACCTTTTGCGTTGCCATTGATGGCTGCTGCCGCGGCTGCGGCTGCGATGAAGAAGGGCGGCAAGAACGGTATGCCGGAGCAGAGAAGAAAGGCATATCGAAGCCTGACGGTTCAGTTCCCAGAGCTAAAGGTGCTGTTTGAGGAGGAGGAGGGGGAGCAGAGGGAGGAGGAGGAGTGGAAGGAGGAGGAGGAAGATTACTACAACGAGGCCTTTAGCCCGTTTGACTGGTGAAGCAAATATCTTGTGAAGAAGAAGACACAGCACGCCATAAGACTGAGGCTATACAGATAGTACCAGCAAATAGATCTTATCAGACCCCCCTTTCAAAGGGATCTTCAAGTTTAAATGAGGGCGCTCCTCGGCATCTCCCAGCAGGCTCCAAGCCATCACTCGTATCGCCCCATTGAATCCCGGTTGTGATAAATGCAAGATCCAGTTGCGTGTTTCCAAGAATAAACACGAGGCGCCACACCATCTCTCGGTCGTCTTGCTAGTGCTGCCCGGGCAGTAGTAAACAGCTTGGCCCAGCCCTAGCCAATGCCCTGGAACATGCGCCAGTCGCCCGCTTCTAGTGGCTGCGGGACCTTGCTGCTGAGGCGGAGGCGCAGCAGCAGAAGACGGGAAGAAGAAAATAATGCTCCGTAGGACGAAAGGGTCTATGGGCATTGTTGACGAAGGGTTAATACATATGATGCCTGTTCAGTGAGGCAAATGCTCGATACCCAATTTGTATACACTCCGATGACACTCCTCATAGACATCCCCCTGATACAAGTCCATGATTGTGCCAGGGCATCACGATCTTTGAATCATCCACCATACAGCGTCAAACCCACAGTGCCGGTAATAGCACCCGACTCAACTGCTGTTGGAAAGCCCCCCCAATAGTGACCCAAGCTTCAGCTCAGGGGCACCACCAGGGACTCGGCAGCCCCTGGAGCTCGTAGCAACCAGGCACCAGGACCATGTGCATGTGGTCATCGTACTACCATGCCCACGCAAATGGATGAGATGGTCTCCACATCCAAAAAAGGGTGCATAAGATCCTCATGTCTCAATCGAAGGGATGCATCAGCCACAGGCCCAGAGCACAAATCCCCTCCGTCTGACTGCTATTTGCAGCGTCAGTTTGACTTTATTCGCACTCCCCCCCTCTCCGGATGCGGCGTCCGTGTCAGCCTCTCAAGACTGGAGCGACTACCTCGTGCTTAGCATTTCGACCGGGGCCTTTGCGGTGCCTTTTAAATGTTTCCAAACTTCCCATTCTTTTGACACTTCCAACAGGCCGTCCTTTGTCAACCCACCTCGCGTCCTCCTTCTTCTACGTCTTCTCGTCCGTCTCGCTTGTTGTCCCCTTTGTGGCGTCATTCCATACTCCATTCGTTCCTCGCGTCTCGCACCTCGACGTCGCTTATCCTGAACGACCCCCCGATTTGATTAATACGCTTCCTTCGATTGGCGGATTGCGTTGATTGATTCCAATTGGAAAAGCCCCCCCAACCACGGTTGACAGCTACGCGCAAAGCTACCAACAATCGCTATCCTCTCTTTCCGAACGAGCCATCGAACTCATCGCTTCCTCCCCTCCTTCAATTTCCCATCGATTTCTCGACCGCTCGCTTTCGAACTTCTCGACATCCAAAGACACACACACACACACACACAATCAACGCAAAATGTCACCCTCCACGATCCCTCCCATCACCGTCACGGCCGCGCAGGATGGCCTCTTCTCCGAGGACCTCATCTCTCCAGACGTCTCCGCCTCCCTGCCCCAGGGCTACCAACTGCGAGCCCTTCGCCGCTCCGACTACGACTCCGGCTTCCTCGAGTGCCTCCGGGTGCTGACGACGGTCGGCGACATTAGCGAGGAAAAGTTCCAGAAGCAGTACGACAACATGGTGGCTCGCGAGGACTATTACATCATTGTTATTGAAGACACGGCGCGGGAGAAGAACTCTGTCGTGGCTACTGGCGCCCTGATAGTCGAGCACAAGTTGTAAGTTGCTACAATCATCTCTCTCCTTGTCTTCTGGAGGAGAAGAGTCTTCCCCCCCCCCAAGCCCGGAAGTGGCCCAGTGTCCAGCTAACTTTTCCTCCTCCTCTCCAGCATCCACAGCCTGGGCAAGGTCGGCCACATCGAGGACATCGCCGTCGCCAAGGATCAGCAGGGCAAGAAGCTCGGCCTCCGACTCATCCAGGCCCTCGACTTTGTCGCCGAGAAGATTGGCTGCTACAAGAGCATCCTCGACTGCAGCGACGCCAACGAGGGCTTCTACGTCAAGTGCGGCTTCCGACGAGCAGGCCTGCAAATGGCTCACTACTACGAGGGCGGCAAAAGTAAATCACACTAAAAGCCCTCCCCTTTCCTCTCCCCCTACCACTCACGGATATACAACTCGAAAAAAGACACCTCGGACACACCTTTCCTCCCCCCCCTTAATGACGCATCCTCTTTCATAGTCTCCCGTGGCTTGATTTGATGCATAGCAGCTGATGATGATTCTGTGATTTCTTTCTATGGCGCAGGCAGTAAAATCTAGAAGGGATCTAGATGAATAATAGACGGCAAACCAGCATCACAAGAGACGGACGGGAAGAAGTAGCTGAAGACATAATAGAATTTTCTATCTTTGTTTATTTTCGAACCAAAGAATTGCCATGCGTCGGTCACAGCGATTACTCCAGATGGGTATTGCTCATTAACTGGAATGCCATAGATCACGAATATAGCCAACAATGAATAACCCCCAACCCATCTGCTCTCTACCGTCCCATCCATCCTCCATCCACGACCAGGATATGCCCGCTCACATACGCACTCGCCTTGCTCGCAAGGTACACGGCCGTTCCCTTAAAGTCCTCGGGCGATCCCCATCTGCCCGCCGGGATTCTGGAGCTGATGCTCGCTAGCCTCTCCGGGTTGTTGAGTAGCGCCGTGTTCATCTCCGTTTCGATGTAGCCCGGCGCAATGGCGTTGACCGTGATGCCCTTGGCCGTCCACTCGTTGGCAAACGATTTTGTGACCTGGCCGACGGCCCCCTTGGAGGCTGCGTACGCCGGAACCGTGAAGCCGCCTTGGAAGGTCAGGAGAGAGGCGAAGTTGATGATGCTGCCGCGGCGGCCGGTGGCGGGAGAGGGGGGCAGCGAGAGCATCTCGCGGCCAAAGTCGCGGCAGAGGGTGAAGACGGTGTTGAGGTTGACTTGGAGGACCTGATTTCTGGGTGTAAGTGTCCCGATATCTCGACCCAATGTTAGTTTGGACAGCAGCACGTACATCGTTCCAGTCACTGTCGGGAAATTCCTCGCAGGGATGCCTCCTCTGGATTCCGGCACAGTTGACCAGAATGTCAACCTTGTGGCCCGCGGCCTTGACGTCCTTGGCTATGTTGGCGACCTGCTCCTGGACGGCGAGATCAGCCGTAAAGACCCATGCCTTGCGGCCAGTCTTCTCGACGGCCTCCTTTGTCGCCGTCGATGTGGTGTCTCTCTGTCGACCCCCAGATCTGTCAGTTCCTAGACAACATCTTTTCGCACTGCTCGCTCTCACTACCCGCCTGACTCAGAGTGCGGCGTACCTGGATCAGGATTATGTCTGCGCCGGCTTCGGCGAGCCCAATGGCAACAGCTTGTCCAATGCCCCTTGTAGCACCGGTGATGAGAGCTGTAGAGCCCTCGAGCGAGAACATGGAGGCCATCTTGACGTCGAAACCAGCTGGAAGATTAAATCAAGACTGGTGGGCACCGAGGAAAAAGTGCTGTGAAAGGAGAAGAAATCAAATCCTGACGCCTGCTTGCAACGTTCCGGGGGAGCATCGCCTCGACCGGACGAATCATATAAGCCATCACCCGCCAGACCATTAGAGCTGAAATGTTCCCCCAACATGCATTTTACGCATGGATGGAGGGGCAGGATTCGGGAGCTGCCCCGCGATTTCGCCAACAAGAACCAATACAGGCTCGCACCTGTTCCGGCAACCCCTGCCGGCATGGAGACGTGGAACCACTTGATGTACAGCAAAAAAGCCATTTCTCCACGTTGCCGCTGCTTTGCCCCCAACTTGCTTCGGCTAGAGATGGCTTGTTATCCTATGATCCCCTGGGTCTTCCGGCACCGATTTACTTGATTCGAGGGGTGTGGATTCCTTAGCTTGCCGGTGGCTTGAGGGGAGGGGGGAAAGGGCCGGGACGAGCTACCTGGAACGGAGAATTCTTCGCCTGCTCCGTTCGATATCGGAGCCTTGTGTGTGGTTTCCGTTATGTCATTCCGGGATTGGGCGTCTTGGTTGGCTTGATTGCTCGGGATTGTCTCCTGATTCATAGACGGGATATTCGTGGGGATGGTGTAGCAGTGATCATGTGGACCGGCTTAGGTGTGGTAGGCAATTTATTCTCTCCATTCATATATACCTTGGGTGAGAGCTTCTGGAGTTCAGCCTTCTGCTGGCTTGTTAGGCATGAAGCTTGAGGCCCTGTGTCTGTACTCTGTCTCGATACAGCTTCGCTTCCATTGCGTCAGAAAGAGCCCGAACTCATTCAACAGAGTCTCTAGATTGACAGCTTTCCAACTTCCACCATGTGTGCTGCCAAAATCAAAGCTTCCGTCTTGTACGGCCCAAAAGATCTCCGCCTGGTATGTAAAGCAGTGGATGACTTGCTGTCCGAAGAAAATGGCAGCAGGTCAACAGACGACCAAGCCAAGACGCATTCCATCGAGCAGCTCAGCCTCGCTGACCCCTTAGCATCACAGGAAGAACGCCGCCTCCCAGCTCCTGAAGAAGACGAAGTTCAAGTCGCTATCCAATCCACCGGCCTCTGCGGCTCTGACGTGCACTACTTCCACCACTTTCGCAATGGCGACCTTCTTGTGCGCCAGCCGCTGACGCTGGGCCACGAGTCCAGCGGCACCGTTGTCGCTGTTGGTGAGGAAGTCATCGACCTCAAGCCGGGCGACCGGGTCGCGCTCGAGGTCGGCTTGCCGTGCGAGCACTGCGAGTACTGCGAAGGCGGCAGATACAACATCTGCAAGGACATGAGGTTTCGGAGCTCGGCCAAGTCCTATCCTCATGCGCAGGGGACGCTGCAGGAGAGGATCAACCATCCTGCGCGATGGACTCACAAGTATGTTTCCCACGTGAAGCGTCCATCTTGAAATTGGACGATGAAAGGAGATGGGCTGACACTGGTGATCATCCGTCGCACACAGGCTCCCGGAATCCATGTCTCTTGATCTGGGAGCTCTCGTCGAGCCTCTCTCCGTCGCCATGCACGCCAACCGCCGCGCCAACCTCCCCCCTGGGTCCGCCGTCGTCGTCTTCGGCGCCGGAAGCGTTGGTCTCCTGACCGCGGCCATGAGCAAAATCAACGGCGCCTCTGCCGTCGTCATCGCGGACATTCAAAAGGACCGCGTCGATTTCGCCATCGACAACGGCTTCGCAGACACGGGCTTCGTCGTGCCATTGGTGAGGCCGCAGTCAATCGACGAGAAGCTCAAGTTTGCACAGGAGGTCGCGAGGATGGCCCGGGCTGCTCGAGTGAATGGCGAGTCAGTTGACGAGTTTGGAGCTGCGTTTGAGTGCACGGGCGTGGAGGCTTGTTTGCAGAGCGGAATCTACGTGAGTGGTTCTTCCTGGCAACCCAAAGATCCGAATAAGAGTGAGTAATGCTAATGGGAAGCCATATATAGGCAACCAAACCCGGAGGAAAAGTAATGATCATTGGCATGGGTACGCCGATCGTTGTATTGCCCATAGCTTCGGCCTCCCTTCGAGAAGTCGACCTCGTGGGCGTCTTTCGATATGCCAGCACGTATGCTGCAGCCATCGAGATGCTGGCCAACAAGCCGCCAGGGTTGCCCGACTTGGAGAAGCTCGTCACTCATCGCTTCAAGGGCATGGACGAGATCAAGCACGCGTTTGAAATGGCGGGCAACATCAAGGACGAAGAGGGCAATCTGGTCATCAAGGTTGTGGTAGACATGTCTTAGCAGCACCTCGCAGGATCACGGGACCACATGAATGAAGTTACGATTTTGATGACAAGCATGCTATACGAGACTGAAAGACGTGTCTTCTGCACGAGTAATCTAGCCGTACAGGCTGCGTACATGCTAACTGAAAATACCGCTCTGACCAATGCAAGGCTATGATTTATCAGGGAAGCCAAAATCGATGCCGAACGGAGGGTAGACGTAGCGCTTCAGCTCGCCCTTGCTCGCCAGGTCGTTTGAGTAATCATTCAGCAGCTTCATGTCCTCGTCGTCCAGGTCGACAATCTCCAGGTTGGCCTTGATGCGAGCGGGCGTAACCGACTTTGCCAGCACGGTGCTGCCACGGTTCACTATTCAAAACAGAATGTAAGTATGTGTAGTCCGATGAGAGGCATGCTCAAGTAGAGGAACAAGAAGCGTACCGTGATAGCTCAACAGGACAGTGGTGGGTGAAATCCCCTTCTTCTCGGCAATCTTGACCACGGGATCGGCGCTCATCAGCGGGCTGCCCGTGCTGCCCAGGGGGCTGTAGGCCATGATGTGGATGCCCTTTTCCTTGCAGAAATCGACAATCTCCTGCTGGGGCAGGCTGGGGTGGTTCTCAATCTGGTTGACGGCGGGGATAACGGTGGCGTGAGGGAGAAGCTGCTCGAGATACTTCTTGCTGTACTACACCATGTCATTATGTTAGAGGCTGTCGGACAGCAGTATGAGATGCTCCAAGACATACGTTGCTGACGCCAATGGACTTGGTCTTGCCCGTCGCGAGAACAGCCTCCATCTGCTTCCAGCCGTCGACGTGATTGTAGTCCCAGATGACGTCTCGCTTGCCGTCGGGCAGGGTAGGGAACTTGTCGTGATTGCCTGTGAGTAAGGAGTTAGACGATCTGATTGAAGGCGTCTCGTCGATAAAAAACATGTCATATCTCTTACCTTCAGGGTTCAGCAGAACTGGCCAATGCTGCAGTTGTCAATAACTCGTCAGCATGCTGCTCACGAATATGTAGGCAACCCAGGTGCCAGGTCCAGGTCCGTACTCACCACCAGCAGCAAGTCGACATAGTCCAGCCCCAGGCTTCTCAAGCTCTTATCCAGGCCCAGCACAACCCGCGTGTTGTACGTAGCCCAGATCTTGGTCACGACGAAAATGTCCTCGCGCTTCACCCCCGCAGCAAAAGCCTCCTTGAGGCCCTCGCCCACCTCGTCCTCGTTGCCGTAGCAGTAAGCTCCGTCGATGAGCTTGTAGCCGATCTGAAGCGCGTAGGAGACGGCCGCCTTGACCTCGCCGGCTTTGGACTGCCATGTTCCTGCAAAAGTTCAAAATCAGTCATGTTGATCGATGGCACTTTTTGATTTTCTTTGCTTTGATTTTCTTTGCTTTGATTTCCTTTGCTTTGATTTCCTTTGCTTTGCTTTGCTTTGCTTGCTTTGCGCGCACATCGAAATTGCCCCTCCCCCGCCATTGGCAACTCTGCCTCCCCCCTCACAGGAGGGAGACTGATTGAGACATACCGAGACCAACAGCTGGAATCTCCAGGCCATTGTTGAGCTTGAACGAAGTAGCGACCATTTTGGCAATTTTGCTTTCTTTCTTCTGGGGGGGGGGGGGGGGGGGGGGGAAGACTGAACAGCTTTTGAAAAGACGCAGTTGTTTGAGCAACCTACTAACCTCGCATCTAGCATGCACCGGTCAAGCAGACGTGGGATCCCGCGGCCCTCTTATATTTTATTTACCTACCACATACCGCTTTGACCAACTAAATGCAACAAGCAAACACACATGAAACGAACAGATGCTACCCCAGTAATACCCCGACCTCGCTACCCCAAGACAAAGTCCCTTGTTCGGCGGTCAACCCGCCAAGCAGCTGCTGGACCGCAGGACGACCAAGGCATCACGAAATGGCTCAATAACAAGAGGGCGAGCTTCTTGGCTGCGTGGGGGTGCGCCTGTGGCCCAGATTCTAGCCAAGGAGAATTCAGTCCGTGTTGCTCAAGGGGCTCCATCACGACATTCGGCCTGTTTTGAGCCGAGAGGCGGGATAAACTGGTGGATATTCCCGGGCCTTGCTTTGACGGCTAGTATTAGGGATCCTCATTGAGCCAACAAAAAGGCCGTCGTCATGCACGCTCTTAAAGCTGCGGCGTGTATGCACATGTATGTGAATCGAATGCGAGACACAAGCAGAGATACCCATGTAGCGACAGGTACAGTCTGTGGTTATTATTGTCACATGCAAAGCCGGGATGCGTATTGCTATTACACACACATCTTACGGTCTCCAAGACGTTAAAGGCCATATATTTGGTGACGACAAAAGCAAAGGATGTCCTGATCCCCCCAAAACGCCGGTTGATTCTCGAGCACCTCCTTGATGCTGCCGCTTTCGCCTCTAATTCTACAATAGAGCCTGCGATGCCTTGAGAGAAGAACGACACAAGACGAAAATAAATGGAATAGACAGAGAGAGAAAAAAAAAAAAAAAAACACAGAAGAAATGGTACGCAACGACAGCAACCGGAATGGCGTGGGAAGCATGAAAAAAAATCCTTTCACATCACGACGTGATACATGCCGGAGGATGAGAAAAAGATGTCCGCAAAGAGTAAAATGGAAAAATAACCGTCCCTTGGTATCCGTACAGCTGCATCTGCATCGCCTCTATTAACCCCAGTGGCATTCTTTACCCCGAGACCAAAACCCATAGTCTGATCGCGTATACCAGTTAGCCATTTGGTTCGTAGAAAGAAGAAGAGCGATGCAACGCCTCGGAAGAAGCACTTACAAGAAGAAAATCATCAGAACTCCAAACATCTTTGCTATCAGCCATCGGTTGCTGGAGACTCTCGACCAATACTTCATCAGCTCGCGCTGTGCCCCCTCCACATTGTCCACAATATCTTCCGTGTTGGCGTCGATCCGCTCAATCATCTCGCTCTGCTCGGATACCATGGTGGCCAGCTGGCTGAAGATGCCTCCCAGCTCGTTGATTGTCCGCTCAATGGCCTCAATGGCCTCGCCTCTCTGCTGGATATACGTGTTGGTGGGGTTCGCCTCCTCCATCATTAACAGCTGCTGGTCCCCTATCGGGCCTGGATTCAGCGAGAGAGTGTCGTTGCCAGGCGCAGGAGACGCGCGATTGGGGGTGCCGTACAGGGGCGAGGCGGATTGGTGCAGCGACGGCTGCGCATGCTGGGACACGGTGGATATAAAGTTCTCGGTTCGCGACCTCGAGGCTTGGATGTTCTTTGTCCGGGCTTCCAGCACGTCTTTGAAATTGACAGAGACATCCGTCAACTTGCCCTGCAGCAGATACACTACGTTCTTGTTGTGCTCGCCCTCCTGGTCAGCCTTGGGGTGCTGCTGCTTGGACATTGCCTGCAGGGCGCCAATCTGTTGGTTGAGCGACGACAAGTCCTGCTTGATGACGAAGGTGAGCTCGTTGATTTCCACCGGCCGGTCATCGAAGAGTGTGCGACGCTTTGCGACTGTGGCCAGAGTGTCAGTCTGATATTCTTCGTAACGCTTTCTAACCCATCAGCATATCCATGTGCACGCAGAGAGACTCACGTTGCGCCAACTTCTCCAGCTTGCCCATGGTGGCCGCGATGCCTCTGCCAATCTCGGCGGCCTTCCGGGCAAAGTCTGATCTCCTCGCTCGAGCATCTCCGTTCGCGGCAGACTTTTGCGCATCGTTGAGCAGCGATCTCCGCTGCGAGCCCACCTTGTTCGCATTCTGGCGACGCTGGGCCTGGGCAAGGACCGACTTGAACTCCGCGGTTCGGTCCTGGATCGAGGCGACAGCCATTCTGTAGCACAACAAGGCCAATAGCTTCTCCTGTTTGAATTTTGGGTTCGCCTGCCGGGTGCTGTTGTGTCCGGACTGCGACCAGCGCGTCTGGCGATCGAACGACTAGGAAGGCAACCGATGGTGTGAGGCGTGATTCGAGGCGAGGTTCAGCCCTGAGATCGAGATCAGGTCGCGAGCCGGGGTGGAGGATGAGGGAGCAATCTCGGCAAGATTCGCTTCCTCTTGCTGATTAGTCGTCGAGCAGAGTCAAAGATGGAGTAGTTCGTTATAATAATATCGGAAATCGAGTTTGAATAGCTCTGGGCTAAAAGGGACCAGCAACAGCAAGCAAATCGGTCGCTTCGGAATGGGACGATTCAGGCGGCTGATGGCGGCAAGGATGAATTGATTAATTAAAAGAGGTTCTGGGCAGAGTAAGACGTAGACTCGAAGAAGGTATAAGGAGCGAAGCCGGCAAATGAACAAATGATGGGGTTGTGAGGTTCGAATGGTTTCGTCGCCGGCTAGCAGCGTCAGGGAGATGAGAGATGGATTTGATGAATCCACGTTGCTTCGACGGCTCTAAGGCGCCACACGTGCGGCCTGGGGGCGAGACAGCGGCCACAAGTAGCTGCGCAGGGCTGGCGGCATGGGGAGATACTTCGTATTGGCCTCGGCGAGGGTACCTTGGCCATGGTTAAGTGGACCAACGGATAAAGGAGCATAGCCACAGTCTACCTCCATCTCGTACCTTCGAGTACAGGCAGATGTACTACTTGGAACACTAGGTAGTAAGAACTGGAAGAAAGACCAACATAGTAGTGCCTTACCTTGCCTTACCTACTGCTGTACCAGAAGGTACCTTGACGAAGATGCCGCTGTTGACGTAGTCTCTTGCTACCCTTGTTCAGCACCTTGAAGCATGCGGCTCTCTCCATCCCTTCAAGTCTGTATTATTATTACTTCGGCTTCGCACTTCATGCCTGTCCCCTGCCTCGACGGCTCCCGATGCACCAGCCACACCGTTCGGACGCGCCAGCCTTTTTTGTTTTCCACTTTCAAGGCTCCTCCTTCCTGCCTTCCCTTTCCCCAAGTGTGCCGCTGCACTTGCTGCAGTTGAACGACAGGAAAGTACGAGGCACTTTGTACCATCTATATCACCTGCCTCCTGGTATTTCGTACTAGGTAGGTAGGAGCATTGGCCTCAACCTGCCACGACGATCGCCGCGCTTCCTCTCTCCTCCTCCTCCTCCTCCTCATCCTCCTCACCGAAACCCTGTAACTTCTTCTTCTCTTATTCGGATTCGCAGCGTTTATTTGTCTGTCATCGTGACAAGTTAGTCTGCACTCGCCAGCGTCGTCTCTCGGATTGTTGATCCTCTCTGTTGGTCCTCCGTTGCGCCATTCATCTTTGCCGACCAGCTTCTCCGCTCCAGACCACCACGTAATTTTTTGGCAATCGCAAAGTCCGCCCCGTCTCCAATTCTCCCTCTGTGCCATCACTTGCACTTCGCAGAGGGAGAGGCAACAGCCGTCGCTTGCACCAGCTATCCGCCTGGACGCGGGGGAAACCAGGCATTTCGGCTGCCTCCTGTCGCCTTCTCCGCCTGTGGAAGCATGCTCTGAGATAGAACAAATCAAGAGGTTTCGCATAGTCACGACGGCACAATGGAGGACTCGTACAATCACCCAGTGAAACGTGCCCAAACGTCTCTGTACGGCTGCTCCGCTCGCTCCCGCGTCCCTCCCTCCCTCGGCATCGCATTGTTTTGAGATCGCTGACAGACTTTCTTTTCGATTTTGCAGAAGCGCGCAGGCCCAGCCGACGACGACCTATCAAGTCAACGTGAGCCGGAAGAAGACGAGAAAATGGGTCGAGGCCAAGGTCCAGAACTATGACGGCGACGACTGGGGAGCTGACGAGTTCGACGAAGAGTCTGACCAGGAGCCTGTGCCGCCTCCGCCAATCAACCCTTCGCTGCGCACGTTCTCCGGCACCGACCTGCTACACTCTCGGCACAATACCCCCAGCCCAGCATCGAGTCTGAGTGCGCTGCCGTCGCTGCGAACACAGGCCCAGCAGTCGCAGCAGCAGCCTGCCGCAGTACCACCGCCAGCCGGCCAGCCACCGCGGATAGGAGTCTCTTCTCCCGACGTATCAGACGTCTCGATTCGCAGCGCCTCCGAGTCCATTGCCAGTGGCCATGCTGTATCACCGCAGTCCGTGACCGCCTCCCACGGACGTGACGGCGATAGCAACCTGTCGCTAGCCGGTATCGCCCAGCTACCTTCGCACACGCAGCTACAAGATCAGCAACAACAAGGTCCCGGCGGCTATGATGTGTCACGGTCTTCCAGCTTTGAGCGCTCTATAAAGCCCACGCCCACGCCCACGCCTCCTGTTGGCAATCGCTCTTTGTCGCCCCATATCTCCGCACCGTCGGCACCACCTGCAGATCAACCTCCCCCCATCATCTACTCGCCCGATAACTACAGCCGTCTCAACGATGACAACGAGCATCAACCTTTAGCACCGGCTCCTGTTATACCCTCAACCAGTGGAGGTTGGTCCGGATCTGCCCCCCAACCACTGTCTGGCGCGGATAGGCGTGACACTTGGGAAAGAGACGACGGTTCCCTTCATGCTGGCCAGTCGGACAATCAAACAGCTCGTCTGGATATTGAGTCTCAAGCTGGGATTGATCGCGGACGCATGTCCGTTAGCCCCAAGCTGCCAGACCTTGCTCGCATGTCCGCCTTTGGCGCTGACCTATTCTCTTCTTCGGCAAGCCAAAACGCGCCAAATATTCCTCCGGTGATTGAATCTAGCCCCGACATCCCCAGTGCCAACCAGTCGCGCTGGAAGCCCCCTGCGGTGCCGGCCGAGGAAGAGGATCACTCCGAAGCGCCAGGAGGCGCTCCTCTTTCTCAACCAAACAATCTGTTTCCTGGCAGGAATCTTCCGGACATTCCCCCTTTGCGAACCCCTAGCCCCCATGAGACGCACGCTGCAGATGCCTTGTTTGATTCTCAAGGTACCAAAATTACCCCTACGGAGCCTCTTCAGCCTGGCAGGGGAGAAACTCTGCCTGATTTGGATGGACCTCAGTCGTTCCACAGAGTGCAGACTTACAGCACGGCCGAATCATCTCCTCTGAAGGACAGTCCGGTGAAGGAGAGCGACGTCCTCAGTGATGAGATTATGCGGACGCTCAGCCCCTCTGGCGCGACTCCTGCCGAAGTCAAGCTTAGTGACGGCCCCCAGCTGCACCCTCCGGGGGACCGCAGTGCCGTCAGAGAGAGCAGCTATACACTGATGGACTATGACAGCTACTGGGCAGACACCGGGGACGATCCGAGTCTAGGCCATGAACATCTGCCAGTGCCGCCGCCCGAGGATCTCCAGAGCACACCGTCGGCTCCGGAGACGGAGCCTGCTCATTCGGCCCAGCCAGGACTGCAGTTGGCCACGAATTCCACGCCTCCGCCTCCGGCAGCGACTACGGTTACCTTTGATTCGATTTTGTCTCCTCAGCAGTCTCAGCAATTGCTCAAAGAACAGCCAGAACAGCAGAATGAACAGCAACCGCCGTCGACTCTTAGACGCAGATTCTCCTGGGAGGCCGAAGAGGAACAGCGCACTCCTACTCCCACGACTCCGGCTCAGGCAACGGGCGATGGCTCATCTGCTCCCGCGCTTCACCTGAGACCGTTTGAGCCGTCCGTGACGAACGTGGGTAACGAATCTCGTAGCCATAGCCCTGTTTCTCAGCTGTCGCAGGCACCACCAGCAGCGACGGGATCCGGCTCGGGAGGCCTGGCGCTGCAGACTTCAGGTGCTCTGCCAGGACATGATCCATCGCTTCCTGAGCCTCCGTCTCCCGTATCTGTGTCGGTGAAGAGCGACAGGCCGTCCACCACGGCTCGCGACCAGGCGCGGTTGTCCATCGCCGAAGAAAAGCTGCTCGCAGAACAGGGTGCCATCAGTTTGGTGACAGGAACTCCACCTCCGCCCCCGGAATCTCACCCGGCCGTGTCTTCACCGACTTCTGCAGCATCCGTGCCGGCTCCACAAGCCCCTGCCCCTAATCCAAACCCGCATGCACAGACCAAAGCCATGAGCTTCCGAGAGATCATGGGGCTGTCGACGCCCGCAGAGAGGATCGCAAAATACAATGAGGCTCGCCAGGCTCTGGCTGCAAGAGACTCTGGCCTGCAGAGCTGGCTACTGTATATGACCACTGAGCATCCCGACCTTTCGGCATCCATCTCTGCTCCGGGCGGCCACTTGATATCTCAAGCGACCAACGACGCCTCCTTGCCGGCCGGGTCTCAAATCTCAAGCCAGCAACAGCCCTATTACCAGCAATATCTTAACGCTAGCTCGCCCAGCACGTCTGTGCCACAAGTCGGAGGGGGTGGAGGTGGCGGTAGCGGAGGCGGTGGTGGCCGCTCGAGGTTGGGTGGACTGTCGATGCCATCCCAGATGTCTGGCAGTGCCTTTGGCCATTCGGGCAACCAGATCGGCACCAAGAGCAAGGAATTCATGCATTCGGCTGGAAAGATGGGCAAGGGACTGTTGAGCAAGGGCAAAAGCAAACTGCGCGGAAGCGGGGACAAGGTATTTCATTGATTGATTTTTCTCTCCAGACCCTACTCGCAGTGAGTGGGCCCTTCTCTTTCCTCTTCATTCCCTCGACAGAATAATACTTTTTCTTCTTCTTCTTCTCTCAACCTCTTCTTCTTGTCCTCTCCTCCTTTCCTTTTTGGATACTCTTACTCATCTTCCTGATACGATTCGGTTGTCTTGAACGATGCTCCCGAGAATGGAGACATCCTGTGTACCCGCCCTTCCCTTATTCAGGACTAGAAATTGGGGCACCATGATGTGAACGGTGGCATGTCTATGAAGATAGGATTTACACGGCAAACACGAACCACGCCCTCTCTCACCCATTGTTCCCTCACGCACCCCCTTTTCCCTGATGTACACCCTCTTCAGCCCAGCCCACCAAACTATATACATACACACATATCTACATACACATACACCCATTCACATGCACACACACACCCCTCTCCGATATCACTGTCCAAGGGGAATTTCTTTTTCTTCTCTTTCGAAACTCACCACGATGTGATGAATGCGTGTTAACTTCCCTCTTTTCTCAAACAACTAGGTTGATATCATCACTCCGGACCATCCGACCCCGAACAAAGCACAGCGACGATCGACCTGGCGCTTTAGCCTCGAACCAAGACCCCGAGAAGACGATCCTGCCCCACATTCCAGCGATGACATCTCCACGACACCGCCACAGCTGCCCGACCCGTCCCCGGTCTCCCCCTTGGATGCTGCATCTGGCCCCGGATCCGCCTTTCCGTGGAGTGTCTCGAATGACAACACGCCAGACCTCGACCCGTCAGCCGTGAAGCAGCCTGGCGAGGAACACGTCAGACCGGGCCAATTATCAACCGCCAGCAATTTCTTCCACGGGCCTCATGCGTCAGCCGATGAAGGAGAGAACCTGTTCTCTACTGGCCAAAGAATCTCCGACTCGACTCCGGATACAGTGACGCCGGATGATTGGGTCATGGTTCAGCATCAGGGTGAACGGAGCCGGGCCAACAGAATGTCTTCGTCCTTCAGAGCAATGGTGAATACCAGTTCCGCTCCCGCAATTGGCCCTGGAGCCGACCATGACGCGGCCCAGCCACAAACTCAAATTCAAGGCCAACCCCCCATTCAGAACCTGCCCCTGGACGGATCGGGTGCGCCAAAGCGCAACTCGTCTTTCATCGGCTTGCCGCCCATCAGGAGGGGCTCGACGTTTGGCACAAAATCAAAGGCACGGAGGGCTTCTGAACGCTTTGCCCTAGACGATGACGAGGATGTCGGCGGCTTGGGAGGTGATGGTGCTGACCTTAACGCCTCTCTCTTCTCCCCTGTCGGCGCCGTCGATGCGTCGAAGCAGGATATAGAGGCAGTGACAGGTGCAGACCCGAGATTTGGCCCGGAACAAACTACCAACGCAGGCCATCTCCATTATCCCCATCACCCTCATCCACAGCAGCCTCAACAACCTCACCATGCAGGGCAACAGCAGCAACAGAGGGAGCATTTTCCTGGTGAGCATGGACCTCAGTTTGTCCCGGCCGCGCCTATGCTAGGTAGCCTAGTTCAGAAACTGCCCCCCGCCGGCCCGTGGAAGCTCGAAGAGAGTCACCTGGCCGAGCCACTTCATCTCACCAAAAAGCGCTCTGGCACAGACTTTGCTCAGCAGAATGCCTACTATGGCTACGACAAGGAACTTGGATTGGAATTCCCGGCCGCCCCGGTGCCTGCTCCCCAGGGCCCGCCTGCTCGATTCAGAAGCGATGTGCCTCCATCGTCTGCTCGACGCTATCCCGAGCTGTTTCAGCTATCTCACGGCCAGGATCCGCGGCAACATAACCGCGGTCAAGGATTCCCGCCCCAAATGCAGAACCGCCCGCCTAGAGAGGGAGCAGCCGCTCCACGACAGCAACAAGGAGGGCCGGAGTCCGACGATCGTGGACGCAGGAGGAACTCGGGCATATTCAAGGAAATTGGAACCCGGCTTGCGAGGGCTACTTCGCGAGAACGCCGAGGCTCTGTCACCGAAGCCAGACCCCCCTCCTTGCAGCTTCGAGGGGATGAGGTTTCGGAAACTAGTGTGGCCACGGAGGATACCGCTGATCGCAGGAAGAAGCGGGCCAGCTTCCTTGGCTTCTCTGGTCGTCCTTCGTCAACCGAACAGGCGATTCGGAGGGAAGAGGACACGACCCACCAAGCGCGTCAGCGAGATACACGGTCGGCTGGCGGCGAGCCGCCCGCTGATCCTCGTGAGGAGCGTAAGCGCGCCTTCTTTGGTGCTGGACAGTTCAGGATAGGCCCGGGGAACTTCTCTCGCTCATCCACTTCGAACGCCGCCTTTGAGTCTGCTGGTGATGGCCGAGACGGCGGGGCTGCGCATAAGAGACGGATATCCGATATTGCCAAAGTGTCAGGAATCACAGGCCTATTCTCTCGCTCTCGCCAAGATCGTGCTTCACTGGGCGCGATACCCAGGCAGCACACTGATGACCACAGGCAAACTTCCCAGACACAGGACCAGGCGGCCGCTGTTTTTCGGCCGTCCATTCAACTACCCTCTTTGGATTTTGCTTCAGATCGACTAGGTTCCATGTCGAGCCTAGGGTTTGAAGAGTCTTTTCAGAACTACGGCCGCGAGGAGGAGGAGGAGGAGGGGGAGGAGAGTAAGCAGCAGCGGCAGCAGCAACATGCGCTCGAACAGCCTACGCAGATACCATTTGGTAATTCTAAAGCCTCCCCTGCAGCTAATGGCCAGGAGAAATCATCTGCCTCGCTAGGGTTTGCCTTGCCTCAAATCACGCCGCTGTCACAGATCATGGCTCTGGATTCCGGACGACAGACAGCTCAAAACAACCACCAGCCCCCGCTCTCCACCACTACCCCAGTGGCTCGTGCCGTCATCCCACAGACAGGTCCGCAGGTTGGGAACTTGGCTGCTGCAGAGGGCCGGCGGGTTTCTGGAGACGTGGCTCTGGAGACTCTGGAGACCTCGCCCACGTCTCAAGTGGGGTCTACGACGGGGGAAAAGACTCCAAGGGCCCAAGAGTTTGCGTTTCAGGAGAAAATGCCGCCCCTCTCTGTTAAGAGGGATGATGTTAGCGAAGAAGATGTGCTGAGATCACAGACAGTATCCCCGGATATATCCATTGTATCCACGTCCAAAACCGAAGAGCAAGCCATCGTTCAACCACAAAGCCGTACTTCGGAGCACGACGAGATTGTCGAGGGCGTTCTGATTACTCCTCCTCCCGAGGCACCTCCTCTGGCCTCGGACTCTGACCTTGCTGCTGGCCGTTCTGTCATTCACCACACTGTTTCTCACAACATACCTCCACCATCGGTCCACTCTTTCCCATCTGTTTCTTCTCTCCGCGAGAGATCCGATGTCAAGTCTGTTCTGCAGGGAGAAAGCTCTGTGCATCAAGCCGAAGGTAGTGTGGCTCTATCTCCGGAGCCTTCGCCGCAAGTTGCAAAGTCTCAGGTGTCGAGCAAAGCCGCAACGCCGGTATCTCGACATGAACAGCTTCATTCGCCAGCCTCGGCGGCCGTCAACCCGCCGGATACGCAAAACACTGAGCCTCCAGCCACTCCTCGGTCTCACACCAGATCCGAGCCTCAGCAGCATCTTGTTGACACAGCAGAGCAGCGGAACTTCCCTACTTCGGCATCCCCCCTGCTTGCAGGTACGCAGGCACCACAGCAGCTGCGGCCTCAATACCCACCTTCGGCGAGCCTGTCCAATGCATCTGTCGCTTCAGATATGTCGACAACAATGCACCCAGTTCGATCTGTGCCGCAACACTTGACCCCAGGACTTCCTGGGCCACTCGGGCGAGCGTCTACCCAACCCCAAGAGGCTGCAACACAACAGAAAGACGGCCAAGCATCACGTTGGAAAGGACTTAGAAACCGAATGACGGAGCAAATCTCCCAAAGGACTCAGCAGCCGCAGCAACAGCAGCAGCAGCAGCAGCAGCAGCATCCACAGCAACAGAGCCTGAACCCCGGCCAGAACAAGACTGCTGTGGCGGACAAGATCAGGGGCAACAAGTTGCTTGGCGCCCTCAGGCGAACGCCCAAACAGGTAGAGAGCACGCAGACTCAGGGCAGCGTGCAGCCACCTCCCGGGCAGTCACAAAACCCGGGCTCCCATACTTACACTCAAGGATATCAGCTGCAGCCAGGACAAATACAGGGGCCGCGCCCTGATGCTATGCCGGCCAACAATGGCCAATATCTGCAGGCATCTGGACAGCCCCCCAATCTTCCTAGAGCCAAGACGATGTCTCCTGTGCCTCCACAGCAGAGTGCGCCGCCTCGAATTCAGACTCGCTCATCAGAGCCGCGTTATGAGACGGTACCTATTCCCAGGGGATATGCGGCGGTGCATGGCGAGGGCACTACAATACCGTCGCCATACCACCAGAACCTTCGACGTCAAATGCCGCCCGGTCAGTTTGCTCCCCAGCCACAGCAACTGCACCCATTGCAGCAACACCCTCGTCCCTATCCACATGTACAACCACAGCAGGGATGGCAGGCTGGCCATCCTCCTCTCATGTCCAATTACCAGCTTCAGACCTTGCAATCGCCATCCCTCCGGACGGCTCAAGGCCCAGTATCAGCACCTGTGCCGAATGAGAGGTCTTCTCATATGAGGGTTTTCTCTGATTCACGGGCCGACTATTATGATGCCCGTAGCACGGGTTCATTCAACACGCAGTTGAGTCAGCACAACAGGCACAGCTCTCAGGGGAGTTACGCCAGCAAACTTGAGCCGCGGCCCACCACCGGTTCGGGCAGCAACCTTGGAGTGTCGCATCCAGGAAGCCCACAGCCGTCCGAGAAAGGGAATCCGTCTGTTGTGGACGGCACTCGATCTGCTCCACGAAGCCCAGCTGTGTCGGTAGGAGCCGATCAGAAGCCTGGCATCAAGCCCGAGCCCAATTCGGAAGTGACAGCTGAGCCAACTCCGGCTTTGAACCTTGACATAGATGTCGAGAAAGCTCGGCAATTGGTGGAGGAGAATCTCTACGATGCTACGCCCAAGGTAGTGCCCGGCGCTGCAGATAAGTCGTCTGGCAGCTCTGAGGCAGTGCCAAAGGAAGAGGCAGAAACCTCGAAAGCGGCGGAGGTCAAGCCAGATCTGCCGCCGGCAAGCACCGGTGTGGTGGCTGAGCTGGAAGATACTGAAGAAGCACGAAAGCGAGCCATTAGACTGGCATCCCAAGAGGAGAAGATTTACTACGAGCCAGAGGATTTTGAGCCCAAGATGAGCGCAACGAGCTATCCCGGACAAGAATGGAATCCGTTCGGCGAGCCGGAATTTGCAGATTGGAAGGAAGATTGATGAAGGGGGCTCCTGGGTCGCTCGTGGATACGATATGAGCACAGGTATATATGATTAGACGTGGAAGAGTGGTCTTTTCGTTGTTCCTTTGTTCATCTCGATACTTGTCTTGTCGAAACGGAGCACACGTGTCATTTCAGATACCCCATGCACTTTCATTTGTTCATATGCATTGCTGCGGAAGCAAGCGAGCGAGCGAGCGATGTCGCAAGGATCATCCATCAGTGCTACATACAAGACGGCCATTCACGTCGAATTTTTTTATGTTGAGTTGCAACCATTTAGATGACACACGGGGGATTTGTTCATAGCAGACTGCGATAATAATAGTATCCGACGTGGTTTCTTCCATCGATCCGCGTTGTCTCTATTGGCCATTTTGGCCTAGTGAGCAAACAGTGTCACAGCCACCTGCGCATTGCCGTCGGGTTCCTGTGAAATGTGTGAATTGGACACTCGATGGCATCGTACAGCAGATATGCTAGAGGTGGTAGGTACTTCCTAGGTCCGATTGTAAGGTACATATTGTATGTATCCCGGTGATGACGCCCTCGTCCCGGCTAGTAGCTGAGATAGTGATGTGATACGATACGAGACGGGGCGCGAACTGAGCCTGGCGACCCTCGTCAGGTTTCAGGTAGCGGGTTCATGCTCATCGATGTCGCTGGGAGAGACGAAACCAGGTAGCCTGATGGAATTGGGGTGTTGGTAGCGAACAAATACTGGTAAGTCGTCCTAGGGCCTTATTGATACTACATACCTACCTTAGGGAGGCACCTAGGTAGTATGTATGTACACACATGCAAGGGACCACGAACGAGCAAAAGCACTTCATATGCTACTTCGCCATCACCTGCTCTTCTGGTGGACGATGCTGGCAGCTGGGATGGAAGATAGCTCTGTTTATTGATGGATATGCCTTGGCTCGGAGACAATAAGGTAAGCTGTACGAAGGAAGCAGGTGGGTGGCGGTTCGGGCGGTTGGGTCGTAGCGGGGGGAGGGGAAGGGGCCTTTTGCTGATTGATGCTGTGAGGCTTTGATGCCGAGGGTCGCTTTGAATGGAGGATTTGCTGGATCAAAGGGTTCGTCAAGCGGCCAGTCCAGCTGTGCGTTGGGCGACGATGGGATGCGTGTCTGATGCGTTGTTCAAGGCAAGGAAGGATTGAGGCAACAGAGACAGACAAGACGGCACAAGACATGAAGCAGAACAACTTACCTTCGTATCTATCTAGTAGTATTATGTATAGTAGTTGGTTCTGGAAAGCAAGAGAGGCTTGACACAAAGAGACACTGTGCGCCGTTGACCCTGCGGTTGAAGCCTCAACAAGCTCAACAACTTGTACGATACTGGTAGTACTTGTATGGATTCAGCCGGCTAAAAGGACTCGAAGCTTCTGTGATCCTTTTTCTTGAGCAGCATCAGAAGCGCGAGAGAGGCAATGGAGAACCAAGGAGTGGAAGATTGCTGGAACTGGAGGCTACTGGATTCCAGTTGCAGCAGGCTGGAAGCGGGCAAAGGCGGGTCAGGCTGGGGACCCCCTGTAGCTGAGCACCTGACGCGCTTCTCCAGGGCCTGGATGCGCTGTGTCTGTACTTACTATTACAGTAGGCACTGCAGGGAGCAGCGAGGCTGCACATGTACTCGTATGTAGGTGCTGTGTCCTGATGGAGCCCCAGGTAAGGTACTCGTACCTGCTGGAAGTACATGTGATGTGCTGCATGCGCGAGACGCTTCCACTATTAGATGACTGCAGCTCGAATGTGCAGGTACTTGTATGTATACCCAACGAGAGCTAATCCATGTACAGTAATACCAGTGGTATTTTCCGGCATATTTGCACCCAAGACTTGGCCTCTGTGATCGCCCGCCAGGCTACTTCAAGGCTCTTGCAAGTACCAGTGATGAGTGATATAAAAGAACCAAGTTTGAGAGATTCAAGACCACAACGAGGGAGGAAAGAGGAAAACGGATCATGACCTACCGCCAAGACTTGCGCCTCCGGCTGTGTACAGGATACATGTGCGAATACGGAGCGCTAGCTGCAGAGCGTCTTGCGGGTAAAGTACAGGTACGAATTGGAGATACGGGAGCGGGGCGTTAGCGTCAGCCGTTCGTCATTAGTGTCCAGCTTGTTCAGCTCGTGATTCAAGAGGGAGAAGAAGAAAAAAAAGGGAAGAGCATCAACTGATGTGACAGAAAATTCGCAACAGATGACGAGCCAAGACATGTCAAAAGATTGATTGATGCATACAAGATCGAAAGTCGAATAATAAGGAGTACTATGTACATGCTGTTTAGTTAGGAGAGATGCGACAAGACCTTTGATTCCCGCCTCGGCGACATGGTACGGAACGGCATGCTGCATTGGGAAAGTACTTCCTGATCTGGGTTAGGGTTATCGGGGAGCGTCGCAGCAAAAGTGCAGTTGCAAGAAAAGCAAGTAGTTCGTACCTTGCCGAGCACTCTCGCATCTGCAGTAGCGAAAGCATATCACACTTTCTCCTCCTTCTTCTTCCTTCGCCTCAAGAAAGAATTATATCCACGGGGCCCCCCCGATAGCCTCATTTTGAGCTTGACCTGTACACTACCTAGGTAGGTATCTGTGTACCTTTGGCTCTGTGAGATATGTACACAGCATCTGGCAGTACCACACAGCTGCCAAAACATGCAGCTACTGTAATACACAAACAACATGCTGGGGGACCCTGCCAGCCTGCCTGCAAACGCGCGATCCCTTGACTCGCCTCTCCCCTGATCCACCATTTCCTCCCCCGGTTATCTCGAATGTACATGCCTACATACAGTACATACATGTACGCAGTACCTACAAAGACATCCATGTGCCTCGTGCATCGGATTCTCCACCAGCTAGGCCAAACCCGCCCTTTGACCCAGCCAGAGGCCAACCAAAGGACCCAGTTGGGAGTGAGGAGAAGAAGGCGCCCAAACCTGGAAAACAGCTCCAGATCGCCTTGGTCCCCTTTCGATTGACGTATGTGTGTTATGTATGTGGTGCTGTGATGTGCGTGCGTGCATTTGGGCATCACGTCAACATACCAATTCGTCCATAGCATGGTCATCATACATGGCATGGTCATCAAGGGCAGCCGTCCAGGTCCCGTATATAGTCTTGTATACATATACCTAGGTACAATACATGCAGACGGATAGATCATCTCGAAAAGCACACATTTGGCTTCTTGGAAACGCCATCCTATTACAGGCACTACATGAATCAAGTCCACATTCATCTCACATCATCGGCATCCCAGCTCCGTTCCATCCGCTGTTCCCATCATCATCATCATCGTCGTCGTCGTCTGCTTCTCCTCACTTTCGGCACGGCCAGAGAGTGCTTGCTTGTGCCTCCCCGTATGTGCATGCAGCTGGACCGGGGCATCGAATTCTGCCGAGTGACACTCCGCCACCGGCCGTGTCCAGAAAGCCCACGCCATTGGGCGGAAACGGATGCTTGAAGCGTGGCGCTGCCGTCGTTCCAGGCCGTTTCTTCCAGTAGTACCCGTTAGGTAGCCCCCAAGGAAACAAGTTCTGGGGGGGGAAGCGCCTTTTCTCGCCTCCCGCGCACAGGAAACGACGCCATTCGAGGCCAGGCTGGGCAGAGCGGCAGCGCAAGGCTATTCGCCCGTTCCCTCCTCACTCCCCGTTCCTCCCATCTGTCCCCGTCTCGCTCATCTTATACGCTTCTCGACCTCTGGGACCTGCGGCTCAGCAACTCCAATATCAAAGTCTCGATCTCCTGCGAGAGAATCCCGTGAATTCGAGACCCGGCCCAGACGCCTGCAAGGATCCAAGAAACGCAGCGCCGTACTCGTATACGCGCGCCCTAGACCCTTTTTTTCGGCACCCAGCAAGCACCCTTTCCACGCCCGGCCTTTTATTGCACATCCTTGGCTTGTGCGCAGCCAAATCTTGCCTCGCTGCCAGTACCTTACCGTGTGCCGCGCTTCCTTTTTCCGACCGACCTCCTTTATTATTTCTCTCTCCTCCGTAATCCGGCTCCCGACGACGCCGCCTCTGGGCTCTCTCTCTTTGTTCCCTTGATTTTCAAGTGTCCTTCCGGTCTCTTGTCAGTCCTCAAGTCGCAGAATCGCCCAGTTGGCTCTTCCGTCTCTTCCTGTCTTCCGTCGCTCTCTGTTGGATCTTTGCCTATCTCAGATTCAGGCTTTCGCTCACTTTATTTTTCTTTTCCCAATTCGGGCGTCCGCAAACCGTTCTGCGCGCGTACGACGCCACACAGCTAACGCTTGGCGCCATTTTTCGCCTTCTTCTTCTTCTTCTTTCTCTTTGCTTTCCTTCTGGTTTCTATCTCTTTTCGATACCTACCGAGTACATCCTTACCGTTATATCCCACCCCCTCTTACTGTACACTATACTATACCGTACATCTTCGCAGCCTTAGATCCTTTTAATTATCCCGATTGCGGCCAGCGACAAGCCAGTGCTGGACTCTAGCTTGTTCGATCTCCTGCCCGTTCTTGAAGTCAACCTCTTCCACTACTACTTCTTCTTCTCCTCTTCGATACGCCTTCTAATACGCCCTCTAATCTCACCTCAACTTCTTCTACTCTTCTCCTCCACGACGGGATAACCCATCCACTTCTTACCATTCATCCCAATTTCTCTTCAGCAACCAGCAGACACCGACAGAGCGAACACGAATACGCAAGACACTCGACGGTGATACTAGTGACGGCATCGCCTGCCGAAACTACCGACCGAGGAAGAAGAACTGAGGAGGAAGGAAAGACGCGGCTCAACCAGATATTGGACTTCGAGGAAGTTGCAACTATGGATTCGTACGTCATACCTGCATTGCATCGCCTCTCTTTCCCTTGTTCGCGCACCCCCCTCTTCGCATCATTTCCCGGGCTGGCTGCCCTTCCCATTTTACGATGTTCGATTATTTTTGAATTTATGATTATCGAAATCTGAAGGAGAGTTTAAGCTTTTGACTTTGATGCTATGCACTCCACACTTAGCCTTACTTTGCTTTGCCATCTTACCCATCCTCAACACCGTCTACTTGTACTCTCTTCTCTCCTGTCCTCCCTTCCCTCACCCTCCCTTCTTGGGTGCGCGACACAGTTGTCTCTCTGCTCCTTCGAGATGCGAAGCAGCAATGGAACAGTCCACTAACAGCTTATTCCACAGCTTTATCCACGTCGCCGGCTGGTCTCAGCACTTTCCATCTTCAGCCAGGTCTCTCAGCCATCTCCGGTCAATATCGACGGCCGCGAGCTCCATCGACGAATCATCCTCATCATACCGCCCTCGACCGCCGCCCAAGTCGCCGTCAGTCTCGAATCTGCCCATAATATCATTCGCATCAAAGGCCGCCTCATACTTCCCCAGCCACGAGATGAGTACATTACCCGATCCACGAATGAAGATCGCCAGCTCGTCGAGCAGCGGCCAGAGGCCCTCGACTGCCCATCCAGAACTGAACGGCAACGACGGCGATGGCGCTTCTACCATTTCACAGCATCCCGGCCTCAGCGACGAAGTTGCGACGCTCAGCACAAAACTCATCAACGCCATCAACCACCAGACCGCCCTCGATGACACCCTGTCAGCGACACGCCACGAGCTGGAGACGTCACATGAACGCATCCGCGACTTGGAGGCTCAGCTGGCCGCCCAGCGCGAGATGATGGCTGGCGACGTCTGGATCCGCAGATCGACGCTCGAGAATGAGCGCAAAGTTTGGCAGGCTGAGAAGAAGGCGATGCAAAAGAAATTAGACGAGGAGACGACCAGCCGGATAGAGACAGAGAAGGAGAAGCGCAAAATTGAGCAGGAGCTGGAGAACCTGACCACGGCCCTCTTCGAAGAGGCAAACAAGATGGTCATTGCCGCCAAGGAGGACGCTCAGTTCCAGCATGATGTCTTGACAAAGAAGAATGATCAGCTCAAGGCACAGCTCGCAGATTCCGAGAGCCTTCTAAAGTCGCAGCAGGAGCAGCTTTCCGAGCTGAAGCAGGTGCTCGAGACGATGGTCATGGAGCGCGATGACCCGAGCAACAACACGGCGCCCTCAAGTCCCGGCCTCGAGTCCAAGGATGACTCTCATCTTGTTCCCGAGAAGCCGACGCCGTCCCCTTCCAGACACAACGCCGAATCGCAATCGACCCCGGCTCCCCCGACCAGCTTTACGCATCTGATTCAACCTGTCTTGCGCACAGATATCGCCGAGTACGACGACTTCATCGCCCTTGCTCGCCTCTCCCATCAGCGCTCCGGAAGTCGTGTCTCCGCCGGTTCCATCGGCGGTTTCATTGGACTTGGTGGCTCAACTTCGAGCGCCCACCTTTCAAACGCTTCCACCTCTTCCTTGAGCGCCTTCTCGAACCTCAACCAGAGCACCAACTCCAGCACGCCGCAGTCTCCCAACGCATCTGCAAACGTGTCTGCCACCAGCGCCGCTTCAACGCCCTCGCCGATTCCTCAGCTCAAGGAGACGCGCTTCTTCAAGCGTGTTCTTACCGAAGATGTTGAGCCCACTCTTCGTCTCGATGCTGCGCCGGGACTGTCATGGCTGGCTCGCCGCACCGTTCTGTCAGCCGTGGCCGATGGCTCGCTGGTCGTCGAACCCATCCCGGCGCCGCCCACGACTCCCAGCTTTCTTCCCGTCCCCAAGCCGCAGTTTTATCCTTGCGCCCTATGCGGCGAGTCTCGTAAAGACGCGGAATACCTGCGCAACTACCGCTTCCGGACAAGCGAGGCTGATTCGGCCCAGCGGTACCCTCTCTGCGGCTATTGCACTGTCCGCGTGCGATCCACTTGCCAGTTCCTCGGGTTCCTTCGTATGGTCAAGGATGGATACTGGAGGGCCGATGATGAGGAGAACGAAAAGGCGGCATGGGAGGAAAGCGTCCGCTTGAGAGAGCAGATGTTCTGGGCCCGCCTGGGAGGTGGTGTCGTCCCTGTTTCCCATGGAGAGACGCACGCAGGAACCACACACAGCCGCCAGCCCAGCCAGGAGCGGATCGTCGACGCTCAGCCTGATGTGGCCACCGGCCCCGTTGCCGATGCATCTGCGAACAAGGGAGAAGCCTCATCTACAGAAAGGGATGAGGCTGCATCTACGGACAAGGAAGAGTCCTCTTCATCTACAGAAAAGGAGGAGGAGGCTGCATCCACAGACAAAGAAGAGTCTTCTTCATCTACAGAAAAAGAGGAGGCTGCATCTGCAGAAAAGGAAGAGGATGCATCCGTTGTCGACACCAGTTTCGACACAGCTCCACCCTCAGAGACCGAAGACGACGACGGCAGCGAGTTTGAGCTGGGGCGCCGCGTGTCCACGGATGAACCTCACACACCTCCCGACCAGACCGACGGCACCAAGCCTCTTCGCTACTCTTTGCAATCCCTGACTCTGGACGCCATCAGCAACTCTGGGTCAGAGGCTACCAAGCGCCTGTCTACGACTACCGTCATTGAGAACTGAAAGACCGACGAGTCATTGATAAAGAGAAGCGCCAGAACCACTCGCACAGCGGATTTTGAAAGATTCCCCCTTATTTCGCAACTATATATTTTGTAATGCTTTCGTCGCCTCGTATGGCTTAATGTTTTATGTATTTCGATCAACTTTGAGTTGACTTCATGGCCCTGCACCCGAACAGAAGCCCGGAACTTGGGAAAAGGATTGGCTGGAGTGGTAAAAGGGGAAAGGGGGAAGGGGGGGAGGGAGCTAGACTGGCGAGCATATTTGGCAATGAAGGCAAACGATATGAATGCTGAGAAGGACACAAAAAAACAACAGGTCAAATATGATTGGCGTTTTTGGGTTGGACTTTGCTCGACGGATACGGGCCTTTCGGAAGAACCAGCAAAACTTTGAGGGAAACCAGCAAAATATGGGCTAGAGCATCCTTCGGTCAGGGGTTCATGGTCTTCCTTCTTTTCTTTCACTTGCAGAATTATTTGATCTGTACTCGTTTTCTTTCTCTGACTGGCGACAACTTCGTCCTCTTTTGGTTTGGCCCTTGTTTTCTCTGCTGGCTGTTTTCCTTTCTTACCATCTTTTTTCCTCACCTTTTTTGATCATGCTACTGCTTTTAACTGCCATCATTCTGAGCGGGCGCACCACGGAACGCATTTTGGGAATGCTCGTTTGGGTCAACCCGCCCAATTCACTGCCATGCTAGAAACAAGGGCCACGAAGAGTTTAGGAGACGAAGAAGGGGCACTGCCCCCTCGAAAGCGACTTCCTCTTTGAGGGGATCCATATAGGTACCTAATGACAATAGATGTATTAGAACAAAGAAGAATTGGCATCTTGATGAATGTTCGCTTGCTCCTTCAATATGTGCCTGATATAACCTGATGTCAAATGTCTGGGGTCTAACAGTCTACCATCACCAGAAGCGAGTTGCCCTGTGGTATGCCGGCGCGGTACTCCAAAAAAACCTTCACGGAAAGAAATCGAGGATATGAGACACAACGACGTCTGGGACTTGCTCTGGGATGTAATGGTCCGAGTCAACAACTTCGACCTGGACCGGCACGCCGTCTGCCGTGACGTTGGTCCACTCCTTCTGCCCGTCAAAGAGGCGACTGACGATGCCCTCCGCGGCCAGCAACACCCTGATGGGTGCCTGGATCAGCTTCCCCTTGGCGAGGTCATCCCGCTGTTCATCGAGGTCGTGTGTAGCGGCCGCACGGTAGTCCTGGCACGTGGCATGGACAAAGTCTTTGTCTTCCATACACTTGACGTACTCTTCCACGGCATCCTTGTGAAACATGGCGAGGCGGGAAAGGTCTCCGCCAGTCAAGAACGTCTCGGTGACTTGGCGCGGGGCCCCGCTGATGAGCGTTTCGGGAAGAGGAGACTTCTGGATGAGGAAATACCAGTGGAAGTAAGCTTTTGGAAACTCGGGATCTGTGCAGTTGTACATTGCTAGAGTAGGGCATATGTCCAGAAGGATGGCCTTGAGGACGCGGGCCGGATGGTCAACAAGCAACTTGTGAGCGATACGGGCGCCACGATCATGCCCGCAGACGTAAAAGGGCTGGCCAGCAAAGCCGAGGGCATCCATGACGGCGATGCAGTCATTGGCCATGTGGCTCTTGGCGTAAAGAGCCGTGTTGTTGGCAGGCTTGGATGAAGCACCGTAGCCGCGAATGTCCATGATCACGACAGAGAAGAGGGACGTGAGCTGGGGAGCAACCAGGTGCCATATATGGTGTGACTGAGGGTACCCATGGAGCAGCAGAAGAGGAGGCAGCGAGGGAGATTGGCCGAACGACTGAATGCCGAAGATGGAGATGGGAGGGGAAGACTGCGTCTGCACTGTAAAGGGAGTAAAGGTATAAGGAAAAAGAGTGGAGGCACCTGCCATTGTAATGACAGTTGAAGGGATGGGCTGTGAGGATAGGGGGAGGTTGATATGATCAAAGACGAGCAATAGCGGCAATGTCGAATTCTGCTAAGCCGTGGGTTGTCGTCAAAGGATAGGATCTCCTCAAGGTTGACATATGGGAGAGGAGATGCTTTTGGTGTTTGCCCCATGCAAGAGGGGCTGCATGAGGTCCCCATTATGATTTGCTGCCGCCATGATGGAGAGCTTGGAGTAGCAACGCGGATGTGCGTCAAATGGCCTGGAATGACGTGTCAAGAGGATCGAGAGAGCGTAATGGCCGCCTGCGCACTTGCAGCTGGGAGGCGGCGTAGAGTAGGAGGGAGGCATTAGAACCTAAGGTAGGTCTAAAGAGGGGAATTTCATGTTAGTCGTTGACGATTTGCATGTAAATGCATGCATGCACTTTGACAACGTGCAGCAGGGAGGTACCTAGTAGTAGAACCACAGACACATACCTTGGCAACTTACCTCGGTGCTAACAGTACCCCGCGAGTCGCTGAATAGAGTGGTCATAGACGATGGGCACGGTCCAGTTGCAGGCACTCAGTCCATCACAGGGCCACGGCGCTTGTCGTGTACTGGCGAACATGATGCCGAGCAGAGAGTTGCTTCTTTGTGGATGATGAAGGAGGAGAATCGAGGCTCTTTTGGTTCATGTGCTCACAGACAACGTGTGGGCTCATGTGATCTCACGAGCTGCTCCTTCCGTTGTGCACAAGCAAGACAGTGCAATAGAAGGCAAGTGTCACGGTGATGCAACTTCCCCAGTTGTGCCGGGCTCCTTGCCATCGGCTCATCTTTTAGCCGCTCTCCAGCCCGTTTTCCCTTTCCGCCGGCTTGCTGCCAATCAGTGCTCCTCAATCCCACACCTTCCCAGCACCCGTACCAGGTGTTTCGACTCGGTTCAGATCCGAGCCTCTCTTCCCTCTCCCACTTCAACAAAAAGGCGAGACACCTTTCAAAAAGGGACCAGAGACCAGCCGGATTCCGTGGCGGGATCATGAGTTGAAGTACTAACTCACCTCCCCTCCTTGCATGTGCCTTCCAACCCCGACCATCGTCACATCCGGCCCCACTTTGCGGCAGACGCTCACATGGCTCCGGTCCGTGGCCGCGCAGCCTGCGACGGGTGTAGATCTCGGAAGCAGAAGGTGAGAGAGAAGACAACCCCAATTGCAAGCGTTCTTCATGTTGTATGGCTGACCCATGACTGCAGTGCGATGAGAAACGGTGAGACCACCAGACAGAATCGCTTGAGAGTGAGTGCCTGTTTGTTGACCACCTTCTGCAGACCGACTTGTTCGCGATGCCGTGACATGAAGCGGGAATGCGTGTGGCCAAAGCTATACAAGCGGTAAGATGCGGCCAGAGCTTTCCAGTAAGCAAACATAACTGTTTGTGTCCTAACCCCAGCCTTTACCCAGTGGTCCCGCCAAGGGCTACATCGAGGCCCTTGAGCATCGTCTGGCAGTTACCGAGGCAGTCCTGCTGCAGCTGCTCCAAGTATCGGATGACAGCCTGTTGCAAGACGCATTCAAGCACGAGCCCGCCAAGAGGGCGGATGTGCCAAGTGCCGCCGCCATAGCAACAACCACGACGACTGACGCGGCAGGCCGGATAGAGGCCAAGAAGACGGGCACAATCGCTCACTGGGACAGCTTCCCCCTCAACACGGCAGACGAGGTGAAGCGCTGGGCAGGCGAAGTCCTGGGGCGTCGCGCGGATTCTTTGCGGGCCAGCCGCGACACTCCAGAAGAAGAAACCGACCAGAATTCGTTCGACACGTATCCTGTTCCACCAGATCCGCTATCAAGCAGTCGGCAGGAGAAGAGGTCCAGTTCGAGAGGTAGTGCCGAAGCATATCAGCCACTGCCGATGGAGCCGACTGCTACAGCTCTCCCAACAGCGATAGAACCCGCCATGGCTTCTGGCACGGCATTTCCAAGGGAATTGGCGACAGGTGAGATGTTTGATCTGTCTCAGGACTTTAGACGGCAATTTGTATGGTAGATATTATTGGGCTTTCTCTTTGTTTTTTTCCCTTTGATCATGTACCATTATCAACCGTTTGCTATGTACTTGGGTAGTTGTTATGACATATTTTCCCTTCTCCAAACTTTGATTGCGAATATGTCATCTATGATTCTGCAACCGTAGCCACAATCGACGGGGTGAGTGTGATTGTTCATCTTGAGGCATTAGGCTTCGATAACCAAAACCGGTTCAGATAACTTTCACACATTGCCAAATATTGAAAGGGCATCGTAGGAGTACTATATGAGAAGGGGAAAAAACAAGGTCACGGGAGACCATGGCGCCACTTACAAATTCAGTCTGTCTCCTAGGTTCTGAACGTACGAGTCCCATCCGACATTGTTGAACAGTAGTCCTGACGATTCCGGATTCATGTTCTCACTCAGGAATCTCTCCCACTCCCCCTGCTGAGAGAGCTGATCTGCGTCGAACCCAAAGTCTGGGCCCGTATATTCCAACACTGGCTGGAAGCTTGGGTAGTCCCAGAGATTGTCACCGCCCACGAACCCTGAGTCGGGTCCAATGAAGTGGCTGGCAGGATAGCCACTCATGGCATTGCCCATAAGGCCAGGGTTGCTGCCAATGCTGTTGTTGCCGGCATTGTTGCCAGTGTTATTGCTGTTGACGTTGTTCTGTTCGACCCGGCGGCGCTTGCTGCGGCTCCCCTCGAGAAGATTCTGGTATGTTGAAAAGACGGGTTGGCTCCAGTCCGTCAATATGCTGAGGGACGGGTCTGCCGACAACGCTGGGTTGATTCGATCCATGAACGGCTTCGATGTCAGCCTGTCCAGCAGCATCTTCAGCGTCACGCGGCAGTGGTGGGCGCTGGTCCAGTTTCGGCTCATCATGCCGAGCAGCCTTATGGCGCAGTTGAGATCCCTACGATGCAAGCTTCCTGTCAGCTAGATGTGCAACGACTGGTAGATGAACTTCGAACGAAAAAAAAAAAAAAAAATGGTGGTCAAGTTCAACAACTGGTCGCAACGTACAGTATAGTTTTCTCCATTGGATACAGCTTCAACAGCCCGGCGTAGGCAATGACGAGCCCGGCCATCCACGCAGCCGACAACATCCCTGGCCACGCCACCAAGGGCGAATCCCCTTGCCGCAGCTTGAGCTTCTTGACAATGGCGCGGCTGGCGTTCACAGCCGTTTGCAGACTGAATTGAAAATCTGTTCGGTTCGTAGGGAGAGAGAGGAATGGTCGGTTCATGATGAGGATGAGTTGGTGGTACAATATCGCAAAGGGAGGGCCATGGTGCGATTGAGGCTCTACAAAGATAGACGTCAAGCCTTCGCCTTGAAAGGACGGCGGAAGCGTGTTCCACCACGCGTGAATCTTGGACGTCATCTCCAGCACCTTGTCCCAGGTGATGGACCGGCTGTGGATGGACTTGTGGAAAAGGTCCAGAGCCTGCCCTAGCAGCCGTGAATACGTCACCAGAAAGCCGAGAATGGATTCGCCCAAGCTCTGTGGCCGATATACAAGCTGGTCCGTGTTGATGCTGTCCTCGTGGGTGCCAATGGTGCTCCCATCGGTGAGATCCCCTGCGGAGGAAACGGACCCAAAGGTCGGATGGTCGACCGGTGCGTAGGCATGCATGTCATCCTCCGTCACCGGAGAGCGCGTGTGTGGTATGTTCTGAAATGGCCTGGCCGGATTGTGAACCTCTGGAGCCCCCGGCAGACAGACGTCAATCTCCTCGTCGTTGAGCGCCAGGGGGTGCCCCAACACCTGACTCAGATGACGATCAATCACATAGGCAGACCAAAAGATTCTCTTCCTCATGTCGCAGATATCGCGCGGTAACTGAACGTATCGAAAGGGGCATCGGTGCAGCCCGCAGTGGTATAGGATGCGCGTCATTGCTCCGTGAACTGTCGAAGCTGCTCGTAGAGACATCTGCGTCATCAGATACAGCTCCACGGCCAGAAGGGCCTGCAAAGAAGGGATGTCGTGGCCACTGGAGAGGATGCCAAGCAGGCTGGTCAGCGCCACAGAAGACTTGATGCGAGACTCTTCCGGCAGCTCCCTCTCCTGCTTCTGGTTGTGGTTCGAGTCGGCAATGTTGAAGACGCATTGAAAGATGATGGCCTGATACACCTTGTTCCGCTGGCTCATCGGTTCCGCAGACTTGCCCTCCAGGTCGTAGAAGCGGTTCACCTTGTCAAAGAACGTAGGCCCGTGGAGAAAGGGAAGAAAAGGATGCCATCTCCTAAAGTATTCCACCAGCAGCCGCTTGGCAACAGCCGGCGGAGGTGGAATCCCCAGCCCAGGCGCTGCAATGCCATACGACCGAATCCCCGGGCTCTTGCTCGCTTCCTCAGCGCCCACGGCTCCTACGCCCAGAGAATCGTCGTCCTCGACTGCTTGCTCCTGGGCCTTCTCCTCCGCCATGACATACTCGTGCGCAGACCCGGGGTCCGGCGTCGCTGTGGTGCCGAGGCCATCTACATCTCCCTGAGGGCGCTTTGCCGCAGCACCGCCAGAGGTCGATGTTGCAGTTGCGAAAGCCCGGAAGACGGTGTTTGCGAAGAAGACACCGCTGGCACTGCCAATGAACTCGCTCTTGTCGGGTCGTAGGGCAATAAATGAGCCGATCTCGATTGGCGGGATCTGCTGCGAGTCTGCATCCGACATGTCTGGCTGCTTGGCGGGGGAGGAGGACTCGTGAGTTATGTAGGGACAATATCGGGCCAGCTGAAGCACAACCAGTCAGCCAGGCAAACCTATCATTTGCTCGACACCAGGATGATGCGATGAGATTCTGAGATGAGATGATTGATTGATTGATGGCGAGAGGAGAAATTCCGAGTCCAACTTTCAAAGCCTTGGTCCACCAAGTCAATTGGGAAGGATCCAGACAAAAGTTAGAATTGTCAGGTGCAGGCGGGCGGCTATACTTTCTGCCGCCCAAATGCTTCGTTGTTTGGTGACCTCCTCAGGCATTCGCAAGTGACAAAACAACCGCCATCAAAATACAGGACAGAAACCCACCTACCTCTTAGGTGAGCCTTGGGAAAGTTGAATGCCGAAATGCCTTGACATTTATTAGGATTACTTCATGCATCAGACGGGCAGGCGTTGATGTTTGTCTGTCATGACAAAGACGTTACATATTGATAACAAGGAGACTATTCTGCAAAACAATTGGTGTACACCAGACGTTACATGATGGGTGATGACATTCATATAGAGCCTGCAACTTCCTCTCTCTCTTCCCCTTTTCAATCCCCCTTACCCCCGCCCTTTCTTAACGCTCCTTTTTTTTTCACAGTTCGCTTCTTCCATTACTTTTTACAGATTCTTGTCAGGTCCTTCTTTGCTCGTGTAAAATCAGTGAAGCAAGATTCTTCCATTTCGCCGCCCAATCAAAAACCTCCTGCATAGCGCCCATTCATCTCTGAGCTCTCAATTGTTTCATACCGGAGAGCTTGGTATACGGGGTTTGCTGTAATTGGACGCCACCCTGGATAGTTGGTTGTGTGAGGACGAGCAGTTAATTTGACGCGTTATTACAAAGATTATCGAGACACCGTCTCTGAAAGTGAGGTGAGTGTTTTGTTTTTGCCCCCTTTTCGATTTTGCTTTTTTTGGAACCTCAACTCTCAAGACCTGGGAGCTGGCCAGAAAAGACCAAGCTTTACCCCCATCCTCTTTCACAGTTCCTCTTGAACGGTAGCCTCAACTTCCTGTCCCTCACTAGCGGGCTTCGCCTTGAGGTTCTCGGCCTCTACTTCCCCGTCACGGCTGGCAGCAGCCTCCTTGGGAACCTCAGCGCTCTCAACCTTGGGGGTCTCCTTGTCAACACCCTCGACGTCAGGGTGAGGAGGGGCCACGCCGGCAATCATGTCGTCGGGCCAACCGCCTTCGGGCACGGGGATCTCGTGTCCCTGCGCGTCGACGACGCGCGTCTTGGTCTCGTACTTGGTCTTGAACTCGACTTTGCCCTGAAGCGCCTTGACCTGCTCGTCGTTCAACAGGTTTCCGTCCTGGTCTCGGTACTCAATCTTCTCTTCCTTGGAGAGGATCTGGGGCTCTTGAGGAACGGCTGCCTGCGAGATGACAGGCTCAGGCTGCTTTGCCAGGGGCTTTTGCTCCTGGTTCACAACTGGCACGTTGGCAGCAGGCGGTGAAGGAGCAATGCTCGAGGGCGCAAGTGATGTCAGGGTATAGCTCTTGTACTAAACACCAAAAGCGTCAGTCATGATTGTTACAAAGCTCCTCGTCGCCACTCGGAGGCTCATCTAGAGAGGACTTACATCATCGAGGAAGGTGTTGCAGTCAAAGTCCCACTTGTCAAAGAGCTTGACGCGATTGCACTCTGCCTTGGTCCAAGGGGTACCGTAGGCCAGAGGCGCGAAGAGGGTGAAGACAGCTGCCGATATGACAAGAAGCGACACGGTGCCGACGCGGTTGATGAGAGTGCTGCGGTAACCAAGGGCGGCCGGAATCCTCACCGTGGCGAAGTCGAACATCTGGCAGAGGGCGAGGATGGCAAAGTAGAGCGCCGGGAAGTAGTGGTGCAGGAACAGCTGGCGCTCCATCAGATAGAAGGGGAAGTAGTGCAAGGCCCAGCCCAGGACGGAGGTGCCAATCTCATAATCAAAGCGCTTGAACGTGCTGCTGGCGTAGTCGTTGCATCCGCGCTGCCATCGCAGGATGGCGACGCCCTTGAAGATGACCCAGATGGCAACGGCGGCCGTGCTAGACCACCAGATGAAGGGGTTGCCGAGAAGATAGACTTGCATGTGGTGCTTGCCCCAGAAGTTGATGCCGCGGCGAAGAATAGGCCATGACGGAGGGCGAGAATCCCAGGCATGTGAGTCGGTCAAGCCAGCGTTTGTCTTCCACATAACCTTGTGCAGCTCCCAGAACTTGCCAAAGAAACCAGGGTTGGCGTAGTTGACCTTTTCGACGTCATCCCCGAGGAGAGGGTGCTCGTTGTACTCGATGTACCAGATGCTGTTGGGCAGGCTGCCTCCGCGAGCGCACGTAACCTCTTGCTGCTCAGAGGCCCACTCAGGCAGCTTGACCTTGTGGGAGAAGAGGGCGCAGCCGGTCATGACGTGGATCAGTCGGAACTTGGTTTCGATTGTTCTGAGGCGCTCCTTGGCCAGCGGCCCCTTGGACTGCTTCTTGACAATCTCAACACGGAAGAGGTCGTTGGCATCGCCCTCAAAGCCCTCGTATCCGTAGGCAGAGACCTCGTTCTGCCACTCGGCCTCGGTGACCGGGGGGCGGACGTCGTGCGAGTGGAGGCGTCGGAATGTGGGCTTGTGATAGAGGCGGATGACGGAGCCATCGACGACGTGGTGCACCTCCGGCAAGGCGTCCCACGCTTCAGTTCCGTTGATGGGCTGGCCATCAACACCAAGGGGCTGGGTCTGGTTCTCCATGATCCAGATGTTGTTCTCGTCCTTGTGGGGATACAGAGTGATCTGCTGCTGCAAGCTACCGGTAGGGTACATGAGCGGGTGAGAGTGGAGATAGCCGCCCTGAGTGTTGACATGGCGAATGGTGACTCGGCTTCCAAAGACAACGTCAGCTGGGACGTCCTTCATCCCCTTGCTGTTCAGCGTGGCCTGGAATTCGGAGCTCATGAATCCATCACCCTCGCCCGGATTGGTCAGGCAAAGGAAGTGGATGGCGAACATGGAGAGGTAGAAGGTGAGCGGGATGATGATGAGACAAAAGACTCTAGCCATGAAGTGCTTGAACCAGAGACGCTGCGTCGAGAAGGTTGGATTAGCCGATGCGCAACGGGAATCAGGGTGAGCAAGATAGGGGGGTGAGGCCCCTATTCTGAACGTACCATGGAGACATTCTTGCTGTCGCCGAGGAGTACCCACAGCTGCACAAGAGTCAAAGATCCGACCCAGGCGATGGTGAACAGGCCAACCCATTTGATGCTGGAGGTGATGCCGAGGCCAAGACCAGTCATGGCAAGCCAGAACCACCAGCTCAGGGAAAATGCCTTGTCGGGCCCCTGCTCGTGCTGGTTGGTGAAGCAGTTGAATGACATGGCCGTGAAGGCGGTAGCAGCAACCAATGGAGAATCCAGAAGAATGAGACGAGCCTGGGTAAGAAGGCCATTTTCTGCATCGAGGCTCAGGTCAGAACTTATTCTGCACCAACTTGCGGCTAGCCACAAAGCAAACTGGCAAAGGAGGCATTTTCAGAGTAGGGGCAGTATTATATACTCACCAAAGATGATGAAGCTGGCGCCAAGGATGGCGGTCGTCGTTCGGCAGCCAACAGCCTTGAGGGTGAAGAACATGAAGGGGGCGAGCAGGATGCCGCAAACGGCAGGGAACATTCGCATGGCGACATAGGGAACGCCGGGCTCCAGATAATCCTTGCCGATATCCTTGAAGTCAAAGTTGCCGTCGAAACCCGCAAGCCATCCGGTGAGGGCAATGAGCATCTTGGCCAAGGGAGGGTGCACGTCCATAAAGAACCTGCCCTTGATGTACTTGGAAGCAAAGCCACCGAAGCTATGGAGAGGCGGCAGTCAGTCAGCACAATGCCAGCGAATTGGGACGCCACGCAGCACAGCACACTGGGGAGACTCACTGGACTTCGTCAAACACCACACTGGTGGGCGTGTAGATCTTGAACAAGCGGACAATGGTTGCCAGGACGGTCACTCCCAAGGCCGCCACATAGTCGGCCCCGGGGAGCAGGAAGACGTCGTTGTCGGCGACACCATCGGACCTGTACGAGCTGTTCTTCTTGGCCGCCTTGGACTTGCTCGAGGCGACTGGCGCCGTCACAGCCACGGGCATCTTTTCTGCGACGAGGGGAGGCTGAGGGCTGCGGCCCCGCGCCGTCGCTTTCGCCATGGCGAAGAGTCTGGCGGGGATTGTCGAGGCGGAAGGGCGCGGACGGTGAGGTCAATCGGCCGGTTCGTGCAACTGGAGAATAGCGAGGACCGAGCGCTCAAAGGAGGCGGGAGGAATGTCCAGGTCGGACCGGTAAATGAGCGTATCGAACGAAGGAGACGAGGTGTGGAAATTAATAAAGATGCCTCATGGGAGAAGCTGACAAAGGGAACAATGGGCAAGAGAACTCGCCCAGATTCGGCCGGGCACAGGAAAGAAAAAAAAGAACCGACACCCGCTGATCGAGAGTCGCAGCGCACAGGCAGAAAGGAAGAGGAAATAAGAGGCACAAGGGGAGAAGAAGCCGAAAAGTGGTCGTCGTGATGGGCAAACCAAACCAAACCAGTCAGGGGTGGGAGTGAGTTCAGCTTCACGCTTCCGGCATGGCAATGTAGCTACAGTGGCCTTTCCAGGGAGGAACCCTCAGCCTTGGCGCCACTGTTGGTTGCACCGCCATACCTGTACTTTGTGCCTGCGGGTGTCGGTACCGACTGACGCGGCTCTGGCGCCATACAACGAGAGAGTACACGCTGAGTACCGCCATTGCATTGACTCCAGCGAAAGGACCCCGTTGCAGCCTCGTGTTTCTGGTGAGGGGACCCCCTTGCTCTAGCGATTGAACCAATGGCCACTAGCGCTCGAGGCATGGTCCAATAAGCGATGGACAATGTTACTCCAGAAAATTGAGGTTCCAGGGTTGTGAAGATTCGTTGTATCTTCTTTACTAGGTATATAAGCATATTGCTCGACGCGTACATGCAGAAGGCAGACTACTTTAACATCACTTATAGCATGGCCCTATTCTAGGTGCCGGCATCTCGAAGCTGGTCGTCCTCGACATCACAGGCCTTGTTCAATTCCATCCGTTACGAAGGTACGAAACAAAAAGGACTGAATGGACGCCCTCCAGCCGCACTAAGATCCATCAAAGGGAGCCCCGTTCGGTTCGTAGCGAGGTCGAGGCTCACTGTAAGAGGCCACTGTATTTTCCATTGTCACTCGGTGCCAGGCCAATTGACATGTGCTGCCACCAAGCCACTCCAGGTGTTGGTACCTGAAACTTGGGCAACGTGGCTGCCGATGGTACAACTCTACGTGAGAAACAATCTGCGACGAGAATGCAGACCAATATCTTTGGCTAGTGGATGTTGCATCAGTTCGCCGCCAACGTTTTGTCCGACGAGAATTATTCATCAATCAGCAAGTCCTAGGTCCTTGATGCGGTACACGAAACAACTCGTATTGCAAGTCTGATCCATTCTTCAATTCATGCACCATCGATTGTGGCGCAACAGTTGAGCAGCGTCCGGATCAATATAGTTCCGGAAGCCGACTCAATTGGTTGCTCGTGTGCAAGGCGCCAGGAAATTTCCAGCCAGCGCTGCATCACCAATCATCATCGACCTCAACATCATCACCTCTACTCCCTTTCGAACTCTCTTCCTTATTCTCCCCTCCTTTTCAGCCTCCTCCAGAACCTACAGCTGCAGCAACATCACGTCACGGCTCAGCTTGCCGCTGTCTTTGTTGTCTTCAGACATGGCTGCGGAAGCCGCCAACGCAAGTGCGCCAAACGCGCTTGACGACATCAAAGCTCCCGCTGGCGTGGTGCTGCCGCCTCGCGAGATTCGCAACATCCTCGAGAAAACCGCCGGATACGTTGCGCGAAACGGCTCGGTTTTCGAAGATCGCATCCGAGAAAAGGAACGCCAGAACCCCAAATTCAGCTTCCTCAGCCGCGAAGATGCATACCACGACTACTACCAGTGGCGACTGAGCGAGATTAGAGCCGGTCGCGGCACCGATATCGCGGCCGGTCGAGCGGGAGAAAGCGCTACGCCAGTCCCCGAGAAGCCCAAGGGACCGCCGAAGCCGCCCGACTTCCAGTTCTGTGCTCGAATGCCTCACATCAACCAGAAGGATCTGGACGTGATCCGGCTGACGGCGCTTTTCGTGGCCAAGAACGGACGGCAATTCATGACGCAGCTGGCGCAGCGCGAAGCCGGCAACCCTCAGTTCCAGTTCCTCATTCCCAACCACACGTTCCACAACTTCTTCCAGCACATTGTCGACCAATACACATTGCTCCTGCGGGCGAGCGGGCTCGATGGCGAGGGCGGCAAGCTGCAGGAAGAGCGCGTGGCGGAGCTGCAGCGCAACATTGAGGATAAGTTCCACGTGTTGAAGCGAGCGAAGGCGAGGGCGGAATACGCCAAGTACCAGGAGGCCGAGAGGAAGAAGAAGGAGGCCGAGGAAGAGGTGGCAAAGGCCGAGTTTGCTCGCATTGACTGGGGTGACTTTGTTATTGTCGAGACGATTACGTTTTCCGACGCCGATGAAAGCGCCAACCTACCGCCGCCCACCACCCTGGGCGACCTCCAATACGCTTCTTTGGAGGACAGAAACAAGGCCTCCATCAGTGCCAACTTGCGCATCGAAGAGGCCATGCCTGGCGAGGAGGACACTCTACAGAACGGAACCACAGTCACGCCCCAGCCAGCATCGTTTCCCCTCCCTGTACATACGGGATACGCTCCGCAGCAGCAGCAGCAGCATGCGCCATCGCCAGTGTCTGTTCAGGGCGCCGAAGCACAACAATCACAGCAGTCTGCTCGGGATGAGGAGGAGTCGCGGAGAATTCAGGAGAGATCCGCGGCCCAGGCTCGCGTGCAGCAGGCGCAATCGGAGGCCCGGGGTGGTCTTGGCCCGATGAAGATCAAGGAGAACTACGTGCCTCGAGCGGCCCAGAAGGCGGCGAACAAGCAAGGATTGCAGATGGCGCTGTGTCCCAACTGCAAGCAGCAGATTCCCCTGAACGAGCTCGAAGCTCACATGCGAAGTAAGTCTTGCCAGCCTCCCAAGTGACTCGATCCTCCGTGACATCTGGCTAACCTGCTTTCTTCTTTTTTTCACCTTACTCAGTCGAGCTGTTGGACCCGAGCTGGAAAGAGCAAAAGGCCAAGGCCGAGTCGCGCTATGCTACATCCAACATTGCGCATGTTGACGTCGCCAACAACCTGAAGCGACTTGCCAGCCAGAGGAGCGACGTCTTCGACCCGGCGACAGGGAACGCGCTCTCGGAGGATGAGCAAGCTCGGCGGAAGAAGGCAGCGACTCAAAGCTTTGACGGGCATTTGGAAGGGAAGAGCCAGGCTCATCTCAACCACCTGCAGAATGTCAATGTCGACGAGCAGATCCGAGCAATCCACCAGAGATTCGCGCCCAACCAAAAGTGATGATGGCCGTGGTGGGAATGACATGTTAGCGAAATATAACGCGGCAAAAAGGGGGGGGGGGGGGTTAAATCCTGACTTCGCGTTGGCCATGGCTGTGCGGCACCTCAAATTGTCCCACGCCACAGGGTTACTACCGGATAGTCCATCGTCCAAATGAAGCATCGCCTTTCTTCGCGACTCTACTGGATATAGATGGGGGGGTTGGGTTGATCGATTATGGAGTTTGGGAGCTCAAGGTGAGGCGACTTTTTCGTCATTTATCCATGATGTATCAGGGGCTCATTTTATATTAGCGGCTTTCAGGAGACGCCCTGTGCACAACTCTCACAGCATGAGATTGACTGAGGACGATGTGTGCCAGATTGCATGGGAGACCCCTTTTGTTTTGGAGGGATGGCTGCCAGGATGCTGTTATCCGCCCTTTTGCTCATGGCTCTCTGGTCGATATAACCGGGAGTGGTATATAAGGTACGATGGCATCGGCACCACGTTCTAGTCATGTAAATGGAACCTGTAACCTGGGTTGCGCTGCCGAGGTAGGTAGCAAGCCAGCAAATGGAATGGGTAATAGGGTGATGTTGATATAAAGGCATGTCTTTGTCTGTCGCGGCACACTGGCTGCTGGCTTCAGAGGGAGACCATCCTTCTCCCTTTGTGATACTCTCAATAGGTATGCAGTGCAGCAGCCCAAAGGTGCCTGAACCCGTTCACGGAGCCTCGACCGTGGTTTTGTAACATGCGCATGACGAGTCTGGCACTAGTGTAAAGGAAATGATTCTGGCTCTCATCTAATAACAGCCTTGTTCAACTCATGACTACTAGCTATCTTGCGGTTACAGCCAAGCAGCAGACGTTTTGACTGTGGCAGGCAGAGCAGCAACAACAAGGATGAGGTCCGGTATCAGAGCAGAGTCCAGTCCCCAATTGGGCGATAAGAAGTCAGCGCATCTCAGCAATCTGCAGTGAAAGGTGCCCCCTAGAAGCATCCATGGAATGGTGGGGAAGCTCTCCAGCTCTCCCCACGTGAACAGCAGCAACTGCAAACCCCACCTTGATCACATTACTATGTACAGGTAGCTTGCCGGCGATTGATTTGTGCACCCAGTGGAAGGCACAGCATATTATGGGCTGGGCTACTACTAATATCCGGGCAGTCATTGCCTGGGCCTGGACTGTGCTGTGCTCTTTGATTTGATTCGGCATCCAATCTCGTCACTCTCCACCAGGCTCGTCATCACACGATCGAGCGCATTTTCTCGACTCGACTGCTTCTCGGAAACCACCTTTATCTACCTGCTCTCCAAGGTAATAGCCAGAGAAATCGAGGCTCGTGCTCGTCTTCAGCTGCTCAACATCTTTTCCGTCCATTCCAGTCACGTCACAAAAGCTTCCGCGAGGCTCCAGCTCCCTCCAGAAGCGCATCGAATCCTCGTCTCCCCTGTGTGTGTGTGTGCGCGCGCGCGCAAACCCCCCCGAGCCGCAACCCGCCCGACCTCGACACCACCGCCAAACTGTCGGACAACCAGGACGCCGCGCGGGCGGCCCGCAAGTCGCCGGATCTGCACCGGCCCATCTTGCAGTCCATGCCGGACACGAGGCAGCAGAGCTTTGACGAGATCTACGGGCCGCCAGAGAACTTTCTCGAGATTGAGGTGAGGAAACCGACAAGCCGCAGCACTGGGAAGCCTCATCATGGGTTCAGCTAGGGGGGGAAATGGCGGACGGGGGAATACAGACAAGATGACAAAAGGTCACGAGGTCGAACGGGGGGCGGGAGTAGAAAGACAACATGGTGACGGAAGGGGGGAGGTTATCCATAAGAGGCTACGATGCTTCGTCGTGCAGCGCTCTCAGGAAGTGATGACCTGTACTAATGCTCCGTCTGTCCTTGCTGCGAAATAGGTACGGAACCCTCGAACGCACGGCATGGGCCGGTCCATGTACACCGACTACGAGATCGTCTGCCGCACCAACATCCCGGCCTTCAAGCTGCGCCAGAGCAGCGTGCGCAGGCGATACTCGGACTTTGAGTACTTTCGCGACATCCTCGAGCGCGAGAGCGCCCGCGTGACGATCCCGCCCCTGCCCGGCAAGGTCTTTACCAATCGCTTCAGCGACGATGTCATCGAGAACCGGCGGGCGGGCCTCGAGAAGTTTCTCAAGATTGTCGTGGGACACCCGCTGCTGCAGACCGGCAGCAAGGTGTTGGCCGCCTTTGTTCAGGGTATGTTTTGTCCGTCCATTTTTTTATGTCAAGTATGGGTGACGTTCGTCTTTGAAGAAACTGACGTGAACAATTTCTCGTAGACCCGAACTGGGACCGCAACGCATGGTGATGGAGCTGCTGTTGTTGTTGCGTCGTCGTCGTCGTGAACACACCGTCCGAGAGCGCAAACATGGATCCGAACCACTACGCGCTGCGCAGAAAGCCACCATTGTGCACATCTTTGTCACCAAGCGATTGGAACCGTGGCAGAGGGAAGATCTGGCGTGGCATGGCGCGTCCAAAGGGGAGGCCAGCCTGCAGGTTAAAAGGGGTCTTTCGGTGTGAGCTGGCTTCTGCGATGTGCGTCATACCACCTACCCACCGTGTCGGTCTCATTCTATCGCCTCTTCTCTTCTGTCTCTTTGGTAGTTTCTTTGGTTTGTTATGTAGTATTTGCGATTTTTGCCCTCTCCGTCATCAATGTGATGCATCATCAGAGCTTGCTGGATTTCGCCAGCAGATGATTTGCATCGCATGCAGGGGACGATACAAAGCGACACCGGCGTATGTAGGATCGCAGCGTTCACTGCACATATTGTTCAACCTTAAAATACACGAAGCCGTCAATCTTTACGCAAAAGGGCATGTGAACGTCGCCATGATTGTCTATGTAAGACTGGGTTGTGATGGTTCTAGAATCATGCTTGCATAGGTGGTAGGTACGCTGTAGGGTAGGAGGTAAATGGCAAGATGGGTGGCGGAATATTCATGTTGCCTGTCTTGCCTCGTATGTACTAGGTAGGTTGTCGGACCAACAACAAGGCAACATGGTTGGCAAAACAATAAGCCCAGTTTCTTGCTAGTACATATTGCAGTACATAAGCCTAGGACGAGTTGACGAAGGACAGATAAAAGAGTTTTCCTACGATAGCCGATCATGGCGAATTGCGTCCTGTCGATCTTGATGTTTTGGTCCGGAGTATTTGTGGATCGGGCTCGAGGCGACGGCTCCCCAGTCTCCCATGAGGCAAAGAGGCCAACTCGGGGGCCGCTCCACTGACGATGTCATAATGCAACGGTATGGAGAAGCTTCCAGGGAAAATCACTGGACCGGCGAAGGTGAAGACTTTTTTTTGCGTGATGGCTATCGGGCCATTGGTGTTCTTGGCAAAGCAGGGAAAAAATGAGAAAAAACTGCCCAAGAGATGATGGGAAGTTTTGGCGGTGACTTTTCATTCCCTTCACTTCGTATTATCAAGGTAGTATTTGGCCTTGTTGTCAGCGACCCGTCGCCCGGTGGGTACGCGTATCTCGCCGCCGGTGGCTGTTGAAGCCATGGTGATGAGACCAGATTCGCCTGCATCTGAGAGAGCTGTGCTGCCTTGCTGAACGATGCTGCTGCCAAGATTCCATGATGTAAGTACGGGGAGCTCACCTGTGGCTACAATAGACAATTGACAAGTTGTCTCTCTGAATGGATGTCGTCACAAAAATCAGACACACTTCCGAGACTAGGTATTGTAGGTATGTTCACTAAGCTACCTAGCCTCTTGCTCACCTTACAACAAAAGACATGTGCCGGCAAACACAATGAGACACCACGAAGCCTTCTCTCCATTCTGCTGAGCCATTTTACATACCCTCCCCCTCTTCACAGCCTTGGAGGACCCTAAAGTCAGCCCATGGGGGAGAAACGACCTATCAGTTTTGTCAGACAGCCTCGCCAACCCGCACGTCTCGGGGTTCCTAGGCCGACTTGCATGTGCTGATCGACACTCGGCTTGCTCTCTCCAGCAGTCGCACGAATCACACATGGGGGCATCCCGGTATGCATATCTGTCTTTCATGAGTCGCAAATGACTCGCTTAACTGGGCCGCAAGTGCTGACTTGAGGAGTCGAAAAATGGGAACCGTATTGGGATATCCGGAGGATGTTCCGGTGGTTGGGAAGGATCCCGGGGGCGCGTATCGACATGTCAGACAGCAGCGGGTTGCCGTTCACGATGATAAGTATTGCCTGCTAGTAGTATTAGTATATCATTTTTTTCTTTTTCGAGGTTTGTCGTTAGTACAAGGAACTGCAAGTTTGTAAAGAAATCGGTTAAGAGGAGTGCCTCTCCTCGTCAGTCTTCTCTGAATAGGTAGGTACCTAAGAGAGGCAACCAAAGTAATAGTTCAACTCATGTAAATCAGCCTCCATCGCAGCACCACAGAAAATTCCCCAGCTCGCTCATCTTTTTTTCCTGGAGTCACACGAACCCACCGCCATTTGCCCGCACGAAAACAAGTGAAACAGCCTTGAAGATCGCACGTTTAAAAGGCAATAAAGTCGCATCCAGTTGGCTGCCGTGCGGCTCCATCTGATCGGCATCGCGGCCCACCTCCCCTTGTCAATTTCTCGTTGCCTCGGACCAGGAAATCTGGCCATCTACACACTTTACATCTGAGGCAACAGGACGGTCCCCTGCCCCCAGGTCCAGTGTATATGATGTCATGTGGATAACGACAAAGTGCGCTGGCGAACTAATCGAGCATTTGGTCCGAACAGCATGTACTTACAATACGTCGGCAGGTGTTGGTAGGCTTGGTAGGGTCTCAGCAAAGCACTTCCGCAACCGGTCAAGACGAGAGAATGAGAACGTGTATAAAAAGCATGGCGCTCAACCCCAGGTTTCGACTCTCCAGGTTTCGGGACCCCCGTTATTCAGAGCTTAAACCCCTCTATGCTGGCCATATCGAGATAGATTCCCTTCCATCATCATGGCTCCTCCAACGTTTGCCGGCCTCTCGGGCCGGCCTCTGTCAATGTGCGTCTCGACCATTGCGACGACTGCATTCCTTCTCTTCGGCTATGACCAGGGCGTCATGAGCGGCATCATCTCCTCTCCCGTCTTCAACGACTACTTCCCCGAGACAAGAGATGCCACCATGCAGGGCCTGGTGACGGCCATCTACGAGATCGGCTGCCTGATCGGTGCCGTCTTCATCCTCGCCATGGGAGACTTGCTCGGCCGCAGGCGCGCCATCATCATCGGCGGCATCATCATGATCCTTGGCACCATCATCCAGGTCACCCCCATGAAGGGCCACGGGCAGCTGGCGCAGTTCATCATCGGGCGCATCGTCACCGGCGTCGGCAACGGCATCAACACGTCCACCGTCCCGACGTACCAGGCCGAGTGCAGCAAGACGTCCAACCGCGGCCTCCTCATCTGCATCGAGGGCGGCATCATCGCCTTTGGCTCGCTGATTGCGTACTGGATCGACTACGGTGCGTCCTACGGGCCCGATGACCTCGTCTGGCGCTTCCCCATTGCCTTCCAGATCATCTTCGCCCTCATCTTCAGCACCGTCATGATCTGGCTGCCCGACAGCCCGCGCTGGCTCCTCACCCACGAGCGGTACGAGGAGGCCGAGCGGACCATTGCCGCCCTCCGTGGATATGAAATCGACAGCGAGGAGACAAAGGCCGAGCGGGACATGATCCTCGACTCCATCCGCGCCTCTGGCTTCGCCGGCCAGAAGAGCACCCCCGTCAAGGCCCTCTTCACCAACGGCAAGACGCAGCACTTCCGCCGCATGCTGCTCGGCGCCTCGTCCCAGTTCATGCAGCAGGTCGGCGGCTGCAACGCCGTCATCTACTACTTCCCCATCCTCTTCCAGAACTCCATCGGCGAGACTCACAACATGGCCATGCTGCTGGGCGGCGTCAACATGATTGTCTACTCCGCCTTTGCCACCGTCTCGTGGTTCATCATCGAGCGTGTCGGACGCCGCAAGCTCTTCCTCTGGGGCACGGCCGGCCAGATGCTCTCCATGGTGCTGACCTTTGCCTGCCTGATCCCGGGCACCCCCAGCGCCGCAAAGGGCGCCGCCGTCGGCCTCTTCACCTACATCGCCTCCTTTGGAGCGACCTGGCTGCCGCTCCCTTGGCTCTACCCTGCCGAGATCAGCCCCATCAAGACTCGCGCAAAGGCCAACGCCGTCTCGACGTGCACCAACTGGCTCTTCAACTTCTTCATCGTCATGATCACGCCCATCATGATTGACCGCATTGGCTGGGGAACCTACCTGTTCTTTGCCGTCGTCAACGGATGCTTCTTCCCCGTCTTGTACTTCTTCTACCCCGAGGTATGTAGCTTTCCTGACAAACTTGTGCTCCTTGTTCACTCGCTAACAACAATTCCGCATAGACTGCCAACCGATCTCTGGAAGAGATTGACATCATCTTCGCCAAGGGCAACGCCGAGAACATGTCGTACGTCAAGGCCGCCAAGGAGCTGCCTTATCTGTCTCGACAGGAGGTGGAAGCGTATGCCATCCGATATGGATTGGTCGATGCCGGAAGCGACGGTGTCGCTGGCAGGGAGGTGGATGTGTCGAGCGAGAAGGGAAGCTCGAGCGAAAAGGAGAGCAGTCGTGAGACTGAGAACCTCAAGATGTGAATTGATTGAAATGTAGATACCCCCCCATCTTATATACCACATAGACTGGTGACATAGAAGGGAATACTAGAGACGTCTGGTTTTAACATCACCAAGTACTTTGTCAAGATGTTGAGCGTGACGACTGTGACGGGCTTGTGCCTATGGATGAATTGCTCAAATGAAAGAGGAAAGAATAAAAAAGAATAAAACAGAGGTTCTCAAAAACGGGACAGAGTCTGTCGGTCAGAAAGCTGAAGAATACAGGTGAACGAAAAAAGAGCCATCGTCAAAAACACTGACAAAAGGAATGTCGTCAAATGGAGTGGTTTTGACGAAGCTAGCTGTTTGGTTGCAGGACCAAAAAAACTCAACGGGTTAGGTTCTAGAGGGAGTCGAACCCTCGCTGCCGGAATCAAAATCCGGAGTCATAACCGTTAGACCATAGAACCCGTTGCCAACCACGCTAAATAGAGTGGCCTATATAGCCACATCAAAGCTCACCCGCCGCAGCTTGATCGTCTCAGGTAAGGCCAAATTCGCAGCATGTGTGAGATGACCATTTTATTCGCTCTTCAGCCTACTTGCGATTGGATAATCTTTAATATCCTTCCAATTGAGATACGTCGTTATAATACTGATAAAGCTCAGTGTCTAGATCACTCGACATCTCAGTCCCTCAAGCATGCAGTATTATCTAGCAACCAAGGGAAGATCAGAGCCGTGACATCAAAGAGAACACAACATCTCATTCAGAATAAACCAGCAGCACCCTCATGACATTGATGCTGTACCCATACGACCGTGAATAAAGAAACGCCAGCGTACCTCCTCATGCCAACCACTCCATGTGCAGCCCGGGATTCTCTCGACGCAGGATCGATTCCAGCGTCTCCTGCATCGGGCGGACAAGGCTGGAAACCTCATCAGCGTCTGCCTTGGCCTCGTGATGCCTCTGGTAGTGGTTGACGACGTTTTCAAACGCGCATCGTTCTGAGCAAAACGCCGTCACCCGCTTCAGCCCCAGGCATTCTCTGCAGATGAAGCCATCCTGAGAAGTCCCATCGTCCATTTCCACATCGTCGACCTGGCCATCGCTGCGCTCCAGCACGCAATTGTCTCCGCTTTCGCAGGCATGTGCCTCGCTGGTGTGGTCATCCTGCAGAGATACAGAAGCAAGTTAGTAGGCTGCCACGTTTTGTGTGATTTCCTCAATCTGTAAGACAACTTGGGGGAAGAAGCACTTACGAATCCAGCTGCATGGCACTCCTCGGAGCAAAATACCGTGAGCTCCTTCTTGCCCCCCATCTGCGTGACAGCCTGGCATACGGGACAGGAAAAGACGTCGTGCGTGTCCAGCGTCTTTCCGCATACCAGACATGGTGGTAAATTGTACAGATCCTCCCCCGCCACCCGCTCCTGAGCTGCCTGCGCCTGGCTCTTAGCCTGCTGCTTCTTGTTCAACTCATCGGCCATCTTGGCTCTGCGAAGATCGTCCAGCCGTGCCGTGTGCATATCTCGCTGCGGCCGCAGATTTCTGCTCTCTTGTGCATCCTTCATAATCTTTCCAAGAATCTCCTCGATGCCCATGTTTTCGTTGGAGAGATACTCGTCCAGGTACGGCTTGGAGTCTTCCAGAGGTTCGCTCGTCCCCTTGTCCATGAAGAACTCGTCCACGTAGAGCTTCTTCAGGGCGGCCGGGTTCCCTCCCGCGGCAGCAACCCTGGCTGCAAAGGCGTCCACTCGCTCGGCCCAGTCGGGGGGCTTCCCGATCCCTCGCCACATCATCTCCACGACTTCGTCGCGCGACCGGTCCGGGTCGTCCAGCATGCCCCTCAGCTCATCGTGAACATAGTCGTCGTTGCAGGTGACGAGGAACTCGGCGTGCTTCCTCAGGATCCATCGATACCACGCTTCCTTTTCAGACTCTATTCGCGCCTCAATCTGCCGGATGCTTATCCTGTGCTCCTTCGCGTCTGCAAAGAGTTCCTCCAGCTCCTGGTGAAACGCTTTCCTAGACGTGAACCATTCGCGGTCTGGACTCTCGATATATCTCTGGCGCATCTTGTCAATGACCAGAGGCCAGCATTTTGAGCACTCCGACACGTGTCGCTTGCCACACTCGCTTGCGCATGAACGTTTCAGCGCTGCCACCTGTTCCGTGAGAATCCTCCTCTGCCTTCTGGCGGCGATGAGCTCTGTCCAATGTTCTGGTGTGGTGGCTGGCTGGACCATGGCTGTGAAAACTACCCTCGGCGGGTGAGTAAGTGAACCGGCTTTTCCGAACAATTCTCTCGATAGATGATCCGATGGTAGGGTTCACGAGTGTCAGACAAGATTGATAATGGCAAATCAAAGGGCACGTGTGTTGGGATCTGTGTTAAGTTCGCCCTCTCTGTGTACGATTCCTCAATGAGAGACGCGCTTGCTTTCACTCTGAATCCCAAATAGGTAGTAGTGGTAAGTGAAGGCCCAGGTATGTCTGAGTAAGCTGAAAATGAGAAAGTCGTGCAGTAGGTCCGATGAAAGGTCTAGGGTAAACCATTTGAAAAAAAGAAGATACGATGTCTTGAGAGAAGTGCTTGGGTTGAATATGGTAGAGATAGAGAAAGCTTGATGAGTTTGTATCCCGAGAAGAGCTCCCTGTATCTGTTGGGAGGAATACTAGGTAGAGTCCCTTCCTGAATACCTTATTAGCAGGTGAATGACTGGATGTTTTTGTAAAGTATTGCAATAACTTGCAGATGGCGCACAGCTGCATGGCGCTCGAAATGGCATGCGTCAACACACCAGCCAATCGCTGACCTCATCTTGCAGAAGCGAAGCTCTGCGCCGTGGTTCCGCCAAAGTTCAGCCGAGGATTTGCCTTCACCAATCTGCCCAGCTCGGTCTGTTGCTGCCAATTCGAGCTACGCCTTTGATGTGAAGTGGAAGTCCTTGCTGCACTCAACCGTCGCTCGCTTTCTTCAATAGCCTTGGCTTGAGGATTTTTCTTTCTCCTACTGAATTACACTCGTCACCAGAACATCAAATTAGCACCATGGTAAGAAGACTCTCTGGTACCCTAGACCGCAACGTCCAACCGCGCATCTGCTAATCGTACCGTCTTCCCAATCTCTAGGCCGACAAGCTTCGCAACCAGCAGGAACTCGAACGACTCCAGGCCAAGTACGTCGGAACCGGCCATCCCGACACGTCTAGCTGGGAGTGGCGGACCAATATCCAGCGCGACACCTACTCCTCCATCGTCGGCCACCGACCGCTCCTCACATACATCTCGCTGGCTGAGAACGAGCCCTTGACAAAGATGCGAGCGCAATTGATCAGGGTGTGTATCCCGCCTATCTTGCTTGATGCGATGGAAACAAACATGGAAATGGGCTTGCATTTGGCTGACACATTTTACCTACACGCGCAGAAAATGATTCAACCATGTGGTCCTCCACCGCCCCGAGAGGACTGATGGTCGAGTATACAGCGAGTTGCGACAGAGACAAAAGGTACTACGGATGACGACTGGTTTGCGCATTGAAATTGTACATATACATCGCAGGTATTGTCTTCACATGAGAACGGCGTCATGGGAAAGGCAGATGGACACGACGAGATACCCCCCAATAGTACAGCGACGGCTTCAATAGTCCAGAGCCGCAGCCGAGATAGACAGCCGTCTACAACTTTAAGACAGGAACACGGCCAATGCAAGGGAAATAAGGGAAGCAAAAGGCGCTTCCGGGTTCAACTAATCATCACAAACGCCGCCTGGTATCATCGTATACATTACATCCCATTCGTCATGCCAACATCACCGTGCTCCTCCTCTCCCCTCTCCGTGAGTGGTCTATTCTTAATGCCCAGACTCGACCGGAGCTTCTTGTCAAAAGCGTCGTCATCAGGGTTGCCGTAGACCTCGCGCACCAGCCCCATGACGCCGTCCAGTCCTATTTCTTCCTTTGCTCGAGGCCCGACGTGCCAGCTGATGGTCTGGTCGCCGTCGTAGCCGACTGGCGGCCGGTCGACTTTCTTCATCACGTACCCCTGCCTCTCCATCCGCTTGAGGACGACCTCTGTCCGCTCGCTCGACACCATCCGGTCGGCGTTGAGCCGTGTGAGATACCTCTGCAGCTTCTGCTCGCTCAGCTCTCCCCCGTTCAGCCATATGAATGACACAATCGTGGTGTAAAAGGCAGAATATGTTGCTTCCTGCTCAGCGCTCGGGACTTTGGATGGCGTTAGGATCGAGGCGCTTCGGAATTCATCCGGCAATGTCGACGTTAGGATGTAGGCGCCAGATCCGGACTTTGGCTGTGCATTTGATTTCATAGCTGCGAATCGTTCACAGTCAGTCTAGGTTCTCAAATTCCACCGAACCGCCCGATGCATCCTTCTGCTTCGAGGGCGCAGCTAATACCTTGTCTCTTTTCATGCAACGTCGTCTTCTCTCGCACAGGCAGCTCGCGTAGCTCCATGCCCCAGATTGTCCTCAGTTGGGTCTGCGCCAGCGCAAAGACCCTTCTGAAAGAACGACCCTGCTTTCCTAGAACTATAGCGAAGCAGTGTTAGCCGACTGTCTATTCCAACTCCCCGCCTCACTTCGTAATTGTAGCTGCCGCTTCTGATGCAGTACCTCGCTCCTTGATTCCATCTCTCCGTATCGCCGTCCTTGAGTATTCGCAGGAGATGGCATATCGAACCAACTTCTTGGCCATCTGATCGTCCACACTAGTAGAGGCACCATTCGTTCCGGCGTCGTCGTCGGACGCTTCTTCGTCCTGCTCAGCATCTGAAGCTTCAACGTGCTGCCGCCGTCGTGGACGGGCGTCCTCTTCCAAGTCTCCATCCTCGTCGACCTAATCATCTGCTCGTTAGATGGAAGAGGGGAAAAAAGCTGGTGAGATCGAAACCCACTGGACGGCGTCTCCTCTGGGCAGGTGGCATCGTCGAAAGCAGAATCAATGATGATTGAGAAAAATACCACAAAACGACTGGGAAATTGGGTTCTGCCGGTGAGACTCTCAATAGAAGATCGACAGCTTCTGGAACTTGGACGAGGGGCTCTGTACAGCTTTTAGAGGGGAGACGCGCTGCAAGAGGCCGAGACGCGTCCGATGACTTGGTGGGTGAATTGGCCTCGGCGAATGCGCCTTATCGATTATCGATAAGGCCTTATCTTACAAAATTCGCTGCTGCACTGCTGATTAGCATGTCGCTATCGCCGGTCGAAAGCGAAGAGCTCTCTCTACCTAGTACTTCACCCATCCTTGCCTTCACCACAAATTCGTGCCACCTCTTCATGGCACGTTCAAGTATTTCCACCAATGCTTTCTAGAGCGGCGAACGTGCCGCATGCCTGCTTTGCTAATCGACTCACCTCGTCGATACCCTTCGCCAGAACGACGCTAAGCAGCCTGAGCTTACATAGCCGACGAGAATGCATCCAACGACGATGCTACAGCTCCGATCCCGTCATTCATAGCAAAGAGAAGATTGAGGCGTTGATATCGGGCAGAATAAGCGCGAGCGAGTTCAACAAGTCGATCAAGAAATCAACAAGCAAGCCGTCCAAGCGCCGATCGAGCCGAAAGCCATGGCGTCGCCAAAAAGAGGACGATGTCCCTGATTGGGGACTGGCAGCATCTCCTAACGGAGAGTTCTCTACAGGAGATTCCCCTACGAGAGACTCCCCTACGAGAGACTCCCCTACGAGAGACTCCCCTACGAGAGACTCCTCTACCGGTAAATCCCCTACCGGAAAGGAGTTTGCGGAAGCGATGGAGTATACCCGGAGCATCAAAGATCTTGCTGTAATGGAGATGCTCGAAGAGCTTGCGAACGACGAGTTTGGGGACGAGCACGATGCGGCCGAGGAGCTTTACGCGGACAGATCTCCAGCCGTGGGACTACAACCAGAAAACGCCCAGACAGAGGAGCCTCATGTCCCGGAGCAGTCTGTCGCAGATGCCGTCACTGCAGAACCCAGCCATTCTATCCCTAGGAGGAGATCGAAGTCGAGGAAAGACTACCGTGATGAGCTCGTGCAATCGAGGAGTGTCCCCGTTGCGGCTCTTGGAGAACAAATCGATGCCATCATGCTGAAGAATCCCAACGAGATGAAGAGGCCTAAGAGGGCCGTGCGAAGAGTTCAACAAGAGGTGACAGAAGCTACAGTCGAGCTCGACCCCGAAAGAGACGGCATGGTCGATGACGCGGACGAGAATGGCGAAGAGGCAATGGAGGCGGCGCTCAAGAATATCGACGACCTGCGGCCCGCCGACAAGACCATTTTGCCAATTCAAGACTTTGACGCTCTGGCGAACACGCTGCTGGAAGGCTTCAATCACAACCAGCTTACCAGGTACTTCATCCAGAAGCGCCTGGAATTGTCCCAACATGGTCTGGGGAAGCCGGTCACTTATCCCTGGATTGTCAAACAGGGCCCTTGGGTGGCTGCAAAGCCAGACCACTGGGGGCCTCTCCGGCCGAAGCAGCGGCAGGTCATCATGATCATGCAGCTTCTTTGGAATCTAGAAGTTCAAGAGCAAGTGGAGGGTCTGGGCAGAACTCTTCTCTGGCTGCAGCCTCGTGTCTTTGAGCTCATCGCCCGTAAGTATCCATTTGTTGCGCCTCGGGCCTTGTGCGACACTTGACTGACATTCCCCCCTTTCTAGCTCCCAATAGCGTGGTACTCGAGCAGCTCTCCCGAGACTTTTTGTATCAGTCTAACAAGGAGAAAATCACCACCAATTTCGATGATTGCCGTATCAACATCTACGCTCGAAAGTCGACCATTCCTGTCATCCTGACTCACCTCGACGAAGTGGTCAAGTCGATTCGATCTCAAAAGATATCTTCGGACCACTTCCAAGAGAATGATCTAGATGAGGGATTGCTTCAAGAGCTCGAACGCATCACCAAGACGCATATCGAACACAATGAGAAGAAGAGGGTATGTCTGAACTTCTGCTCTTCTAGGTTCCATCCAGGCTGACGACAGGAAATGTTAGGAACTCGAAATCTCCTGGTTAGAGAAGCGCGATTTGACTTCCTCGGAAGAGGACGCTGACACCTCGGAAACCCCTGCCGATGTTGCTTTACGGCTTCTGTTGGAGCAGCCAGCCAAGGAGCACCAAAGCAGCGTTCAGATCATCGCACCATCAAATGGCAACAAACCTCAAGACGCAAGCTTCATCAGCCATCAGAGAGAAAACAGGAGCATGTCTTGGAAGGACAAGCTCCGGCAATGGTCTAGATATGTCCTTCCCGTTGGCCAGACTGCAGCTATGAAAGACGATGTTTCAGCGCAATTCGCGCAAGCCATCTCCTTTCCAGTCTCCGCTCCCAAGACACTCAATGGATTCGAGCAGAGTTGCCAGGTCACTGCCACTTTTGGACATGTGCTCCACGGGAGGAGCTCACGAACGGCGGCTGCGATGGCAAAGCACCATCGACCACTCTCGCCTGTCCTTCCTCATCCGGCGTCTTTCACGTCCCTTACAGAAGAAGACAAACTCGTGGTGCAGCGCACAACCATGATTCTCAACTTCTGCCCAGATCCCACGCAAACCCCCGCCAAATTCGACCCCGAGCCCCCTTCTATACAGCTTCGACTGCCAGTGGACCCTGGCACGGACCTTTCCGACGTGTCCATCCCTCCTGGTTCAGTCCTCGTGGGCATTGCAGCGAAACACGTTAGCGATGTCTTACTGCCTGGCGAAAGTGTGGATGTTCGCCTGACGCAGCACCATCTTCTGCCTCTCGACCCCAGCCACGAATTTGTCAAAGACTTCATATCCAAGTGCAAGTTTGACCTGCCCCAGAGTCTTGTTAAAACGCCCAGCAAAGCCACGTTTCCCATTCCCAAGGCGTGGACCACTACTCCAAAGGCAACCGGTAGGCCATCCAAAGCCACAATCAACGTACCATACCTCTTCACGGGGTCAGAGATCCACCAGGCCGTTGAGCTCGAGTTTCAGGGCCACACCCTGCGCTACAGCAGCATTGACGCAGGCCGACATGGCGGCCTCCGACAAGAGCTGTCTCTCCTGGCTGGTCCACCACAGAGCCAAGATGCGTCACCCTTGGCTCTCGACAAAGCCGAGGCTTCACGATTCTTGTCTCTCGTCGGCGGCTTAGCTGAGGGCAATTACTTCCCATGGCATGATGGCTCGCAGCTCATGAGAAAGCTATCTAACGTGGATGCACTCGAGGGTGAGGCTGCAGAGGATCAATTGCCGCCGCTGGAGGTCGAGAATCATGAGACTACTCAGAATGTAGAGTCAGAACATCTGCGAGATACCGAGCAGGTCGATGGTCATTCTTCAACAGAGCCAGCTGCCGACATAGTTTCTGATGGTCCACCCGAGGACTCTCAACATCGTGAGACCGACGAAACGAAGAAGGAATAGCTCAAGTTCGATCAAGAGGTAGAAAAAGATGCATGAGGATCAAGTTCCATCCATCAAAGAGATGCAGCATCATGTTACGGGCACGGAAATACTTCAATAGGCGTTTGGATTGGCTGGTGGCAACGATTCCTCTCACGTTTAACATGTTAAAAGGTATAGACACTTTGGTATAGGTATCAGTAGACTTGTTGTGCTCGCAGACAATCGCACAATTTTTGTACAAAATTTGGACCGGAATGACGTTCACATAAAAACCCCATGACATGAAAATGAGCGCGAATGAACACTACGTTGGAGAAGAACTCGACACATCCGACAAGACCTCACATACCCAGACCTGCCCAGGTGGTATTTGATATCAGGATCAATGGCGTCGGACATTGCTACAGCACTCTTGACGCCTGTGACCGAATCGCTCCAGCGCTACAAATTACCCAGTAGCCGGGCACTAACAGCTCCCTGGCCTAGGTAGACTACCTACCTCAAGGTACGACACATGGCAGCACTGGAGGGGGAATAGGCAGACTGGACGACAGTGGACAAGATACGGTCGCACAACCTTTGTCGTGGCATCGCGAGAATAATCGTCACAAGCTTCACGTATGCAGACGGAGACAAGATGATTTGGTTGTCGAAGTCATGAATTCACTTCTATCTAGTTTTTTTGTTCCCTTTTGTTTTGCATTCCCAGAGAAGTTCTGATGGAACCCTTATTCCCAGCCTCTCAATTAACGTGCCTCGATTCATAGTCGAGTGCTCATGCATAGCAACATTGATCGTTTCGTCGTAGAAGTGAGCGCATGGTGGTGCCCACCTGGAGAAACCTCACGAGGGACCCCAGAACATCAGGTGTTGATGATGGGTATCGCTTATTTCTTGGCGGCCTTGGCAGCGGACTTGGTGACCTTGCCGGCGGCGGCAGAGGACTTCTCGACGGCCTTGATGACACCGACAGCGACGGTCTGGCGCATGTCACGGACGGCGAAACGACCCAGGGGAGGGTAGTCGGTGAAAGCCTCAACGCACATGGGCTTGGAGGGGATCATCTTGACGATGGCGGAGTCACCAGACTTGATGAACTTGGGGGCAGACTCGGTAGCCTTACCGGTACGGCGGTCGATCTTCTCGAGGAGCTCGGCGAACTTGCAGGCAATGTGGGCAGTGTGGCAGTCGAGGACGGGGGCGTAGCCGGCACCGACCTGGCCGGGGTGGTTCATGACGATGACCTGGGCGGTGAAAGAAGCGGCGCCCATGGGGGGGTCGTTCTTGGAGTCACCGGCAACGTTGCCACGGCGGATTTCCTTGACGGAAACGTTCTTCACGTTGAAACCAACGTTGTCACCAGGCTGGCCCTCAGCGAGCTGCTCGTGGTGCATCTCGACGGACTTGACTTCAGTGGTGACGTTGGAGGGAGCGAAGGTAACGACCATACCGGGCTTGAGGACACCAGTCTCGATACGGCCGACGGGAACTGTTCCGATACCACCGATCTTGTAGACGTCCTGGAGGGGAAGACGCAGGGGCTTGTCCGTGGGACGCTTGGGGGGCTCGATGGAGTCGATGGCCTCAAGGAGGGTCTTGCCGGTGAACTTGCCAGCCTTGGTCTCCTTCTCCCAGCCCTTGTACCAGGGGCAGTTGGTGGAGGGGGTGAGCATGTTGTCACCGTTGAAGCCGGAGATGGGGACGAAAGCAACGGCCTTGGGGTTGAAGCCGACCTTCTTGATGAAGTTGGAAGTCTCCTTGATGATTTCCTGGTAACGAGCCTCGGCCCAGTTGGCAGTGTCCATCTTGTTGATGGCGACGATGAGCTGCTTGACACCCAGGGTGTAGGCGAGCAGAGCGTGCTCACGGGTCTGGCCATCCTTGGAGATACCAGCCTCGAACTCACCAGTACCGGCAGCGATGATGAGGATAGCGCAGTCGGCCTGGGAAGTACCAGTGATCATGTTCTTGATGAAGTCACGGTGGCCGGGAGCGTCTGTGAGGGCATTGTTAGTTTGATGTGTCAACGACGCAGTGAGGTGATGGCTGCCAACATACCAATGACGGTGACATAGTACTTGGGAGTCTCGAACTTCCAGAGGGCAATGTCGATGGTGATACCACGCTCACGCTCGGCCTTGAGCTTGTCAAGAACCCACGCGTACTTGAAGGAACCCTTGCCGAGTTCGGCGGCTTCCTGTTCGAGGGAATATGGTTAGCATCGCTGATTGAAAACTGCTGCGTTGATGACGTTGGGTGACTGGGGAGCGGCCAGAGAGCAGTAGTGGGGTTGTGAGGTGCGACCCCACTAAAACTCGTAAGGCAGCAAAAAAAATTTGCGTCGCTCGAAGGAGGGGTAGGAGAAAGCGGGGTGATGAAAAAAAAAATCGTGTCGGCACAGCATTCGTTCGCCAGATGCTGGGCAGATGGGCAAAGATTGGGCTCGCGTCTGGAGATTTAAGGAACGAAGCTTACCTTCTCGAACTTCTCAATGGTACGCTTGTCGATACCACCGCACTGGTAGATCAAGTGACCAGTCTGTAACAGAACGTCAGTTTCGGATGTTCATCGCAGAGACGCCACGCGCAAGATGGAGCTTGCGGTCGTGGAGTGGAATGGGTGTTTACTCACGGTGGTAGACTTGCCGGAGTCGACGTGGCTGTCGTAGCAAAGTCAGTATCGTATGTTCGGTCGATCTGGCTCAAGATGATTGATGGAATACGCACCCCTAGATGGTATATGGTTAGCACGGTGATTCTTGGAATCAGACTGGCAGATGACGCCGATGAGGGATCGGAAAATACGTACGATGACGACCACGTTGATGTGAGTCTTGTCCTCCTTACCCATTTTGACGGTTTGTGTGATGTAGCGTGAGAGCTGTGTTGTTCTTGACTAGATCGCTGCGAGGCAAGCAGAGTCAGCTGGCGATGTTCCTCAAACGAGCAGGAAGCAGATGCAGAAGAGGGAAGAAGAATAAGGCGATGATCCAAACTGAGGGAGGATGGTATCACCAGACCAGAAGGTCAGAGGGAGAGGCAGCACATACAAATTCGCAGATCGGATGCTTGAACCGGGTATGCGAGACGAAGAGCAGAAGAGAGAAAATTTCGAAAGCAGATGGTGGGAGGAGGAGATTTAAAAGGTGGTCGGCGGAGGGGTGGAGGGGTGCAAGTGCCAGTGGCTCGTGCTGTATTTTTTTTTTCTGCCACGCGCGGGGCAGCAAAACGGGGCTTGTGAAAAAAAGCCTGAGGAGGGGCAAAATAAGCGGCGCCCGCCTGCTGGTCTAGCCCTAACGAGGCAGCCCGGACGAATCAGCGTCGTGCAGCGGCTCCCGCTTTCCACTCAATGCTGCTGCACACCCGCAAGATTTTTTTTTTTCCTCGCCGCGAGCGCCAGTGGCTGTGGCGGATCAGGCCAATCAGCGGCGGCGGTTGGAGCTCGTCCTTCCCAAGTGCCCGCCACGACACGATCTGGTATGATGATGGCGGACAGGCATGGCTGAAGGGTGCGACTTGCCAGAAATTCCATGGCCTGCGAAGGGGTGATGGCATCTAAGGTAGGTAGTATAGTACTGTACATTCTGTCCCTCGAGGCGCTCTCCTACGGGTCATTTCAACTGGAACTTGTGGGAATTTTGTGAAGCGTGTCCTGACGCTGGTGATGTGAGATACGACACCCTTCCGATTGGTGGCCGTCATATCAACTTGCAGCAGCGAGCCCTCTACCTTAGGTATCCTTCCTACCTACAGTAAGGGTGCCCAGTGCAGATGCACTCCCACCGCTTTGATAGTACTGCTCAGATGTGTCCGTGTGTGTGTGTGTGTGTGGTGTGTGCAGTCACATTCGAGCCCGGCATATCGCAGTAGATGTACATCGTCCCGATCCCTCAGTGGTCGTCGTTGTTTCTGGCCAACCCCGAAGAGTCATTCGCCGCTTTCCATTTCATTCGACAGAAGGTTGAGACCTGGCTCGTTAATATGACACAGACAGTCAGCGGCGACCTTTTTGACTAGGTAAGTAGCCAGCAAACTCGGCACAGCTCCCAGTCTGATACTTGAAGCCGTGGTCGAGATGCCTCTGGTCTGAGGCTGCCAGTGCTCGGGCTGGCTCGTCTCCAGCCGGTTGCTGCATGTAGGGATGCCTCTTTTTCTTACGACCCAATCCACCCACACCTTGGCGCTGGTCCGCGCCTGATTTTGCCCAACTCGCCGCTGTCGTTTGGGTTTCATCCTATAGAGACTCGAGAGGTACCAGTACTTGCAAACGCCTACCTTATCTTCCTTACCTCAGCCCTCCCACTGCGCGAGCTGTCACACAACAGCCTGTGAGTCAACGGCGGTGAGCGAAGCTGTCGAGGTGAGGACATCACCGAATCGCCTCCCTAATGCCTTTCTCTGGCTGTTTGGCTGCCTAGAGGCTTTCAACAAAAAATTTTGGTCGAGGAAAACGTCTGCTCTTCTTCTCAACGACAGCAGTACTTTACGATACAAACCCAGTCTTATTACCACGAATAATGCTTGATTCATCTTCAGGCAAACTGGAGGATCCGCTACCGGGACCGCAGCTAGTACCATAGTAGGACTAGCAATTTGACCCCCTGCAGCATGGATGATATCGCCAGAGCCATTTTCCCTGCTCGAGGCTGATGATTCCCTCGCTCTCTTGCCGTCTTCACCCCTCTCGATTATCAGCCCCTCCATTCTTTCTCGTCCAAGGACGGGACTCAAGCCCACCATGAAACGTCAACGTCCCCACTTCATGCGGTTCTGTCCATCATCGAGCTACTACTACTACTATTGCCACCACTGCAATTTTTTTTTCAGTGTCGTGTTTCCATCTAGTATGTACTACTCTATTCTAGACTTTCCAAACGCCGAAGAATGATCAGCTCGTATGGATCTCGAGTATCAAGTCAAGCATGGCAACAGTGATGTACATACATGCGTCTGAAAAGTTGGCCGACCGGGGTTGAGGAGGCAAGAGAGGCAAGTATGTGGATGTAATGAACAACATAC